TTAAAATAATTGCAATTTTTGTAAGTTTTTAGTCAAAACAAAAAGTTAACTAAGAGAGAAAATTTATGGAAATTTTGTGAGTAAAATAATACATATTTACTTTTTTATTTTAACGCAGCGCAACTTTCAACATTCAACATAAATAGGTAAACAACTAACTGATAACAAACAATCCGCCGTGTAAAACCGCGAGAGTTCACATGTACACCACTGTTTCAATTTAATTCAATATGCGCTCACTAACACCAACAAACAGAAATTTAATGCAAAAAGTGCATTCTACTGCCATCTCGTAGAAAGTAGAAACTAGAGAGGTAGATTTATCAAAAGTATAACCTCACGCAGATATGACTATCACCATTCAACACTGATAAAAATCATGATATCAATACGCAACTTTCTAGTAAACAAACAAAACTAACGCAAAATGAAACACGCTTCAATCCTACTTTAATGCAAATAAATGCATTGTATTGCCATCTATAGTCATATTAGTTAACTACATTAAAATATTGTGGGTATAACTCTTACGTTCACGAAAGCTGCATTTAATTCAATGCAAGTTCACTAACTTCAACAAATTATATCTAATCATTTATACAAATTGCAGTCTGCAAGACAAAACAACGTGATTTGTTATTCATTGTTATTCTCTATCACAACATTTATACCAATGAAGATTTTATCCAAATATTGAATTCATGTCTGCGAATTTTCCGCTAGCAAATAATCACGACGTTCCGTTTAATTTTAGACTCAGTCGAAATAATGAACCTCGCCGTCTGCTAATTTTAGCATTAATTTTCGCACTAATTTTATGTTTTAAGCAGATACCAGCCAAGAAACTATTCGAACTAAACGCTAACTAACGTCAAACAAGCAGTATTAGATACCGTGGAAATAAGCATAACCAGTAATTCAAAATTTAAAACAATTACAAACGTTGCCAAAAAGGCCACAGAAATAAAAGAAAATGCCAATGTTAATACAAAAGAATGCCAAAATGCTTTCTAATTATTTATAGTTAAAGGACACTTACAAGTTGTTTAGACATATTTCTGGCATGTTTAATGATGTACACTCGCGTGTGAAAATTGTAAAGTGTATCGATTCTAATTGCAATTGACAAGCGATTAGATATTACCAATTTGTGGCTGACTACAAACTCGTAACATATGCAAAGCCCCTATAGCTTGAAAGGCAGTGTCAAAATCAATTTAGAAACTCATCAACTAAACATTTCTCAGTTGGTTCTTGGGCGCACCATGTGGAAACGTCTGAACTTGGAGATCAAAGCCATCAAAGTGAAAATTGTGTGAAATTTTTACGAGCGAATGAATTTTGTGTGTTGGTGCGCATAAATTAGGCAACTAACTTTGCATGAGTGTAATTAGTTGCATAATATGTGAAAATAGCTTTCAACATAAAGGTAAAAATGAGTGGTCTAGAACACAACACGAAATCATTCATAAAATAAAAGATTACGACGAATAAATTTAAGAAACATAACTATTTTTCACAAATCACTTCCGTAAATAATATTTCGGGTATTTACGATGTATTTACAGCCTATAACCCGAATATTACGAAATTTACAGGCTGCTGCAAATCAAAACAATGAAGCAATGTTAAATTTACGCTTTTCATTGTCATGGAGATGAGTTTCGTAGACTGAAAGCAGTTTGTGGTTTACAAAGTTTTCACACCCGCTGGGAATTGACGGGGAAATGGCGCAACATGTCATTTTTTCGAAATAGCGATTAAACAAACAAACAGTCGTAAAATTCGGTGTTGATTTTCGTTTAATGGACGCGGCTCGACGTTGAAAACGGTGACGAGTTGCAATGATTCGACGCTACACAGATTTCAACGCCGAGCAGACGTCTTGTCTGTGGGAAATGTACACAAATGTAAGAACATTCATATAATTTAGTTCACAAAAGCAGATTTTATACAAAAAATTCAATGAATTTTTCACAATATTCTGTGATTTATGCTTGATTTAGCACAGGTAGAGACATCTATCGATAAATTTAATAACCTTTTTCAAATATAATTTCTACTAGCTGACCTGGCAAACTTCGTACCACCTTATTTATTTTTTATTAATTTAAACTTTATTACACAAAAAATAATATTGTACAAAAGGCGGGCTTAATGCCGTAAGGCATTCTCTGCCAGTCACATCGCTAGCGACCCGCCCCGGCTTCGCACGGAAGTAAAAAACCGCATCAAAATCCGTTGCGTAGTTTCAAAGATTTAAACATACAAAGGGACAGACAGAGAAAGCGACTTTCCTTCTCCAAACAAAAACATCAACCGATCAACTTCAACCCACACGTACACACATACACATGTCTATGCTTGGGGGGGGGGGCAAAATTAATGTATATTTTTCAATCTTTCTGAGACATTTTCCTAATATTTTTTCCGTAAGAACCTTCTACAGAGTATTAGGAAACTACAAAAAAAAATTAGCCAAATCGGTCTAGCCGTTTTCATTTTTATATATTAAGATTATCAAATAACTATTTAATATGCGATAAATGCGGAATAAATTCGTGAAATTTTGTACATTTAAGTTCAAAATATTTTATTTTTAAAACACTTTTATTTATTTAATCTGTAGACTCAACAATTGAAAGTATCTGAATGATGAGATTTACACTAAAACAATCAGAAATTCCCTATAAACACCAAGTCTGCGAAGTTATACTTTATACATCAAAGACATGCATGAAATGCGATGTGAAAAGTAAATGTGAACAACCTCGCTGAAAAATAATCACAGTTATTTTCACACTGCCCATCGTTGCACACACGAATTCAGAAACGCACACCACGACGGCTTACAACAGGCAGGCATATTTATAATTTACACTGGTTTTGAACTTTAGATGCTGCAAACTGGCCGGAAGTTATCATAATAAAAGATTTTAAAGACCAAAAAATGTTTAAACATGAAAAAGCATTGAACTTTTAGCAAATTTTTAAACAAATAAATTGTAGTTTATAAATATGAGTTTATTAAATGTCAATAAGTATTTATAATGATAAATAGTTACGCTGAAGTAAACTAGTAGAGTTTAAAATAAATATGGCTTCGTTGACTATTTAAAGCTACCGATAACCAATTTCCATACATTACTATTGATATATAAATTCCATAGATTATAGAAAGAGATAAGATGCAAGGTAATGCGACAATTTTGTACTTTCCGCTACTTTACTTAACTTTTACCTGATTAGTTAGCATAATTATCAAGTACGAGTAAGTTTTGACGACTGGTAGATAATTAATTAATTAATTAATTATGTATAAGTTAAATAAATTAATCTACTTGCTGTTGAAAGTAATATATACAAATATAACAACTTAATCAAATGTCAATCAAACTAAATAAAGAATGAAACAGGTTTATTTATACAGAATGAAACAAAAAAGCTCAATGTTAATCGACTACAATTTAATTTAAGTGTAGGAGTTTCTTTAAAGAATTACTAACTGTTCAAAAAAGGAATGTTTAAATATAAAATGATGTTGTAAATACTCAGACTTTTCAAATTGCATATAATTGCGTATTTTGAGATTAATTTTATTCTACGCGTGGTTTTGGTAATAATTTCACTTTGAAATGCATTTTATCCCTCTTAACATAGAGGGCACTAGTAAAAATCATAACCTTAACCTTACTTTTGTTCTACACATTATACCAATATTAAAATATTAAAATCTATGGATTTGTTTATTACTCTTGCACAATTCCTGCAATCCTTGTTAGAACTTGTTAGTAACCACGAGTATGTAATTATATGCACCATGTCATCCTGTGCCATCTAATAAACATCCTACGTAGGTAATATCATACATATGCGAACATGAGCAATCGCATGCGGTGATTTCCAAACACAAAACGTCTATTCATAAATGTGTGCTGTTTTCGTGTGTTGTGTTCCTATATGCATATTAGCACGTTAACGCTGATTGAGTCAGCAAGCAGCTCGCGGCGTACTTTTCTCTCTTTCGCTTTAAATGGGTTTGGTTAATGGCATTGACGGCTTGACAGCATGACGACCTGTGCGATATTTGGTTTAATTAACAATACTTGTTCGACACAATCACGTATCGAACAAGTGATACTACCTAATACTAAGTGTAAATATAACCTGGACTAGACAACAAGATATGTTAGAAAGAAACGTCATTAGTAGTATTTGTGTCATTATTTTGGCAGTTGACAATGTATACACTTATATTTTCCGCTTTGAGCGTTCTCTAGTGAGGTAAAGCTAAACTTTTATAATAATCTATAATATAAAAATGAATAGCAAAATCTGTTGGTAAGCGCATAATTCAACAACGCCTAGACCAATTTGATCAATTCTTTCTTTTTAAATGTTCGTTAAATTCCAAGGATGGTTTTTACGGCAAGAAAAATTCGAATAATTGCCGAGAAAACCCTAAAGGCAGCACTTTTCTATAGGATAAAAGTTGGCATTGAGATTCAATCATAGTTATAATTAAATAGTTGAATCCGAGATGGCGCGCTAAAGTGCATTATTAGTAATTCTTTATATAATTAATTTCTTTAAAATAAAATTGCGAATCTTATTGATAGAATTGACACATACTATGTTTAGAACAAGAGAGTAAAAACGAGTTACATTTATATTAAACACTACCGGGACGAAGTCGCGGGCAAAAGCTTGTTTAGATAATAAATATCTTAATACGGTGTAAGGACTATATATTTGACAATTATATACTTTACATGAAATAATAAAACCCAAAATTGAATAGAATTATATTTTGGGTGCGGATGATGACTACAATGTGTAATTGTAATAATCCGACAGGTGAAAACACGTCATTTAAAAACAATTTCAATAACAATAGACAAAAACAAAGTAAATATTCTAAATTTCAACTGCAATAGCAATATATATTTGAATATCAACACTTATACATAATGTTTAATTGACTGTATCGATTTCGATCGCATTACGTGAGATCACATGACGCGTTAGTTTTGCGCGTTCCATTCGAATAGTTGAAATCATTCGCGCCGCCATCGCCACACGAAATTGATGTTTGACTATTTGTCTACAACTAACTATACACGTACACGTAGACCACAAAGTTGTTGCCACATTCGGCGAATCGTGCAAAGCTGTTCCAAGTCGGTTGTTAGTCGAAGTCAAAGTCGCAGGCAAACCAACCGTTCGGCGATGATGCGATGATGGCGCACGACAGCAATGACAATTGCGTGTAACTAACCGGGCGTGCTTCCACATCACATCACATAACTTACTTGGAAACTTACTCAGCATAAGTGCAGTGAAATTTTAGAAACAGATTTGAACACGTTCGTTATAAAAGTGTAAAAATATCAAAACCTGTTTGCTTGGTATGCCTATGAGTTGACATCATACATATTATACAACATACAAGTAAGTTTTAGGTTACAAACACTTTACATAACCTTAAATTTGAGCTGAAGAATACGTCAAGTGACATATGTCAAAGAAAACCAATTGTCACGTGTCAATAATCACTTGTTTTTGTTGTTACTAAGCCAATCAATTAATTTTCCACTCGTTGAAAACTAGTTCAACAGATTATTACTTAACTATATACTAGTACTTAGTACTTTTCCAAGTTTCCATGCGTCCACGTGTTACTCGTTTGGCGGTTCGCATGATCACTTTGATTACTTAGTTAGTTATTACTTTGTAATTGGGATGTCAGTTTAGTCACGTTACGCATGCACAAAAATTACCGCTAGAAGTCAAACGAAAATAAAAATGAAAACGCGTGTAGTAAGTAATATTTATAAAACGAGTGTAGCAAATTATAAATTTTTAGTTTTTTTTAGGTGTGGACACACAGATAAAATTCGATTAAGCAACGTATACGTAATTTTATTTCTCGGTTTCGGTTGAAATGCTGGTTCAGCTTGTTCTGCTGGTGTGTATCGCATGAGTATTCGTGAATAAATGTTTGAATGCTCATAAAGCGTTGAAAACCAATGTCCTTGACATCGTTTTATACGCTATGGTTTTGCATTAGCTTTAGTTTTCACTTTTGTGATCAAATTTTAAAAAAATATATTTTTTATTATTTTTGAGAAATTTTTGGAAAAATATAATTTTATTTTACATAATTTTGAAATAAAATTTTGTGATTCATGAAAGATTATGTAAAATTTTTAAAAATCCTGTTTTATGCGAGTTTTTGCTGTTCATTATTTCTTTTCGGTATTTCCACCCACGACACAAGATATATTGACCATGACTGTCCATAACAGAGAGATAATTAACGCTCCACGTAAAATATCACCAATAAACCGCAATTAAACATAATAAAGCCAAAACAAATGAACAAATACACGCTGGGCATTTCAAAAGTGTTTTGTTCACGCAGGTATTCAATGTTTCTCGACACGAAATTCTATATTTCTCCTGCCTGCGTCCGTCGCCAGCGCGGCGTTATCTAATCTCCAGTGCCTTGCTTCCATTCATTATCGCCGCGCAATCGCCGCCATCGTGTTTGCGTTTATCATTATATCAATGTTATTAATAAAATTGTAAAATACGCGCTCGCGTTGCGCCTGCGAGTGTTATTGCGTTAATGACATGACAGTGTTCCAGCCATGGAAGCCGCCGACTCATCGCCACCTCAATGCGACACAACCGCAAGCAAAACGGAAGAAAAAGATGTCCACGAAGATAATGAAGAGGAGGATGGTGAATACACCAACGTCATTGACGAATCACCCGAGTTCCAAGAGATTATTGCACAGTTTAGGTGTAAACCGGAGCAGCTGGATGTACAGGTATGAGAAAAAAACAAAATGGCGTCGGATGATTGTATAAGTGATAACGATGTGTGATTGACACTGAATATTTTAGAGTATAAGTCTGGATTTACGCAATGGACCAGCCCTAAGAACATTTTTGACATTAATGTTGGCGTCGATTAGGAACCAGCCGGATGATGATACTCTCAAGAATTTTCTAACCTATGTGATGCATGATTTTGTAACGCTGGACGATTTCGACATCAAGTTTCAATTAGTCATAACACTCCAGGAGTTCATGCCAAGATTATACAGTAAAAAGACGTCGTTGATACTAATTGATCTTTGTGAGCAATTATTACTACCAGAAGATAGACTTATCAAAGAAGAAGCGTGTAAATTGACAGCCATATTGCTGGAATTGTTAGATGAAGATGGCGTCGCTGAGTTTTTAAAAGTCGTGCGCAAAATCTACGAAAATGAGTGGAATCGTTGTACTGGCATTGATTTAATGGCGATTTGTTTCTATAAACTTCCCGAAGCAACACAAAAAGAATTCCGCACGGAGTTTACAACATTGATGAATGATGATTCAACTTTAGCGAAAGCAGCAATGGCGCGGAATTATTGGAAAATTGTTCAACACTATCAAAAAGAATGGGTCGAAACTGAAGCAATTGAAACGTTACAACAATTAGTTGATGATATACAGGTAACATAACCTAAATTTTACTTTAAAGGCCTTATAACCATAAAAATTATATTTACAGGTTCCTGTAAGAATCCACGCTGTTGAAACAGCAATAACCATCGCTAGTTTAATCGAAGAAGATCTTATCGATAAACACCTCTCCACCATCTTTGAAAAACTCGCCCACGATAACTCTTGGAAAGTCCGGCTGGAAGTTGCCGCACGTATAGCGGACATTCAGAAAGCAGTCCGACCAAAGATGGCGCGCATGTTAATCATCACTCTTCTGAAAGCACTTAGTATTGATCGTGAAACCATCGTCAAAAAATGTCTTGCACACAACATTATCGACGTTGTAATACAATTTAAAGAAACAACGGACTTAGACCTCACGGATATATTTGAGGTTATCAACGAACTTAACAAAGATTGCAATGATGAGGTTAAGAACAACTTGATGAATGTTTTAATGGATTGTGCTTCGGTTCTTACAATGGAAGAATGCAAAATACACTTGTTACCTTTGATGAAAAACACTTTAATGTGTCAAAATATCACAGGCTTGTCCAAAGTCCACGAACAATGTGTACTGAACATCAACAAATTAATTACCGTCTTGGGTTATGAAGTAATGCAGGAAGAAATCGAGAAATTCATCTTTGGAGTTTTATCTGCTGATAGTCAATGGAGAACTAGAAGAAGATTAGTAATGACCTTGAATATTCTTGCACTAACTGCAAGTGAAGAATATTTCACAAAGATTTGTTTGTCTTTCTATAAGAAGATGTTGAATGATTCTTGCCACGCAGTGAGAAGGATAGTGCCAATGATACTTCCGGTGTTAACCGGAAGATTTGGATTCGATTGGGGAATGAAAAATATTTTAAGTTATATCTTCAGTTTTTACGATCATCCAACATCTTCGCAACGTTTATTAGTACTATATTCTATTGAAGAACTTGTAGATCCGAGTTTGATCAATATTTCCGGATCAAAGTTCGAGCAGAAAAGTTTTTTAAGTCATTCTATGAACAAGGATCATCTCTACAAAGTTTTCTCTTTGAACGAGATGTTAAAGTACAAATTGGATCAACTAGAGCTTAATTTTGACGATGACGAAGAAGATAATGTAATGAGTAGTGATTTAGTGTTTTATGGTGAAGATATGGCGGAGGAATTTGCAGAATTTGAAGTCCCATCACAGAATGTAATGGAGTTGTTGACTTTTGTTATAAAACATATTATTCCTATTCTAGCCAAGTGTCTCAGTGATAATGTTATTAATGTTATTAATAGAGCATTGAATACCTTTAAAATGGTCATGAATTTGCACAAGAAGATAACAAAAGAGTTCCAGCAGGATGTTTTTAAGGATATTTTGGATACTTTTAACAAAGAAAGTAGAAAGAGTATAGAAAGTAATATTTTGCATAAGTTAACTGAAGTTGATGGACACATGGAAGAGAAAATTGATCATCCAGTGCGCGGGCAAGATTTTGAGTCGAATGTCCGGTTTGAAGACGCAATGGAAGGTTCTTTTGATGGTGATGAAGTAAAACCACTTAATACCGATGAAGTATTGAAAGCTTTCGAAGAATTTGACATTCCCGATGATTTCAGGGATAGAAACAAAAATTTATTCGATTCGAGTGAAGATTTTCAGGAAGATACAGTGGACAGTTCAGAAGACAAAATGGCCGACAATAATAACGCCAAGAGTGAGAGCAGTGACAAAAATGAAAACAATGACAATGAAGTTGAGAAACATTTACTGGACGATGTAGATATGAATTTGTTTGACCAAAAAAAGACAGTTCTAGAGGTTTATAGTGATCCAAACAGCGATGCCATCGATATTTAATTTATTTTACTAGTGTAAAATGTTTAAATAATTATTAAAATAATGTATAGGAAGAATTATATGTTACCAATTTTAGATTTTGTTGTTCATACAGTTTTAAATTATTGTATAGTTCCTAATAAAAAGCAAACAAGTACAAATTGTACAAATTTTAGGTTTATGCAACATAACCTCAATTTTTAGCTACAATTTATAATACTTAAAATATCATTAGCAAAATTATTGATGATAAATGGAAAGCGTCATGCATGTTGGCAGGAGAATATTTTTTAGCGCAATATTTTGGCACTTCCTATTTTCGATAATGTTGAAAAACCGAGAGTGAATTATAAAAGCCAGCGGCGAAAAAAACACAAACATCGGCACATTTTAGGCACGCACTCGCACTACGTCCGGCTAAAAATAAGTTTGCGGTCGAGCGTCGCAGTCAATGGGTTAGAATATTTATAAAAATAGCATCGACGACGACAACTATTAAGATACGCATCGAATATTCCACCGGGAAATATTTCAGCGACGAGTATTTTCAGAAATTTATACAAACACCAATTTTATACAATTGTTATTTAAAAAGTATTTATTTGAGGTTATAACAGCATATGTATGAGGTTAAGCGTATGAATATTACAATGTTGGTAACATTAACCTAAAATTAGTATTGTAATGACCGCCATGTAATTTTTATGACCATTTCTAAACCTTAATAAAATTATACATGCGTGCAATACTCGTGTTTCAATACAAAAACATCGCTCAAATCAAAGTGTTAAACTTTTAGTGAGTGAAAATTGAAGTGCCGCTAATTTTAGCACGACGTATTTTAGCGTACTGTGAATAGTAACCGACCACGCGATTCGAGAACCGCGGTTATGTTATGTTATACTTTCAGAATATTACCACGACGTGACGCACTTAAATCTAGTTAAATCATACTTTACACCTCGGTTTTATGCGGTGCTTTATGTTCCGCCATTTTCATACATAACCTCATAAATACTCCATTAAATTGTTGGTAAAAACAATTTGTGACTTACCTTGTAGTTGGTAAATAGTCATCTGATACTCTGCTAGTTTCTCATCGATGTAGTCTTGTGATTGGTTGGCGATGATCTCGGCCGTCGAAGGCCCGTCGTTTTCGTCGTCGTTGGGGTCGTAATTCTGCGGTAAGGGAGGATGCTCCAACGCCGCGATCGCTTGTGGTGCACCCACGTATTCGTAGCTACGACTCGGGGGACCGTATTCGAAGTGTGGCGGCGTTGAAGGCATCGGTTGATAAGGAGACATACGTTCGGCAGGGATGTATGGGGATACTCCACGGAAAAAATCTGGTGGTGGTGGGACTGGGGATACACATCGCATCGGGGCCGGAGACGGCTGTAAACAAAAATTGTTTATGTGATTTCAATGTATTCTAATGTCATTTACATGTCAGTTTATTTTGTTATTCCATGATTATATTTTTTATTTTATTTGTAAACTTGGGGATGGTTTTGGGTACAAAGGTGTGTCATACGGAAAAACCTGCTGATCTGAGTGAGAAATGTAATGAGGCGATATTATTAGACACGAATGAAGGAAATTGTGAACCTGAGCAGAAAATTAACAATGGGGATAGTGAAAATGTTAAAGAAAGCAGGTCCGATATGAATTATGTATTGATTATGATCAGTCCAGATGTACCAGGTGATCCAAACTGTAAGGGCGTTTTTGGAGATGTTAAATTTCCAATGCATAGGACTATAAAGGTAATTTTAACCAGGAAAACATCCAGAAAATTATAAAAATTTATTTGAATTTATTTTTAAGCCTTTAAATGAGGAGCAACACTCAGGTTCGTGTTCAGCTCCAGGTAATAAAAAGCATCATCCAAGGGACATCAAGAAGACCTGCACTGATATGTTACATAAAAGTGTTTTGGATCTTGTTAATTGGGTACAACGCGAGAAAAAAATGAATACAGGTATTTTCTATATTAATAATAATAAAAAATAATAATAAATATATGAATTAATAAATTTATAGTCAGCATCACTGTAAGCAACCTCTATGTGGATCAAAACAAAGTGGTAAAGGTGGTACGATCCCCAGAGAAAGCTTCCTCAGAGAAAACTAAATCAAGATCTAGTAACAAACACCACCACCACAGCAATAATCATAATACTCATCATAACAGAAAAATACTACCTCATCCAATAATTTATAGATCTGCACGTTCACATAAGGTCCACAAATATCTGGATCAAGGTGATCCTGTTGATGATATTTACGATTTTGATTTGTTCCCCGAAGAAAAAGCTTTGGATTTGCAAATGGTTCCTACAGAATCTCCCCTTGATGCAAACTTGATTGCTATGACTAGAGTTGAAGAGGCACCTTTGGACCAAATTATTGCTGATTTTACTTCATCGAAACCAATACCAAAGAAGGAGATTACAGAAGGGGCAGAAAAATATGATGATAAAGGTAGTATAAGTACACTAAGTAGTATTAACAAGTATATTTAATTAATATTAATGTCTTTTGTTTAAATATAGTTTATGATGACATCGCAGATATGGTTTCTGACGTAGTTTCATCAGTTGCTTCCGATGTAACTTACAGTGTGACAACGGAACGTGAAATAACCTCAAAACGTCATCAAAAGTTCAGAACACCACATTCAACAACTTCAGAGTTACCCAAACGGACTACGGATGTTGAAAACAACTTTCATGATGAAGAAAATGATGAAACTCTTGGTATACTACGAAAAGTTAATGGTAAAAGTGCAAATGGTTTACCAATGTACGAATTGGTACCACCTGATATGCTTAACTCTAGAAAACCATCATATTCAGAAAAAAATGATTTGAATTTAAGCAATACTCCAAGAAATATTAAAATATTTGATAAGAAAGATACAGCAATCGATGCAGAATACGATGAAGACTTAGATGCAACCACAGAAGCATTATTGAAATACCGCACCACTTCTACGCCGAACGCGGATATCAAGACCACCCGAGCCTATTTACAACATTCATCTATAGATATGAGTGAAGGTTCGAAAGATGATAATACTGGGAGTAATTCTGAAGGTATTAACGAAGATTTACCCACAATAGCTCCTGAAAGTTGCACTTACTATACAAATGAATCTGAAGAGCCTGACTTAAGTAGTGTTCAAAAAGGAACTTCCACAAATAAATTACTAGAAGCAACTAATCAACCTCCATTGCTGGATATAATGTCTGTATTAAAACAACAGTTCTTTCATACATTTCTTGATACAATGTCATTGGATGAAAAAGGCTCTTCACCTTCATTGTTGGCAATGACACGAAATCTTTTCAAACAAATTGAGAGTTATCCATCAGTAAATGGTTACTTAGCATTGATTAATGGTGGAAATGTTAGTGATTTGAAGAATTGTTCATCAGATCTCGTCAAAACCCTACATTTTATATTCAGTGCTTCTGACCTTGAGAAAACTGTCATTGTTTTGACAGCTACATGTCCATCTGCTAATAATAATCTGCCATTTTTGGTTGCTGGCCCTAATATTGACAATTTTAAAAATGTTGTGACATTGCAAGATGTTCCTAATCAAATTAAAAATCATATACAACATAATGGAGGTACAAGGAATAATAATAATAATAATAATAATAATATTCATGATCGTAATAATAATAATTATAACAATGCTAAGAAACATGTTAAAAGTGATATACGTAATGGAAGACATAATATTCAGAGAAAACATAGAATTACCAATGCTCCAAGACAAAGAATTAACCAATTATTTGAATCTTTTCCAAATAGTGAAACATTCGGTGATGAATTAGCGGAAAGTCTAGTAGCGCCATCTGATATTTGGTATAGTGATATACAACTGGATAGCGATGCACAATTCGTAGACTATGACAAAATGGCGATGGATGAAGGTTATGAAAGTGAATCACATAATCAGGTTCAAGAGCCCAATTTTGACCAGGAGCATGAAATGGTTAAGAGAGAATCGTCAACGAATACTCATCTATCGATTAAAAATGGTAAACTTGTTATTTTAGGAGTGATTGTAAATATTGCAATTACTGTAAATTTATTATAAGTGTTTTAAATATTTGTTTGGTTAATTGTTTTTTACTTACCGGATGCATAGGCATTCTAAATGGCCGTGCGCCTAAGAATGGAGGCGGTGATTGACCATGAGGCGGTGGACCAGGTGAAGGCCAACGTGGCCGAGGGCAAGGCATGTGCGGTAAACGCGGAGCGCCAAACATCGGCATGCCTGGCGAGCCTAGACGCGGTGGCGGTGAAGGATTGTAGGGTGAACCGGGGCGGAAGTGCAATGGGGACCAACCCGGTGGACCACCACGCCCGCCTCCGCCAGGGCCCGGGCCCGGCGCTGACATCGGTGACTAGTTGGTGTACTACTAGTCGATGCAAAGAAATCCAAACATCTGAAATGAAAAATGAAATTTTATGAGATTTATTCATTCATTGTGATGTGAGTACATATCCACGTCACATTAATATTATTTTTACACAAAATACGCGGAATGAATCTCTAAAAATATCACGATTGAGTGATGCGGTTGCTATTAATATAAAATGCACACATATGTAGATGTGTGGAATGGCGGATACAATATGGCTGCGAATGCGTGGGTCGTGTATCGTGATGATGTGTGCCTGCAGAATGTTGCATATTTTGGCAATCGGTGGCGGCCAGATGCGCAACATTTGCTGACGCTGGTTACCGTGCAACCGCCGGCACCACGTTTGTTTACGCGAAATGTACGTATTTTCGGCGTTTATTTCAACATGTACTTAAGTCTGAATCATTTGCAGCGTGCTGTGATTTCCTAACCTTTAAAATCACATCAAACTATATGATTTCTTGCAAAATAATAATGAAATATCAAATTTACATATCTACATAGCCTCAAAAAATAACCTATAATATATATTTTTAATTTTAGTGATGAGACATTTTAATTAAGCCTATTTTACGACTTGCTAAATACAGACATTACGTAGCATGTTACATTTTGACTTTTCACCGCCCCAAAACTTTGGTTGGTGTCTTGACGACTCCGGCATTTCCAAAGTAACCGAAAGTTATGTGTCAAGTGTTGCGCGCTCGGAGCCTAAACATAGGAATTCATTTCTTGCGTGTCGCCCAAGCTCACGCGCGCATCTGTACTTAAGTAGCTTGTTCCTGAAGTTAAGTTCATTTTCCTATTTTTATAATGCTTCCGACGAAAATACACCTAGGTATAAAAACGCTACGCATTTTATTTTCTTACAGAGTACAAGTCAATTTGACCTTAGAAAAATAAAGAGTTAAAGAAGAGTTTTTTCCCCTGTCGCCATGTTTATGGATAATTTTTACTTCAGATACTATTTCACGTAATATTTTAATAAATATTTCTGTAAAAAAGTAAACATTACCTCAATACGTCACTACTATAACAATGAAATATGACAACAATGTATTTCTATATATTTAAGTTGAAAGTTTTGGAATATTGCCGATGATATTCATCACAATTAAATTTTATGTTTTGCGCTTGTTCGAGAAGTCTGCGATATTTTCGGCGGTAATTATTTATCCACGGTGAGCGTGTTGCATCTCTCGAAATAGATCGTAAATCACAGTGGGTCATGATGCAAGGCACAGATCGTCTCTGACTAACGCCGAAACATCTCAAACGCGTCGCGACGCGCTTGTGCAACATTACAACAGTGATATTCATTGTTAAAATACTTGCAATGCCAGCCATTACAACATGATGATATCAATGGCTGTCAAAAACATTATGAATGATCTCAAAAGACCAACATTTTAAAATTTCGAAATAATTTTTAAGATATTTTCAATTAAACTTGTCTTTAGTTAAAACTAACCTCAATTTAAAACTATTTGCAATTGTTTATCTGATTGATATAATTATTATCCTACCGTGTCCACTACGTGATCCAAAATGTCCCCTTCCTCCACGTTTTGGTAAACAAACTAAATGGCACAATAAAAAATTGAAAACTTTTGAAGGAAAAAAAGGACGAAAACCAGCGACGGTGCGGCACTACGAGGCTGCGTGACACGTGCGACGACGTGACCGAAACTAAGACCGAATTTTCGACGCCGGCGTCCGGCGTGCCCCTTCTTCCTGATCACGACGACGATGATGCTTCTCTCCGCCATCGTCGTCGTTAAATTTAGACACGGTACTTTTGGCACCGCTTGGCACTACCATGCGTATGACGACGCTGTTAGTACGGCGCTTCTTTCTATTAATCGACGATTAAACGCAAACGCGCTCGTTTTTCAACGCCCAGCTTAGATGAGCTTCGCTGTCTCGTAATTGATTACACGCATGAAGATTTAGTAGAATCTCTCGTCTTTCCGTAAAGGCGAAGAATGAAAAATAACAAAATGGCTGCCATTCCACTTAGGTTATTACGAACACCTATTTCTATCACATAATTTACAACGATTGTACTTTCTTAAAATTTATAATGTTTTATACTACAGTTTTATCACCTACTAGCTAAATCTTATGATTGGTTTTGGAAATATGTGATATAAACCAATTTGAACTGGAAACATTTCTCACTTTGCCATTATCAAACTCTTATTATTGAACTGCATGTAACTACATGATATAATAAGTATACTTTAAAACAATGGTTGTTAAATCAAGTACGAAAGTTGCAATAGTTGTGTTATGTTGAACAGTTTAGAACAATATTATCTGCTAGCTATATATTTCAATGTTAAAAAGTGCATCTTTGCGCCATCTAATAATGTTTTGGAATAATTTCACAGAGATTAATCAAACATGTATTTTAAGGAAGTTCTATGTTCTTTGATAAAGGTATTTATAACACCTGTGTGGGTACCTACTTTCACGTACAAGCATGTACCTCTAACCGTAATTCTACAACATTCATAAATATAACTCTACTCGCTTCTACTCGTATGTAACACCTGCAGATGTCGCTGCGATGGACTTGTCAGCATTAAATATTTGTTTGTTGTTAGTCGTGCGTTTGAATCTGTAAGTACATGTTGAATTTGAAGAAAGACAAGGTAAAAGTTACTTATTTATAGTGCATTAGACTTAGTTCTAGACCTAGACAATAAATAAATCCTTACCATAATCTTTATATTTTTCTTTAAAAAATGGTAACTAATTCATGACCATAGAAAAGATTAGAACAACAGATTTAAAACATAACAATAAACATAAACATTATAAACAACACCACACTAAATCCTTGATGCACTATAAAAATTATAATTTAACTTGAAAACTCTCACTAAACAAAATGACATTTTTTATAAACTCGTATATAAATTAATCCACAAAAATAATCCTCCTTCATTCCATAACAAGTAATTTGAGAAGTTTCGTAAAACGCGAAACATACTGCAGTAAAACCGAAAGCTGTTGAAACGTAACTAAGAGAATTAAAGATGAGTTTCATGATTTTATAAGTATCTAAAGTGAATCTAACACGTAATACAAATTCCTGAGTATAAGAATATGTGAATGATGAAGGTGATGAGCGCAGAAGTGCGTTGAATCCGTTAAACGCTAAAAATGGGAAAGTAATCGCAGTTTATGATTTGTTGCATCGTCCTTCAACTAATGTTATTAGTAGAGAAGACAGAGTTTAGCAGGTTTAACACAAACCCAATGTAAAAGAGCTGAGTGCTTGCAAGGTCGGTGAGTTCTATCTGAATTAATGTTAATGTACAACTAATGCAACTTTCTCAGTTGTATATTTGTTAGTATGGTTTAATTACTACAAATATAGGGTTAATATTCCACACACCTTCAAAATGAAAACGAAAATATGATTCATTCTTGCCTAAAGGGCTCATCCATATTTATCATCATCAATATTTCACTAGAATGAAAACAACTGCAGATTGCAAGATTTTTCGTCATTGTACTGAATGTGTTTATCCCTAAAAGCAGGTTATCTGATTCTTACCTTTACAAAAACACTATAAAACCCAATAAACATGTTGGGTTAGTTGCAGAAAACGAAAACAAACAGGCGAATTTATTAATATTATTGACTTGTACGTATATTTGTAATAAAAGTACTTCTTACATACTAATAATAAACAACCACGGTAAAAATATTCGTAATATTCATGTTCATGAAAAAACAAAATCATTCTACATCGATTTATTTCATTTATTAAAGTCTTCTAAAGATATTTAAAGCGTATCCGCATCTTCTGCTTTCATCTTGTACTTGCATTTCAACTTGTAGCTGCAGCATTCAAACAAGCACTACAATTCTCTACACTTTTTCAAGTTTTATCGTTTTACCTCGCACGTTGAAGACCAATTGACATCATAATCATGATCTAGATCAACATTTCATTGATTTGCAGGACAAACAACCAGTAACAACGATATGTCAAGTTATGTAAAATGATTTCCGATTTAAATTTAGTTTTTGGTAATTAACAACTGTTTCAAGCGTTCTTTTCGAAGAAAGCGTCAACAACAGTTAGTCGTACATAAGTACATCTTAAATTGCAACTTGCAACTGCGAATGATTTAATTCGGACGATAAGTTTAAGTTAAAAAGGTAATTTTGAGATAACAAACTTTCAGCGCACGTATTTACATGTAGTCGCATACGTTTTTGTGCTAGATACCAAAATAGGTTATTATTGAGGTTAGAACGTAATCACTCAGTGATCAAACAAAGCTATTTAATATTTCTTTGACAATGGTGAACGTGAACGCGAGCGAGATTTAGATCTAGATCGTGAATTGTGAGTTTTCGATCTTGATCTTGATCTAGACCTAGATCTATCTCTTTTATTATTTCTATTTGTATGAGGATGTGAGTGAGAATTTTTTGCATCAGTACTTTTTGCTGGAGTTGCATCCCCCCAGTCACTCAGATCATACTTAGATAAATCCCCATCATCATCATCCTCTTCCTCATCTTCTTCTTCTTCATCATCAACTCTTTTTTTCTCATTTTTTAAATCTTTTACAGCTACATTTTTCATCGGGAATCTATCAGATTCTTTACAGTTCTCGTTTCGCTTTTTCTTCCGCCCGAATTCATCATACTCGTCGTCTGAAGAATCTTCGCGCTCTTTGTACTCAACTACTCCTCTATCATTGTAACCGCCTCCAAAGCCAGTTCGTTCTTCAACTTCGCCGAATTTTGGCGCGTTGCAGACGTTACACTGCTGCCGACGCGCCCAGTTCACATTGCCGCACTTATTGCACTGCCAGTCGTCAGCGCTGAAGAGCCCCCGTGATTTTTCCGCCGCTTGTTTGCCGATTTCCTGACCGAGTTTCTTTTTCTTCTGGAAAGTTGGCGTGCGCGCTTTGGCGCAGCGGTTGCATGCGTTACGCCATGCAAAGTTGATGTTGCTGCAGTCGGCGCACGTCCAGTCACCCTCTGAAGAACCACCCTTCAATGACGGCGGGGGCGGCGGTGACGACGATAACTCCGCGTCGGACATTATCTAACAGTGCATTCAATTTGCAAGATTACACTACGGTTGGGTCGTTAGGCCGCAAAACTAGGGCATTCGCAATGTAAGACTTACTTCCTGAACTTGTGACTGAGCTTCGCAAACGTTCGAAAGTTGCGGCTTATTACTTAACTAATTAAAGAATAATATCAATTGGTAAAGCGAGTAAAACTGGTAAACATTTGTTGCGGAAGACAAACATTGTTTAAATGACAGCGCACGACAGTTAAATTAAAATGTCATCTACTTTTTGCAATGTTGACACTCCCCCGGCTCTGAAAAATCTGGAAAATAAATTATCTTGCCGTATCTTTAAACTAGATGATTAAATACCATAAATATTTAATTTTAGCATTGCTAATTGTTATTTTCCATAGTTTATTTGCATGCGTCGTACATTTGTTGAATTAACTGCTAGTAACTTTCATTTTTTTAGGTTGCATGGAATAGCGTTGCATTACTAGGTTGCCAAACTTCTACAAAACTGCACGTAAAGTTCAAGTTAAATAAAAATAAACAAATCCAAATAAAAGTTTTTACAATAATTAATAACAAACTACTAATTTAATAATAAAAATATATTTAGTATATCACTTTTATTTAAATTTATTATTTCAAAAATGTTTAGTGTTTAATTTAGTGCTTTTTAATGTTGGTAGCCCTTAGAAGTAAACCATTTTCGGCACATTCTCCGCTCGACCTGAAGCGCCGCCTGTCATGGGTTCTGCTAACGATTTCGTATAAAAAAACCTAAATCAAGAACGAGACGAGCGAGGCTTTGGCAACGTTTTTGATAATTTGCAAGCCGAACTCACCGAGGAAGCGTGTCGCGGATTTCGGTGCACGGTGAGAGCAACTCGCGCTTGCTTGAAAAATTCGTAGTAGTGTAGTGCCGCCCCGTTGCCAGCATTTGCTCCACCACAGATCGCATAATGGCAGCCAGCGATTCGGCAGGCGACGATTCGCTTTACCCGATCGCCGTACTTATCGACGAGCTGAAAAATGAAGATGTGCAGGTAAGCCACTTATCGCTCATTCACGCTCAGTCCAATCATTATTTTCTTTAATCTTATCTCCAATAATGCATCATACACACATACTCATCCACACCTACACAACCTAATAACATTGAGCATGATTACATATTTGAATGTTTTAAATTTGTCTAGTTGCGGTTGAACTCCATTAAGAAGCTCTCGACGATTGCGCTGGCGCTCGGCGTCGAACGCACCCGCACCGAGCTCATTCCATTCCTCACAGAGACTATCTATGATGAAGATGAAGTACTCCTTGCACTTGCTGAACAGCTTGGCAACTTCACCGTGTTGGTCGGCGGGCCGGAGCACGCCTACTGCCTGCTGCCGCCGCTGGAGAGCCTCGCCACAGTGGAGGAAACTGTGGTCAGGGATAGGGCTGTTGAGTCATTGAGAAATGTGGCAGTGCAACATAATCCTGGAGATTTGGAGACACATTTCATCCCATTGGTACTCAGATTGTCTTCTGGAGATTGGTTCACATCTAGAACATCTGCTTGTGGACTTTATGCTGTAAGTGATTCATCCTTTTTTCTTTTATGTGAGGTGTACAAAGTTTTACAATCAGTTTGTTTAAATGTTTTAATACATTAAATGCACTTGAATGTTGTGGTTAGACATGTTTTTACAGTTTGCTAATAATTCTATTATGGAAATTTTATGTTTTTGTTATTGTTATATAGGTTTGTTATCCACGCGCCTCAGCCACAATTAAAGCTGACCTACGTTCACATTTCCGCACCTTATGCACAGATGACACTCCGATGGTGCGACGTGCGGCAGCTGGAAAATTGGGCGAATTAGCGCGTGCCGTTGAATTGGAGTACGTGAAATCTGATCTTATCCCGATGTTTGTGAATTTGGCCCAAGATGAACAAGTATAATAATCTAATCCTCTATATATACTTTTTTATTGATTATTTTTTGTTATTGTCAGGACTCAGTTCGTTTGTTGGCTGTTGATGCTTGTATTACGATCGCTTCTCTTTTGGAACAAGAGGATGTTGAACAGTTAGTAATGCCTACTCTTCGTCAAAGCACAGGTAATTAATTAAAAATATTCGTATGATGTTTAATTTTACTTATTGATTTATTGTGTACTATAGGAGATACATCATGGAGAGTGCGCTATATGGTTGCCGATCACTTCACCAATCTTCAAAGCGCTGTCGGCGACGAAATCACACGCACCGACCTAGTGCCGGCCTTCCAGAGTCTCTTAAAAGACACCGAGGCTGAAGTACGCGCCGCGGCTGCTAACAAAGTGCGCGATTTCTGCGCTAACCTCGGTAAGCCCCATCAGGAAAGCATCATCATGACGAACATCCTGCCCTGTGTGAAGGAGCTCGTCGCCGATCCTAACCAGCACGTTAAATCCGCTCTCGCCTCGGTCATCATGGGCCTTAGTCCGATTCTTGGCCGTCACAACACAGTCGAGCACCTTCTCCCGCTCTTCCTTTCACAGTTGAAGGACGAATGCCCCGAGGTGCGTCTCAATATCATCTCAAACCTTGACTGCGTCAATGAGGTGATCGGTATACAGCAGCTCTCCCAATCGCTGCTGCCAGCCATCGTCGAACTTGCGGAAGACTCCAAGTGGCGTGTGCGCTCTGCAATTATCGAGTACATGCCATTGCTGGCTGGCCAGTTGGGCAAGGAGTTCTTTGACGAGAAGCTCAACGCTCTTTGCATGACGTGGCTTATGGATCACGTCTTTGCCATTCGTGAGGCCGCCACAATGAACCTGCGTAAATTGGTCGATCAGTTCGGCGCTGAGTGGGCGGAAAACACTATCATCCCTAAAGTTTTGGCCATGTCGCGCGACCAGAACTACCTGTACCGCATGACCTGCCTGTTTTGCATTAACGTGCTTGCGGAGGCGTGCGGTAGCGACATTTCTACGCGCCTACTCATGCCAACCGTACTGAGTATGGCTGGCGATAAAGTCGCCAATGTGCGCTTCAACGTCGCTAAAACACTGCAGAAGATTGCGCCGCAGCTAGACCAGGCCGTTATCCAACCGCAGGTGAAGCCAGTACTCGACAAGCTGAACGGCGACGCCGACATCGACGTCAAGTACTCAGCGTCGGAGGCCATCACTGGGATCGCAGGTAGTAGCACGGCGCAACCGCCAATCCCGGCACCCATTGCGGCGCACTAATAATGATGAAAATATTCTTTCGTCTGTTGCAGCCCTAGGTTGAACGAAAACTTGTTGATCGGGCGAACACACTGCATTTGTACACATAAATTTTCTAAAAACAAAAAACAGACAGATACAAATCCTCATTGATGCGACATACATAAAACAAACATAAACATAAAAAGCAAAAGCAAAAACAACCCAATAATCAACAACTCGTAGTTAGTTATAATTATTGTTTTAAGTTACTATGTCATGTAATCGAAATTTGAATTTTGAGTTGAAAACAAATGATGGACCTGGGATAAATACGCCGTAGAGAGAACATGCTAAAATGCGCTGTAATCGAGCGGTGCGCCGAGCAAAACCGGTGTTAGGGAAAATATGGTGATAAAAAGAAAACGTGTATAGATAATTTTTTTTATTGCTATATAATCGTGTCTCTTGTCTTGGTTCTCGAATAATTTGTAGGTTTTCGTTGTTCACACAAACACACCTTATTTTTGGGCACCTTTTGTATCGCGAAACGATTTTATTTATTGTAATGTATTAATTTTAGGGGAAACGTAATAACCATAAATTTATCTAAACATGATGGCGCATTCAGCGCGGCGACACGTGCAAAGTGTGGCATTGTGCATGCAAATTGACGATTGCTACTTAAACAAGTTATTTACTAAAACTGATATAAAAAATTGCATCGATTGTATAGTCGTAGTGCGACCCCCGATTGAATTGATTTTTGTTTCGTCGATTGCGATTGCGCCCGCTTGACTTGGAGCGCAGGAGGGCAACAAATACAGCACACACGACACACATGCGAAAGTCAGCATCGTTGAACATCTTTTTTTCGGCGACTTGGCGGCGATGAGTGTATAATCTTTTCTTTTGCATTGATGTGTATACAAAATGTTTGTTGATTTGGCGGCCATCATTCTATCTTACAAAATAAAATTTTATATAAAATTTAAAATCCGGTATTGTTCGGGGTGCTGTTTCGTGTTGGGGTTTTACGTTGATGTATTTTGGGTTGTCTAAAACAATGAATAAGTTGGACAAGCGAGAAAAGTTCCGTATTTCTGTTTTGGAGGTTTCGAGGTAACGACACCTGCAACAGAATTTAAGTATAGAAATTTTACATTATTTCCATAAATAACTTTTGTGATTAACTTCCTGAATAGCGACACAAATGGCATATTTCTGTTTCGAGTTGTTTAGAACTGCGGTGAAAATTGAACTTCAGCTCTTATCTCTATTTTGTACCACCTTGTTGTCGTCTAGATGGCGCGCTCATAGCTGCGTGCTATCCTTGCGCGTTTGATCTTCTGTTACGAGCCGGAAGCGCGCGTGGCTCAGTCGGCTGAAGTTGATTTGGTTGGTTGTTTCGATTCTCGATTAGTGGATGTGCTTTTCCTAAAACGTCGGTCAACATCTATGAGGTAAGCATTGCAATTGAAAACTAACCGAATTTTCATTGCGAGCATGTTTTTTCTCCCACAAAATTTGATATAGTAGTGCGAATTTATTTAAATATTCTTTTCCTTCTTGTTTCAGCACTTGCATTTAATGCGGGTGAGCGTAATATTCTGGTAAGTTTGGTTTTAAATTTATATTTCTAAAATTTACGCGTCAAATCTATCTAACTAAATTGTTTTGCTTTATTCTCGATGTGCGCTTTCGGTGTTTGTGTATAAACAACTTTTTTCATTGCTTTCATCACATTGAAATATCGCAAGATTTTTTTCATGAAATGCGTTGCTGCCCGCCGAAATTCCGCGTTAAATGTCTGAAAAACGTGATCAAACTTTGCCCTGTTTCGCAGTTTTTCAAAATATGCCGGCCCAAACCGATTTATATATTTGTTTGCTTATAAACAGTTATATTCGTATGCTATTTTGTATTTAGTAGGCGCAAGCGTAAACTTATTCCTCATTCTTTTATTTTATCAGGTAACCTCGGCGGTGGGTTGAGTTCGCCACACTTTACGATAGTCGATACCATTTAATTTCAGACGCTATGACCTATGAAGAGATATATTCAGGTTTCCTTTACTCTGAGGATTTTTGGTCTTGCTTCAAAATGTAAGTAATACATTGATAATACAATGATGCTCTAATAATTCTCTCTTTTCTCATATTAATTTTTCTTCTCTTCAGTTATTGACGATGCCCTGGAGGCGAATCATGTTTTTCCCAAAACCCCACTTATACTCTCTAAACTTATGTTAGTAAACCATCCGAATTCAATGCTAAATTTTTAAAAACATATCCATGTAGAGCCAAAAACAGATTCTGGAGTTTATTTATTAACATGTGAGGCTTGCCCAAAAGTATATGTTGGATAAACAGGGAGGTCCTTCAATGCCCGCTAAAGAACACGCGCACAGTTTCAAAACCAACTCAACACAATCTTCATACTCAGAGCATTTATTAAAACATAATCATATATTGCATCCTAACTTTTAAATTTTAGATAGGTATAAAAAGAGCACGAAATTAAACCTACTACAATGTTTGGAAATCAACAATTATAGCCCAAAGAGATTATTGTTAAAAGATCAGGTAGAAGTTAACAAATCCTCACTGCTTAATTTACACCCTTCAAAATAGTATCCCCACCACTTCTATAAATAGTTTAATTTTGCACTTTCACTTTTAATATTCATCTGCCTGATGATGCCAGAGTGTGGTGAAACTTGTTGCAATGTGTAACAAGTTTTGTGAAACCTTTAAGGTTTGTCCTTTCTTCTTCTTTCCTGCTAATCAACCATCGTGGACCACGCGAACATCATTGTTGTTGTCTCTCACCCGTGCTTTTTCATCCTTTCTGACTGATTCCTTCTTTGTTCTTCCGACAATCTGGACGGACAATAAAACAAATTAATACCACCATAAATATTATACATAATACAGCAAAATAAAATCAAGAAAAAATAGACGAAATACTCACAATTAAATACAAAATATAATTAAGGAAAATAAACAAACTGATAAAAAATCACCATAAAGTACAACCACGGGACCGACACATAAGAAGCAACAACTAATTCACCAACCCAACAAATATCAAGTTTAACGAAGAGTTACTGACGGTGCCTCCGAGACGAAACATTTATAACTCAAATACAGTTGTAATCTTTTCACGTTATGTAAATAACATTATATTAGTTTTCATTGACTTTCACACAGGAAGACTGAAAATATGCCAAGTGTTTAACAATGTGTTTTTTAGGTTTAAGTTTATGATGTTGCCCAAGAAAAGTGACATGACCCTGCTTCCTCTTTTCACCGGTAAATCAAGTCGTTCGAGGCAATTAAATGAGTAAATTAATTAAAAATAAAATAAGAAGAGATATCGAGTAAGCCAACTATCGCGATATCAGAATATGAATGGAATAGTAATTTGGAAATAGTTAATTGCACATAACTTGGCTGAAGGATATAATTATACATATAATTCGGACAAATCGGGGCAAAACTTGAATGCGTTTTTGAGACAGTTACCGCAGAATTTCTAAGGGGCGGCAAACATGCATCGTTTAGAATTACTCTTATGCTACAAGTATATCAAGGGGCCCAAGATTTGTAAAAATAATTCTTCTGATGTGCCGATTTTCGAGCAATTTTTAGTGCAATACTTATTTCTTCTGTGCTGTTTTAATTGTACTTAATTTTATATAACTTAAGTCAATTAATAACTTAATTATTATTAATTCTCACATTCTTCAAAAAAATCTTAAAAAGTAAATTTTTAAGGGCTTCTTAACTTTCTTTCATCTCAACATCAACATATCTTCTGCTCCACTACAAATAGGATCTCTTGCGCTATCTCTAGCACAGATTTCGCAGTCATCCGACTGATCCTCGCGTTCATCGACTTCTATTAAATAATCCAAAGGTTTTCTCGACCGCCATTTGCATGAGTGTATATCACAACAGTCGTTATCAGTCGTTAATGAAGAAACATTCATTGAACGTTGAGAATCTCGTTTTTTATGAAGTGGTGGTTTGGTTTGTGATTCTCTTCTGGGCGGAACACGCGGTGCGTGCTGGGTGTTGTGTTTCATGGATGAGGATGAATTTAAAGAAGGTCTATATGGAACATTGTGTCGATTAGCTGCGCCGAATCTATTTTTCATTAGGGATTCTCGTCTGGTTGAAATTGGTGGAGGACGAGAACTCGGATGAGATGTAAGTTGTTGCAGATTAGTCGCTTTTAGTAATACACTTGTTTCTGCACTTGCATCATCATCTGATTCGTTGGAATTTTCAGCATGATGTTCAAGGTCCTATTAAGAAAAATATTGTTACGATAAATTAATAAAATCCAAGGGTTGAAATTTGTTATAATTTCACATCGTGATAATTAATTAATTTTGCAATTTATCACAGGGTGAGATCACGTGGACATAATGTGGGACTCCGTGTCCAACATCTACCACTTATCCGTCCCGAGCCCCCAACACTACATTTAACAAAGAATTAATATAGACATACATATAACTTACAAACATTATCTCAGATAATGTCCTTCCACGCTTTTCAGCCAAACAATCTCTGGTAAATAACCATCCAGGTGCCTTACCCAGACAATTCCGCATAATTACTGCATTGCGACATGACGTATACAAGAATCTTGAGATAATTACTATACCCAACTATTAAAAAGAAAAATAAATACACTTTATGCCTCAAAAAAAAGAAATAACGTAGTTACTTGTATAAAAAGCAAGATGACACATATAGCCAGTATTATAACTAAACACATTTCGATTGGATATCGTATAATTTCTAAACATCCAGTGCGATATATACTCATTTCCGTTACTTCAGGTTGCTCCTGCCACATGTGCACAGAATCAATCTGTTGAAGCGGATCGTGGAAACATTGCATTGGAAAATCAATATCGCAACAACTCCAAGGAATAATAGGAAGATGCAAATGATCTTTACTCAACAATAAACTAAAATCGGTTGATAACTCAACTAAAAACAACGCAATTATGCTTTAACTTACGATTTTACCGTAGAACTATCTACTTTAATACGATATTTGTCCAACCATGATATCATGTACCAATCTTTATAATCGTTGACGCCACAACAACGCAGCGAAAACTGCCACTGATCAATTGTGTGTTTCCACAATGGATCTGCTAAATAATGCCTCATACCTTTTTCCATTGAATGTCGAATAGATCTGACGATGTGTTTCGATATTCTAACAATTAATCCAGCTAATATTAAAAGATCGAGGATGGTGTTACAGCAAATTATCAACCATAAATATAAATTCCTTTTTGTACTTCTCCTAATATAATAAAAACAATTAATAACTGTTTAAATATATTTTGTAAATAATTAATATTTACTTGTGTGCTTTAACAAAACAAAGCTGCACCAATTTAATCCCAATCAGATATTGTATGATAATATGTGTTCCAAATATGGCGAACACACTAAAAACAAACTGAATTTCTGCTTTCTCAGCGTACAGATTTTTCGTTACTGCAAGGCAGATGTAAATTGATCCGATGGTCATTATACAGCCTGCCAGAACTTGCAAAATGTTCAACGCGATAAAAACGTACGCTAAATATAATCGAGCTTGATAAGAAAATATGAATATCATAAAATTCTTCATTGTAATGTATTTTGAAGGATTACTAACGTCAAATAACTGTCAGATTTAAATTAGTTGAAAACTAGGTTAGATTAGGTTATATTTTCAAAATGGTGGAAATTCTAGAAGGCGTGGTACCGCGTTATTAAGTAACTAGGGTAACCAGAAACAAAATAAACAAAATTATATTGATCAAACAAACAGAACACGCAGCAGGAGAGAGATTGTGTGGCTCGCGAAATATTTCCGGTTTGATATTAATTTGTATTCGTAAATGAAAAGTGAATACGCAAATTAATACTCAAAATGGCCGGTGTATTGTTTGCGGACGATGTGGAAGAAGAAAAGGATTCATTATTCTCTGTAGATGATGAACAACAATTATGTAAGTGTTGCAGAATTTATATTTTATATTAAATATTTATTTTTAAATAATTCTTTAAAATTTAGTGGGCACTGATGAAAGTGCAAGATTAATCCAAGAATCAACTGAACCCGTTCCGGACTACACAGACGTAGAATTAGACCAACTGGTCAGTTTCGTAAAGCGTATGACAACACTTTACGATCTACGTCCAACCGATTGGAATGAACAAACCGACGACGCTATAAGGACTTATTTTCTAGAACCAAGTAATCAAGTTCTATGCGTTTACTTTGGCGGGAATACCCTTGTTGCTGTAAACGGATTTCCCAACGAGGTCTACGAAGATCTCACCTATTTCATTCGAGATAATCACAAAGAAATCTTTCGCGTTGACAATTTTCATGATAATATCACTTTCGGTACTATTAATGGAACCGTAGAAGGGACATTATTAGAATTATTGGAAAATGTCTACGCACCGATATTTTTCAACGCCAAATCATGGCCTGATAGTGTCAAAAGTGACTTTTGTGACCGACTACACAGTTTTCTATCGAAGTTAACTGATGTATACTACAAAATGTTAGGGTTTACAGTTTTGTACATCCCTAAAGAAGGATTAAACCTTACTATGGAAGAAGCTACGAAGGATAAAGAACTCGTAAAAAGACTGGAAGGTGTGGTTGTTTACTGGACCAGGCAGATACGAATTGTCTTACAGGATCATGACCAAAGAAAAAATGAAGTTGATTTGACTCCTATTGATGAGCTAGAACTATGGATATATAGATGTAAGTGTAATTTTAGTTATCGAATTAAATATTAAACTCTTATTTCTCTCTTAGATCAAAATTTATCTGGTGTAAGTCAACAACTTACTAACAAATACCTAAAGAAGACATGTGATACTTTAAACGCAGTACAATCATTGTACGTCAAACAATTTTTGACTGTGGTTGATGATATTGACGGAAAAATGGAGGAAGCTAAATCCAACATTGAATATCTTCAAATTTTACGACCATCTTGTGAAGATCTCAATAAATGCACAAATGCTTTACAGATACCTGAAAAACTACCGAGAATCTTCTCACAAATTCGATATATATGGCTACACAGCAAATTTTTTAATACTCCTTCACGTATTATCATATTACTACGAGCGTTGACTACGCAAGTCATATTAAAATGCACCGAATTTATTGATTTGAACTTGGTTTTCAAACAGAAATCAACTAAAGCTGCGATTCAGTTATTTAACACTTCATTAGAGTGTTGTAATCGGTATATTACTATTTACGAAATGGTAAATATTAATTTTATAACAAAATTTATAGAAATTAATTAATTATGTTTTAGATATGCAGTGCTCATACAAGATTAACAGATGTCCCCTGGGAATTAGACCGTCAACCAATTCTAAGCCATCTCGATTCATTCATGCAAAGATTAAAGGATATGATTGAAATTTGCGGGACAATGATAACTTTTGCTCGCTATGATGAAACTGAAGACATTCCAAAACCGAAATTTACTGGAACAAGAGCCTTTGAGTTTGAAAATTGGTGTGAAAAAATAGAAGACATGTTCGTTGAAGCACTCGACACTATTGGCGAAGTAAAAGATGTTATTCTCGCCGTGCAATCAGCACAATGGTACGATGAAATCCTAGTGTTTCGTAGTAAAATGAAAGATATCGAAATAGTTATCGAGAATTTAGTCAACAGTGTATTCGAACAGATTCCCACTGTTGATGAAGGTGTACAGGCTTTAGCAGCTTTTTATAATTATGCGCAACGTCCATCACTACGACCATTATTTGAAAGAAAAACAATGTATGTTTATAATTTATTTAAAGCAGAGATACAAGATACTAAAGCTGATTTAATTGCTGAGAAGGAAGAATATCCTCTGAATATGCCATATTATGCAGGAAGAGCAATAATGGCAAATTTAAAAGGCAATCGTTTGGAAGTTTTGAGAAATGTTTTGAAAAATGCGCATTGGATGATACCTTGCAGTATAGCCGATGAAGTTTTTCAACAATATGATAAACTAATGGCTGGTATTCATGAGTTTATCTTGAGTTGTTATAGAAAATTTGTTGAGTCGATTGATGACGATGTTCAAGGAAAATTAGAAAGACCATTGATGGCTCGCAGTACAGTTAAACCTGGCCTATTGGAATGCAACTTAGATCCGTAAGTTTTCAACATTTTTTTTTCAAATATTTTTATAAAATATTCATAAATATAATTATAATAGATCTTTGCTGAGCATGTATCATGAAGTAAGATACTTTCACCTCTTAAAATATGAAACCCCATCGATTTGCTCCCAAGTCTTCAATAAATTCTCAACCATTCACTTTGTTTTTGAAAATGTGATCCAAGTCGTCAAAGATTACAATAAACTGCTAGCTTCTTTATCTGAAGACGAGCGAGTTCTGTTCAAGCAACTTATAACTAACGTAGAGAAGAAAATAGCACCAGGTTTATCAAAGTTGACTTGGATCAATGAAATCGTCGATTCGTACATAGCAGAATGCTCTGCATGCACTGCAGATCTTCAAGATTTCGTAGATGATTACAAAACATGTAATCTTGAAATTGTTGCAATTTGTGAGAAGATTTGCGATACTTCTGTGGTACAAATTCAAACAAATTATTTATATACACTCGATGAATTAAGAGTGCATATGTCGACGTATTTGGAACAATCTGTTGATCAGTTCTTAGATTATATCAGACAAATATTAAATTATTTGATTATAGTCTATGAAGGTTTTGAGCAACATATTCAAAACATGTCCGATCAATGGATCAAATACATAATGCGTTTTGATATTCTGTTAGAAGAATCTTTGAAGATCAGTGTAAGGAATTCAATGGAACATATTTATGAGAGTTTGCATGGAGATGGAATTATCGGACCTAATGCTGTCTTACAATTGAATGCATTATTAAAAAATAATAGGGTAAGTTTAAATAAAAATCAGTACTTTGATAGCTTCTATTTAATGCGTTTCGGTTTAGATTGTGTTTGATCCTTCAATCACAATGGTTGCAAATCATATGGCTAATGTTTTATATGAGATAACAACGGAAATGCAAGCTGTACCAAGGATCTGTGAAAAATTTCACATCGAAGGTCCTGGCATCCAAGCATTTCACCTGCTTTTAGCTACCGAGTCAGAATGTGTCAATTTGCAAGTGTGGATTAATAATGGTGAGTGATACTTTTACGTTAGAAATCATAAAATATTGTTAAATTTCTATTTGAATAGAGGTGAAAGTAAATATTGCAAAGATACAAGAATATATTAAAATGTGGGATCCATTCCGTGATCTTTTCGAAGTCGATAAAGATAAATTTATCGAACGATACGAAGCAAATAATCCAGACGCGACCGATTTCGATGCGAATATCGCTCGCTATACAGAAATGGCAAACAACTGCCAAGTGATTGAAAATATCACAAACGTCTACTTTATTTTAATTGATTGCTCTGCTCTTAAAAAGGCTATAATTGAGCATTGTTTCGAATGGCAACTAAAGTTTACTACATTGTTATACAACAAAACAACGACTATGATTTTACATGTTTACGATTATTGTGCTTACCACTCAGAAAAGTACGTCTTAGTATGCTTAATTTATTAGGTGTCTTAATTAATATTATTAATATTTGTAGAATTGCTTATGTACCGCAAAATTTAAGCGAAATGTCATATGCAATTGATTATTACAACCGCTTAATTGAAGAAGTGCCCATAGAATCGGGCAAATTTCAACCTATTTATGACCAATCCGATATATTAGATAAATATGGAACAGAATTAGATCCGGAAGTTAAAAAACAAATGAGAAATATTCAAACCGAATGGGATTTGTATATCAGCGCTTTGGAGGAGGCTGATAAGATGATACAATTTACTAAGGTAGTGATTCCTTGCGAAACTGAATTAAAAAAGTTACAAAAATAACATACCATACCTAATAATCCTTATATTCCTATCCTAAAATCATTTTTTCCTTTCTAAAATAACAGAATAGTTTCCGAAATAACCTGCTTGAAGATGCAGAAGATATTAAGCGAGACGCTCAAGATTTGTTGGATACTTTCATGACCCAGGGACCTTTTAGTTCGGATGTAAAGTGCGCTGATGCATTGCAATATCTTGCAAATACTCGAAAACAAATTGCCGCGATTCGAAAAAGAGAATCACAATGTAAAGCTAATTTGGGAATATTTGATTTGAGCTTGATTGAATCACTAGATCTCATTGCTTTAGAAAAGGTTAGTATAATTTTTAATATTTTTGTAAAATTATTATAAAGTTGTTTATAGGAATTAGCTGTGTGCGAAATTGTATGGCAACTTACAGAAGAATGGGAAAAAGCGTGGAATAATTATAAAAGTGGTGAATTTTGGAATATACGCACTGAAGATATGGAAGATTTAGCACAGACTTTATTCAGAAAGTTAACTAAACTCGCTCGAGAGCTTAAAGAAAAGAAGTAATCAAAACACAAATATAATAAATTATAAATCTAATTTTAATATTTATTTATAGTTGGTCAATAGTGGAATATACGAGAAGTCGTGTAGATGCTTTCAGGCGAACTCTACCCCTTATTGCTGATTTGAAGAACTCGGCGATGAGGTCAAGACATTGGGATAGAGTACGTGATGCTATGAAAGAAGATTTTGACCAAAATTCACCCTCATTCAACTTGGAAGCGATTATTTCTATGAAAATGATTGACTATGCTGAACAAATCAACGAAATATCTAACGCCGCAACTATGGAATTACAAATTGAGAAAGGTCTCAAAGCAATTGCGGAAACTTGGAAGTTTGTCATTGTTGAAATGGCACCGTATAAAAATTTCTATCGTATAAAATCTGTAGATGATTGTTTTCAAATGTTGGAAGATAACATGCTTCAATTGTCAACAATGAAAAGTACTCGTTTTGTTGAACCATTTGCAAAAGAAGTGGATACTTGGGAACGAGCATTGAGCTATATTATGGAGTGTTTGGAGACTGGCCTTAATGTTCAAAGACAATGGTTTTATCTAGAGGTATGATATTCTTTCATAATACTAAGAACATTACCTATTGAAAATGTTTTTTTTTAAGAATATTTTTGGTGGTGAAGATATTCGTAGACAACTTCCAAAAGAAACTAAAGAGTTTGATGCTCTTACAAATGAATGGAAAGAAATATCAATAAGAATTGCAAATGCAAAAAATGCATTGAAAGCAGTCAATTATTTGCCGGTACCACAATTGCTCACGAAATTTAATAAAATGAATGATAAACTGGAATCAATCCAACGATCACTGGAAGCATATCTAGAAAAGAAGCGTCATATTTTTCCAAGATTCTATTTTATATCCAATGATGATATGTTGGAGATTTTGGGAAATGCTAAAAAACCTGAAGTTGTACAACCACATTTTAGAAAGTTATTTGATAACTTGGTCAAACTAAAACTACAAAAAGTATAATAAATCAAATAAATATTAAAAAATAAAAACTTAAACTTTCTTAAACCTAGAATCCTGTTACTACTAAAACGGAAGCCCTTGGTATGTATTCCGACGATGGTGAGTATATGGAATTCCCAAAGTTGTTGATTCTTGAAGGGCAAGTAGAATCTTGGCTTAATGATATTGAAAGCAGTATGAGATCAACATTGAAAACCGAATTCAAACCATGTCGAGCAACGTTAAAGAAAATGTTGAATAAACGTGATAAATGGTTGTTGACCTATTGTGGGCAGTTGTGCAACGCTTGCAGTCAAGTAATCATATCAATTTACCAAATAAACATAAACATAAAGTAAACAATTCTTATCTATAGATGCAATGGACTACAGATTGTACACGTGCTTTGGTCCACTGTAAACTAACAGAAAGCAAAAAACCTTTAAAGCGTTTACGAAAGAAGCAAAACCGAATTTTGCTCAAACTCTCCGAGTTAAGCCGAAGAGAACTTCCAATTTTGCAAAGACTTAAAGCAAATTCATTGATTACAATTGAAATACATGCAAGAGATGTGATTGATCGCATGTACAAAGCCAGTAAGTAAAAATTTGTAACGTTTAAGTAACTTTTTTTTAACACGTACGAATTGGTACGCATTAGATTGTATGGATACCGGTGCTTTTGAGTGGTTTTCCCAACTGCGCTTCTATTGGGACCGTGAAATTGATGATTGCATCATCCGTCAAACCAACACTCACTTTCTCTACGGATATGAATACAATGGAAACTCTGGCCGTCTTGTAATCACTCCATTAACGGATCGTTGCTATATTACTCTCACAACTGCTCTTCACCTCTTTCGGGGAGGATCACCCAAAGGTCCTGCTGGTACCGGCAAAACCGAAACCGTGAAAGATCTCGGCAAAGCCATGGGAATGTGGGTTATCGTAAATAATTGCTCTGAAGGTCTAGATTACAAAAGTATGGGTAAAGGATTTTCGGGTCTTGCCCAAACTGGTGCCTGGGGATGTTTTGACGAGTTCAATCGTATTAACATTGAAGTGTTATCTGTAGTAGCACAACAGATTATGTGTATATTGGCAGCGGTCTCGCAAAAACTAACATCGTTTGTTTTCGAGGGAATTGAAATTAATTTGAAACTAACTGTCGGTATTTTTATTACCATGAATCCCGGTTATGCAGGAAGAACGGAATTACCTGATAATTTAAAGTCTATGTTTAGACCAATTTCAATGATGGTGCCGGATACTGCAATTATTGCTGAGAATACCCTGTTCAGTGATGGTTTTCAAAACGCAAGAATATTAGCGAAAAAAGTGTTTACTTTATATCAATTATCTACAAGACAGCTAAGTAAACAAGATCACTACGATTTTGGTCTACGGTCAATGGTAGCCCTTTTAAGATATGCCGGTAGAAAACGGAGACAATTCCCAAATGTCCCTGAAGATCAAATTGTTTATCTTGCAATGAAAGATATGAATATAGCAAGATTTACCTCTGACGATCTTCCTTTATTTAATGGTATCATGAGTGATATCTTCCCTGGCGTATCATTGCCCACTGTAGAATATGAAGATATGACCACTGCTATTAAAAAAGAGTTTGCGCTTGCTGGTTTACAACCGATTGAAAGCGCTATTACAAAAGTTATACAACTTTACGAAACTAAAAACTCTAGACACTCAGTAATGATTCTTGGGAGATCTGGCACAGCTAAAACAGCCACATGGAAGGGTCTAAGAGATTCAATGACCAGATTGAAGAAGGAAGGTAAAGCTGGATGGAATGCAGTAGTGGAATACCCTATCAATCCAAAAGCCTTAAATTTGGCGGAACTCTATGGTGAATATAATCTCAGTACAGGAGAATGGACTGATGGTGTGATCAGTGCGACAATGAGAGCTACTTGTGCTGATGAAAACCCTGATGAGAAATGGATATTATTTGATGGTCCAGTAGATGCCGTATGGATTGAAAACATGAACAGTGTAATGGACGACAATAAAATCCTAACACTCATCAATAGTGATCGAATTACGATGCCTGCGCAAGTATCTTTATTATTTGAAGTTGGTGATTTGACTGTGGCTTCTCCTGCGACTGTAAGTCGATGTGGTATGGTTTACAATGATTATAAAGATTGGGGATGGCAACCATTTGTTGCGTCATGGATTCAAAGAGTTGAATATCGCGGTGCTGATTATCAAGCAATTGTAAGTACATACATTCATCAAAAACTATATCTAGATACTATTTTTTAAATCAGATGAAACAATATTTCAATTACTACCTCCAACCACTTTTGGACTACAAACGGCTCCATTGTGAAGAAACAGTTGCTTGCACCGAATTAAATTTAATTGCGTCCATGTGTAGACTTCTGGATTTATTTGCAACCAAAGAAAATGGTATTGATACTATCATGGAGGATCAGTTTGAAGATATGAGCAAAATTTGGTTTCTTTTTTGGTAAATTTAAGAAAACTTTCATTTGATTTATAATTAATTTTTCTTTTACTGAAAATTTAGTTTGATATGGTCTGTTTGTGCTACTGTTGATGATGTTGGACGTAAAAAATTAGACACTTACATTCGAGAACGTGAAGGTGTCTTCCCTTTAAAAGATACCATCTATGAATATTATGTAGATGTCAAAAATAAGTCTTTCATGTCCTGGGAAGAAAAATTAAATCTTGGATGGCGATATGAAGACAAGTAACTTTTATCAATCAACATAAACTGTATATATCTTAACATTAATATTTTTAGAATACCATTTTATAAGATTACAGTTCCTACAGTTGACACAGTCAGATATGAATTTATTCTGAGTCATCTTCTTGCAAAAGGACACCCTGTATTACTGGCAGGACCTGTAGGTACTGGGAAAACCTCAACAGCATATTCTGTACTCAGTAGTGTCAGTAAAGAAAAGTATGTTATCTTAAATATAAATATGTCTGCACAAACTTCTTCAATGAATGTCCAAGAAGCAATCGAAGGACGTATAGAAAAACGCACCAAGAATTCATATGCTCCACCAGCTGGTAAATTCATGATTACCTTCTTAGACGATTTAAATATGCCAGCTAAAGAAATGTATGGATCACAACCACCTCTGGAATTATTAAGACAGTGGGTAGACTATGGTTTCTGGTATGACAGGCAAAAACAATGGAGGAAATATATTCAGGTACTTATTTGGTACCAAATTATTCAAGTAAAAAGTTCATGATTAAAATTTTATAGAATATGTTTATAATGGCTGCTATGGGTCCACCTGGTGGTGGTCGTAATGTAATCTCGGAACGCTTCCAAAGTAAATTTAATTTAATAAACATGCCGTTCCCAGCTGAAACCACAATATGCCAAATTTTTGGTACCATGATCATGCAACACCTTGGCGATTTCTATGATGATGTTAAAGGTATTGCAAGAACTATCACCGAGGCTACAATTGACCTATACTTCAATGTTATCGCAAAAATGTTACCGACGCCAACAAAGACTCATTATTTATTCAATCTAAGAGATATCTCACGAGTATTTCAAGGAATGTTGCGTGCACATAAAGATATTGCAAACAGTAAATATTTTATATTGAAACTATGGATCCATGAGTGTTTCCGGGTGTATTCTGATCGTCTTATTGATGAAAAGTAAGATTTTATTACATTATCAAACCCAGAGAAAAATATAATTATACTTTTATTTAAATTTAGAGATCGTGAATGGTTTAAAGAACAAATAAACGAACAACTCGGCCGGTATTTCGAAATGACTCTACATTCAATCTGCCCGAATAAAGAGGTACCACCATTTGGTGATTTCATGCATCCATTTGGCCTCTACGAAGATTTTAATGATATGAACGTGTTGAGAACTCACATAATGGGCCAAATGGAAGAGTACAATGCATCCCCGGGTGTAGTCCGCATGGATTTAGTACTTTTCGAAGATGCTATCAATCATATCTGCCGTATAGTGCGGGTAGTATCACAACCTCGCGGAAATATGTTACTAATCGGCATTGGAGGTAGTGGAAGGCAATCAGTATCACGAATAGGTGCTTACATAGCTGAATTAAACACGTTTCAAATCAGTGTTACAAGATCATACAAAGTGTATGAATTTAAAGAAGACTTAAAGAAACTTAACCAGTTAACTGGCATAGAAGGTAAAGGTACATCATTCCTTTTTAATGATACACAAGTAATGGATGAGAGTTTCCTGGAAATTATCAACAATATGTTGAGTAGTGGAGAAGTAGCGAATTTATATAAACCAGATGAGTTTGAAGATGTTAAGACAAAACTATACAATGCTTTAGTGAAGTATAACATTACACAAACAAACGAAGAAATTTATTTATTCTTCATCAGTCGAATAAGAAGTAATCTCCATATTATACTTTGTATGAGTCCGATTGGTGAAGCTTTCCGTAATCGCCTGCGTCAATACCCTGCTCTTGTTAATAGTACAACAATAGATTGGTTTATGGACTGGCCAAAAACAGCCTTACTGGAGGTAGCCAACAAGTATATCGCTGATGTAAACTTTGTTGAGACTATCACTGGAGAAGATACCGTTCATACTCGAGAATCGCTTGTTATGTCAAGTCAAGAAAGACTCCGTAATGCCGTTGCAGGTATTTTTGCAACAGTCCATAGTAACGTAGCTTTCTATGCGAAAAAAATGAGTGAAGAACTAAAACGTCATAGTTATGTAACACCGGTGAATTATATTGAATTAGTAGGAGGATACAAAAGAATGTTGGATGATAAACGATTGGAAACTTCTTCACAAGCGAATAAACTACGCAGTGGTTTATGGAAAATTGAAGATTGTCGTTCCAAAGTTGAGACTATGTCTGTTGAACTAGCTGAAGCACAAGTAAAAGTTCAAGAGTTCCAAGCGGAGTGTGATGAATACATGGTGAAGATTGCATCACAACAGAAAGATGCCGATGAGCAAGCGAAACAAGTCCATGCGACCAGTCTTAAAATTGGCGAAGAAGAAGTTGTTTGTAAGAAATTAGCAGATTTAGCTCAGGCTGATTTGGATGAAGCTATGCCTGCCTTAAATGAAGCTGTTAAAGCATTAGACGCCTTGAATAAGAAAGATATTAGTGAAATGAAATCATATTCTAAACCACCTCAAAAAGTTGAGATGGTAATGGAAGCAGTAATGATTCTCAAACAAGTAGATCCTACTTGGACTGAAGCTAAGAAACAACTTGGTGAACAAAGATTTTTAGACGACCTACGAGACTTTGATAAAAATCACATTAGTGAGAAAACTTTGAAGAAAATAGCAAATTATACAGGAAATGAAGAATTTGTTCCGGAAAAAATTGGTACTGTGTCCCTAGCTGCTAAGTCCTTATGCATGTGGGTAATTGCAATAGAAAAATATGCAAAAGTATGGAAATATGTTGCCCCAAAACAAGCTAAGTTAGACGATGCTCTGGCTTCTTTAGAAGAAAAGCAAAAGATGCTCGCGGCCGCGAAGGCTAAACTAGAAGAATTAAATCAAATGCTGACAAGACTCCAAGCGGAATATGAAGAAAAACTAGCTCAGAAAGAAGAATTAAATCGACGTGCCGATCAGTTACGTATTCAACTAGAACGTGCTTCCTTACTAGTTGAGAATTTAGCCGGAGAGAAAATTCGTTGGGAAAACACCGTTTCTACCTTAGATGTATTCTTCAGTTCCCTACCTGGTGATTGTCTATTAGCAACTGCTTTTATTTCCTATCTAGGACCTTTTGTCTCCGAATACAGAGAATTGATGATTAACAATTGGTTAGATCAAGTTATTCTAAATGAGGTACCTGCTTCAGAAGATTTTAATTTTATCCGGTTCCTTGCTGATCCAACAACGATCCGAGAATGGAACATTCAAGGATTACCATCAGATGAATTCAGCACCGAAAATGGTATTATTATTACCAGGGGAGCTCGTTGGCCATTAGTAATAGATCCTCAGTGTCAAGCTCAAAAATGGATCAAAGCAATGGAGGAAGAAAGAGATCTCAAGGTTATAGATTTTGGTATGCCTGACTTTATGAAAGTGGTTGAGAATGCGGTATTATTTGGTCTACCAGTGTTATTACAAAATATAGCGGAAAGTATGGATCCATCTCTAAATCCGATCTTAGACAAAGCTGTAGTGAAGCAAGGTGGTATGGATTTGATCAAACTAGATGATAAAATGGTGTCTTACGATTGGAACTTTAGATTTTTCATTTCTACAAAATTGAATAATCCTCATTATCCACCTGAAATATCAACTAAAACTACTTTGGTTAATTTTGCAATCAAACAACAAGGTTTGGAAGCTCAATTACTGGGAATAATTGTACGAAAAGAAAGACCACAATTAGAAGAACAAAAAGACGACATGGTTACTACCATAGCCAAAGGAAAAAGAACCCTAGTTGATTTAGAAAATGAATTATTACGTTTACTGAATGAAGCTAGAGGATCTCTGCTTGAAGACGCCGAATTATTCAATACTCTGCAAATTTCTAAACAAACTTCAATTGCTGTTCAAAAAAGTTTAGAAATATCTGAAACTACCGAGATTGAGATTGATCAAGCACGTGAAGGATATCGTGCTTGTGCAGAACGTGCATCCATTTTATTCTTTGTGTTAAATGACATGGGTCGTATTGATCCTATGTATCAATTTGCTCTGGACTCTTATATCTACCTCTTTACTCAAAGTATTGAACGAAGTCCAAAATCTCAAAGTCTTGCTGAACGTATAGACATTCTCAATGATTATCACACCTACGCTGTTTATAAAAACACTTGCCGAGCAATATTTGAACAACACAAACTCCTCTTCAGTTTTCACATGTGTATGAAAATTTTGGAAGCTCAAGGAAAAGTGGTACCAGCTGAATATAACTTTCTGCTACGAGGTGGTGTTGTTCTAGATAGAACAAATCAAATAGAAAATCCTTGCTCCTGGTTAAACGATGTCTGCTGGGATAATATCAGTGAATTGGATAAAATCACAGGTTTCCATGGTGTGGCAGCGACTTTTGAACAATATCCGAAAGATTGGTATCAGTGGTATATTCACACCGAACCTGAGACACAAACTTTGATTGGTGAATGGGAGGAAATATGCAGTGAATTTCAAAAGATGCTTTTTGTAAGATCGTTAAGACAAGATAGAATATCTTTCTGTGTATCTGCGTTTATTGTGAACCAACTTGGACCGCGATTTGTTGAACCACCAGTTCTGGATATAAAAGCTGTGTTGAATGAATCAATACCACAAACACCATTGATTTTTGTTCTTTCTCCTGGGGTTGACCCTACTAACTCTTTGGTGCAGTTAGCGGAAACTGCAAAAATGAGTGCAAAGTTTCATGCGTTGAGTTTGGGCCAGGGACAAGCTCCTATAGCAACAAAGTATATTTTTATCGGGAATTTTTTTCTTAAAATGTATTAATTTGTATTATTTTAGGTTGTTAAGTGTTGGTGCTAGTGCAGGTCATTGGATCTTCCTAGCAAACTGTCATTTATCTCTAAGTTGGATGCCCAAACTGGATAAAATAGTAGAAACACTTCAAACTGGTAAAGTAAACCCCAAATTCCGACTTTGGTTAAGTTCAAGCCCACATCCGGAGTTTCCTATTTCCATTTTACAAACTGGTATCAAAATGACTACAGAACCCCCACGAGTATACCTTCAAAATATTTTTAATTTCTTTTATTATTTCGTACATTTTCCTAGGGTATTAAAGCAAATCTTAAACGTTTGTATCAACTAATAACAGAAGAACAATTCAACACATGTCAAGCAAAAGAAAAGTATAAAAAGCTCCTCTTTTCCTTATGCTTCTTCCACGCTGTTCTGATTGAACGTAAAAAGTTTCAACAACTTGGTTGGAACGTCGTCTATAGCTTCAACGACGCTGATTTTGAAGTCTCAGAAAACTTACTAACAATCTACCTGGATGAATACCAACAAACTCCGTGGGATGCACTGAAATATCTAATTGCGGGTGTTAACTATGGGGGTCATGTAACTGACGATTGGGATCGACGTCTTTTAGTCACATACATCAATCATTACTTTTGTGATGAAACCATATCATCAGCTCTTTATAGATTAAGTTCTTTGGGAACTTACTATATACCACGTGATGGTTCTCTTCAATCCTACCAAGACTATATAATGTTATTGCCAAATGTAGACAGACCAGAAGCTTTTGGCCAACATCCAAACGCGGATATTACTTCATTAATATCAGAATCACGTATGATGTTTGAAACTTTAATGTCCCTCCAAGTTCAATCCGCGGGTAGTGAAGAAGAAAGTAAAGAAGAGAAAGTAATGCAATTAGCAACTGAGGTTTTGATAAAAATCCCAGATGCGATTGATTATGAAACTACAGATAAACTGATTGGAGCTGTCAAAACACCTCTGGATGTGGTGTTATTACAAGAAATTTCTAGATATAACAAACTTTTGATTGCAATGAAAATCTCTTTAGAAGAATTACAAAAGGGAATTAAAGGTTTAGTGGTAATGTCTGCGGAATTAGAAGAAATCTTTACATGCTTCTTTGAGGGAAGAGTACCATCAAGTTGGCAAAATGGTAAAATCTAATATTCTGTGTGGTAAAACCATTTTAATCTATTTTTTATTTTTTGACAATAGCTTACAGTTCTCTAAAACTTTTGGGATCATGGACGCGTGATTTGATCCAGCGTGTTGAACATTTCTCCAAATGGGCAGAAACCACTCATGCGCCATTGCACTTCTGGTTAAGTGCATTTACATTCCCAACTGGTTTCCTCACAGCTGTATTACAAGTAAAATTTCAAAAAATCCCACAATTGTAATACGTTATCAATGTTTTTAAACCTTTTTAGACAGCAGCTCGTCTTCTAGAAGTCCCAATTGATACTCTAGGCTGGGAATTTGTCGTCAGTACAGTTGACGACGTTTTAGTACAAATGAAACCTGAATCAGGCGTATACTGCCGTGGAATCTATCTAGAAGGTGCCGGATGGGATCGGAAAAACGCCTGTCTCATTGAACCACAACCCATGCAACTAGTAACCCCATTGCCAATAATTAATTTTAAACCAGTGGAGCAATTAAAGAAGAAAACACGTGGTTTTTACGAAGCACCTTGTTATTACTTTCCGATTCGTGCTGGTACCCAAGGTAAACCAGCGTTTATCGTCGCTGTGGACCTTAAATCTGGCGTGGAAGGCGCTGACTTCTGGGTTAAACGGGGTACCGCATTATTACTCAGTTTAGCTAACTAGAGTAGTTGTATAAGAAGCACATTTTTGTATATTTATATTTTCAACAACCATTTGATGACCTTTTCTGATATAATACTAATGTAAAATGAATCACTTTCTGCTACGAATCAATACTAGATTCGAAAGTGAAGATAAACAATTCAATACCAGCGTGGGCAATATACAAAAATAATTATTTCATTCTCTTCGATAATTCAAACGTCACTTTCTTGATATTCAATAATTAACCATGTTTAACCGTATTGAGGTCATTATATATTACAACATGTGTTTAGTGTTATAACACCCTTAAATGTAACCTTAATTTGTAATTAATCACATTTTGACCTGTAATTGATTAGTTATGGTCTCCAACTATGAGTTTTAGTTGCCAATAAACTCATTTCTTTCTCATGTGAGAGTTTCAAACTTTTAAAAAGTGAATCCAAAGCTCTTAAATCATTCCGATCTTCATCAACCATTTTACTTCCAAACAACGCTGTAGTTTCAAATTTTCTATTACGATTAACATCCTCCGATCGTGGTTTTTTAACAAATAAAGGTTCTAGTACAACATAAGTTTTCGTTCGGATTAAATACTTTCCATTTAAAGACTTTGCACGTTGTTTTGGTTTAATTTTATTCGGTGTTACTTTTGCACTTACCGGTTTCAACTGCACCGCATTATTTTTACTGTTTACATTAATATTTAAACTTCGATCTCTTTGGTGGCCAACTAAATTCTTATCCGCCTGTGTTTTAATATGTATATCACCATCGGATTTGCTTTGTTTATGTTTGTATTTTGTTTTAATTGTATTAATAGGTTTGATTGATGATACTTTAGCTGTTTTCAGAGTTTTGACCCTTGTTCGGGTCGATCTGGTACGTGGTTTAGTATCGCGTGGTGAAATATCCGGTAATGGTGTCGTATTACTTGTAATCCAACTAGTTTGGTTGGATACTGTACTAGTTGTGGTGGTGATGAGTTGATTAGTAGTAGCGGGTGCATCGCGACGTTTTAACTTCTGTTTCTTGGACATTTATGTGTCCATTGCGTGTGGTTCTCAAGCGAGAAAGACGCGACACTAAATAGTGGACACAACTCGACGCCACGCGACGCTGAAATGATGTGACGACGGCACGCGACTGACTTTTCTTTAACGAACAGTGTTTCCCTTTCGACCGAAACACTTGGAATGAAAATTATATACGTGCTTTCAGACAGACTCGCCGTAGGTGAATTAATTCTTTATTTCGTTATTAATTTCCGATATTCGGGTGAGAAAAAAGCTACGAAAAGCAAAAATATTTTCAGTGAACTTTCAGTGCCTCACTCAAGTCGAATATTGTTAACTAAGGAAGTTAATCGTTGGCTATATGACGTTGAAAAACGAGCGAGTCTAGGTATATTACTACAAATGATGATGACCAGAAAGTATTCGTGCACACGCGGCGCCTTTCTCAATTTAGATATTCATTAAGATAAATATATATTCCGTGCCCAAATCCTTGATATTACTCAAGGTCATCAAAGAAAATGATCATGAACTTTTCTTTTCATTAAAACTTCGAGGAAACCATGCGAAACTAAAAAATGTAAGTTCATGAAACAATTCGAGTTAATCATGTACGTTATTTTTAGACTATTGAATTTTAATCCCACACATTGTAATCATACTCTCAAACATGACCAATACGAATATTTTTTGTTTGACTTTGTCTGATTAAAGTTCAATTACAATTTCTAGTATTCTAGAGCGATTGTACGAATAGGAAATACTGATTTTTAATTTAAAGCAGTAAACATAAGTTCGTGAAGCATTTACAATCAACAACGAAATGATAAGAAAAGGTTATGACACATGCGCAGAGAGTGGCAAGATTTGACCACCATCAAACCTTAAATAAATATATACAAAGTGCTCATAGATATTTATATTCAATTGAATTTTGAAGTTGGAAACAGAAATCTATGTCGGGGAATTTATCAATATGATAACACTTGTAAGAGGATGAAATCAATATGTTTAGTGCATGTCGATGGCCCACCTGCGCGACATATTCGATCTTTGAATATTTCAATTGATTTTTTCGATAGAGAAATAACTTGAAATGGTTTTATTATATGCCATTATCACATTACTCAATTAAACGTAATCGCAGCCTGACTAAGTTGCGGTGGATTTACTTAGTGAGTTAGTAACGAATTATGCGCGTTGCGTTAGGCAATTTGTACGAACGTGTGGAAAAGTTAAGTTGAATCAGCGGTTTAATTAATCAATCGACTTCGGAGTGATTGGACGCGATTCAATCAAAATTTCTGTTCATATTTTGTTAATTACTTAGCAAGTGTGTGAACATGAGTTCGTCTGATAAAGTTACAAAAGTGTGTGCTAAAAATGGTGAAGAAAGTGAAAACGTGGTTACTAAAAACTCTGCAAATAATAATACAATGAAAAATGATACGTGCAATAATAAAAATAGGTATTTAATTACTTGAAATAAGGACTGAACACGTGTGAATTAATTCGATTTGTATTGTTGTTGCAGAAAGTTGAAATTAAAAGATAAAGTGTTCGTCGAAAGAAAATCGCTCATTCATGAAATGTACGATGTGCAACACATTCGGAATATTCATTATATTTTTATGGTGTTGCTTTTGACGCTTATCGTTAACCATATTGTTCACGGTATTATACATGAAGGAAGGTAAATGTCTTTAAAATATTTAATGTAAAGTAAATTTAGCATAATATTTACTCGCTCCATCAGTAATTTTTTTTTGATAATTACTTTCGTATAAATCAAATTATATTGATTTTTTTTTACAAAAACTATTTAAGTATGAAATGCAATAAATGCAATATGAATTTGTTAATTTATACTCTGCAGTCAAATTTTGTTTCTATTTTATGATTTTTTGTGGAAAATTTTAATCAACAACCAAAAATGTATTATTATTTGTTTATCAATTAAGCACTAGCCACGTTAAAATAACATTACTCATATGTTACTCAATATAAAAAGATTCTAAATGAAAGTATATTAAAACCAGTTAACATATATTAAAAATTTTTAGACTGAGTTTACACATCACTCCAATCATACAGAATTTCTCCGATGGTCATCTAGCACTCGTAGGATGGCTGATTATTTTCGGATTAACTCTTCTCGTGTACCCTGTGTTTCACCTATGGGCATCAACTTACAGTCAAATAACAACAAGTAAAAGAAAACTCAATTTAATTGCTAAACTATTCCATAAACAACTATCGATAAAATGTTAATTACTTAAATTGTTTTATATGTGCAGCCATTTTGAAAGAATCATGGAACGGGTTATGGATAGCAATCGTGCTTGGATATTATTATGAAGTTTTCGAGTGGGCAGGAACGTACGTCACAGAAAACGATTTGACTTTTACGTCGTCCTTTGCATTAACTGTTGAAGCAGTAAGTTTTGTATTTAATTATAAATAATGTACTAATATTATTTTTATTTATACATTTTTTTTTACTTTTCGTACTGCTATTCGTAAAATAATTGATTGTATTATGTATTTTCGTTTACAGACTAGATTATTAATGAAAACCCACGCATTCATTCGCACCAACGTCACAAAACTCCATAATGAAAAAGAGAATTTCAAATTGGCACCCTTCCGCCACTATTTGGAGTTTTTATTTATGCCAACTCTAGTGTTCAGAGATTCCTACCCAAGGTAAGTCCACATAACCTCAATTCTGTGCTATATATTAACTCTATTTACATTGTATCCAGAACGAAAGCTATCAACTGGACGAGTGTCTTTGTCTACTTCTTTGAATTTTGTGGATGTGTTTTCTTCATCTGTTACCTGTACAACATGTACTTTGCGCCTGATTGCAACCACTTCAAAGTTTCTAGCAGCTTTCAACTAAAAGATTTCGCTTGGCTTATCTTTCGCAACACCGTACCAAGTCTCGGTATCATGATTATCATGTTTTATTTAATCCTACATTTGATCCAAAACTTGTTTGGAGAGTTGACACGGTTTGCTGATAGACAATTTTATCAAGTAAGTGAACTAATTTTCAGATTGAATGCCCTGCTATTTTAAATGTGTTTTTTTGTAGGATTGGTGGAATTCAACATCCTACGACGAATACTATCGAAAATGGAACGTTGTAGTCCACGACTGGCTGTACAACTACGTTTATAAGGACGTCTTTGAAGCATTCAACTTAAAATCCCCTTTAATACCAAAATTACTCGTCTTCCTCATATCTGCCATCGTGCATGAATACATTTTATATTATACCATGCGCATGTTCTATCCTGTTTTAGGAACAATATTCTTTACATTCGGAATGATTTTCACGTCGTTTAGAAGTCCCCAATATTGGCTAATCAGTGTTCTCTTTCTGTATAGTTATGGCTTAGGTTTTTCTATTACAATCACGTCGTATGTGATTGAATTTTGCGTTAGGCAGAACCCTTGCGCTGCCAATTCAACAATGATTCCTTTCGATTGGTTATATTCCAAAACTTTATTTAACGATTGCGTCAATTAGATTAAAATATAATTATATGGTGTATTTGGTATAAGTTGTATTATAGATCTGCGTATTTTATAAATTTTATACAGTTATTTGTAGGGTGAATAAATAAATAAATAGATAAAAATAAATTATGTACGAGTACTATTTAATTTCGCTGAAAATTCCATGATTGACATCATAAACCAACTCGATACCCGATACCCGATAATACGCATTAAATTAATTAATTTATATTTTATTTATATTTTAATTTTAATCGTATACACTGTTTTGAGCAGCAACAAGAAAATAATTATTTATCCACTAACCTTCTCATTGTTGAAGACGAAATGATGAAATAATCAGGAACCACAAGCAAAATAATAGCATTATTTTCACATATTTTACCAAATCGCGATTTACAACGTTCATTGTGTAAGTTTAACACATCTACCAAGTTATTGTTTTGATTTGTGTTGTTTACGAAGTTTTCGTGCGCTCGCTAGCAAGCACAATCTGCACGTGCAGATAAGCAGTATGCCATCTACCTATTATCCTTGTTAAACTTGGAATATTCTTTAAAAGTTTATCTTTGCGTCATCTAGTGACTGTTTAGAAAAGTGTTCTAACCTATACTTCGCATGTGTTTTAAATGATTCAAGTGCATATTCCAGTTTCACCTGTTTTTCATGTTAAAACTACTCGAAATTAGTGAAAAACTATAGAAAAATCACCAAATTAACAGATTTTATAATGTGTAGCGTTGGTGACGATAATTATGAAGGTGACGAAGCCTCGAAGTATTTACCAACAATAGAAACACTAAAGTAAGTCAACTTTTACACTTAATGTTTAGTAAACTGTTACTATTTTATTATTCTTTTAGACTTGATACACTTTGCAATAAATGCAGAACAAATCAACCATGCATAATCCTCAGACACAAAGATGCCTACTGCAAAGATTGTTTTCTGGCTGCAACAACTCACAAGTTCAAGGCTTTCCTAGGAAAACATAGACTAATTTACCCAAATGACAAAGTACTAGTTTCTTTCAAGGAAGGTCATGAGTGTGCTGCTTTGTTGCACTTTATAAGGAGTGGTTTGGACCTTACTACTCCCAAGAAGTTGAGATTTGAACCTATGATACTTTACATTGAAAGTGAGCATAATTCTCATGAAATTGCTTCAGTAAGAGTTAATAATGTGTTGCTTTTTTAGATAATAATCATTTAAATTCTGAAACCAGAAGAAATTTATTGAAATCTATTGATGAACAGGCTAAACACTTTAAATTTGACATATATTATGTGTCACTAGCTAAATTTATTGAGAATGAAGATAAATTTCTAGAAGATTTAACTCAGAATTATGAAGAAGTGATTTTAATTAATAAAGACCAGTCAAATGTGAGTGAGAAACTAAAAGATTTAAATAATAAAACCCAAAAGTTGGAAGTAATTAAACTTTTAGAGTAAGTTAATGAAACAACACTTTAATTTAATGGAAATATTTTTATTATTATGTTTTATTTAAGGAGGAATTTACTTTATAAAGTTTCTAAGCACTTAGGATGTAAACATGTGTTTACACCTGAACTAGGAAGTCATGTGGCTGCCGTATTGTTGACTAGTGTTTGTTTAGGAAGAGGAAAGCATCTACCACTTGATATTGTAAGTTAAACAAGTATTTAAATGCCATATAATACTCCATGGTATATAAATGATTGTTTTTAATTTCGAAAGGGAGTTTATGACAACAGAGACCCAGAAGTCAATATAATCCGCCCCTTGAGGCACTTTGAAACAAAAGAAGTAGCAATGTACAACTATTTTAACAATATCATACCAGTAAACTTGCCAAAAGCGCCAAATACTGACAGCAGTATTCAGAACCTGCTGAGGTCGTTTGTGGATAATTTACAAACTAATTTTCCAGCAACAATCACAACTATTGTTAGGACCGGCGATAAATTGGCTATGGATGATGAAATTACGAATAATCCAAGTTGTAAATTATGCAAAGTAAGTCATCGAAAATCTTCAGTTTGATGTGTTGCAGTTTAAATTTAACTTATGTTTTCAGGCTCCAATTGAAAATGCATCAACTGAATTAACATCAGCGGAATCTACAATGTTCTCTAGCTTAATTTCCAATAAACAATCGGACGAATGTCTGCCACCGGAAGAGGCCTATGCCAAAACAATTGAAATGTTTAGTGCACAACAGTCGCGGGATTATTGCTACGCGTGTTTACGATTACAATATACCTCTTAACTATAAATTTGTATTGTATATTTATAATAATTGTGATGCATAATTTGAAAATTGAATATATGTTTTACAAATCAATGGAATGATATTGCTTAATTTTCATGCATTAACGTTTGTCCACCATTTTACTTTTAACATTCTTGTGCGGTGCAAATTTCAGTCGAGTATTGATGTAAAATGATCTAGATTATATGGGCTTAGAGATTCGTACTTACCCATCCTATGGTAGATAACAGGAAACCAGTTCTAATAAACAAACCGCAACAAATTAATGCAACCAATATTTTATATCCTTACTAGCTTGAAATCACTGAAAGCAAACCAACACACGCCGTTGACCATCTTTGAATTGGTATAGTTTCAAAACATCCCGCTAGAGCACAACTTACTCTAATTTACACTGTTTTGATTCTAGGTTAACTTATGTTTACTCCAGGATCAAATCACCACTTAATTTTGTTTTAAAACAAAATCAATATACAAAACTAATTCAAAACACGTTTTATCGTAGTTCGTGTAGAATATGTAATTTATAATACATGACACAAGTTTAATTCAATTAAAATAACGCTAAAGTATCAGAAAACAAATTATGGATCGAAACAAACCAGCCCTGGGGACTCGCGGCCCCAAAAGTAAAATTACGCAGCAACCACCCGATTTATTTATTGCTTTAGGGGCGAAAGCAGGAAGCAGCCGAGATTCAGACCCCAAAAGAAATGTTCCAATACTTCCAAAAAGCACGCAGATTTCTTCACCAAACAGCAAAGGTAAAAATTATAATTTTAATAAAAACTATGTAAAATTGATTTATTTATTGATTCATTAATTTATTTATGTGAACTTTTAGTTCCACCTCCTGATAGAAAACGTGAAAACTCTTCAACAAGTCTTGGAAGTGGACCACCTTCAAAGAAACTAAAAGTTTTAAGCCGACCGCCAACAGGTGTGCCTGGACCTAGCATGAGCACAATTTTATCAAATGATAGAATAGCTTCACCTGGAGTAGAACCATGGGAAGCTGCAGCAATTGAAATAGAAGCAGTGGAATTGTTTGCTGCTGTTGTGGATGCTCTGAAAGTGAGCAACAATGATAAGGCAGTAGGTTTAATTCTCGGCGGAATCCGCAATCTTCGCTCAACGCAACGTTTCAAACCATGCAAAGTTTCATACAACGCCATTTTGTTAATCTGCCAGATTCGGCCATCTTTATTCGCTCATGATTTGATTGTTCAGGGATTAATGAGTTCGCTGAAACGCGACGTTTCTGGAGGAATGAAAGCCAACAACAAAGGGAATCAATATAATCAAATAATATTTATTAATATTTTATTATACGCGTTTGCGGATGTTGCAAACTGGCCGGAAACGTTTTTACGCATGTATGCAGAAGATGCAGTCGGCGATCGAATTTGGATCGACAATATTTATTGCAAACCTTTCGTTGATAATATAACAGCCGCTTTCAACACAAAACAACCTCCTAGGTCAATGCTACAGCCTGAATCATGGGTGCTACCTTCCGGAAGAGACACAGGAAGTCCTTTAACGATTACTTCGAACGATGATGATGAAGCTACAGCGGAACATCGTCAAATGGTTGAATCTTGGAATATTAAAGTCTTCAATCGTTACACACACATTCCGCAAGAAATCGAACATCTTATTCTGGAAGTTATTCAAGAACAAATCACACGTCGTCAACAACCTGAAGCAATCACTAAGAATTTCGTACGTTTACTGTCAACCACTAGCGGAATGGTTGAAATCCGCATAATTGCAGTGGCACGTTTGGAAACATGGGTACACAATCATAAACTAATGAAACCCGCACAGGAACTTCTCGCATACTTGTGTTACAATTGTTCTGCGAGTACACAACGTGATTTGGAGGTGGTCGTTCAACTGAGCAAGCTGCGTCTTAAAAACAAACCGATGGTAATATTCTTCAACTATTGCCTGAGAGAAATGGTCATAGCATTTCCCGAAAATCTTTATCCGTTGCTAAAATACACAATTTTCAACGAGCTATCAAATGCAAGAAACAGCAATAATTTGTTTGTCGTTGCCGCCATGTTCCAAGTTGAACCGGAAGCCAGTGCGGACGCATTTGCAGACATTTGCTTAGAGCTGCTCTTGAATAAAGACGATTATCTACGCTCATTACGCGCACTTTTCAAAGAAATCAACCGCGTATTAAAGCATGACTTTAATTTACCCACTGTGGTACATTCTTTGCTCAGAGAACGCAAAGATATGGAGAAAATCATTCGTGAATCCGAAGTTAAGGATAGATTATTTGTTTCTTTGACGGATTTGGTCGCAATGTGTATGTTACTGTGTGTTACACCACAAGTACGCGATGCTGCTACACAAAGTAAGCGAGATTTTACTGTTTTGCACGCGTTTCAAACACAAGTGAGCAATATTCAACGCGAAGCTGTCACATGGTTGCATGATTGGGGATTTAAGGTTTTCCGACCTTCCGCAATGGATTGTCAACACTCTTTGTTGAAATTAGTGTTGTTAGAACAACCAGAGCATTACTATAAAGTTGATTCATGGCCGGGTGAAAACGAAAGGATTTTATTTCTACGACTTGCTAGTGAAGTTCCATTATTGCAAGCTACACTGCTGAGGATTTTATTGATTGGAATATCTAAAGAGAATCCTATCAATCCAAATGATGTGATTGAAATCGCTGAGCAGTTAATACGAAGAGTCAGTAATATTGCGCCGTTAGAAATGGACAAGATTGAGATTATTGATTTCTTCTTTAATCTCTGTAGTTATAACTACCCGGAGAATATAGCTCTGCCAGTAGGTTATGTTCCGCCTAAATTGGCGATTTCTACACTTTATTGGAAGGTCTGGATGATGTTATTGATACTTGCTGCGCATAATCCGGTTACTTTTGGGAGTTTAGCATGGGAAAAGTATCCCACGCTGAGAATGTTTATGGAAATGTGTATTACAAAGTAAGTAAATTGCAGTTGGGTTGCCTATAGTGTTATTAATATATTTTTCTATTTTCAAAGTTTCTTCGCGTATCCTCCACCAACAATGATAACCGGCGATGGCTCCTATGACTACATCCTCAAGGATCAACAGATTCTTTCAATCGAAAGGCAGACAATCCTGGAATTCGAGACGCATCTTGCTGCCGGCAGTACCAAAGCAGAGATTACTGAACAGAGCAGTCTTTTACTTCCACAATTAATGGAACTGAATCCTTCGAGTCCTGCGCGTCAACCTCCGCCACACCTTCTTGAACAGTTAAACAATCTGAACTCAACGCTTAAATTAGGACATCTTTTATGTAAGTCACGACAACCTGATTTTCTTCTTGATATTATGACTCGACACGGCGGTACTGCGCATATGCCTTGGTTGGCTGAACTTGTACATAGTTCAGGATCCTTAGCGCATCTACCAGTACAATGTTTATGTGAATACCTGCTTTCGACTGGCCCAACTGAAAAATTAACCAAACACACGCAACTTTTGGCGCATTTGCGAAGAGTTGTAAATGGCCCGGATGCCAGTATGGCTTGTGAAGTTTTAGAATATCTTCTAAGGAGACTCACTTCTTTGCATGCATCTAGTAGAGCTCCTGCAATTCGAGGTTTGACTATGATACTATCGCCTGGAGAAGATATCGATCAGAATTCAGCGAGTATTGGCAAAACTGTTTGGTTGACACAGTATATTCTACAATTTCCACATCTGCCTAGTATTCGCCAAACATTGATACCGTACCTGAGACAAGCGACTTTACTTGAGACCAACCCAACCCATGTTGCAAACTATATTGGATTTTTAGCTGAGCATGGATTAGATGATTCCCTGCCGGAATTATTCGAGATGGTGTTTGATCTTGCGACATTAATCATCGAACGTAATAGTATAACGCACTATATTCTTCCAGGAGAGAATAATGATACAGTAAAAGCGTTGATTTCTGTATTTTGGGTGTATTTGCAAAAAGCGCGGGAATCTTCCGATTCTTTTTATTTATCTGAGAATCAAGATCATGTGCTAGTCACATGGGCGAATGGAGAACAATGCACTCTCCCGACTTTGACTATTCACGCATCAATTATTTTACTTACATACGGACCGATTGAAAAATTCGAAGCATTTGATGGTATGTTAGATCTATGGTTTCCTGTCAATGAAGAACACCCAAAGGCGAGTCTGATTGATTTATCCGAAGAAGTAATAATGGCACCCGATTGGTTAAAATTAAGAATGATTCGTTCGAATGTCCCGAGACTACTTGATGCTGCAGTGGAGAAACTCGAAGCACCACAGTTAGTTCTCTTTATTCAATCTTTTGGTATACCTGTGGTTTCTATCAGTAAGCTGTTGAAAGTGCTGGATAGAGTCACAGTAACCAATCCGAACCTGGTGATTGATTCTGTCCTTGATAAAAACTATATGATTCAATTAGTTGATGTTCAGAACAGACGTGGGGCGCTTGGAGGAAAAATTTTCGTTAAAGCTTTGGAAATGCAAACGCCACAATTGTACGAAGAAGATATGCACGTTGATTTTGAATCGAGGAAAATGGCTCCGAGTACTGTAACGAAAAAGTCTGAGAAACATTCACCAAACGAACTTGTTACAGCTGTGAAAAAGATATTTTATCCGAAATATGCGAGTGATTCAAGTGAACAAATCAATTTTGTGTGCAAAATTTTAACTACCGGAAAAGACAAAGAAGTTTCTGAAGTTATTGATGTCATTCAGAAAATGGCCGCTAAAGATTTAGAGGAAGCTCTGAATAACTGGGCAGTGCAGACAGTTCTGAAGTGTTTGATGACAAAGAAATACTTGAACGAACGCACTTGTAAGCTTGGAGAATATCTGTTAACAATCTTGAAACAGAATCAGAACTCAAATCCATTGATCAATGTAATAAAGCAATTTTTATCAGAATATCAGGAATCATCTAAAATGGATGTTTCCACATCGATTGACGATATATCTGGGAAGCTATCTGATACTTTGCTAGATAACTCGAGGGCATTGGCTAAACAGATAAGCAATATGCTGATTAACAAAGAAAATGTTGAGAAAACTGGTTTACTTGTCGATTGGTTGGCTACAGTTGAATTGGAAATGGCTAACGTGGATTCCAACAAAGTACAAATGGAATTACTCTTCGCCAACCAACAATTATCGTTCAGGCCGCTTTTGACTTCAATTGTACTGCAGCGAGCAAGTTGGAAAACGCTTAATAACGTGATTGACTATCTACTTATCCCTGATAATGTTTCTAAAAACTGTCCATCGTCTGTATTGGACTTTTTAACTGCTTTAACACAATGCCCACGATTATGGCAAGGTCGGGATAAGTCAGTGCCAAAACATTTCAAATCCGAAGATGTGTTACATTTGAATAACAAGAGAATTTTGACTGTAATTGACTACATTCTTGAAGAATACCACTTGGAAATGGATGATATTGACAAAATGGCGGAGAAAACAATGGAACGCCGACTATCATTGATTATAATAGCGATGAATAATTCGGATACAACTGAACAAGTTGTAAAGAAACTAGTGGGTTTGGAGCATCAACAAAGCGCAATGGATTTGTTATTGATGTTGTACATGAATTTACCACGAGTTGTAAGTTATTTAAGTAACAGACAATTTGCAAGTTTCCGCTTTGCCAAAACCAGCCGCAGTGCATTGGATTTGATCTCTCATACGATTCTAAGCGCTTTGACTGCTAATACACGTGTGAGGGATAAGGAATGGACTGCAAAGAGTCACGATTTGGAACTTTGTGCAAGAAAACTAGCGGCTACACATCCGGATTTAGTTTTAAGACAATTACCAATGCTGGCTGCTTGTCTGCGTGGGAGAGCGTTATATGACTGGAATGTTTTACGAAGTCGCGGTCATTTTCTTCTATTCGGGCAGATTATTGGACTTATGGAGTTGTTACAACCGTCGATCTATCAAGAAACAGAGACACTTTGTGCTCTACTGGATTCTTTCATTGATTTATTAAAATATCACGGGCATAATAAGGAGTTAAATAATATTGTTCCAAGAATTGTGACATTCTTACAAAACTGGATGATGCAGGATATGCAAAGCTCGTTGAAATATCTACAGAAATACGGTTATGTTCTTTGGTAAGTAATCATAACCTTAAAATTACTTACATATTCATTTAATTATTGTTTTTGTGTGTTTAGTGATCTTGAAATGTCTCATCCATGCGTGCGTCCACTTCTATCGAGTATCTCGTTGCCGTTGACTCCGGAAGCAGGCGGCAGTGAAATATTGGTAGGCGCACCAACTCCACCCATTATTCAACCGCCGCCACCCAATTGGCAGTCATTAATCGCAGGAATACAAAGCACCGATCCTCTGACAGCGCTTCAAGAGGTAGAACATTTGACTGTCAAACGCCCGCATCTGCTGGAGACAATCGCGCAGAACCTCTACCACTGTATCGGTTCTCGCAATGGACAAGTTCGAGTGGTTTCCATTAAACTGATGTCGCGATATTTAAAATACAACCCGAAGGCAAGCAGCGACGCATTACCATCAGTTTTAGCTTGTTTGGACAGCAGGGACGCCGATGTGGTGGATTCCATTCTGGAACGTCTACCAGAACTCATAATCGTGATGCAGGAATATGCCAAAGCTATTCTTACAAGAGTTTATCAATTGGGCATTCAAAGCAATTTGAATGCTTGCACAAATGTTGGAAAATGTATAGCGAGTTTGTGTCTTCAGCAAGGATGCTAAACATTTGATTTATTTCGATTTTAAGGTTTATAAAAACCTACCAAACAATAATGTATTATCTTTGATTGACCCTGGTATTATTTGCAAGATTTAAATACAGGTGCAAAAATTGCACAAGCTCATAACAAGAAAAATAGTTAACTATCATAGCGTACATGAAGTATTCAGTCATAATCATTGCTTCATCTCAGATTTATCATGAGAGAGAATGAAACATTTGATTAATTTGTACATTGCATACAGAAAATGACGATGGCACAGTGTATAGAATCAATTGAGCATATTTCAGACTTGTCTATGCCGATTACTTAATTTACTAAATTGTATAGGAATCACATGCTATAGAGAGCACTGCTTTCGTTTAGTTGGCGTGGATGACACTACATCCACGGAAGCCCATAACGACGTAGCTTCTGCCATCGTGGAGTTTATTGTTGAAGTTGTCACTGGCGCATTGGTTTGATTTGCTTGAAGAAAACTCGGAGCACTGTGATATCCCGATTCGTTGTGCTCATCTGTTTTGATGCTCTGTTGTGACATTGCCATGTAATCTTCATCGTCTTCGTCCACTTGGGCATCGTTGCCAAAACTGTCCGAGAGTTTTTTGCGCTGAGAGAGAACAGGACGTTGTTTCGGGGTGTTTAATCTAGACATCTCCATTGCTTCCGTGGCAGCGTTTGATTGCGCGAGTGGAGAAAACATGTCTTTGTACTCTATGTCCCAATTCATCGTTGATGTACCCAAAGCATCTGATGAATGATGAGATGAATCTTCCAAAAAATATTTTGTTAATATTTATTCAATTATTTATGGCAATGGAAAATAAACTGAAAGGGTGTTCTGCTGATATATAACATGTTAAGGGAGAAATATGAAAAACTACTCACCAAGTTGTGAACTGTTGTGTTTTTCAACAGCAGAGCAATCCGGCACAACGAAACTTCCATCAATTGACATAACTTGACTAGAATTCTTCTCCGTTTCATTTTTATCAGTCTCATCCTTCACACGAACAGCAGTCGTGCATATTGGCGACAATGGACAAAGATTAATCGCGTCATAATTCCCCGGAGTGCCGATCGTGCGTTGATACAACGTGCTATGCATATAGTGCAATCGTGACTCTGAAAGTCTTCGAACCGGCGAACTAAACTTCTCTGTTGGTTCATCATCACTTTCTTCATGTGGTGGTGATTGAGAATCATCGAATAATTTTTATAAAATTCAGAGTCTTGCCGAACGTCGTAGCCGACATTTTGTTGGTCTTGAGTAAAAGAGAAGTAAGGCTTCAGGACGCGTTCAACTTCTTCGGGGAGAACTGGTGGTAAAGTTAAAACTGTTTGAGCAGAGGATGATGTTATTTGTACTGGGTGAGCAGGTAATGATGATGTTGTAGTGGATGTGGGTGAGAAGACCTCACGGTCGGGTTTGATTAGGGGCACACCTTCACATGGCAGCATTGGACTAGGGAGAATTTGTTGCATGCTAAAGTAGGAATCGATGCGGGATTGAGTTACTTCGTCGTGTTCAGGAGATTCGAATTGATGGGAGCTGTTCTCATCGATTTCTGCCGGCTGCAGCATGGAAAGTTCGTCGATTGTCCATGAGAATTCCTTTTTCACCGGAGTTTTCTTTGTAAATAACGTTGGACTAACAAATAATGAATTAATATCTAATTTTGTGCGCATTTTAGTATAATTTGTGATTACCTTATGAAATTCGTGCCCAGATGTTCGCGAAGAACTTGCTCGAAGGGATTCTTCAGTTTGGTGATGCGTGCGGGTGGCGTTTGATAGTTATTCGTGTGAGATTGCCCCAGAAGTCCATGAAACGTAAATAATTTCTTCGGTGGCGTTTTGCAATCGTTTGCATGCATATTGCTAACTGGCGATAATTGTGTTCGGACATCCATTTTATTTTGCGCGCATGAGTTTCAGGTTTCAGTAGTTACGGTGTGGGTTTGTCGAATTTGCGCTGAAGCCAAAAAGCCGGAAGGCTCGCAACGGCCGCACCGACCGCTCACGTTTAACGGTTATCACAGTTTGAAAAATCAAACGTTTCAACTCGTCAAACAACCTTGTTTGCAAGGCCACAACGAATCTGCACGACTGCAAACGAGTGAAATTAGAGAGCACATGCGGTATTGTTTACTTCTTTTAAACGAAAAAGTAAACCCATACAAAATGTTAACTTGTAAATAAATGTTATAAGTTTAACTTATAATTATTATTTAGTTAATTATTTGTCAATATAATATTTATTTCTGCATATTTGTCTCTTTACCTATAGGCAACCAAGCACACATTCAAACCCAAACAAGTTATTCCGTTTATGCTATACACTTGAGCCGAACCAAACGTCAACAAAACTAACCTCTTCATATAACGAAAATTCCACAAAAATTCGGCATGATTTGATGAAAAACGCTCGAAAAATGTAAGAAAACTGTGCGAGTTTTGTGTCTGCCGTGCGTGTAATGAAAGAGTGCGAATAGACGCGTTGGTGCGGTGCTTGTGTCGTGCGAATTTCCGCGTATAAATGGATGATGGTGCGCCGAAGAGGGGCCGCGGACGTGGACGCGGCGCTCGGGGCCGGGGTCGCGGTCGCGGAAGAGGCCGTGGACGAGGCAAGAAAGCCATCAAGATCATTGAGAGTGATGAGGAACTGGACACACCGAACGACTCCATCGAGGAGCAACAAGTTCCTGCGATCGAGACTGAAAACAATGAGAACTCAACAACTGAAAGTAAGAACTTGAATAATAAATGTTAATAGTATTTTGAAACTTAACAAGCTTTGATTGTGATGGTTAGAATTGGATGTAATGTAATTGGTGTGTGATTTAAGTTGACCTGGAGGCTGATATTTCACAACTGGAGGCGCCGACGTTCACGACTATTAATAGAGGTCCGCCAGAGCCAATGTTGCGACTCGATTGGAGCCACAAGGTGAATCTCATCGGCGAGAAGGTGCTCAATCCCATGATACACTGCTGTGACAAGTGCTTGAAGCCGATTTTAATTTATGGACGAATGGTTTGTATTTTCATATAATTTTTTAGGTTATGATAAATAAACTTAGGTTAGATGCAGATTTCTTAAGGTTATGTTACCTGTTTTTGTTACAGATTCCTTGCAAACACGTTTTCTGCCACGCGTGCGGAAAACAAGAACAAAAACAATGTCCGCGATGCCTAGACAAAGTCTCCAGGGTTGAACAGACTGGTCTTGGTACAGTGTTCATGTGCACACACGGTGGCTCGCGCTACGGTTCCAACGGCTGCCGTCGCACGTACCTCTCACAACGTGATCTGCAAGCCCACATTAACCACCGCCATGTTTCACAGGCCGCTAACATCGAACCAGTGGAAGCCGCCGCGCCTCCACCGCCAACCACAGGTATTCCAGGTCGAATCAAAGGTAACGATCCACGTGCGGCCATTGCTGTATCAACCAACGTCCGCCAGCGTTCAAATGTTCCACCACCAGGAGGCGGTGCTGGCATGCGCACCAATCTCATCACTGTGCCCATCCAAGATTCCGCGCCGTGCGAACCACAAGGACAGCAGCAGCAGCCGCCCACGCAACAACAGTCGTATTACGGACAGTATCAACAACATCAACAAAACGCAGGCGGTGGATATGGACATGGACAGACCTCGCTGCCACCCATGCATATACCACCTCCGCAACAAAATCAGTACTACCAAGGTCATGGCTACGGTGGTAATCATCAAGGGCAGAATTATCAAGGGTATGGAAATCAGGCACCACCACCGCCGCCACCATCTGCGCAATACGCGCAGCCGCAGGCGGTAGGAGCGCCAAATAACCGCAACACCCAGCAGTACGATTACAGTTCGGCGCCGCCGCAACAATGGACTAACAATCATTTCTATAGATAAAGATAAAACGTTAAGTTAAGTTACTAAACCAGCAACAACAAAAAACAATTTTGTTTGACATTATTACGTAAGTGTAAGAGAATGCGATGTTGAAAGTGATGAGTTAAATAATTCGAACAAAGCTAACCAACAGTGTTTTATAATGTAAATAATGCAAAACTCACCACGGTAACAAACATGGCGGCCATTCGTGTGGAAAGAACAAAACACAATCGTTACTTACGTTTCTAGGTGCGTAACATGCATACAAAAACGTTGCCGTGTGGTTGAATGACGGGTGGTCCGCAATGAATAACTTCTCTAGCTCTCTCTCTCATATTTCTTAAAAAATAATCTAACAATGTTATTATCTCAATCAGTACACGTACAATACTCGTGATCCGCAATGCGTAATTACAGGTAAACTTATCGGCTAGTGGGGACACCGGTCCAGTCGAATATACATATACATACATCCGCCGCCATCTTGCTTCGTTTGTTGCCTTAAGTTTACGTTTCTTTAAAACTAGTTTCCGTAAATTTTGTGTAAAGCTTGCGTTAGACGTTCGGATGCGGCGTTGCGGGCGATGGCTGCGCCGCCGGAATTGAACTAGTAGTTGTCGCGCCACTGGTGGAGGGTAGCGACGACGTCGACGCTGACATGTGCATTTGTGGCTTCGCCGACTTGGCGAGCGTCGTCTTTTTGGGTATCAGCGGATGCTTGTCTTGGTGGTGAGATTTAGATAAGCGCTCACTTAATGCTTTCAGTGCTATTTGCCTGGAAAGCAGAAAAGATTACATTGTATTTGAACTGTAAACGTGTAACATGAGACAAGCGAAGCATGCACGCGCTGCATCAGCGGATTTGTGGTGAAGTTTACATTCATATCATTTCTAACTAAGAAAATAAGATGAGCAAAATTAATCTCACATTATTTTGCATAGAACATAACCACAAAACCGCTATGCTGTCACTCATTGGACAACCTTGATTGTCTATAGCAAGTTGTATTTACCTGCGCCGTTCCATATCATGTTGATCAACACCAGGCACACTGATCGTCACCCCTGTAGGATTCGAGATATCAAACCTCCGAATGACTCTGCGACAAATCCCGACCTTGACTAGCGCCCCATGCACTGTATTCCCCACCACAGCAATCGGTGGCTGGATAACATTCGGGAAGAAGCTCGCAAACGTAAAATAATCGGCTAGGTCACCTTTACTCCCATTGCTATGCCTCTGATAAAACCTCAGGTATATCCAGCTCACCAGCAGCCCACTCAGGAACATTGTTGGATATGTGCCATCCAGTAACCCTACCAGCCACACGATCAACGTGAGAAAGAACACGATCAGCGGCACATTCCTATTGCTCAACTTCCCGAGCGGCGTCTTCACCAGCACCAGGTCTGGCATTATTTGTTTCACGGCTACTGATACCCCAGCGATGTAACCCGCCAGGCCATGTATGTGTACAGTGAAGAGTAGATTCGTGTCAAATGTACACATGTACAAAACAAAGTAAAACGCGGTGGCAATGACGGCGACACCAAGATTGACAACAGCGAAGAATGTGAGCATCTCCTGCTGACCCCATAGCGGTTCGATTAGCTTACCGCAGAGACCCACAGTGACGATGTCGACGAGCACTTCCCAGAAGTGCAGCTCGAGGAAGCAGAAGGTGAATGCCGTCCACAGCCAGAAGCTGGGAGGCATCAGGTACCCGGGGGTCACCGACAACACGTCGACTGCATCCTGTGAGTAGGATAGGCAGTAGCTGAAGAGCACAACGCCGCAGATGAACTTCACCGATGTGCTGGTGTTGCCGAGGAGAGCGGCGAATTGCTGCCGGAGGTACGGGAAGTTTCTATTCAGCGCTCGGAATATTGACATCTTCGAACAACATTGAGAGTGTTGGGTTATGTTTTGAAAATCAACTGACGACAACTAAAAATTTTGAGTGAACACAACTGTTCGACGACTGCAAATCCTAGGGAAGTACTGCAGTGTTAGGTTGGTGTTTATAGAACTTCAAATATTAGGCGATAGATGGGGCATTGAGTACGATTCTCAATGTGAGATACATTGCAATGCAGCTATTTTACAAATTTTAGTAAAATTTAAGAAACACGATTTCATCTGCATGACTTTTTGTGCCATAAAAGCCTTTTACATCCAATTATAGACAACTGTGAACCGATTTACAACTTGCTGGTCGACTCAGACGCGGCTAAGGACTGTGACCGATGCATGGTACCCTTATATATACTACGTGCAACCCGCAAAAAGTGGTGTAGGTAGCCCAATCAGCGCTCATACAACCCTTGCAGGTATAAAAGGGCAGCGAGGTCTACATTGCTCAATTGTCCTTGAGTTGATCAGCAGTCCTCTCACAGATCTTCAGGTCCCTGCAAATGAAAAAAAGATTTCATCCACTCTTGTGATGCTTTGGTTACAACCCTACAAAAATAATTTGTTGGTAATTTAATTAAGCTATTTATTGAGTAACGCAAATACGCAGTTAAATGTCATCGGGTAGACTCCATAAATTTCGTACCTAAACACGAAATAACACTCGGTTGAAAAATAGCAATTATAATTGGAAAATTACCCCAATCAAAACAGCTTAATTACGACTGGTCAGTAGTTTTATAATCAATAATTAAACCAATATTAATCAGCTACCAAGTCACGTATAAAAGCCACGACTAGATGCGAAAATCTCTATTGGTTACTACTAATCCATATCTACGCATCTAATTTTTGCCGTTTAAAAATGGCCGAGTGTGAAAATTTGAGTGACTTAAGTGATATTCAAAAATGGTACGCCGGACGAAGTGTTTTTATTACTGGTGGTACAGGTTTCATGGGCAAAGTGCTTGTTGAAAAACTTCTTCGTTCTTGCAAACTCATCAATAAGATATATTTGCTTGTTCGTGCAAAAAATGGATGTACTCATGATGAGCGCCATGAAACTATGATTAAACTTCCTGTAAGTTAAAAAAAACATAACCTATATCTCTACATTTGTCTTATTTATTAAATTGTTTCTTTAGTTATTTGATAGAATTAAAGACGAATGTCCTAAAGTCTTGGGAAAATTGGTATTCATAGAAGGGAATTTACTCGATAAAAATTTAGGATTAAGTGATCATGATTGCGATGATTTAATTGAAAACGTATCAGTGGTTTTCCATTTGGGTGCGTCTTTGAAACTACAAGCAGGATTAAGTGATGCTGTTTTAACAAACACGCTAGGAACCAAAATGGTATTGGATTTATGCTGTAAAATGAAAAACATTGTTGTAAGTCATTAAAATAACCTCAAATGTTTGCTCCTTAATAATTGTCTACTATTTAGAGTGTTAATCACTTATCTACTGCATTCTGTCATTGCAACATCAAAGAACTAAAAGAACAAGTGTATAAACCAAATAAAAACCCGTACGAAATGATACACTTAGTGCAAAACGTGTCTGATGATGTTTTAAATGAAAAGAAAGAGGAGTAAGGGAATAATTAATATAAAAATTTGAATTTTTCCTAATTTTTGTTATTATGTATAGAATTTTGGAACATCATCCAAACTCTTATACATTTTCAAAATGTCTTGCTGAATGGATAGTAAAAGATTACGAACGTTATATTCCCGTAAGTATCACTCGTCCCTCAGTGGTCATTCCAGCTCTCCGTGAGCCTATCCCCGGATGGGTCGATTCACTAAACGGACCCACTGGTATCATGGTCGCTGCAGCTAAAGGTGTTCTCCGTTCATTAATCTGCAGAGAAGATTATCACGCAGAGGTGATCCCAGTTGATCTAGCTATCAATGCATTTATTATTATATCTTACGAGCGTGGAAATGACCAAAATTATAATGCGACGCAAAATCATATTGAAGAAAAACCAAACTGAAAGAAAAGAAAAACGGGTTGCATAAGACAATGCCAACTGAACAATCTAATGAAATAGATAATATTATGGAGACAGACAATAGTGAATCAAATTTATTCACAACAAGTGTTTACAACTTGTCATGCCCACGTGATGTAGTCACAATCACATGGGGAGATGTTCTCAACAGAGCAAAGAATCTTATTCCAGCCTATCCGTATGAATGGATGTTGTGGTATCCAGATGGCGCTCTACGTACAAATAAATGGGTGCATTGGCTTGTTGTAATATTGTTTCAGTGGTTGCCTGCATTGTTAGTTGATGGTTTGTTGATGCTTATACGTGTTCCTACTTTGTAAGTTATTCATACTTTACATAACCTATAATATATGTATATGTATATTGTGTTGCCTAGCATGGTACGATTACAACGTAAACTAGTCGCAGCCTCAACTGTTTTCGAGTATTTCACAACAAAAGTATGGAACTTTAAAGTGGAACGCGTTATAGAAATGACGCAGCTATTATGTCCGCAAGACCAGAAGACTTTTTACGTTCTTCATATAGATTACGATATTGATGAGTATATGACGCACTGTATTCTTGGCTCACGCAAGTTTTGTATGAAGGAAGATGATGGCAGTCTTTGGTTTACTCGTATCCACTTCAGAATGTAAGTTGAGTTTGTGCAAAGATTTGGATTCTCTGCTTGCTTTGACACTTTCTATGCGCACTTCGTGTTTGCACGTTGTGTTTGATTAAAATACTAACTGATAAAAATATAAACACTAAATATTTGATATAATTCCATTTGCTTTTTAAATAATAGAAAATAATTTCAGGAAATTTTAATAGTGGTTAATTTTAAGGTTATAGCACGCTTTTATAACCTCAAAATTAGTTTTCTGAACATAATACTGTCATTTTAATGAGTTTAGAATAGTTTTAACTCTTGTGCAAATTGCTTTCTTCTGTTTAAACACCATTCACACTTCCGCTTTGTTTTGTTTGCTTATTTGCAGATTGCAAGTGCTGCACTACGCTACGTTGTGCTACGTTTGGTATTGCTTCGTTTGGTACACGTTGCGGATTCGTCACGTTGAGCACTTTCTCGATGCGGTCCAAAACCGAATCTTTTAAATTTTAAGCCACACCGCACAGCCGCCATGACACTTTTTATGTTGTTACATTTTTATGGATTGGAATATTTACCGCTTCACTCTTCTCCGGCGACTAGTTAATTATTATTATATCATTTAAGTTATTTATCGCCATTTTATTACATAACCTAAAACAATTGCTATTTTTAAATATTTTTCTGCGTGTGTTAGGTTGCAAACATTAAGAATCCTATAAATATTTTCTAATTAAATTTTTTCTCTGCACGGTTCTATAATTGAATAATTTGCTAAACGGTGAGTAAGTTATTAAAACGATGATTGGGCTATTAAGTTTACAGACATCAACAAAGTAGTCAATATTTTATGGAATTGAAGGAGAAAAGTGAGAAATTCAAAGTCAAACCGTAGAAAAACACAAATTTGCCGTTTCATTGCATTTATTATTTTATTTTATAATTATATTTATCGTATTATTTTAATGAATTCAATAATGTATGTACATTTCTCTTATTACCTTCATAAAACCTTTTTAAAATTTGAGTAATTTTAAATTATATGTCAGCGTAATTTTAATTAAATCCACCATGACTAACCGCAAATCCCTATTCAACCTCTCAATAATCTTTTCGTGTGACTGCTCAAAGAAATCGAAATTATAAAGCGTTGCAAAACAGTAAAGTGCAACGTTTTTGTTGAATTAATTCTCGTTCGTTTTTCATTTTCACTTTTGAATGCATTTTACAATACGCAAAGAAGTAGATGATTGCAATTGCTATCGCAACTCATCAAATTATTTTCGTTATTTTCTTATGCGCAAGTATTACTATTAGTGAATGGTCATTTTTTCCGGTGCACTAATAAAGCAAGTGTGCGTAAGTGCCCACTGATTGTACTTAATAAATAATAAAGTCACCTGCCTTCACTTCATTTTACTGTACTTTTCTTTGCGTGGTCGTGATTATTGAAGTTCTTGCGACCGTTATTAGACGGGCAGAAAATGTGAAAATCAACGTTTGTGTCATTAGACGCGCTTGCGCATTCGGTGTTGCGTAATGTTCCATCGAATTATATCCTCGTTAGAGAGGTTAGAGTGAGGTTAGGTTGACATTTCTATATGTATGAATTGTAAGAAGACATAATGTTATAATTATTTGAAGATGTTGAATAGGTTATTATGCAAAAAATACAAATTACGACAATATTGTGTCAAATTGCATACAATCAAGTTTTTAATACCAGATGGCGTAGCTTTCAATGAAAATTTATACTAAAATAACCTCAAAAGTAATTTTTTGACGTTTGCTATGTCAATATTACGAATACAAATTTCCCATTAGAAAAAATAAGTGAAATGTTAATTATTATGTTCTCTTATCACTTTCTAGTGTTAATTTTCCCATAAATCCTATTTTTAGAATTACATTCTAAAACTTATTGAAAAGTTACGAACATTTTGTATGATTTTTGATATTAGTATGCATTAGTCGCATCAAACACTCTAATTATGCGCCCCTCAACAATCACTCGCCGCTGGTCACTACTCATCGGCGCCGTTGTATGAAATACGAATAAAATCGTCGGTGTTCGACTCGCACAGTTTAATTCAGCGCGGCGCTCCGTCTAAGCGCGTTCTTGAAACAAATTGCACAGCAACGCGACTTGATTGTACTTAGATTTTATTTTATTTATCGTTATTTAACACATTTTAGCTATCTTATTAAGTTTGTCGCTGTGCAAATAAAAATAAGCGTGAAACTTTATTTACTTATTTAATTTGTGATTTGTGATTTTTGTCAGTAGTGCCAGTAGTAAGAGAAAAGAAAATGTCGCGAATTCAAGAATGGTACGTGGGGAAAACTATATTTATTACCGGCGGGACTGGATTCATGGGCAAGGTGTTGGTGGAGAAGATTTTGCGTTCTCTGCCAGATGTTAAGAAAGTTATTTTGTTGATTCGGCCTAAACGAGGAGTTGATCCTATGCAACGTTTGGAAAATATTAAAAATTTACCGGTATGTACATAATTAGAAATTAAAAAACATTGACAATCTTGAAAAAACTACAATATCAATAATTACAACACATTTTAACTAATACTAATCTTTAAAGAGAAAAAAGAGTCGAAATTTAACAAAGGTAGATCTAACCTTGGAAGTTTTTGTTGGTGAACGGCCATTAATCAAACGGCTTTGATCTTGAAATTCACAAATGTTACAATACAGAAGTTGGGTTATACAGATAATGTATATCGCGCATGCGCGATATTGTTACGCGTGTTAAAAAACTTATTTCAAGTTATTTCATACCTTAAAAACGTAGGTTTTACATGGTTTATTTTACAACTATTTAAACTAATATATTTAAAACTTCAAGCGTTTAGTTTATGTTCTACGCTAATAAATACCCTTGACATGTCTATTAGAGATTCTTTCAATCAAACGCATTTATGTTCATCAAAATATGTTCAAAACGGAATAAAATTATCGGTGTCAATAAAATTCAATGTATATATCGACGCCTTTGTTATTTAACGATATAAAACAGAGTGCAAACTGTAATTCAGTGTTGATATTATTCACTATAAACAGAAAATATATTTAAGCACATACGCATGCATCACATATAGTGGGAGTAAAGTTAGGTTATGTCTAGTAGGCGGAGCATGTTCTAATATTTAAATATTAAAATATGTTTGTCAGGTTTTCGCTCGATTAAAAATAGAACGTCCAAAAGCTCTGGATAAACTTGTCATCATCGAAGGAAACTTAGAAGTGGAGAATTTGGGATTAACGGCCGCTGACAAACGTAAACTGATTGAAGTGTCGGTGGTTATGCATATGGCGGCGACTCTTCGCCTGGAAGCTGAAGTAAAAGACGCCGTTGTTGCAAACACAATCGGCACCAAAATGATTCTCGATTTGTGCAAAAACATGAAAAATTTACAAGTAAGTAAAAGTATTCCACGCCATAAATTTTCTTCTATTACATATTTATTACTCGAAACAAATTTGCATCGGAAATTGAATGATTTGTGTGATTTGAATGAAAATCGACGCGCTCATTGCGTTATTGCGTATCGACTGCGTAATTACACGAATAGAAAAGTTTCAACACGATCATCGTAAATTACATTCTTATTAAATACTAATAATATGTACATGTGAATAGCAATTTTCGTTACTGCATCGCAAAACTACGATTTGTTTGTGTGCACTTTGAAGCGAATAAAAAGTGCGCGTGCGATCTGAAAAGAAAATAGAAAGTAATCAATTCGTTGTTGATTGACGGCAAACTTGATTAAAAAACTATCTAAAAAACGAGCTGGTGCAATACAATACACCATTTATCATCCAGTAAAAATGTTATCACATGTCAAAAAACTGTTTTTTACAGTTTCCTGTTTAATACTTAATTAATTTTGTTGTTTGGCACTGGTGGCGTCATAAAATAAAAGTTTGATTAAATATTAACATAATGGTAATTATTTTAGTGTTTTATACATTTATCCACGGCGTTTTGCTATCCGGACAAGGAGATTCTCGATGAGAAGGTCTACGAGCCGCATCGCGATCCGTACGAAGTGATGAAATACGTGCAGACTGAGAACGAGGAGGTGCTGAAGAGAAAAATGCAAGAGTGAGTGTCTTTTTTTGCACTTGCGTTCGCTTCAACTATTTGCGACATCGCACAAAAATGGAATACGTTACAATGTCGCATTGGATTAAACAAGTTTGTTGCAGAATTTTAGGCCCACATCCAAACAGTTACACATTTTCAAAACGCCTAGCCGAATGGTTAGTAAAAGACTATGCGAAAGAATATCCTGTGGTAATTGCACGTCCTTCGGTCGTGATTCCAACATTTCGTGAACCTATGCAAGGATGGGTTGATTCTCTAAACGGACCGATTGGTGTTATCGCTGCTGCAGGCAAAGGCGTCTTAAGAAGTATGTTGTGTGTTGAAAGTAATCTAGCACAAATCATTCCATGTGATTTGGCAATCAATGCACTTCTTACCATACCAACTGAAAGAGAAAAAACTAAGTAAATATTTTCTCTCAGAAATATTAACAAAACAAATCATAACATATAAATAATATTAACTTTAGAGACGACATGTTGGTTTATAACCTCAACGTCCCAAGAAACGTAGTGGCGATCTCATGGGGTGAGATACTTAACCTAGGCCAGAAGATCATCAGTCAATATCCATTTGAATGGATGTTGTGGTATCCAGATGGCGCTCTACGCACTAACGTTTACATTCATTGGTTGGTTTTGATTCTATTTCAATGGATACCAGCCATATTTCTCGACATGTTGTTCTTTTTGATTGGCCGTGAACGATTGTAAGTAGTTATAACATAACCTAACTTCAAATATATACTAATTTTGTTTTCTGTAAAATTGTTTAGTATGATTCGTGTACAAAAGAAAATTATGGTTGGTTTGGACGTCCTGCAATATTTTACAACGCGTGCTTGGCAATTCGACACAACAAACTACGAGAAAATGTCTTATGCGGTCACTGGTAAAGACGAAGAGATATTTTACCATTTGAATGTCACTTACGACCTAACAGATTATCTCACTCAAACCTTACTGATGGTTAAGAAGCATATTTTCAAGGAACGATTCGAGAATCTGCCTTATATCCGTCTACATTATAAATTGTAAGTAAAAATTTAAAATATAAAAAATAATGGCGGTGTCAGGCAAGTTTTTGTTGTTTTGTTGACACTGAACTTGAACTATAGCATCAATCAAGTTTATAGTGTTTTAATGCACACTAATAGTAGTTGTGTGAATGTATCTAATATGTAATTATCGTTTTACAGTTTATGGTTGTTGCATAATACAATCAAGTTCACCTTTCTCGGCGTAATGGTACTCTTCGTTGTGCGCCTTCTAGGCATCGACGTATTACTCAGTCGATCTTGTTTCCACGGTTAACTCACTTAATATTTACTCTACCAACATTTTTTGTTAATATTTTGAATATATTGATATCAATGGTCAAGGTCAAAACAAAATATGGAAAAACAGTCTAATATCCAACAAATACAATAATTATTTACGTGTTAATCTAAGCTTTTAATTAGGAATGTGTATAAACGGTGTAAATTATTATGTAATTGTTGAAAAAAACAAAGAAATAAGCAATATTTGCATAAATAAACGTAGATATTTATTTTGGTAATGTTACGTGTGTGCGAAAATTGTACAAGCGCATGTAACAACGCGTAACGAGCAATGGGCGCAATTAAAAGCAATCAAATCATCATTATCGACATTACCGAACCCAAATTGCCGCCGACATTCGGCTGGTTCGATTGAGATGTTCCATTTTAGAAAATGTCATCGTAATTACATTCAAATAAACGTAAACGTCAATTATTTCCTGTTTTGGGTAATTGTTTTCGTTAGGTAATTGTGGTTTACGACAATTATTCACATTAGAGACATCGTACAGTGTGTCCAACAATTAAAGGCGAATTTAGCGTTTTCTATAAAAAATATTAGTACCTTTTACACGTGCAGGTACCAATCGTAATTATGTTTTGCTTGCAATACGCGAATTGTGAAATAGTGTTTAATGTTCGATGTGCATATTTAATTGGTGTCTATGTTTACTACTAATAATATTTTGCAAGGCAATTGTTAAATAATTTGTCTTAAAACTCACAAAACATCAAATTTGATCATTTTAAAGAAGGTAAACACTACTCTGTGTAACTAAAACAGTGAAGTCTATTTATAGACACTGGTAATGTATTAAATTGAGATTCGTGAATGCTCTACGCTGTATTTTAATTCATAAATATCACAAATTTTGCGCAACGCTAGGAATGAACGTCTAAATTCCGAAATAAGCGTACAAAAAACATTTAACTGTCTTCAGCTGAACAAATATCCACAATACTTTGCACTTTTTCATCAAAATCAAATCCTTCGCATTCCAATTTCCATTCACGTAAAGCATCCAACGCTCGTAATAATTTCTCCTTCTCTTCATCATCTTCACATTTACTTTTTAACGCAGTAATGAATTCATCATCACTAACATCTAGCTTAGAAAACAATTCTTTGATCAATTCAACGTAAGAATTCATGACTGTTTCCGTTACACTCTTCGGATTCAAAATGGCCGCCATTTTAATAATAGCCACCGTTAATTTGTAACATTTCATACCAAAAGCGCTTAAAACATAGTCGATCGATTGAAATACAAAACCAACATCTTCAGTAATATCAAATTCATCCGCATAACCTTTGAGTATTTCATGCAACTCGCCGAAAACGACGATTTTATGCTCGTCTACTTTTCGTCTAATAGCTGCCGTCGCCGGTGTTTCAATCGCTTGACAATACACCGCCATATTTACTAAAACTTGCAATAAATGATTCATGTTACGTTTCACAACATCCGTTTTGTACGCGTCTGTTTCTGAATCATTTTCCGAATCGTAAATTACTTTGAACGCGGTAAAACATGCCTCTAACAAATTCTCATGTAAAAATTCAACGGGTAACTTCTTATCAGAAGTCATTTTATCAACTGCATCCAGTGAAATCTCTAATAATCCAACGTTCATTGAATTATACAGAATGAAGATGATTTTCTCCATGATTTCTACATTAGCAAACTCGATTTTCTCAGCTTTGAATGCAATTACTTTTACAAAACGCATCAATTGAATCAGTATTAAGTGATCATCAGTATCAATATGATCCAATATAATAGGTAAATGTTCGGATTTTAATTCTGGCGTTGAGTCTGGTGTGCAAATATTGCCTAGAATGCCAATTAAGATCTCAATGAGTCTGTGGTTAATGTCTGCTTTGAGGACAGTGCATGCAATGGCTGGAAAATTCAATTCAAACAAGAATTTGCAGACATCTTCTTCCACAGTCATATCCCAAATGAAACAAAGATCATTTTCAAGGTCTTCTCCCCAAATGCAGTTGATTTCTTCAAGGTTATTAAATCTCATAAGTGTTTTGATGACAAAAGATTGGTTGTACATGGTGTCTCCAATTTGGTCGCCCTTGAGTTTCGCTTTGGTGTCGTCGTCGATTGAGGTGCTTTCCATGTTGTAGTGGCGTGGTGAACCACCGGGAGGTCCGAGGGGTTTGCAAACTTCAGGTGCCGAGGGTTGTGGTTCTTCTGAGGGTGTTTCAGGGGCTTCAGTGATGGCACAATCTATGTCAGCCATCTAAACAATCATATTCGTGCATAGTATGTTATAATAAAAGATTTACATTTATTACCTTTATCAGTGTATATCAAACAAGCTTCTTGGTAAGTTTATTTCACAGTTGTTCAATATTTAAACTGTTTATTTACTTATTTATGTTTGTAACCTCAAGCGAATGATTAACTGTCATATAGATGTTAATTTATGACCTTGAACATAATTTACAAAAATCTAGTAAAAAGCTACCATGATTCTTGTTAAATAATTAATGTTAATTAACAAAGTAATGCAATGAATTTATATTAAACATACATTTGTTTCGCTTATTTGTTTATTACAATTTATAGTAGTATTTAAAATCGACTTGTTCAATATTACTTATGTGTAGACCTTTTGTAGATAGATGGCAGCATGTATATTATTTTGTTATTTTATTCTTGGTTTTACACACACGAATCATTAGAATCGGATTTGCAAATACTTCTGCTTTTCTCTTCTGGCAGGAACTCTCCTTTGTATAATTATATTCTGTACAAATTATTACGTTTTATTTAATTTAAAATATATTCTCAATGATTCGCTGATTGCATAATCAAACAAGGAAATGGTGTTAATAAACTTTTCGCAGCAGTAACCAATTAAATCAATCGACACAAGATTGAAAATTGCAACAGAATATGCAACATTAGTTCAAATTATGAAATATTTGCCATTGTGGGTTACATTTAGCGAATGTATCACGTACTGTCAATAAAACCACCCCTAAAACTTCCCCGCGAGGGCGCAAAAGTTATTGGCGAACCTCAGAAGACTTCTTCATGCGTGGCATACAGATAAACCTACAGAAAACATGCGCTAGTAAAGTGACTACAGTGTACGTTATTGACTCGAAACTCTTATCTCTTAGCAACTTTTATCAAGTCCATATGATCACGTGTGCTTCAAAACCAGTGATGCCCAATCAGCAAAAGTGTTGTATCCACGAACTGTACACGTAAATGAACGTTATGAACGTCATCGCTGCGGTCACATTAAAATCTCGGTCAAAAACTATCGCGTCGAAAAATGTACCATGATGATTTCCGTAAACCAGTAGATGAGCTCACCAGGAAGTTCCTATGCGGTTTCCCAATAAAAACCATCACTTGGGATGTAAGAATTTAAACCTAATCAAAGATAACCTCAGAAATTATTAAATGAAATTTGCAGGAACGATTGAATAATTCGGATGCCCAGCGACTTCTTGTTAACAGCACTATAAATCACTTGCGTAACATTGCTTTTCCTATAAAGCGTTCCTATCAAAAAGCATTTTTAAAATGGGTTATAAATAATCTTGAACGAAACACTGAGACTGAAATACAGGATTGTGTTTACAATGCTTTATGTAATTTAGTGAGTGAAGCTGATGCTGATAATGTGAACTATCATAAACATTATTTGACTGAGTGTAGTGTAGTGAGTTTATGTGAGAGCGAAAAGATTATTTCAGAGGGCACGACTGGTGAGTATTTATAGATAGCTGTGAAGTCTTCCAAATGTGGGAAGTAATATCAACAAATACATTCTAAAGTTAAACAGAGATAATGCTATCTATAAAAAAAGTTAATATCCTGTTTATATCTTAATATATATAAATCTCGTGTCACAATGTTTGTCCTCAATGGACTCCTAAACCCCTTAACTGATTATAATAAAATTCGCACACCATGTGCAGTTCAATCCAACTTGAGAGATAGGGTAGTTTAAATCTCAAATTATAGTCGCAATTTTAATTTATTGCTAATTATTTGTCTGTTATTATTTGACAGTCACAATTATCTGTTAATTCCAAATGATTTTAACTGATGTTGATACCTTTCGACTGTTATTATTATTAGTTGACAGATAGAAACTCATTTTGACAATAATTATAAAAGTGAATGAATTTGTAAATTTAGAAATGGAAACTGTGAGTTTTAATAATGGATGTGGCACATATACCTAGCTAAAAAAGTCTTTCAGAAATTTCGAAAATATTTGTGAAAGATAAGTCGGGACAACGTTCGACAGGGCCGCTAGTATTTCTATATATTTAGTAATGTAAATGACAGTGACATTACCATGTTTTGTTGCTAAGATACAGATTATTTGGCATTTGTTGACATTTTGTTCATGTTTTATTCACTTGCAATGTGTTTTACACACATGAATCCATATTTATATATGTTTTTGTGCATTTTACTACCCTTTGCTCAGTTATTTTTGCTTGCATTGTAATTCCGGTAACATTTATGTAGTATTTTTGTATATTTTGTTAGTAAATTATGTTTTGTTTGTTTATCAAAGGTTTGAGCACGTGGCAAGCAGCTCTTGTTCTCTCCGAATGGTGCGCCTCGAATAAGTCCTTTTTTAAGGGCAAGACCATTCTAGAACTTGGCTCCGGTTTGGGTTTGGTAGGATTATCACTTGCTTTGAACTGTGAACCCAAACACGTAGTCCTCACAGATTGTCACCAAAAGGTGTTAAAATTATTGAGTCAAAACGTCACTTTAAACTTGACATTATCAAAAATCCCACAAATCATCCGAATGCTGAAGATTATTTACGAGGTGTTGATTGTCTTGTAAGGGGGTGTGTTGAAAGGAATGAGGGTGGCACACACACACGTAGTTTAATTAGTGTAGTCCGCCATTGTTGGGGAGAAGATGATAAAGCATTCGCGGATAACATAGGCGCTGATATAATATTAGCTGCCGATGTTGTTTATGACTCATCTTTGTTTCCTGCTCTTACTACTTGTATAAATGCATTTTTACAAATGAAAACTTTTGGAGATACCAAACCGGAGCTGGTTCTAGTTTGTACTGAGAGGAATTCATGCACTTTGGAAGATTTTTTAAAATTACTTAGTAAGTTTCAGTTTTTTTCTTATTCTTCTTTTTTTTTGTTTGAAATTTTGACTGAATACTTATGAATTTATTTATTGTTCCAGAAGAGAGTTGTCAAGTCACCGAAGAAGCAATTCCGGAACAAAAGTGGTTCGTCTGGTCAACCGACACGCCGATTAGATTGTTCAAAGTGATCGCCAACTAAGGTAGGACACACTTTTACTTATTCATAGCTGGAAATAGTTCTAATTGCGGTTTGACTTAACTAACCAAACAGTAAACGGTACATTTATGTCTGGTTAATTTAAGTAAGAAGAGCTCGGATCAATTATGTATTTATTGTGAGGCTATGTAGAAGTTGAAAGTCGATTTGGCTTTTGAATTGCTAATCTCAATCGATGCATAAATTAAGTGCACGAATTAAGAACTTGTTGAATTGGGTGCGGACGTCGTGCTGATTTCCGGTTTAATGAGCATTATTTATGCAAATTGATGGATTTGGCTAATTTCACTTTTTTTTTTCTTAAATTGGGTTTCTAATCTATCATATTATCATGTTTTATTCCATTCTTCTTTATTTCGCATCAAACCTGACATATTTATACTGAATTTCTTTGTTTTGATGTATTGGTAATGGAAAAATCCAACAGGTGGCGCAACGTGTACCACAATTGTAATTTTATGATAGTAAATTCTCATATATTTTATGTGTTGGAGACTGAGCAATAATAACATTTACAACAACGAAAAAAAACAAAGAATAAAACCACACGCAAGTGTTTAAATTTGTGTAGTTTCGATTAGTTTTCTTGAACAGGTCAAATGCCAGCCTCTATTTACATAATCGAAATCAAAGACAAAGGCGCGCAACTAGCCGCTGGGGAGATGCGTACGTCTAATTTATGCACGTAACTTGTGTGCGGTGCGCCGGCGTTTACCGCTGCGGGTGATTTGGATGTGGCGGGACCAAGTGCGCGTCAATACAACAACTAAAAACCAGGCGCGCGCGGGTTTTGAACAAAGAAATAATCACCTTGCACCCGCTTGCCTCTTTGAACTTTTCGTTTGGTGATGAGGGTCATGAACTTGGATTTTTAACAGCATGAATATAAAAAGAAACAAGCAGTGGAGATGATATAAATAAATATTAACAATATTCTTGAAGCACCAAGGTTAGAATAGGAATTTATTGGTTAATACTTGATTAATTGGATTTCTATATTGTCCTGTTTTCGTTTTATTGCGAGTTTAATTCTTTTTAGTACTATTCGATTATTTATGATTTAATGTGGTGCACTGATATAATACTCGTGTTTGGTTCCAAATTCGTGTAATTACTCGCGCGCATGTTGCGCAGTCGGGCATGTTAGAGGTTTGGCACTTCCGGTGCGCGTCGCATTTTAGGTTAGAATGCAGAATGCTCTAATCTAGTGAGCGGAAGTAGGCAGAAACAATGCATGACTGCGACGGCGTTTCGCTGGTGCAGCAATGCGTGAACAACAAAAACCTGTGTTCACACAGAAACTTACAAAAAAATTGAAAGTATGAAGTTTTTTGCGGTTAAAAAATTAGATTTTTATGAAAATTATATGAAAAAAAAATCCACAGTTTTTAATGTAATGTTTAAAAGAAAATTTATTGACCTAGATGTTATCTACGTTATGATTATTAGTAATTTGTATTTTTACCATTGACAACAGGAAGTTGTCTATGCCCGTCAACGCCTCACCGATTACAAATCACAATGCGAAACAATAGCTCTAGCGAAACAAATCGAGAAAAACTCAACCATTATTAAATATTTTGGTAGACAGACAGTAAATACAATGCGGCGCCACGTGCGCGCACGTTTCCTATCGCGCGCACGCTGCACTTTCTTTTCATTAATATTTATGGCGTTACGTTTATCGAATGCGATCGTTCAAGTCTCCACGTTTGTTCGTCTGTTAGCGCAGCGTTGAAGTCACACGACACTCGCGACGTGCGCGACATGCAAACACTACATTTATATTATAGTTTATACAAAAACAATATTTATATCTTGTTTGTGTATGTGGTTAAAAGTGTTTTAAGACAATAGAAAAATTTGATTACACGTTACGCTCGCTTGAGTTTGTAGATTTGCGTAGTTGAGTTGTCGTCTTGTCTTAAGGTGGCTCACCTCGTGTCGTCTTCGGTCTGCAGCGTATTAATTATACACGTTTTGCATATCAATATAGGAATGTCCTGTGTGGCTGTTTGTGGCTTGGTTAGTATGTGTTTATGTGATTTAGCGGAATCTGGCTATTGTTTTGTCTTCCATGGAAAAACTATACGCGAGGCGACACACACGACATGACAACGACATGACATGACAATAAAACAGCTCGTTGTGTAGTGTATTTAAGGCGAGCCAGGTGAGAAGAAGTTTGCTTGTGTACAGAGAGGAGAAAACAAAGAAATGCTTAATGACAAATATTGCCCGCTAAATATGCATTATGAGAAGAAAGGTGTAGTCGCTTATTAGTCAATCGGCTTTGTTTCTAGTACATACTTGGAGAGAAAATGTTGAGGGCAGATGCTAAGTTGTGAAATTATCGTACAAAGTCTCGTATAAATTATGAGATTGTTTACAATGTAAATATCAGTACAATTTCACTAAAATTTTATATTTGAAGTAAGTTGAGAGATGAAATTTGAGGTTATGATGTAGGAGATTATTTTAAATTATTTTCTAGTTGTTATAAACAATTATTTTGTTTTTGCTTTATTTTGTGTATTCAAGCGAATATCCTGGCGCCTCCACCATCTACTCTTAGTTTTTTTGTTTCGTTTAGTGATTAATCTTTATTATTATATCTTCTATGCATAATATAGCAATATAGGTATTTTTATTTTATTCCTTCGAGTAAAAGAATGAATCGTTGAAGTACTTACTTCGTAATAACTCAATTTTGAACTCGGTATTCTCCGATTTTTATGCATTTTTGACCGTGATTTTTTCGTAATCTACCTTTGAACCGTTAATTGGCTGTAATGATTCCCCGAGCTTTTCATAAAACGGTTTACGAGCGCATAAATATTGTTCTCTTACGAATGCACGGATGATTTGATGGTTGCGCTAACTTTACTTAACTGACTGCACGTTATTCGTTTGGTATGTTCATTTTCTTTTCGTTGTTGTTTTGTTTTTTATTCTGTTCATATCGTTTAAGTTTTGCCGCTGCGCTGCGCTGCGCTGAGATTTATGAACGTTAACTAAATGTTGTAATGTCATTACCGGCTCGAGCCGCGCGCGAGTTTTCTACTTTTCTCGTACTTTTCTTTGCCTTTTTTCCTCGTTTTAGATTTGTAATTAAACTCGGCGCTGGTGGTGATATTTGAGGAGTGATTTAAAGTGATCATTAGATTCGGACTGTTTTACGATCGAACTAAACTACCTACGAATATATACAAAGTGTTTTTTCAAATAATTTTTAATATTTAGTTTTATTTCTGTTGTTCCTGTATATTTACTTGCCAAGGACTTTCTACGTGTGGGTTTGAGATGCTAGTTTTCATATTTACTTATTACCTTTGAGGGCTGAACTTTAATCGCGGCGTTTTAATGAATCCAAACGCCTAATCAGAATCGAAAACGAAATTTTAAAAAGTAGGACAAACCCAGCGTGTTTTATTACATCCTAGGTACCTACATATATTTGGGTTCGTTTTTTTCTTCTGGCTGCCAGTTTCTGTATTAATTTATACTCTCTGGTTTTTCTTCTTTTTTCACTTTGCGGAGATAAGAAACTAAATGAATGCCTTTTTTACCGACGCGCCCAGCTTGCATCGAGATTCGAGCGTTTCTTGGAATCGTTTTTATTCTCATTTGTTATTCTCATTCTTATTTTGATTCTCATTCACGTGTGGAGTATTTTCTAGAGCGCTTTTTGTGGGCAAATTTCGGGCTCGGAAAGCTTCCGAATGTGAAACTCGGACTGGGCTCCGCTTTTTTTTTGCTTTTGTTGTCCGGATTTCGTATTGTTTTTATTCCCGGCGTCAGAAACACGGCGAGTTTCTTGACCTCGCCGCCGGGGCCAACTTTTTGACATTGTTTTAAATGGCCCTTCTACATCATTGCCTTATCTGATTGTTTCGAGCGAGTTTTATTACTTCATTGTTGTTTTTTTCTTGCTGTAAGTGTCAATTTGATTAATGTTGGAGCAAAATATTGAGACAATTAAAACTATTATTTAAATTAATACTTAAATTTAATAATAGATGGAGCAACTTGTCCTTTGTTGAGCGGGAAACATAGATGTCGCTATTATATTTGAAAATTTCTTGTAATTAGTTAAAACCGGCAGAATTTTTGGGATTTTTTTTGCTGACGTAAAAGGAATAAACTTAAACTTCTCGAAACGTCGTCGATGATGCGGAGTGCGTGACCGCTGCGCGGCATCGCTGGAATATTTAATAACAGTCGTTTGGGAAACGCCGGTAATTATGGGAATCGAAACGCCGACGCTCGGCGGTCCGAGGCCTTAATGTTTAAACGGCACCGCAACTTCTTCTTCGTCATCGTCGTCAGTTCTCCTCTTCTTCTTCTCCTGTTGACTCGTTCTTCTCGCACGATTCTCCTTCGTCGGAGATAATTATTTTAACAAACCTTTAACGAGAGTGTTTGTTTGGCTCGAAGCCGCCGCGAGGCAGGAAGCGCCAGATTTTCTGTTCCACGAAGAAAAAGAGTCGAAAACAAACGAGAAATGTCAATGTCAAGTTTACAATCAGATGACCACGAACTAAAAATACATATTAGAATATATTCAAGAAAACACTTTTAAAAAATTAGAAATATATGAAATTCTTACTTTAAATTAACTGTTTCATTCGATTTTTGTTCAATTTTTTATATCAGTTTCTCAATTTACAAGTTTTTACTTTCTCATGCAAATACTGCACTAAATTTGCATTCGTTTTGTCAATTTCTCACAAATTTCTTGTATGCCTCTTGTTGTTATTCAGTATTTGTACTTTTATATTCCAAAGACGATGAGTCCCACTGACCTAGTGCAGCGACGACCGCCACAACTACAATAAACATAAAGCAAACAAAAAAAAACACGCTTCAAATACGAGTAAACGCTTGTGAATGACGATGAATGACAATGGATGAAAACGAATTGAACAAATCTGCACGCGCGTGCAAAAGGCACACTTGTTGTTCGAAATTTCATCCATCACGACCCAGTTTTCCGCCGCTTGGGCGCCCGGTGTGTGCATCAGCAATAATAAAAATAAAAATCGAAGGCGAAGCAATAAATCGAAAATCAGAGGTCCGCTCGGCTACTATCAAAGCATTGGAAATCGAGGCGCGAGGTGCATGTGTGCTGCTGCTCGCAGCTGGCGACGCCACATAAAGTTTCTCTGCCAGAGATTTCAATTTTCTAATTTATTTCTAATTATTATTTGAGGCGATTGAGGTAAACCATTAGAAACGCGACTTGCTCGCGATTTAATCGCTTGCGGTCTTCGATCTGGGTCTCTTGTGCTGTTACAAAACCACATTGGTGAAGATTGAAGATTGAAATTTCGACAATTTGTTTATTTAGTTTTTCATCACTAGCCCTCTGGTGTGTGTCTGACTTAAATCTGTTTTAAGTTTTATACTTTTTTTTCATCTCTTCATCTTCAACACTTGAATGTCTAGAGGAAAATTGCCCGACGCCTCGTTCAAAACGTGATGAATTTGCCGGCGCTTTGATTTCGATTCTCGCCTCGGGGCTTGAGCTGTGGCGAGATGTAGCGCCTCCAATTAACGAACAAAGCGGCGACGCGCCGCACCGCGCCAAAGGAACATATAGTTTATACCAGGGTAGAAGATGTTTCAGAATGATTTGTGCGTGTGTGTTGGAAACATTACTAAGTAAATTTATTACCAATTGCGTCTGCACTCTCTAAAATGTTCATCTGCCGCAGAAGGTGTTCCTAAAAAAGATCTAGCGTTATGGTGTGATGAAAAAAAGTATAGTACAGGAAGTGGTTTCTTGATTTCTACTTAGTTCAATTTACTTTTTGCTGTTGATATTGTGCTATGAGCGGCATTTGTGTGCGTCTTCGTCTGGTTATTCTTCTTGTTCTTCTTTGGAGCCGCTGGACGCCGAACCAAACTCGTTCCCGTGCTTTGGGGTGGCCCGCGTTTTCGGCCTTCGGTTCCATGCGTGCGCTAGATGCGTGCGTGTGGGTTTTTTCTTCTCGCCGGAGCTGAAGAGTGCACGGATGTGGCCGATGATGATGATGATGCGTGCCGCGGCGGGCGGAGACGTGCTCGGGCCAGGCGAGACAAGACGGGACCACCCGCCAACTCGTTTCGTTCGTCCACTGCGCGTTTGCCCTTTAGGCTTTTGGGTACTGCCAAGACAAAGGATTTGCTGCTTCCTTGGTTTCCTGCGAACACATTTTAGTATTATTATTCTTAAAGACAGTTCACTATTAAAATTTTAATAAATTTGTTAAAGAAGACTTTCAGCAGGAAGTTCTTCACCATTCTGTTTTCTTTCGGCTCAGATTTCGGTGTGAACACTACCCCATTTTTATATGACTGTTACAAATTCATAGTGTCCTTCTCTGCGTGCCTAAGAATCCTCTAGAGAATTTTTTCATTGGTATTTTCCAAATTCGAGAACACTCTATTTTGTTGTATTTCTGCATTGATCCCAATGCAAAAGATTGAAACTTTGATTTGCAATGAGTAATGCAACTGGCTGGGTTAGTGTGAAACTCGCTGGAGGATAACCATCATAGGTTGGTCTTAAAAGATTTTTAAAATTAATTTATTCGTTCAATTACCACATTCAATTACAAACATTCATAAATAGACACATATACAAACACATTGACCTATCATTTTCCCTGTTATTTGGTGGCTTCTACTCGTGGTGATTGCGGCCCCGTAATGGTGTGTTATACAAGCGGTGCCCCCAGTACACCGCGGTCACCACCAGAACCCCTATACCCACCATGATCAAGAACGATAGCCACACAGCGGTGGACGAGGTATTCTCATTGAACAGCATGGCTTTAAAAATTTCTTTCAAATTTTCAGGAAGAACCTATAGGTAGATGTAAATTTTTATAACTCTATTTTGATATGATATGGTTAATGTACATTGAAACAAACTTACAATGGACCATGGCTCATCTTTGATAGGGTTTAAATGCTCTTTCATTGCGTTGCCCAATATTGGCAATAGAAAAAATAAAAATGCAAATTTCTTCATGTTTGAAAGATGACTGGGGAAATTGTGCAAACTGCCTTGTTCCCCACCTTTTGCGACTCTATTTCGGGGGAAATTCATTTATAGAAAATCACTAAAGCATTTGCTGCATACAAAGCTTTTTGAAAACGAGGTTTTAGAACAAATGATACTTCTCACCTGAGTTTCTTATCGGGTAGATAAATTCTGAAGTTAGCAATGGATTTATAGTATCCTCAAATGTCTTTTAATTTCACTTATGATTCCCGGGCATTTGCCACATTTTATATAACTTGTTCCAGGGCGTGAATGTTTATAAATCTCCGTTTATAAAAACGTGCAATTTTAGCTTGCTGTTTATTGGATACGACGTGTATAGAGTGCTACTGACGAAGAGCATTTGCCGAGTTTTTTTTGTAAACGTACAGGTTACGCTATTAAAAGAATAGAATTGATTTTTAAAAGATTAGAACTAGACTAATTGCTTTATTCAATTCTTATACAAAATTACAAAATTTATAAATAACCGAATGAAGAACAGTTTTACTCTCTTCTTCCGTTTTGTATTATAGTCCTTGTTCTTCATCGATACTGCCGTTTTATTGGTTATTACTTCATATTTTCTTCAGTCTTCCTGTAATTCTCTTTCCTTTGGTGACTTTGCTATTCGTACAATCCCATCCTCTCTCAGTCGTGTCAATTGCATGCAATTCTATAATGACTTCGATCCTGAATCCATTTCTGAATCCATGTTGTTCCTATTACACTCTGCTCTTCTGACCATCCTTCTTATTTCGCCTCTTAGCGTCTATACGTCTTAATATTAACATTTCGCTAGTTTCAAGGAGTTGTTTAGTGATTTGATCTACAAGCCAGGATATACAATCCTCGTTTTTGTACTTATGTGTTTGTGACGTTATTACTTATTTACTTAAGTTAAGTCAAAAGAAACGCTTTTTTCTTCACCAGGGAGACTATGGGGATGATGCATTCGTTCTATCTAGGTGGGCATCGAGTTTTGATGATTTTGTTGCAATCCGTGAGACACATTACAGCAGCGGGAATACACTTTATAACCACCCCAAATCAACAAAATGATAATACCTCCGCATAGCACCCAGGCCAGCAGCATGCCTGCCACAGCGATTCCTGAGGTTTCATCATTGTGCAATATGGCATTACCATTGTCTTGCCAATCTTTGGGAAGAACCTATAAGATATGAATGACAGTAAAGCAGCTGTTTTTAGCCGGATGTTAATTAGCAATTAATGGTTAATAATGGTTAACGCATGACAAAACCACTTACTTTTAGCGAAGGCTCATCTTTGATACGGTTTAAATACGTTTTCATCGCGTATCCTAATATTGGCGACAGAAATAATAAGACAAGCAATTTCGACATGCTTGTAGTTATCCTGGGCGAAAATGGATATGCTAATGAATTGATTTGAGAAGTGTATTGGGTTGTATTCGTATATGGTCGGCTATCTTCGAGAAGCGCCATCTATTATACAACAATTTGTCAATTGGAAATAGGACTTAGTGCTTATAATAGGAATGTTAGCAAAGTGTTTCATGAGAATTTAAAAGAAAGAAATCGTATTAGACATACCTAAGTTCGTTGTTAGATAGTTTATTCCCGGACGTATCCATGAATGGCTTGCAAAATTTACGGTGCACCACAAACATCATTTAAACTAGGTTTTTCACTTATTATTAATAAATCTATTGATTTAGACGCCTGCTTTGTGCACACTACAATTTTTTCTGGGAAATTGTTTTAAAAACGTGCATTTTTAGCAAGTGTTTACTTGAATCAGACGTGTACTTAGTTCTACTGACGAAGATTACTTGTAGAGCATTTCGTGACTACATCCGCTGGGGTTATCATGGAACATTGCTTATATAAAAGTCTGATAACATATTTTACTGATAAGTAAAACAAACTTGCAATGTATTTGATTAAGTATATATTTACTTTACATTTTGCATTAATATTATTTATTATATTTAGTAGGAGGAGAACATTTGAAAAAGTGTTCAATGTTTTTCTTCCGCAAAATATTACATCCAATATACATCTACTTGCAAATTTTAATTAGGAAAGGGGATTATGACGTCATATCTTGAAAACAGCGCCATCTCACAGTAAATGCATGTATTTTCCGTAAGAGAAGAAGAGGTCTGCTGCGTAATGAGAAAGTAGGGTTAATTTAAAGAATATGTATTTACATTAACATTTCATGATTACAATACAAATTGATTAAATTACAAACATATACGAATATATGCCGTCCTTCTGCGTTGCAGAGCTTCTGAAACGTTGTTTCAAGGGTAGTCGTACCCCTAGCATGTAGTTTGGCCAATGAATTCGTCTTCTTATCGAAGTTTTCCATGTAGTTGTCAGTGGCGTAGTTATCGAGTTGTTGGCGAGGCAGTGTTTTGGGGCCCCAAGGCAGGGGGCCCTCAAATCCTTACCAGAAAGTTTAGTTACCTAGCTACGCCACTGGTACTGGATTCTTGAATACCATTGCGCCCATGCCATTTGATGGCGATTGGTGTGTGGTTAATATACAAACGTTTTTCGTATATTCACACCATCGCTGTTGAATTGTTGGATTATACGATATTCGTCATTGTGTTGTTATGCTTCTTTTTGTATTTGTTGGTACAGCAATGGATACCAGCTGCAACTATCACTGCAATCACGACCAAGATTCCAATACTGTATTTGACGTATGGTGGAGTGGTTTCAAGATATTGTAGAATATCTTGAATTTTTTGAAATCCTTCTGGTGTTGAGGTTATGATGGCCAGTAGTACAAAAAATACTAAAGTAACACCCACTGCAATCCATACGAATTCAGCCATCGTGTTAGAATTTTTAATAGTGTTAACTATTACAATCAGTTATTTTGCTTATATTTTGTTTGCGTTTTACGTGCTAACCGGTGGTAATTCGCTAGTGTGACTGAGCTCGCTGCCGATAGTGTGCTGTGGTCGACCGGGTGTGGCAGAAGATTATTGCGCAATGTTCATTAATTGCTCGAAAAGACAAGAAAATCTATTTTTTTTTTCAATTTATTTAATATTAATTTAAAATAAAACAGCGATAAATATAGATTATATTATTTCTTATCACATTGTTTTCAAAATGAAATTTACGATCTTAAACCCATTACTGCATATAAATGACTTATCAGTTTTCAGTTTGACTTAATAATTTCTCTCGCCAAATAGATGTCTCTACAATGATAGTTTTTTACTTAAATTAAGACATTTCACTGCTTTCATGTTTGAACACACACACATGATGAACACACATGTTTCAGACACGCTCGGCGCAGGCTCAAACCTGTTCAGTTTGAACCCCTCGCATTACGCTTAGTGGGTGAAGGCTTATTATTTTTTCTGCTTTGAGTGTCTTTTATGAGCTTATGAATGATTACTTCCTGCAGTGGTTTTTATTCTTCGCCTACATAAAACTGAACAACTACCTGAGTAGCGATGGGAAAATTTCAGGCATTATCTCGTGTTCAAACGGTCGCGATGGCCAAGTTTCTCAATCAAAGAAATACATTAGCAGCCAGAGATCGGTTTTTACGCACGGCAGGTAGAAACCGAATCCGGGGATTTCGGGGAAGATTTGATAAAGGCGAAAGGTTCGCATTGACCGTGTTTGAACGGACGGACAATAGGTGATTATTATTTAAGTACGGCGTTTTGGTAGGTAGGCATTGCTTGAAATTTTGAAACAAAAACACGAATGATAAAATATTTATTCTAATCTGCTTATATTTAGTACAACGCCTGCGTTTTTGTTTTGTTTATTTCAAAAAAGCAGCGTGCAGCGTAGAAAATTAAAAGTAATATGGACATGCGCAACACGCCACACTTATGAGCGTTTGCGCGTGGTGGTGGACGAACTCAACGCAGACAGTCTGACTAGCCGCACGCGAGAATTGAGTCAGTTTTACGCCGATCGTTGTCGGGTGCAGTCGTGTTCCGCGTTCGCTGCTTTGTTTTCTTATCTCGTGCGCGCAGAGTATTTTGTTTACGCGTGTAGTTTTTTTAATAAATTTATTTATGATTCTGTACACCTATCGTTTCGCTTAGGAAATAGGCTGGAATATTATCAGCTGTACAATAAATGTAAGTAAATTTTGGTTCAATTACATATTAAATAATTTGCCAAGAAATGAATTTGTGTAAAAGTACATCAGCGTGGACAGTGTACATTGTTGTTCATTTATTCGTCACGGCTTATAAATAAACTAGCGTAAGCAGCAAACCCACATTGATAAAATAAACGCCCGCTAGCAGGAAAACAATCAACAAACGAAGCACGCGAACAATGCGAGCGTCTTTCATTCCGAAGTTTTTTTTGTTTAACGTTGTGCGTTCCGTAAATTAAACAAAGCACAAAACTTGTCATCGTCGACAATCGAATGTCGGTCGGCCGGTGTGCTAAATCTACACGTTGCAATTTGTCGCGTGAAAACAAAAGCAAAAATTGTCGTGTCGCTGCTTGCGATTTGATAAATTTCACTCATTTCGCCGGAATCTGGGTTACCAAAGAACAAAAAACAATGCAATTGAGTTTACACACTGTTACAAATTGATAGCAAATTAAATTAATCTATCGGACGATAAAATGCCAATAAATGTTTCATTTGTTGCTGCAGTTATGTGCAGCGTTCGCAATTTGTGCTGCGTACTGGTTTGGTTTGTCACACGCGTGTGGTAAGTACTTTGTGTGCATGTCGGGAGATGTTGGGAGTAATTTCAGTTCATTTATGTACTTGCGTACTTGGGTCGATTGCAGCAGCGTCGCGCGATCAAGGTAACTGGGTAAATGTCGAGAAAAAAGTCAAAGCTTATAAATAAACGCGAATGGTGAACCAGACAAACAGGTGCCTAACCTGCAGACCTTACAGGCGATAAACCTGCACGATTACGCTTTAACAACAAATTGGTGCGAAATGATTTCTTAGATTAGTGAAAATTAGATTTTTGTTAGTTTTACGCTACTCTTGATAAGTCTCTCTGCTTTGCAAAAGCACGCACCAGCATAAGTAATAGCGGCGCGGGCACGAAGACCGTTATATCGACTCGTGAGTCTGCACAAACGAAACTCGAAGCTCTCGGATGTGTACCATCCACATCATATATGTACTTCCTTCGTCGACGAGCCGCGCCGCGCTCAACTTGCTTCTTTTCATTTTCGTCTCCTTCACACACAACTTGTTGGCGTTGCTTGCGTCTAATCTAAACTTTTTCTAAACTCTCCTGCTGCTACTTGTTACTCTGTCTATTCGTAGGTCTCTTCCTCTTGATCCTCTCCTGATGATCTTGACTTTGGTTTAGTTTTTATTATGTATAGAGCTGAGCTTGAAGCGGTCTAGTTCTAGGAGTCTTTTGATGACTAGATTTAGTCAAGTTTTTGTCTCTTTCTTTGCTTGTTTCGTTTGTCTGGTGGGTCAGGGTCTGCATTTGAGTCTAGGCGCATACGTAACTTGAGAATAGACTTAAGTCGGATGAGATGTGATGCGAGGCCTTCCCAGCGTTATTAACTAGAATTAGAGAATTTTAGAATATCAAACAAAAAAATACAACATGAAGACTGAGCCTGGAACTGTATTATTGTTACATTTTTCTTTACACAATGGTTATTTTATGTTTGTAGCTGGTTCATTGATGCAGTTTACAGTTGCAACAACTTGTTAGGAACCGTTTACCGTTTTGGGTCGGCTTGATATAGTAATTTCTATAATTTGAATGTATTGAATGACGTGTAGTTGTTGCACTTGCGAATAGGCGGCAGGAACACGCGGTAATGGACTTGAATTTGATGATGTTGTTTGTTGTGTTGTTGATCATTGGTTTGCATTTGCACCGCATTTCAGTGCAGTGCATGCGCCGCTGAACGGTTGTTTTCGTACGCCGATGAGGTGTAAAACAAACTATAAAACGGATGACCGGATGACGGACTGGATTGAAGAGAAGAAGAGAAGTGAAGTGGATCGTGAGGATTGTATGCGTGTTGAACGATGTGTCGACGAAGGCGGACGTGTGCGCATTATTCAAATCATTCTGTCCGATGGTGCACAATAATCGATGCAATAATCGTTGTAATTTAACGGCATTTGGATATCTAGATATGTTTAAATGTTAAATTTACTAACATTCGAATAACTTTTTCGAAAAATTTGCATAAAATTAATTATTATTTAAAATTTTCTTGTTTTTCATGTAAAAACGAAGAAATATGCAATATTTTATTGTTATAACTAAATATGTTGTACAATTTTTATTTTTTGTTGTGTTCTGATGTTTTAATAGAAATTCTGATATTCGAGGCAGTTCCAAATCAAAAAATTAAGAGGTAACAAATATTTATTCAGCAGTTCTTGACTTATAAGTAGCGAAACATAAATCTTTTTGGTTTTGAAATATATTGTATTGCAATTCAGCAGATTTTATTGCTAGATTTATACGAATATTACTAGTATGGATGCTAATGACATTGTTTTACAAAATACAACATCAAAATCCTTAAATGTCTACCCTCATTACAGATATAATTAACAACAAACATTAACCGTTGGTGAATTTTTTTTCGACTTGCTCCCAATGAAGCATTTGCGCCTTTGAGCAAAATGCATATACCGTCTGACAAAATGACACATTGAGTAAGCTGTAAACATAAATACATCTCAGCACGCTTTTCTTACTTGCTTGCAAGCTCATTCGCTCGTTTATTGTTCAATTACGCCCGAATTGAAACAGATGTGGCCACTTGTAATGACATGTTATGACATGGTTGTGGCAAAGAGGACAATATCATCATTATCCATTATTCGCGGCGAATTGAATGAATGATGATTCTGTCAAAAGTGTCGAGTTAACGTCTGCTCCATCGTGTTGACCGGCACAATTTGTTCAATCGATTGCGCGTGCAATATGCGATTAATTACGAAACGCTTCAATTTATGTGATTTAACTTGTTATTGCCTATTGATGAAGATGCAATTGTTTGAATTTTAATATTCACTTGGAATCAACAGATGTTTTCATCGTGGAATGAAATAATAGGTTTTCAAGGACGTTTTGTTATTTTTAGAAACTTTTAGCAACGCAGGATGATTCTATGACATTGAAAATTGCATGAATATTATTATTATGAAAAATGCTTGTTAGTTAAAATTTTATTCAGTGTGGAAACAATTTGAAAGACCAAAAACGGATGCCCATGAATGAGTTAACTGTACATTGAATTTTACTGCAGTTTATTGTTGAGATTAAAATCGCTTTTTATTCGACATTTCAACAGATGGACAGGAATTCATAACATCGCAATTCCAGTTAGGATTCGTATATAAAATTTGAAAAATTTATATTTTTAACAGATGTTCTTGTTATTGTGTTGGTAATTTGTAATTATTTTCGTTAACAAGATGGAATTACTAATTACATTTAGACATTATCGTTAAAATTAGTAGTAGTTGGTGTGGATTTTTCAAATGCACCTTTTAGAGTTAACAATTACGCGTGGAGTAATGAGGATGTGAATGTGAATGTTGTGTCATAATGTACAATTGCGGCGCGTTTCGTGGAATCGCAATTTCGTTGAATTACGAGTGTTCTTAATTGTGCGGCTGAGGCGCGGCTTGTGCATCGGGTTTGGGAGGATGATGAACGCAACGCGCAAACCAGTGTCACAAGAGGACGTTAACTTTCGTTAATTAAAACCACCATAATTGCCCTGAGCAATGATATGTTTGTTGAACTCTTGTATGCGGTGACATATTTCAACAACTCGAATGGTTTAAATTTTTCGGCCCTTTTTCGGGTGCAGTGGATTTTTTTGGCTTTTATTTTTAATTTTTGGGTCGTGGAACTCTGCTGCCAGATGTAATAATCATGTTGGGTACATACGGTACACATTACCTATTAGCCGCATCTCGTGTTCTCGTGTTCGCTCGACTGCAAAGTCGTTATTACTTCGTCGACTCCGGTGACTTTGTAACTCGCGCGCGCTCGACGGCGGCGGCGGTGAAGAAGACCGTTAGTTTTGCTATAGGTGTAGGTTTGCACCGTGACCATCGCACGTACGAACGGACAGCGCTCGCACGTAACACGTTCGCGGACGAAATCACAAATGCAATAGTTTTGTGAGAAAAAATAAAGTTTTACTGATTTGAAGGTGACGCATTAAGACTCCATGTATTGACACGTGTTTTATGATATTGAATGATTTTTACGTAAAAGTAGTTGATTTTTCTATAGTGTTTAAGTTGTTTTGTTTTTGTTTGATACGCATGCGCGCCGAAGAAGTCGTAAGGTCGAGGCGATAAATAAACCCACGAGGAAGCGAACGTGTGCCGCGGAGCGCATATCGGACACGCTGCGATATTGTATTACACGTGCGGAATGCGCATCGAACATGAACGATCGACCGACATGTCGTCCTCAGAATGCACAGACACGACCACGTTTTACATTTTTTTCGTCACGTTGAAAATTGCATTTGTTTGCAATATATTAGCGCACAAAACACAACTGCAGTTTCCCTCAAAAAATCTTGTGGACAATTTTATAATTGTGCGCTGCTTACGACAGAAATTAAAAGTCTTTGCTGCAGCCGCACTAATTTACTGTAATTACGATTAATTGCACGTGGGTTTGGTCGCTGCGCGAGCGGAATTAAATTGGTCACTAATAAAACATGTCGAAATCGTGTAAATTGTGTAGAAAGTCGGCGTAATTATTGTCGCCGCGGTTGTCGACTTTATTAATTTTATTAAGACCCACAGAGCGTTCTGTGATGAAATTGTCCACTTGAATTCACGTCGTTTTACTCCACTACTTTAGATTAATAAAAATAAAAGTGAAGTGGAGAAAATTGTTCATGTTGAAATCATCCTATTAATCATAAAAATATAAATAGTTAGAATTACTTGCAGTAGCCGATAATATAATGCAATATCAAGAGGGTACACTAATTAAATTGTAGAATGTGACTTGACTGACTACCAGCATGCATAAAAAGTGCATGATTGTGATTTATTTGAATTTCTATTAATGGTATTTGTAGAAATTGTTGAAGAATGAGTGCATTAGCACGAAATAAAAGTAAATTGCACGTTGTAGTGCGTTAAAATTGCATTAATGCATGGAAATTCATTTAGTCTCGTGTGAAAAAACGCGTACGTGTAAGAAAAAATGAGAATGTCGGCGATATCGCACTTTATTTATTGCTCTACGCTTTTAAATACAATGCGCAATTTTGATTCTTATAATGAAGCAGTAATTTGATGCATTGTTATTAGCGAACGAAACGATATGGCAATAAAAAATTATTATTGATAGGCTAATTGGAAGGAATCGCATGCAGAAAAAATATGCAAGTATTATACGAACCTAACTTAGACTATTAATTATGAGAGGTTAATTAGTTTACTCGTATCAAATTTTGCTAGTGACTATGGAAGATTTGAAATGGAAATGGAAGATTTGCAGTAAAAATAACCAGTATTGCCTTTTGGAAATTTAGTAATTAAGAACATTTTATGTTTATTACACTTTAAGTTTTCGCTATTTGTTCATTATCTGCAGTTCGTTGTTTTACTGGCTTCCATCGTATTTGGCGTTTTATGATTTTATGTTGCATCCTATTGCTGGCTTTGTTGACGCTTTCCAATTATATGAAACCAGTGAGCTTTCGACTGCACTTGCTTTTGCTCTTCATTTCATCTAGCGCAAGCTTTTTAGGACGAAAAGTGCGCTGCCAACCTGTTACTGTGAATGTTTGTCGTCAAATTTCTCATCCGCGTCTCTTGACGATTTCTTTACTTTGCTCTCTCATAACTTCTCTTCTTATATGTAAGTTAAGTTAACTTCAGCTGAGTAGACTTAAAAATCATGATAACCGATAAGTAATACGAGTAGTGTGTCGAATGCTGCACGCGCGTGATTTCTAATTTATAATTAAGTAAAAACATCGTCGCCGACAACGCTGTCGTTTGCGATGAGTGTTTGTGGTGGAAGCGCACGAGCAAATTTAAAAATTAACCGCGCGCGCGATGAAAGACAAAAGAAACACGAGAGCGAGGAGAAAGAAAAAAGAAATGTCGCTCGTGAGTTGATTGATTTTTGTGTGTTTTGTTGTGCGTGGTAATTGAAGGGGAACAACACGAGGAAAGTGAATATTTGCTGCATATTCAAGTGAAAGAACTGTAATAATAGACTGCATTCAACAAAATGTTTGCAAAAAATGTAGTGTGTACTTAAATTGGAATGGAATTTGCTTTTCCTTTTAAGTAAACACGCAAAATAGAGTTAAATGAATCAAAAATTAAAATAATTTAATTTTCTTGTTTTGTTTTACGTTTTTAGTTTAAGAGGTTAGGTTAGGTCAGGTCAACATAACCTTCATTTTTTTCAAGTGTTTCACTACAATAATACTTAATCTTTGCGTTTGTCTTAAACACACACGTGTAGTTTTGTTTGACATCGATTATTATAAGTCGTTTGTAGTTTGTGAGACGGCCGGAGCCAAAGTTGAAGTCGTTAAAGATTTTTTCACCCGCCGCGCGCCGTGTTTGAATTTTATGTGCGGCGGCGAGGACGCGAGAAGGACGCGGTGCGTTTTTCAAAAGAGAAAGCCTCGTCCGAGTGTGTTTGCCGTTTGCTTCGTTATGATGTTTACGACGAGTACAAGTAAGTACCACCGTACACCTCAGTCGCGGTACATGTAGTACATCTACATCTACGTGTATTTAGGTACTTTATTTTTCTGAGGACTCAAGTATAAGTATGTTTACTTTGTTTGAGGGGTTTTTAAATTTTAACAATTGTCAATTTTAATATTTATGATGAATGAACGTAATTTAATTAATCTCGTATGTTTTTTTTGTTGCAGATTTGTGATTTCAAGTCAACTCGTAATTTTTTTCCTCTTCGATTAAATTAAATTGTAAGTATCTTAATATTTAATTAATTAAATAATTTAAGCGGTGATTTATCATGGTGGCACTTTGAATGTTTCATCTGACAAGCAATTTTTTACTTCCTACTGTTTCTCGTGAAGTTTACATTTATGTAATTTATGTAATAGAAATATTCTCACGTGCGTATGGATCGCTTACCTACTATAGCAGCAGCAGGTTGTTCGGTAACGTAACATAACGTGCGTTGTTGCTAAATAAATAAAGTTAAACGTATTCAAATTGAATTTGGGTTTGTAAACGAGGAAACCCTGCTTCATTCACGGCGACCACGTGCGTGTCGATTGATCTAGAAATTCACGCGGCGTGCAACGATATTTACGTATACGCATTGCAACAACTTGCAGCTAACGAAAGTAGAACCACAAAAATTTGAATTATTAATATTACGGCATTGCTTAATATTTACTATTAGAGTAGTAATAGTAGTGTGTTGCGGAATTCGAAAATATTGAGTTGCAAAATTTTGAAATAAATTAAACAATCACATAAGTAAATATATCTACTCTAGGCGAATGTAAGCTTCAGTTGCGGTATTTGTACCGATCGCATATTTTTTTCGAATACAAGCTTTTGCCCGCGACATCATCCCGGTATTGTTTAATTAAAATGTAATTTTGAAATATTTATTTATTTCTAAACTTTACGTGAATATTGGATTTACAATTTTATTTGTAGAGTTTAACATGTTTAGCCCTGAGGGCATCTTCATAAACATTTTGCGATTCATTTATTTTATTAAATTCATTTAGTTTATTAAACCAAATATATAAATTTTCTCACATGGTTTTATTTTTAATGTAAAATTTTTCATTTTCTTTGTTTAATAAGTTAATTTTTATCTATATTATTTTTTAATCTAAACTTCATTGCAATAATTGGTTAATGAAGATAATACATTATATATCCCACACGATTATTTCAAAGTGTTATATGAAGAGAAAAAAATTACCAGCTGAAAAAAAAAACGTAACCAACGCGATTAATCGCCTGACACGACTGACCAACTGACCATGATGCAAATAATTAGAACGCATTTCGTAATTCGGCGCTGCTAATCACATATCCACATGGAAGTAATTATCGTGTTGCGTTAGTGTTACACACATGTATCTAACATTGGACAGACTGCCTTTACTCGGAATCGATATGAATAATTTTGGCAATAAATTATTACACCTTGGAACGAACGCAAATATAAAGTTATAAATTATACATTTACATTATACAATAAATTAGGCATATTGAAGATTATAAATGAGCATTAAATAATAGCTCGTAACACTTTTTAAAACATTTAGTAAAATTTATTGAAGAAAAGTAATTCGATATTGAAGTAAAAAGGTGTCTATGCAATGAAGAAAGTTTTGTGTAACAAAAAATTGAATTTTTTTATTCTTATTGTGTTTATTTAAAAAATTTACGAATTGTTGTGGTTTGGTTTCACCTTAATCGTAATTTTAATTTGCGCACGGTGAGTTTTAAACGCCGTAATCGGCGTGTAAGTTGGTTTGTAGAGCAATGATTTATCGAGCGTGCGGAACGACACCTTTAAATTTCACCTGCGCCTCTTGTAAGCTGTTTTATATCCATCAGGAAGTGTTTAATTAATTACAGTGAGCACTCACAACAAGTTGTAATAATACGTAATCATTAAACTCAAAACTTAGCCAATTTAAACACTTTTCAATTTAAAATTTTAAAATACAACAATCCACCTGTTTTATATTTTATACTTATAAATAGAGGTCACGCATAATTTCAATGTTTTTTTCTTTGAATTTCAATGAATTTACGCGTTGATTTTGTTTATTTCATCGTTGACTGAGAGAACTTATCGGTTGTGTGTCTGACTCTCGCTTTATAAGGCAATTCGGCCTCCGATGAGTCGAAAAAAAAGTTCTTCGTGTAGCCAACGCCAAAAGAACTCTCATTCATTTCCATCCGATTCACCTGGCCATCCTATGCGTGCGCCTACTTGCAAAGTGTTTACATTTCACATTTTATCATGCGCGCATGTCGCGTTCCGGCGTTTGATTTTCGAATTTGGAACTCCTGCTGTTTTCGATGTTTATACTCACGCACACTGCGCGCCGCATGAGAGAAGAAGCCGACGAGGATTTTCTCATCATCGTCATCTTAGTGTTTCTTTTTTGAAGTCATCTTTTTAGTCAATGTGAATACATAAACTTCATCGTCATTCTGTTCGGGTTTTTTAAAAACTAATTTAACACGATTTATTTTTTGGGAAAACAAAACGAAAATTAATTTCTGCTGCAGAATATCTTGGATGTTTGTTAACTGTTTGTGACTTAAGTCTGTTGGTTTATTTGACATACTACCTACAAGCTGCGAGAAAGATGAAGGAAATGAGAAAACGTTTAAGGCTTTAAGAAGTCTTTTTGGGGCTTGAATTTAATATATTTAAGGCTGGGCGACGTTAAATTCATCTCGCGCTTGTTAAACGATGTCCAAACACCGAAAGCACACACGCGCGCACCTACTTTGTGCATCGAGACAGAGAGTAAAAACTTTCTTTTTTGAGCTCCATGGGCCGAGATAAACTTTAATGGAAATGAATAAATGAAATGTGTGTTTGTGTCTTGCCGCCGCCGTCACTTAAGTACACTAACTTGGCCGCTCTCAATCTCATCTCGACTTGATAAACATTTATTTTGATTTCAGTGATAAAATTATGCTTAAAATTTTACTTAACCTTATTTAGTGTTTTTTTTTTGTTTTGAAAGATTTATCTCTGTTTACAAATTGTTTTAACGAGGAAATCATGTGTTTGGCAAGTTTTAAGCGTTACTTGCATTACAACATCTCATTATTCAGTCGGGTAAATTAATTAAGCACACTTTGTATAGCACTTTGGCTTGATGTTTATGCGTGATACGTGTCTGAATTGCATTTCACCACACTTCTCTTCTGGTAGTTCAAGTAGCAATAAGTTAAGTAAGTTTAAATTTAGTGCGACTGCTAATTAAGAGCATTCATTCAACTTCAACACGTTCAAATTAATTACCTATACAGTGGTAAACATTTTAAAATGTGGGTTTTGTCAATTTAGTTATGGCTAATTTTAAAAGTAGACGCTTAGACTTTCCCAAAATCGCAGAATCTCCACTTTAGTTAAATTCCCACGCTTAACATTTTCAGTTCGCGTTCGATAGCGATTTACAATTTGGAATAATGCAGGCGTGCTGCATTTGTGCAAATATCCACACACTTTGTATCTAATACAATTGCTAATGCTATTCGTTAGTCGACGTGTCGCAATCTCTCGCGCCTGTCTGCGAGTTTCGCGGCTCGCAGCGCTTTTCGCAACAATTCACCGATCAGGATTATTCGTCCGTGTTCGATTCGTTGCGATGCAAAGACATCTTATCGCCTCGAAATCATCTCCAGTGTACGCGCGCGCGCCCATATTTTACGTTTTTCACTCTTAATCGAAGTCTTGCGAACTCTCAACAAGATTGCGCGATGTAGGTAATTACACTTTATGTGGCAACACTTGCAGATTTATTTTTATTTCGTTAATAATTGTGTTTGAGTGTGATTTCATGTGTTAATTTGATGAGTTTTACTCCGCCCTGGGTGCGACGCAAAGAGATCGTGCATCGTTGCTCATTTGTTGGTTTTATGCGTTTAAATATTCTGTAAATACTATTTGCAAGCTATTATAAAGAATTTTTAACTTTGCCGATTTATTTGAATTGCATTGAGCAATAAATAATGAATAAAGCAATAATTACCGATTGCAAATTGCACGTGATTCGCAACGTGCAAGATGTGCAATCCGCACAGGTGTACGCCGGCTAATAAAGTGTCCACTTCTTGTTTCACATTCACGGTTCACGTTCTTCGCCACATGTGTGTATGTTGTTGTTGCTTTTTTCTTCATCATCATCTTCTCTCATCTGTTTCTTTCCGCAGTAGTAGGCACGATGCCGCCGCACGATGTTATTGCAGATGTTATTGCGTTACGTAATACCGCTGCTCGAACCGTGCGCAGCCTTCTCAGCCTCCTCATCTGCATTCGTTTTGTTTCGATTTCATTTCGTCTCATCTGGTTTGGGTTTCACCCGCATCTGTAACTGCAACCGATGAAGCGAAGATTCTTCTTCCTCATCGCATCTGGCTGGTTTTTGGGTTTGGTGTGTTGTGTGTGATGTAATTGATGTTACATAAGTAGCATCAACGGAGGTAATTTTGTGTCGTGTACTTGCTGACTTTCTTCCTTGAAGTACACATCAGCGCTGGAGTGAAAATTAAGGAAATTCAATGTTTAATAACTTTTTCTTGGTACTTTCAATTTCCTTATTGCCTTCGTATTTTGTTTGCGCAAGATTATAATCTGAAAGACACTAGGAAGTTATCTAGTGAAGGTAGCAATCAATTTATGTCAAAATATTATCACAAACTTTAAGGAAGTTTATTTTTTTAATATAGAGGTGAGCTATTTTCCATTTGGAGCAGGAAAAACAGTTACATTGTTAATTGCCGATGTGATTTTGCTAAATATGGTTGTACGGCATAGAGTTTGAATTTAAAACTTATTTTTGTCTAAAGAAGGTTATTTCTCAAAGCTATTAAGGACAGAAATGGTAGCAAGTTCTGATTTATTGTTAGTGATTTTATTTTCCGGGATTTCAAAGTCATATCTAAAGAAGTCAAAGTCAAATCACAGAAATCTTATATAATATAAAAATGAATTGCAAAATCTGTTTGTAAACCAATTTGGCCAATTCTTTTTTAAAATGTTCGTTAAAGTCCAAGGATGGTTTTTATGGCAAGAAAAATTCGAATAATTGCCGGTAACGCTAAAGACAGCCCTTTTCTATAGGATAAAAGTTGGCATTGAGATTCAATCATAGTTATAGTTAAAAAGTTGAATCCGAGATGGCGCGCTGAAGTGCATTATTAGCAATTCTTTATATAATTAATTTTTAAAATATAATTGTAAAGAACAAGAGAGTAAAAGTGAATTATATTTTTATTAAATATATAAAAGTTATGAAATTATTTTCATAAAAAATTAAACATTTCGAAATGTCCGAATTTATATTAAAATCAATCTATCCTCGCAATCTACAGGAGTGCCAACACACTTGTATCACTTAATATTCTGCAACAATTGATTGTATTCCACGCCAAGAAAAAAATATTACCTAATCATTTACTCACGTTCTACCTATAATGCTAAAAATAAAAATTATAATGATAATGATAAATGTTGTCCCGGATTGTGCGCGATTATTATTAAAGTCAAGGAAATCCACTCTTGGGAGTGTATTCATTATTCGAGTGGTGTTTGTCTGTGGCACTATACTATGCGATCGCGGATAATGAAATCACTGGGATAATGACAGTATTGATCACGAACACACCGCACACACGAGAGGAGATAGTAAGGACGAAAACTACTACGAACTGCTAACAACTAAACAAAAGCGTTAACAACTACGACATCAATCGCTACGCGCAACAATAAGCATACAAGAGAATAGAAAAATATAAAATAAAGTGGCCGACACGCATTTATGCGTGCGTTGCGCGTTTGTTAACGTTTAGTGTAGATTTTTAAACAATTAAATATGTTGTACGCTGTGCCCCTGGGATAAGAGTTTCGTCATTGCGTGTGGTGTATGTATGAATCTTATGACATAGGCATGACATACTGGCATATAGAGGAATATAAATTACTAATCGCTAAAATCGTGCTTTCTGCACCTTAAATATGTTTATAATTAAAATTTAAAGTTTATTGTGCTATGGATACGAAATTTATAGCAATTAAAAAGCATTTTTGTGAAATATTTTAGGAAATGAGTAATTTTCTATGGAAAAAAATTTGCATGATTCTTAGTTTTTGATTAAACCGAACATACGAGGCCACGTCGCGCACACACTCACAAAATATGTTTCGTTCCTTTCATCTTTCAGCAATTATTTAATAATTACGTGCACGATTATTGTGCTACACGATTTCCTCACGGATGATTACGCAAATAATATTAAACATTTTTTAAAAACCTGATTCGAGGTTTTTACATTCCATTATATTCGTAATTATGATATTAATTCTGAGAAACACAAACAATAAAAATTTAACCACAACATATTTGAATATATTAAATTCTTGCAGTGTGCTTCGATTTTGTACGGTAAGAAATTTGTAATATATTAAATTTAAAGTCAACGCTGCACTGGGTGTTACCATAATTATTAATTATATAAATTATTTAAAAATAGTATATTTTATGATTTTCACGCAAATAAATGCATCATAGAACAACCTGGATTCGAATTATGTAACTAAAACTATGATTGAATCGCTATACTAACTTTTATCCCATATTTTATATCCTTAAAGTAATATTTCCGCTATAAAACTGCACAAGATCAACCGCTGGACTAATCTAAAGACTACCTGAAAATGTCATCAAAATCGATCCAGTCGTTTTTCGATCAATGAATTACATACATACATGTGCATATGTATAATGTTGGGAAAGTGGGCTCATAAATGTTGTACCTCAGAAGTCAATCGACGTCGATTTTATAAAGTTGTAGTTGACATTATTACAATGATTGGACGTGTATCCGTTTCACTGTGCAACGCACATGGGGATACTAAAAGCGGGGAAAATTGTAGATTGCACATGTAATTGAAATTGAAAGCTGCCCAAGTGGAACGCGCTGATTGATTGCGCGCTGCAACTAGCGAAAAACAACTGCTATTATAGTCACACCTCGTCATTTTCTTTCAGCACTACATGCAGATAGACATAAAATCAATTGAGTGCTTAGTGGGTTACAGTATAATTATCTGTTTTAAACCTACTGAGCTGATATTTTATTTTCGCGTATCTGAAAGTAAAATAAGTAATAATGTGATGGTAATTTATTAAATGCATTTTTAAGTAGATTATGTTTATAATTTGTGTTAATAATAAATAATTGCACATCAGTCGGAGTACATTATGAAGTTTATAAACGCTTAATAATTTTATGAGGTGTATATGAAAATTTTAATCAAGATTTTCCTCATTATCGTTAATAATAATAATATGAATATGCGCACGTCTTGTATACAATATCTGCTTTCTATGCGCATGTTTTTCCATTAAAAACGAACAATAATTCAGCGGAATCCAAACTTAATTCAACGACGGAGAAAAGTTAGTCGCGCTAAATATGGAAATATCTATTAAACACTTTAATGGTCGCATAATATAATACGCCGCACAAAAGACGATAAATAATTCGCTTGAGTCTGTCGACGATTTACGATTTATTATGCGTTTGATTTTTCAACATTTTCAATGGAGATGATTTTTTAATTCGCGCGTTTGATTTTATTGATGTCTCGTGGGCAAGTTGTAAAAATTGATGAATAAAACGTCCTTGATTGTCCTCGTCGCGTTGCGAAATGAGCGAATAGAAAATGTAAGTAATGTAAATGGGTATAATGAATAATAAATAAATAATGAAAAACACCTGCATCGTTTATAGCATAAATTATTCCAACGTGCACAATCACAATCGCGTTTTGCAAAACATTGCCGATTGTGCAATGAGCATGCGCGGATCGCTTACATCGATTAGTTACTACTTACGTGCTGATTGTATTGCTATTAATAAAAGCTTGTGTTGGTAATTTATTCTATGAGATCTTTGTTTTGCAATCGAAGAATTAATTTAGAAAAAGCAGCGAAGTTGATAAATGACCATTATGAGATGTTAAGCTGGTTTTATGAGGTCACGTTTTTTGCGCACATGTTTTAAATGGAATTGTTAAATGTTATTTATGTTTATTTCTATTTGTTACAGAACTATTAACTACAAAATATAAAATGGGTGAACGCAGAGGGCTGAAAGCTTTGGAGTTGTGGTGCAAACGCGTCACAGAGGGTTATCCCGGTGTTAAGATTGATAACATGACCACATCGTGGCGTGATGGTCTTGCTTTCTGCGCCATTATCAATCACTTCCGGCCAGATCTCATGTAAGTAAAAGAAATGTTTTTTCTGTTGTTTTTTTTGGCGATAGTTAAGTATATCTTAATAACATTTTAATTATTGTATACTAATATTATATATAAATATGGTTTTTGTAAAAAAATCTATTTACATAAGCCGGCCGATCAATTAATCATGGCTCTCACGACTGATAATCCGCGCTAATTAAACATACCTAACCGTTTCTTCTCTCGACTTCTCATCACTAGCAAACCGTAAGCTTTGCATCGTAATGAGAATCGGAACATTTGAGTGTTTTAATGTTTTGGCGTCTATGTTTATTCAACCTGCTTATTTGTAGGTATTTGTTTATTTATTTAGTCGTCTTCTCGTTATCTCAGATGAGGTAGAAATCCGTTTTGTGTAGCGTTATCATGAATTATTAATACAGCTGATTCATTTTATTATCTAATAATTTTAATGTGTTTTATAATATGATTTCCGTTTATTATCAGATTCATTATTCATAGATATTGATGAATAACTTGCAAACTATTTGCATCAGAATTATCATTCTTTCCGGAATAGATTCATGATAAGATTTTACATTTAACTGTGTAATTATTTTGTTAATCAGATTATTATACAAAAAATTACCAACAATTTAAATTAGATTTTGTAATTTTGTGCATATTACAATTTCACCGACTTAAACTAGTCTGTAACATCAATTAAAAATTTGTTATCAATAAAATCTTAACATAATTACATCCACAATTTACCACTGATCAGATTTGTGCATAAATGGTTAATAAAATTTTATTGATTTTCAAGTTATTAATCAATAACTATAAATATAATACTCCTAGTATATTTCATCACACGAATGCTAAAAGTTTAAAAGCTTCACAGCTTCCTGATAACTAGCACTGATGCTAATATTAATCTTAATAATGCTAATCATATTAATCCAATCATTCCGATGCATAATGTCAATACGGTCTCTATCTCCTGTCGTTTCTTTTACGTTCGCTTGGTTAAAGCCCAATTAAATCTTTTATCGAGTCATTGGCACTCATTAATAAGCAAATCTGCTAACACTAACTCTGTTATCTGCTATCAATATAAATATTCAAGTGCCGTCAGCTTAAGCCATTTTTCGAATCGATTTTATTCGTTTATTTAGTCATCAATAAATGTATCTACAAGTTGGTAGTAATTAAACTTGGCTTAAAATTAAGCGGATTATTTTTTTTAAATATATAGAATATATAGATAAGTTGAGTTAAATTTAGAAATTTTCAAACTTTTTAATAAAACTCGCAAAAAGTTTGATTTTTAACTTTAATATCATTAATTTACATCCTATTTTGTTACTAAAAGCGTTTTGGTACTAATTAATACGAGATGATGAAGAGATAGCTCTTATTTATTATCGATATCACAGATTCGGAGATAGATTCGTTTGATACATTCGAAAAAAATGTATAAACTACATTGATTTTTTTATGGTCTTGTCCGAGCCTGGCCCGGCCCAGTCCGGTCGTGTTTCCAAATTAATTATTAATTAATGATTTCGTACTTACACGTGCGCCTCCGATGACCGCGCGAGATAACAAGATAAAGCGGCGACTCATTAACAAAATTGGAAATTTCAAATTTAAAATTGGATCAACTTTTCTACATCAGGTTCAAGTTCAACACTTGAAAAAAATGATATTTAACATTTTCAATGCCGCGCAGCTAATGTTACCAGTTATGCGCTGCGTTGTGTTTTGTATATGTGATGATTGCCTGATTGGCTCTGATGCACGGCTGAGTTTTACGACGCCAGCAACGTCGCAGCAAACTATAAAATTCTAATGAAGCCATATAAAATTAATTACAATAAGACTATGCCTGCGCGACTCCCGACGCGACAAGGAAACTCTTGCGGCTTGCGGCTAGCGAATGAAAACTGACCGCTTAGGTTCTTTCGGATGGCGTGAGCATATCGCATTTCAATTCGGTTTTATGCGTTGAGTGTTTATGCTTTTCGAGTGTGCCGTTTAGGCTCTCGTCGATGGGGGATTAGTGAGTGAAAACGAGCGAAAATTGCGTGCTATTCTCGTAAAATTTTGGTTATAAAATGATCGTTAACGAGGTAATTATGAAATTATGGAACTGTTAAATTATAACCCTATTTAAACGGCTAAAAAGTCATAAAAATAAATATGTTTAATTATTTGCTATCCAGTTTCGTCATCTACCGATTATGAATTCGTAATTTTTTCTATTAATTAGTAAATTCTGTTGTATGCATTTACATAACTTTGGTATTCAGTAAACTTTGATGTAATTACAATATTTTCCTATTTTCTATGCAAGTTTTTAGTTGTTGCGAGTAACTTTACGTAGGTTTGCGCGGAGTTTTCGATTGCAATTAGCGTTAATTTCCTCTGACGACGTATTCGCCTACTCGTGTAATACCTTTGCAAAGTAGCAAAGTTTACGCTAAGCGTTGCAGTCACGCTAAAAGCCAATGAATTAGCGAAATTGCCCTCGCACGCTTGGCCTAAATTCGCCTCCGGGTTGTAAATCTCACGATGCGATACAACCCCAAACCACACAACTATTTTTTAACCTGGAAACACATTTTCCATCATTAAAAGTTTAAATTTTATATTTTTTTTGTTGTTTTTGCAGTGATTTTGGAAAACTAAACAAAGATGACGTTTTGCGCAACAATGAACTGGCATTCCGCGTGGCCCAACAGTATCTTGGCATTCCGGCCCTCCTGGACGCAGAAGACATGGTCGAGTATCCGGTTCCGGATCGTCTCTCTATTCTCACATACCTTTCACAGTTCTACAACGCATTGGCATGCACTCCAGGTTGGTTATTTCATCATATAACCTCATTTTACAATATTCCTTTAAAATGTTTTTTATATTTTGTTTTGTATTGCATGTAAGTTTGCGTGCGTTTGGTTCGCACGCCACACCTGAAAAGAAAGAAAATATGCAAAGTATTACGTTACAATTGCTTTTTAAGTGCTTCTAGAAGTATTACTTTAAGTGTCAATACGATGAGTGTACGTATTGATAAAAATCGTTATTTTACTGCCGGTCCGGCCCAGACTAACGGCTATTATATTACGGTTTCCCCTTTTTGTTATTGGTTGTTTAATTTACACATAGATGTCACTAGATGCAAATATGCCGTTAGTGGCTATTTATACATTGCGTGGAGAGGACCTTTTTCAGCGCGCTTTTTTTAACGCGAATGCAAATTTACAATTGCTGATTTATTCATTGCGCACATGTTATTACCGCAAGTAAATCATGCTAGCGCATCGACATCCGCCGTGTACTACCTTCGTGGGTTAACACCGCGATTAGGTTGATTAACCGTATTAAATATAATCGTTTGATCGGCTGACAAATATGGCAAGATGACCATCATCGCCATCTTGTTTTGCGTTACGATCTGCACGGAGCTGTGACGCGCGTTTTTTCTCTCTACGTGCAGCAGGAAAATCGTTTCTGGTGCGAAAACGGTGTTATTAATTTCATCCCAGGATGTCGTGTTCGTTTTGAGGCCGTAATGGCTGCATCGCAAATGATTTCCTAGTCGCAGCAGCGCTCACCTTGCTCCCGGACTTTTTCGATTCGCATGCGATTTCTGCCGTGCGCACAACTTGACTTAACTTGAGTCAAGTGGACCGAGTATCGTGTGCGAGGTGTATTAAACGCGCATAATTGCCGTAATTGGTGTTTTCAACCGTTTGTCGGATGCCCGTCTTCCATCTTAACATGACTTATCTTGAGCGAAGATGGCGGATGTCGAATTAAAAACGTTTAAAAACAACTAAGGTCACATTCATTCTCTCGTGGTTTTTATATAAATTTTACTTTTAATGTTAATTCCCTTGAACTCAATTACTGACAACATGAACAATTACTTAAGTGTTTGTGTTATTAAACCTACAATTAGTGTGTTGATAGTTGAAGTGTCGATTTAGCCAATGTCGAAAAAGTCAAAGCATGAGTTTAACATGAGTTAAACTTTAACTTCAACTTGACTGCGCGTCTTTGCTGCTAGAAATTCGAGTATTTGCAGAGTCATGAGAGTCATGCGGCTGACATGGTTCACGAAATTCGTGATTGCGCTCGTCGGGTCATTACGTACGTCTACGGCACCGAAGGTCGGAGGTTAATTTTTGCACTGAGGTAAATTAAAGTGCGGAAAGTGCAATGAGCGTTAAGAAGCGAGCCGTGGCGAGAAAGGCCAGCGGATGAGACTTAATTTTTCCTCTTCAAATTTGCAACACTATTGCAACTTCATCGTCAATTGCAGCAGGGCATTAGTGATGCGTCATTATGTTTACAAAATGGCGGATTAAACAAATCTTTATTGAACCTTAACCTCAATTCTACAATATTAAACTGAAAGAAATTGTAAACGCGCGCCAAATTCAAAAAAAATGAATTTGAGTTATGCAAATATGTTGAATTTTATATTGAAACTGTATGATTAGTAGCTAGTGCGCATGCGTGATGAATGGCAATCAAATACGATGGTATTCTGATGCGTCGCGAAACGGCGCGTAATAACAGCCCTCTCGCGCGCCTAGCTAATAAATATGTTTCCGCGAATTGATTTAATTGACTACTCCTCTCGTCATGCGTGTGCTGTTACTGTATTTATTCAAGTGTCAAGTCGGTTGCGCGCTCTGCACTTGTCGCTGAACCAATGAGGAAGAATGCATAAAATGTATAATTTGGATATACCGCATATAATCTTGACCTAAACGTGATAAATTACCTCTTTTACTTTTCAAAATGACACAGACCTACTCGCATATGCAATATACAGTGTGTTCATTTAAATTTTATAAGCATGCGTATGGTTTTATGTTTATGTTAATTTTGTATTTTCTGAGCACTTTAGAATTCATATTATTCTAATCTAAATGTCAAGTGCTGAATCGCAAAATTGCATTTCATGCTTTCGGCTGCAATGAAACTGCTCACCATACACACGATTGTTGTGTAGGTATGTGTGTGAAGATGTGCACGAAATGTCGGCGCGACTGCTGCTAAAAGACAATATGGCGGCGTCGTGCGGCGCACCGAGGCGATATCATATTAAACGCTCGAAATTATCATCGCCGGCGCGATTGCACAAGACCCGGCGCTTTACTTCCACCTCAATCTTGAGACACATGTCTGCTAAGACTATACGGCGCGCAATTCAATACTTTCTTGCGACCGCAGTGTAATTTGTAATTTATGTATGCTGGTGGTGTAAAGTGAGTAAATGATACGCTTTGTAGTGCGCCACACACTGCACGAGGTCGGTTTACATACTCACATTGTTACATTGTTGATGTTTCTTTGTTATTACATATATAGGCAGGAGCGGAGTATCTACATTGTTTTCGAACGAGATGAGTTTTGACGTTTTACGGTTTGCGCTAGGGCGCTCTCTACGTGTGTTATAAGCGTTAAATGCTTGGTTCTCTGATGTATGTAAGACGTGCGCAGGCATTTGTTTCATTGCTAAAATTGCTTGAAGTGAGATGATGACGCTGGAAGTGAGACGCGGTTCTTTTGTTTCGTCATCTATAATGGCGAATCTTGATGATGAGCGCTATAAATTTTGCAATTTGTGATTACATATCTTTCGAGTATAGATTAGTCTGTGGCAATATTATTGTTATTGTTATGTAGGGTTGGGCGAAGAAATGTGAAGTAAAAGAATTGGAAATTTAAAAAAAATATTTTCTAAAGGTGATTTCGCGGAAAATGTTCATACATTTTGATGTATTTATGTATTTATTGCCTCATAGGTATGTTGAATGAGCTGAAAAATATTTGTTTACAGTTTGCATGATAACACCTCGCATTCCTGCCGTTTGCTGCATGATTGCGCCGAGCAGCTTGCGGGAACGCAAGAATTTATCCGCGCGATAAAGAAATTACGAACGTCTTTAATTAAATTGCCCACTACTACCGGAGTCTGACACAATCCGCGATATGTGTCCGAACGCGCTTGAGCATTCTGTTGAGGGCTGGGAAAATCCATCGAGTTCCAATCGACGCATTCAGAGAATGCGCCATTATCTCACAAACTAATGCTGTCGATTTTTGCGCATGTCATTAGGCAAACAAATTGCCGCTCATGCCCGCTGCAATGCGCATTGTATGCGCATGCATTTCACGAATTGTTGTTATTGTATCGCGTGGAAATCGTGCGCAAGACCAAAGCAGCAGCCCACACGCGCAAATTCCGTCGGCGTCGTCGCCGCCACTATTAACAATTGTCGACTGGAGCAAATTGTTATTGCACAACGGCTCGTAAAAGGAGTAATTCGAGCGCGAACGACATTGGCAAGGCTGTCGGTTCGCACCTTGGCGTTTGTTGTTGTGCGCGCTCTCCGTGGGGCGCGTTTTAATCCGATAAATATATCAAGTTTGATTGTGCAATGCGCTTAAGTAGCCAGGCCTGCGCGCGCCCGCGTTCGATTCACAAAGCTGGGTCGTAATTTAAGCGCAATTTAAAGCCTGCGGTGCGCAGAAAAGTGGGCTTGCGACGCGCTTTTTTTCGATGCATAAAGAAACGACTAGATAGGTACTTAGTGCAATTCTCGCGATTCTTTTCATAGCCACACGTCCACTCCGGGAGTGAGCAATTAATTAGCGGCTGGTTGAGTTACGAGCGATCGGGAGTGCTTTATTTTTGTTGGGCAATTGAAATTTACACGTGTTTTACTTATTTATAACTGCGTACACTATAAATTCTAGGAGATAATTAAAATATTTTATTACTTTAAGTAGTTTACTTTGCAAATATTTGTTTTGCTTGAATATAAGAATATGAACAACTAGATTGCGGATATAGCATGTTAGCAATATATTGAAACGTCAGATTTGCTCTTTTATTAAAAAAATATATAAACTAGGTGGTACCTCTTTGTCCGAGGGCTCCGTGCATGTCACATCTTGTCGCTGAGTCAACTATGTTACTACTGCTTATTACCGAGTAAGCACTTCTCGCCCACTTCTTTTTGCGGGTAGCACGGTGGTATAAAAGGGCAACGCGTAGCGAACTAGGGTTCTAGGTTTACCGTCTCCCTTTTTTATTTGCTACTTTCGTTTTTTCAAGTTTTTGTCAATCAAAACTGAAATTGATAATAGGGTACTTAATATGATTTTTCGATAATAGTATTATTGCTTCGTCAGATAGATTGCTTAATGTAAGTTGACTTAAATCAACAAACTGGAACAGGAAGCGTTGCAACTTTAATTGAAAGCTGATTAAATCAAAATCCCACGAAAGAATCACAATCTAATTCTTTTACGATATTATATGATAGCCTAGAGTAATGTGAGTGGTGAACGCTCATTTATTCTACGTACGTGTTGGAAATACGGAAGTCGCCGTTTTAACGCGTTACTCACGTTATGTGTATCGCGAAATCTGCGCGCCGTGTATGGTAATTATTGAGTAATTATAAAGATATTGCGAGATTGCAAGAAAAAAGTCATCAGTTATTCTTCCGATTCTATTACTGCAGATATTATTTAATCGACATGCCTAATCACACTTTTATTTTCATTTCGTAATTTTATTCACACAATTTAAAGAAATTACTTTTTAATAATTACCAAGAAATTATGTTTGTATTACCTTTGTTTTTTTCGCTTTTTAAGTAATTCTGTCTTGAAATAATTTTCTTCCTTTAAAACGAATTTTCTAATAAAATTAATTAAAAAGCTAGCAAATTAAATTGGAATTTTTCTACGGATATAATGAAAGTCAAAGAAAAATAAAATGCTGTTTGATTAAAGTCCTTGTAAAGATCTTTCACTCTCGAAACGACTTTAATCACAGAGTGATTAAAATTTGAAAAGGAAAGTGTTGTCTGTTAGCGTTGCTAAATTGCTATGCTTTAAATCATTTCTGATTGACGTTTTGTGCCGAAATTGGTTTGATGCGGCATGGCGCGGTTCTAATCGCCGCCGGATTTCTCGCCGGAGAGTCCGGTAATTAACACAAACGTACAGCGCAAAAATTGCAAATTGCCGCTCGGCGTCAGCACCGAATGTGATTTATATATGTACACATCGCCAGATTTAGCAGACTACAACCGGTATTGGCGATTTATTTATGATTTAATTACAGTCTTTCTAAAAATTCGACTAATATGGAGAGCAGACCGGTAGAAATTCAAGAAATCAAAGCACATTCATTTCGAAACATTCAGGCTGAGATTTATGGATTGTATCTGCGGTAGTGTCTCGTGCGCAGATTGAGATAGAGATAGAATTAACTTTCTTTTGATCGAAAATTTAAGTCATAACTTTTGATGATTTTTTTTTATTTCGAGGTTGCAGTTTTGCGTTTCACCGCCTTGTAATTAAGACACGTGCGGTTTATTTAATTGACCTGAACAAAAAAGGTTTAAAAATTTGTGGATACCTAACAATCTGCTAATAGCAGTTGATAGTTTATAATTAATTCCTAGCTATGTTTAACTTTAAATTTGTAGGAGAAAAAATTAATGGAATGATAAGTTAGAAAGTAAAATTGCTTTGATTAATTCCCAATCAATTTATTTTAATGAATTTATTTATTTCCTCATTTATTTTAGGAAATTTCGTTATATTTTTAGACAAAAACAAGAAATAAAACTTGAATTTAATGTCTACATAAATAACTATGTATTTTTAATTTCTAATTATTTTTAGATAATGCATTTAAGTGTGAGAATTCGAGCTTGGTTAACATTTTAAGTCTGTGAATAAATCAGTTTTATCACGATTCGTATGCAGTGTGCGCATTTCTTGCGTTTCGGTAACTCTGCGCGTGCCGGAAACGCGATAAATCTTTGTAATTAACGAGCATTTGATAACGACAACGAGCAATGCTTACTTTGTGCTATAAAACTTTGATTCATACAAAATATTACACGTTGTGAACGGTTGGGAAAAAAAATATGTAGTCAGTCCCGCGAAGCATTTTAACGACGCCACATATTGCTTTCTTGTAATTTGGCGTTTGACTTTCAAATCGTATCGATCGCGTCTGAAAATATTCCATTAATGTGTTTGTGAATATGTATGCACTGTTTTATTAGTTATTTTATGTATTGTGTGTCGTGATATTATGAATTCACCGCGAGCGTATGCAAAACTAGACTGGATGGAGGTGATTGATACATAGGCGCTTTCCGACCAGATAATGATCTTGTTACTAGTTAGAGAAGTTAATAGTTGCAAGTAACAACGTCATAGTCATAACGACAAGGTAAGGGAAATTGGAAATATTCGAGTAAGATACCGTTTAAAATAATACAAAAGTTTCAATTTCAATTCTTCTTATGTTTAAATACGTTTTAAACTTGATTATTAAATTTGTAATATAAAATTGAATGGCGAAATCTGTTAGTAAGCACATAACTCAACAACGCCTTGACCAATTTAACCAATTCTTTTTTTAAAATGTTCGTTAAAGTTCCAGAATGGTTTTTACGTTGAGATAAAAGACAGCCCTTTTCTATAGAATAAACGTTGGCATTGAGATTCAATCATAATTATAGTTAAGTAGTTGAATCCTGGATGGCGCGCTGAAGTGCATTATTAGCAATTATTTATATAATTCATTTCTTTCAAATAAAATCGCAAATCTTATTGATAGAATTGACACATACTATGTCTAGAACAAGAGAGTAAAAACGAATTACATTTTTACACTACCGGGGCGAGGTCGCGGGCAAAAGCAAGTAAAATATAAAAATGTACGCAATTTTTTTTCGAATGTCAAGCCCCATTTGTATCGAATTCATCTAAAAATAGATTTATGCGTAATTTTTTTATAAATGTTTTGTTGAAATGTTGTTACCTCTTTTTTGTCATGTAAATTATCATTTAATTTGAATATTGCTGACTAATTTACATCTTTCAACGTTTGAACCGGTGGAAGTCGCCAACACGTCTGTCTAGTTTTGTCTCGTCTGGTCGTAGAAAGAAAGTTTTTTACGACTTTACACTTTACAGTCAGTCACACATCGTTCGTGTTTTTCTTTATTATAAATCATTTCTTTTTTCTGCCTATAATAACTTTATTTTATATGCCGCGGCGTTTTTTTTTTCTCGAATGCGTCGTTAGTGTTATTTACAAACGTGTTTTGAAGGCACAGGTTATTATTTGACTGCTCCTTAAAATGTTCAAACGATATTTAATACTAATACTTTCCTATTACCTTTACTAAAGCGTAGTGTGTTTTTGGTTTATAGGCGATTAGATGGTTACGTAAATCCGATTTGATTCGATTTGCGGCGAGTTGACTTTTGTCGCGAAGAAATGAAGGAATTATTATCGGCTGCTGGTTTCATGTGTTTCATTTTAACTGTCACTTTCTCTCATTTTCGAAGTTGCTACTTGGTGCTTGGTGTGGGCACTTAAAAGTCGAGATTTGTTTCTTCTTTATTTTTATTTTTTCTCGTCACGCTGAAAAGTTTATCGACATTTAACGTCTCAGGTTTTTCAAACTTGTACTCTGGGTACGTCAGAGAGTTGGACATCCGGCGATTATAGCTTATTATTGCGTTATTTTTATGTTTTTTTGTGTGTTTTATGCGTTTCGTTGAGGTTTTCTTCATGGCTCATTAAACATTTGAACTTAGAAATTTACCTTTTGAATTAGAAACGAAGAAAGAGATTTGTCAAAAGCAGAGATTCTTAAACAATAAAGTGGTGCTATGAGGTACCAAAGAAAATGGTTGAAGTTGCAAAAGAAGTTTACAGTTTTATTTTCTGCGTCTAAATTACCCGCCGATGTTGTAAAATGTATGCAATTTTTTAAAATAAGTTTTGCCAAACAATCTTTGGTTGATGGGTTGATTCTTAATGTAATCTTTAACATTTTGTACCCAATGAGATTCCCTTTTATTCGATAGGCATCATAGTCTAATAAAAAATCGCAAAACGCCCTCAAACTTTTGTATTTTATTGAAAATTTCGAAAACGCGCTTTCGAAAACACCCTGTAACTCAATTCCAACATATTTTTCAGCATTTTATAATTCTCTTTCGTTTTCTAACCATTTCCGCTCTTAAAGTCTGCCCATGTATAAATTTTGATGCGTGAAAATGTTGCTATTGTTTGTACCACACTTACTACTCTCTGAATATCCACTAAACTTTTGTAGTATTATTTAACCTCGGGATCATTGACTGAAACATCCACACGCACGCGAATGTGTCTCAACTGACTGAGTCACTTCTCCGAGTCCGCACGCTGGAAAATTACGTGCAATAAGTCGTTCATCTTTCGCGTTCGTCTTTTCCGCGTACGAATCGTAAGTAATAGGCACCGTCACACCGCACCTTGGCCGTGACGATTTTCACGTCGAAGACGATGATGGCAGATTGCCATCGTGCCATCATGCCATCGTTTCGCATCGCGAGTGTGCGTGCTGCGCGGAAAACGTGCGGCTAATAATATAATACGTAATAACACCGTGGAAACGGAAAGCGAAATTGGTCGACTTGACTTGACTTAGACCGTCAAGCAGGAAAAAGAAGGATGAAAAAACAGACCGAGCTAAATCAAATTCACACAAATTATGCATACGTTTGACATTATATGCGTTTTCTCACGTTTCTCATGGTAATGAATCGATGTTGAATCAATGTTTGCTTATTATTTTCTTTTTATTGCAGGAAATTCTCCTTCCAGACTTGCCCCTAAGAGACAAGCCCCGGTCCCAGAGCGCAACATTGTCCTGCCGTCGTCGGCCAGCCCACCAACTAAGGTATTGGGGTGCGTACCCTTCATCTTAAAATAGACGCGAAACGGGCGGACAACACGTAGAAAACGCAATCGACAATATCGATTCATTCAGTTTCGATTAGATTTTTCTTGCTTTTTGGTCTTGCGTACTGCGTTTTCGCCGGTTTTCCGCCCGTTTTTATACATTTGGCATAATCACAAGTCGTAGATTGTGATGCGTATGCGTTGGTTTCGTTTTTGTGCAATGTTTTTATTTGTTTGTTAGTGTTGTGCGAAGTTACAGTAAAATTAATGTAAGCGTGATTTAAACATTAAAGTAGAGTGCATTTTCATCGTCGTCATCGTCGCCGTCGTTTGTCGTTGGTTTTACTGTTATTGTTTTGTTGGGTTTGTTCTGTTTCACGTTAACAACTTAACATAAAGTGCAGTTTGAACTTTTACATCGTTTCTGGTTGTCTAAAGAATAGAATTGTCCAGGAAGTAATGAAGCCGGTGTTGGAGTAGGCAACCAAGTATTCATTTACATACATGATACACACATTAGACTTTATACACGACTGCCATTTGCGTTTCTCGACTGTACTTGACTTAATTTAAGTAAGATCAAGCTTGGTAACGATGAGTCATCACTTTTGTCACACTTTTCTTTGCTTTGCTTTCTTCTTTAATTGTTTTCTTGTGTACTTCTGTTGTTTTTCTACAACATGTCACTGATTTAGCTATTTCTCGTATTTTGTTCTGCTTATTTTATGCATTTATTATCTAAATGCATCCGCAAGTAGTAATTCACTTTCTTTTTTATTTATTTTTTTCTGCACTGCAGACATAACGCACAATTAGCTGTAATTAGTCTGCTCTGCGATTGCTTGAAATGCTATGCTGCTTTGGGAAGCGTTCGCACAGCACAGACACTCATAATCAACTCGTAATCTCTTCAACAATGGCAGAAACTGATAATTAAATGAATACACGTTTCGGTTTTAAAGTTTCATTTTTCATTTCATTGCTTATTTATTTCACTTTTCGCATGAAAATGCGAGAAACATGAGAAAACACCAGGAAAAAACAAAACCATACAAAGATGGCGGCGCACCAAAGATCTACAATTAATCGAGAGATAAATTGATATCAGTTTATGGCAATTACGCGAAGATTATGGGAACTAAAGTGAATGAAATCTAGAATCTAGAAAAATTTCGTTTTCTGGTCTGACTGTGTATTCGTAGGAAATAGCAGTGGTACAATTTTCTAGAGCACACATTAAACACACTACATTCTTCTAACAGTAACACTCTATTTCCACATGCTCTACAATCCTCAAACTCATACTTGATACTTACGGAATTCATTACCATACTTTGAACATAAATGCCGCATGGCCGCCGGTGCCGGCCGACACATCATGGCGCATATATTCATGGACGCGGGCCAATCTATTTCGAGTTCGAGTTGTTCGAGTTCAAGCGGCGACTCAGTTCATGTGCTTTCTGTTGTTTGAATGCCAGTCGGGCGTTCGGCACGCTGCACCGTCTCGATTGTTACCAAAATTTTCGGCATTTCATCATTATCGAAAGTGTTACAAAACAAATGTTACCGACAACTTATCCACAGCACAGTTTCAATAGAACGGTGTTTAGTTTCGAGTTTAGTCTCACTCTCGTAGACGTAGACGTTCGTTAAGTTGAGTAGACGTAGAAAAAAAAACATTGCATAAAAAGTGAAACCTCTCTTCGTCGTTATCTCGTCATACATACATTGTACAATTGTGCTTCGTGTGCTTAAATCGTCGCTCCTATCTGTTGTCTCTAGGAGGAAAGCTTGGATATTATGGGACAGTACAAGCCAGAAATTTTCTGCTAAAGGTAAAACAAATATCTCAAATCCATTTCTATGAACTTTTCTTCTCCTAACTTTTTTGTAATCTAAATCTAACCAAATATATCTAGTTAAGGGACGCCATTTTAATTTTACTTAACCTTTCTGAACTCATAAGTCTTCATTATCATAAAACTTTTGTTTATTTTTCGCATGATACATGTTTACTTGTTTACCTTGCATGTTGCTTGTTTTTGAGGCTTGGATTGATTCATCGATTCATGCATTACTTATGCATATACTTTCATTCAAGCGATTGTAATGATGATTCATTCAATGTGAGTAACCATGGATCGCGTTTTTTTTTATTCTACAGCTGGCGAGAAGCACTAGCGCAGTAAAGCAGACCTGCGTGGAGTGCAAGCTTCCCGTTTTTGTGGACGAACGCAAGACGGTCGGTAAGCAATTGTATCACATCGGATGCTATAATAAAATGGCGGACGGGGGAGGCAAGCGCACCGAAGAAGCGCAGGTGGTCCCAGAAGTGGTAACTGCAGCCATTGTAAGATCAGTGCTCGAACGGTCTCTCAGTGATGAGGAAAAAGCCAGCGGATTACTCTACGATGATGATACTACGAATGGCACCTACCGTACCGCCCTCGACAACACTGTACCTTCGAATAATACCAGTACCACTACAAGTTCAACAACAAGCAGCGAATATACAATGGCGCGATCACATTTTATGCAGGACCTGATCAAACCACCTGCACCACATCAAGATCTTGATCATAAAGCGACTGATCAAGGTACTGATGTTTCGGAAGTGCGTGAATGTAGTGACTATGATAGTGATTGCTTACCCCCGACGGACTCATTGAAACTTAGTGTAGTTGTAAATAATAGTGATAGCAGTGGACTTAGTGATACATTAGCCGCGAACGTTGTCAAAGACGAAAAGGTTACAGACGATTTTATTACCAAAGATGATCTCCACAAACATGAACGTAAACAATTCTCCGCGTCAGATAGCGACGATGTGGTTGTGATTTCGGACGTGTCCATGTTGCATATTACAATCTCTGATAACTCGAATATGGCCGCTACTGATTCATCATTCAACGAAGGAGACTCCAAAACTGCCTTGGAGAATCCATATAGCGAAGAGGTGAAGGGCGACGATGAAACCAAAGTGCCTGTGAAAAAGGATGCGGACACAACGAATCCATTTGACGATGAAGATGATGATGAAATTGGAGAATTTCCATCTGCTTCCAGCTCAAGGTAACACCGCATTATAAATTGACACGCATGTGTGCTTTGCATTTTTTTATCGTATCGAATTTATTCATTTATTTTGGCGTTTGTTTGATTAGAGTGGACGTCAAACCAAAGTCCCTTAATCCCTTCAGCGATGACGAAGATGAGGAAGAGGAGCTGGAAGAGAAACCTAAATTGAAAAGGATAGAAGGTAGCAAAAAGGATTCTCCAGAGGATTATGCTGGTAAAAATCCTTTCTCCAGCGATGAAGACGAGGAGGAGGATAAAAACAACAAGATGGATAATCCTATGTAAGCAAACACATATTAAATTACAAAACCTGACCTAATTATAATTTTTTTTTTTTATAACAGTGATGTGAAACCTGTGACAGTATTAAAAAAGATCCAACCGCGCCACTCGGACTTCAAGATGACGACTGGGAGCATGGGTGACACCCCTGAGGATTACAAAACCATTTTCTACAAGCGGGAGAGCGTCGCACCGACGTACAAAAAGTCACCGCCGCGTATTAGTCTCAATCCCTTCTCTAGCGATGAGGACGAAGATGACAACACATCGCTGCCTACCACACACGGGTCAATGTGAGTATACACGCATTACGACAACGTGATTAAAGTATCCATTGCGGTTAATTGCCGTAGTCGCGACTTGCGCTTAGAAACACTTAAAATTCATTAAGCGTTCACGCGTGGTCATGTGAAGGTGCCTGCATGTGATATTCTCAATAGTCGATTGTTCGTTATCGCCTAACAGCTACTTTGTTTTATTTGCATTCGTTTGTGAGCCGCAGTCATGTCGGAGCGTTTGACGAGTGCGTTATGTTGAAATATCGTGTTTGCAGGGCGACGTTGTCGCAGCCGCGGTCATCGTTTGGTTCCACCAATTCCCTTACGAGCACCGCCTCTTCGAGCATTAACTCTACCTACCGGAAGAAAAAACCCGCACCTAAGCCACCCATTCCGGCGTTTCAAAATCTGCCGAATTCAACGGGCTCATCTCCGCATGCTTCCATTACGTCTAGTCCATCTACAAGTGCTGTAAGTTTTTTTTTAATTTAATCTTGCATTTTTAATATTTATACTGTTGTGGTTCATTATAGCAACATTCGCCGAAACCAAGAAAATCGAAACGTGCGCCTCCACCACCGGTACAAAAAGCATCTGAGACTTCAACACCTGTCACACGACCTAAACCCGCCCCTAGATTATTTAATCCCGCGTCCCCAATTAAATCTATGCCCACACAATCACCTGGTCTTGATTATGAAAAAGAAAAAGTCGCCAAGGATGAAGCAAATAGGCAAACTCAATCATCAGGACAGGAACATGCTGATTATTCACTCCCACCAACGTATAAAAGTAGTTATGGTATGTGGAAGAGGAAGAAAGGGCAGGCCCCAGGTCTCCCAATACCACAAAAACGCACGATTAAAGCCCTTCCGATGACTGAATTGAAAAAAGAGTTGGATATCATTGAACTTCAACTGCAAGGTCTTAGCAAACAAGGGGAACGTCTGGAAAAGATCATTCGAGATCAATGCGAAGGACCTGATGCTGATCCCAATGCAACTGAGATTCCGATCGAAGCAGAGGATTTAATCCTACAGCTGTTTGAAGTTGTTAATGAGAAGAACGAATTGTGTCGAAGACAAGCGGAATTAATGTATTTGTAAGTATTAACTGTTCACTTTTAATCTACGGTCAATTAACCTGTTATTTATGAAATAGAAAACGTCAACATCGTTTGGAAGAAGAACAAGCTGATATTGAATACCAAGTAAGATGTCTAATGCTGCAAAGCAGTAAATCCGATTCTGAAAAACTGCGTGAGACTGAACTCATCGCTCGTTTAGTGGAAGTTGTCAATCTTCGAGCGGAAATCGTTGAATGTTTAGAGATGGATCGAGTAAGAGGCGTTGAAGAAGATGATAGCATTACGTACTCGATGAACACCTACGCGAATAATCGAGATGAAGCCGCTGCGGCTTCATCATTGCCTAGCAGTACCGATGTAAGTCCGAAGAAGGAAAAGAAAAAGAAGTTCCGCAAACTCCTCAAGTTCAAAAAGCTCACCGCGAGCAAGATGGACGCCGACAAAGATGTCGACGAGAGCGAGAGTTCACCGAAATCTAATAAAAGTGTTAAATCTGATAAATCTAGCAAAAGCAAGAAGAAAAAGTAGAATTAGGTTAGGAGATGAGAGCTACTAAATATTGTGTATGTTTATTTTTTATTAAAACTTTTTTTTATTAGATAAACAAAGATGGCCGACATGGACGCTTACCTGTTACAAAAATATGTCGGCCGGTTATTTTACGAATAAACGATCAATGAACCAATGAAACTTCATAATTCGGGTGATGACACATTTCTGACCATGATACGCACAATATTTTAGAATTTTACGTCTAATGGGCTACGTTATTCCGTCTTGGGGGGTTCTGACGTCGCGGGTTCTATTGTGTCATTTAACATCGTTTTAGATTCAACATTGTTCTCTTTGCTAAGGTTATCCCCCGCGCCATCAGTTGATACAGTTGTAGCTGGTGCAGTTTTGTCATCTTCTACTTTAGCGTTTAAATCACTACTAGTGTTCAAATCAACAACTTCCTTATTTTTAGATTTCTCTTCGCTGTCCTCAAAATACGAGGCGACGAACATGTAGAAGCTCGATGTCTTGCTGTATTTGCTGATTAGCGACGTGTAACGCGCCGTGTCTCCATAAACAAGATTTAAATAATTCACCTCACAACCGGTGGTGATAAGTGCGTTCTGAACCTCATCGTCCAGTGTAACATAGTGCGTTTTACCCCCGACGATCGAAGTGTCGCCGACGCAGAACATAACATCCAGTCTATCTGCGTTATCTTGGGTTATTAAGGAGTAGGAACCCGGCGTCCATTTTTGAAACTCCCACTTCATTTTTCGCAATTCTAACCCTGTGTACTGATCTAAGCAAGAGAAAAATGTTTTCGATTTTAAAACGGATATGAATTTTTTCAACTTTGGAGGAAGATCAGAATCATTAGCGATGTACTCGTAGTTGCGGCGATTTGGTGGACCCATTTGCTTCCATTTTATTTCTGTGGAGAAAAGCAAAGTTTGTTTTTTTTCTTTGTGCAACAGCTGGTTAACATAATATTGAAATAATGCGATGACATATTTAAACATGAAAAAAGTTAATAAATAACTTTTAAATTTCAAATAGGAAGATTAAGTAATAAAAAAATTGAGTACAGTTTATTTTGTAATTAACTATGTTAGAGGTGCGAGGAACTTATGCGCGCAGACTAGATTTTTTAAACATCTGATTAATCAGATATATACTGCAACAACGTGCGAATCGGCAGCAGTATAACCTGTGCGAGTGTCGTCGCCGGACGCAACGCGCAGGAATGCGCGGCCGTTTTTTGGTAACTCGTGATTCAGTACGGTTAAATCCCGAGTAAATTGTAATTTTGCTAAACAAGTGATGTCTTACCTGGTGATACCAAATCGTCGAAGACAGCAAAGAACTCTTCCTCTTTGAAATAGAGTTCTAAAGACATCTCGGAGTGTTCTTCGATATATTGCTGTATCGATGTGACGGTATCGTCAACCAGATAACCATCGTCGATGTAATCAGCAAGGACGCAATCGTCTTCTATCGGCTCAAGCAACGTCGTCCCGTATAAACCATCGCTTGGCGGTTTGTAGATGGGCGTTTCAAAGGTTAGTGGTTCTTTGGTATGAAACCAGCCGTTGATACTCAAACGGCAGAAGTTTTACATTGTACTTCCTCAACCTTAATAACGCAAAAATTATTATTTTCAACGTCACTTTGAAATAATACTCTTAAATATTAAAAATATTCGAATATTTTCTACATGCAAACAAAACTTACTTGATGATATGATCGATCCGAGACAGGAAACAAAACCAATTGATTATTACGCGGTAGAATATTTTTAGTAACTTTCAGGGGTTGAATATCTTCATCGGCATTCAATAATTGCAAACACCCGCCCCAGTCAGCACACCAACCCTCCTTCCCCGTCAGGTACAGCACAAACGCGACAGCTCTCGTATCTCGTTGATCGTCATGCACAAGAAGAAAGTCAGTATCGCTATAGAAACTGCACGTCGCCGATACTTGTACTAATTCAAGATTGGTTAATTTTGAAACCCAGGACATTAAATCACCTTTCAAAAAGTCATAAACTAGTCCAATGTGTTCCTCATGAATGTTTTTCAAGTCTTCTGACTGATTGAACTCATATAGGTCCATTGTTCGAATATTCCAATCGATTTCGTTAAATTCATGACGAACTTTATCAAGTATTGACACATCATCAACTACATTATTGATCACTAAGACTTTCCATGGATCTGTGATCAATTCACAGTTTTTCTCCTCAAACGCGTTGTCGTTTAGGTAGTTTTCTTTGATACTTTTAAAGTTTATTTCATTACTAAGCTGCTCATTAAGTTCCACACTTAATTTTTGTCTTTTTATATCATTGGGCTCTGGCAGTGAGATATATTTTGTGTGATGTACTAAAAATTTAAAACAAAAACCGGTTTTTTATACTAGCACTTTGTAGAGTATGATATAACACCTAACTTACTTCCTTGAATAAGTTTTGTAGTAATTGTAACATTGGAAATCACACAATCATTATCCCAGAAGTCACATTCATATTCAGGTTCACTTTCTTCAGACTCTTCTTCAATAAATTGCACATCGTCGCTTTCGTCCGAATCATAATCATCGTCAGAATCGAATGTGGGCCTTTTTACCCCTGAAGTACCACTACCAGAGGCACCTATATAATACAATATTAGTATTAACTTAGGTTTGGAAAAGTATTTTTAAATGTGAGTTAAATTACCTGCGCCAGAATCGTAAATTGCCTCGCAACTATCGTCAGATATTTCGATGACGTCGTTGCTGTTGCTAGTTTCGTCATTCATTATGGTTGGCTGGACACCACGAGCACAATTGCAGAAAAATTAAACATTCGGGATAAACAACACGCAAAACAAACCACAAGCCGCACAACAGTTTGAGAATAAGGTTATGTTGACATTTATGTTGCTCGGTTTGCCTAACTTTGCAATACTTTCGCGTACCTTCGGAAAATCTGTTTAGTACCGAAGTTTACAACTAGGTAGCGCTGTATGTTCGTTTCTTCATTCTCCATCACTACAAGTAACTTTTAGGAAGTGCAGTGTTTTAAAACACTGAAAATTCAATATTAATGCGGTTAATATTAATTTATTTAAACAAAAATAATTATTACATTCGTACAAAAATTCTTCTATACAATCTCTCATTTCTGTCTCATATATTTTGTGTTTCTCATAGTAATTTCTTTTTGCTTGTATAAATACATCATTTATTGCTAACCAAAGGTAAATTTTTTTTGATTACGTAAATTCTGTTCAAAAATGTTCGAATTTGTACTCTTTGTACTCAAGAAACGTGACAATTGCGCGTGAAAATAAAACTGCTCTTCTGCCGGTAATGACGTAATTATATTTCTAATGGTAGGTTGAACGCGTTAACGTGTAACATAATCTAGCACTCATTCAAATTTTAATGTATGTACAAAATTATACATGGCTTCCAAAATCTAATCGCTCATCACCTCAACAAATTGACAAACATGTAAGACAATACACAAGACTGAAACTTATTTTTAAAGTTTTGTGACTTGCCTTTCACGGGTCAGTATTTAATATGTATAATCATCAATGCTTCGAGCTAAAAATGTATCGAAACAATGACGTCATTTAGTATTTAACATAATTAACTGTAAACAACAAACTAGGATGATACCGTCACCGTGGTCGCGTGTTCGTCGAATAAATCACTCGCTCCCTCCGTGTCTGATAACAGAAACGCGAAATCCTTCGATGTAGGCGGTGATAGATGCACGAATTTTGATTCTGAAACAAACATTAACGCTAATAGAATAAAATGTATCCGTATTTCTTATTTTAATGAAAACTTACTGTCAGATTTCCGATTAGTTCTTTTACTGGGCGTTGGATTCCGTAGTAATATATGCGCCACAATCATATCTTCATCAACATCTTCATCACTTTCTGTTTTTGATTTTTTACATGGTACATCCTCATCATTTTCACCACTGTCTTGTGGTTCTTGTTTTACTGGAGTTGTTGGCTCCTTTTGAATGTATTCACAATCATCATCCAAAGACATATCATCCTTGCTGATGCATGCATTGATTGTGCCAGTTTTAGATCTTACTTTCATCTTATACCCTATCTCTCTGTTGTCATCCAGTTTGATAACAGAATTGAGTGGCATGTGCAGAAGAACTATTCTATCTTCATTTGTGGCAACTGCCTTGAGATCATCCTTCTTGATATACAGATCTTTGGCTATATCTTTGTCACTGGTGACATTTTTTAAGCTCTGCTCCAACCAGGAGATGTGTAGGTCTAGGTTTGACTCAATTGTATCCAGATTAGATATGTCAGACTTGAGTTTCATTACTTTGCTTGCTATATCTTGATTGCTGGTGTTTTGCAGTTTGTCTTTGTAGGTGTAAGGTCTAAAAATTGCATTTGAATAGTTGTAACTTATTATGAAAATATGTACTTACTTCCATTGAATACTGTTTTTACTCTTCTTCTCAATCAATCCAATGCCTTCAAGAACATTTGTAATATCATAGATGCGTCGTTTTTGCCTCACAGCTAGTTGATCCGCCGCCTATATGCAAAAAATTAATATAATTATGATAAAATAGATTGAAACGTGTTGAACTATGCAAACAATGTTTATGTTTGGGTGCACTGCAGAGTGAAATTAGATGCGTACCATTTTCAAATCGAGGACCCCTCCGTCGCAGTTCTGTAAAAGATTGACGAACTTGGTCGTGAGCAAACCAAGCGACTTTTCGAACCGGCTGGAGGGCACGTCGGACATCATCCTCGAGGGGCGGCAAGCGGTTCGCGGGCGAACCTAGTTTGAATGATGCCGTCGATGGCTGTCGAACTCACAAGACGCAGCGCGAAGGTGCTTTTAGTGATATTTTGGCGAAATCAAAAACGCTGTGCGGCGCTTCGCTTTTGTTTGACAGGCACGCGCACTGCCTTACCGGCATACCAAATGTGCACTTGTATATTAGAAGAAGTAGATGGCGCTCGCAACAGTAAATTTGCCGTCAGTCTCTATTTGACAGCAAGCATTTCTTTTTCGTTATTCTAGTTTTAAACGTGCAGCAGTATAATATAAATGGATAAAATCAATTCTTGCATTTCTTGCGAATACCAAAGTATATGATTGCAACCTTGTTCTTCAACGTCCCTTCAACATTCGCAACATACAGAATTCAAATGATAAGGTAGTATTAATTTAGTTTTATTGATGTAAGTAACTTCAATAAGGATCCAGGCATGACGCCATTTTTAATTCGAGAATCTCCTAAGAAGTAAATTTATTTTCATAAGTTTTACACACATAACCAACATAGAAATTATATATGTACATGAAAAAATAAAATACACGTGGGCACAGAAACAGGCATGGTACTACGACCTTAGAGGTCTTAAACCATACCAAAAGAAATAAAACCCCGTAAACGGTATTGCTGGCGGCGACTTTCAAATTTAATACATACTAAGAAACAGAGAAGAGACTTATGTGTATGCATGCATGTGAAAAATGAATCATATCCATAATTTCTTCGTTTATTTTCACCGTAACTTCATCCCCGCACTCATTGAAGACTTCCGAGCATTGAACTTTTAAACGATTTATATTTTATAATTTCAAATTTAGAAATTAATCGGTTTGCCAAAGTAGGCAGCAAGATTGGCTTCTCTGAGGGCTTCGGCGCAAGTTGGATGCGCGTGACATACCCTCGCAACATCTTCCGCGGATGCTCCGTATTCTTGCGCGAGTACCGCCTCGTTGATCAGTTCTCCTACAGTGGGTCCAATCATATGTGTGCCCAAAATCCTGTCTGTGTTCTTATCCGATAAAACTTTCACAAAGCCATCGGTTTCGTTATTGGTCTTCGCTCGAGAGTTAGCCATGAATGGGAATTTGCCCACTTTGTATTCCACTCCTTCACTCTTGAGGTCTTCTTCGGACTTGCCTACCCAGGCAACTTCCGGATGCGTGTAGATCACCGAAGGTACGCAGTTGTAATCAATATGAACTGGACCACCCTTCATACCTTCCACGCAAATAATACCTTCATCCTCTGCCTTGTGGGCTAACATAGGACCATGAATACAATCACCAATAGCGTAAATATTGGGAACGACAGTTTGGAACATAGAATTGACTGGAACCCTTCCGCGATTGTCACGTTCAATTCCCATTTCTTCCAAACCAAGATTATGGGTGTAAGGTCTTCGGCCAATGGAAACCAGGATAACATCAGCGTCTAATTCTTCTTTCTTGTCGGGATTTTTCACATCTTCTACGGCGACTTTAATACCTCCACCGGTCTTTTGTGCTCCGACCACTTTGGTACCCAATTTGAATAACATTCCCTGCTTGGTTAGTACCTTCTGGAAGGTTTTGCTGACCTCACCGTCAATGCCCACTCCTCCGATTGAGTCCATAAACTCCACTGCGGTTACTTCCGCGCCCAAACGAGACCATACAGAGCCCAATTCAAGACCAATGACACCAGCGCCAATAACAATCATTTTCTTAGGGATTGCTTTCAATGAAAGGGCACCGGTTGAGGACACGATTGTATCTTCGTCAATCTGAAAATAAACTTTATGCAATAATGTGTGGGTAAATGATGTTTTTAACTCACTTCAATGCCCGGGAATGGTGTTACTTCGGATCCAGTTGCGATCAAAATATTTTTCGTGTTAACAATTTCGGTAGAACCATCAGGTTTAATCGCGGTAACCTGGTTCGCTCCGGTAATTTTGCCATGTCCTTTAACCAAGGTGACTTTGTTTTTCTTGAAAAGCATGGCGATGCCTCCCGTGAGCGATTTGACCGCTCCCGATTTGGCAGCCATGAACTTTTCTAAGTCCATGCGCACATTATCAACCATAACACCGCGACTTGCAAAGTCACCGGAGTGCGCCAGATGGTAATAGTGAGAGTTGTTCAGCAGTGATTTTGAGGGGATGCATCCCACATTCAGGCATGTTCCTCCTAGTGTGGGATCTTTCTCAATGCAAACTGTCTAAAAAATCAAAATTTCCATTATGTTAATTCATGTATTAATTGTTAATTAATAACTTAAATAACCTTGAAACCCAGCTGGGCTGCCTTAATAGAGGCAACATATCCTCCAGGTCCTGAACCAATGACAACAATATCTGCTTCATGAGTGGTGGAATAGTTACGATTTTGCTGGATGCCGGATAATACGGTAATTTTCGCCTGCTTCTTGATCGTCGGCTGTAACCAAATCAAAACTGATTAGAATACTAACAAAAGTTTATTGCCCGGTTGACCTCTGTTTGTGTAATATGGTTTGATAAGTCGCGTTTTGAGGTTGGATATTACGTAAACGATAGTTGGAATAAGTTTAATTAAGTGTTGAGGAAGTTGACTGAGTGCTGAATTTGTAGGAAGTGTAGTAGTAGCTTACTCTGATCGATGCGCCGACTATATTCCAAAGGTTAGCTTGCATTTTGATTGTAAAAAGGATAAATTCGAATCAGCTGGATCCGTCCAGAGTTTGCTGCTGGTCTGACACTGACAACCTCGTTACGCCTGACAGGACTGATACAACCAAATGGACGTCACTGTGAGTCAGGGAATTTTGCTTTCGATGGTTGTCAGGAAACTTTTAAACCGGGTGCTTAAAATATTCACTTCTAATGATCTGTAGCTCCGGTAGGGTAGTAGCTTTTAGTACCGGTTCCAAGCAACGACTATAAGTTAACTGCTTGCAAAATTCTGTGTTAGGTATTTACTAAAATACAATAAATATCACTCCATGATCATACTTAGGATTCATGTTTTATGTCAACTTCCAGTTCCACTTCTAATACACGTGCTGAACACGCGCACATTTTTTAAAATTAGTAACGAGTAACACTTGGTTTATCTCTAGAATTTAGTTACTTTTCCATTAAAGTAGAAAACGTAAATAATAATTGACTTTCAAATAAACCACATTAAAAGAAAATACATGATCAAAACAAATATAAAAAGAATATAAAATATATACCATGACTGGAGGTTTATAACAACCTATTTAGAAAGAATAATTGAACAAATATATTTCCTTGTTTTTATAATTATTTATTACAAATTAAACATAATTCTAAATTAATGGTAATCTATCTTAGTGTAGCATTCAAATACATGATGTCAAAGTCTATTATACTCTATCCAGTGCCTCCAACATTACAATGCTGTTTCCTCTGATAACCTAAAATAAAATCAGATAATGTATCAATCTTTTCCCTATGATTAAAGATATTTTTATTATCTTACCACCATGCCAACATTGTTCTTTGAGCCGTCCTTGCACTCCTCGATGCTTTCATCAACCACGAGGTTCATGAAGGGATCAAAACCACGCAAAATGCCGGTAACTTGTCTTCCTCCATTCAGTTTCAGGCTGAGTTTCTTGTCCATGAATCTATAAATTTAATGTTAAAAGTTTATAGGAATTGGCAGACTGCAAAACATACTTTTTGAGTTCTGGAGGATGTGCTTTCGACATGTTTATAAACTTATTTAGATATTTATTCAGAAATTAGTTCGACTTGCTGTGAACGTTGAATAACGTAAGTAAACGCGCGACGCTCTTGGTGAGGTTAAGTTTATTAAACAGCGGTTGTAGTATACTGAGTGGTGCAGAAATATTTAAGAAATAAAAAAGTATTTTTATCCAAGCAAATTTATTTACTGCGTTACAATTTACTCCAGTGATAATGATTATAGTCAAAACGTTGAGTCTGCGTAATGAAACAGAATTCTAATTTCTGAATGCATTAATTAATTAATTAATCCAAGTGTTTCAATAACTCAATTCTGATCAAACCCAGATGGCATAATCGATATTGGTCAATCTGTTTCACTATCATCATGCTGCGAATGTACTGTCGGTTGCGAATGGGATCTGAATAGGCATCTAGGCTTGGGCTTTCGTCGGAATAAACGTGCGATGGAACGGTACATGTAGAGGTAGATCGAGGTTATGAACGCAGCAATCACCCAGAGTAGGAATGTAAAATTCATCGTTCTAGCGTTTGCGGTTGTAACTCAAACAGCACAGACAGGATTTGATGATTTTTGACAGTCTGATCGTTTCAATCCATCAATTTTCAACCTTACCATGGTTTCCTTCACCTGTTTTCATTTTGGAATCCTTGATATCATTTATCTTTCACAGACATGCTGGTATAAATAAACAAGGACTGTAAATTATTTTTGGTTGCACAAAAATAGAAAATGGCAAAAAATCTAAAAAAGTGGAAAATTTTAAGTGTACGTCAGTAATTTACATTTTTTTGATAATAAACAGCGAGTTGCTAACTTTTTCTTGCAAATAAAAAATATTGATTGCTCTCAATGATTCATAAATCATAAGGACTTAAATATAAAATATACGTAGGAAGCGGGAGACGAATAAAAAATTCTTTTATTATTGTTACGAAAAGAGAGACATTTTATTCTTCTTTCTAATCTCAAAAAATAAGATAATATACTTACATATAATAATTCCGCATTGAATAATATTCTACAAAATTTTAATACGCTCGATAAAAATAAATCTGTCGTTGTGGCACACATTGGCTCTAATAAAAGTTAATCAGAAAATCGCATAAGTAGGTAATCGGTTTACAAATTTCATATAACTATAACATTCCTCGTTTGTAACCCAGTAATAAGCCGGTGTTGGTATGCGTAAACCTATATCACAATGGCAAATCCGTTATGCATTCAGCGATAATAAGGATAGTCACGATGATTTCCCGAATGAAGCGCGTAGCGGCCGTACAACCGCCACCGGTGGCGACACAGTAATCGGGACAGAGTCGACTGTCGGTGTGATGGTGCGACGCTTGCGCGCCTTATCACTCGTCCTTTTTGGCGAAACGTCGAACGCCGAACGCCGACCGCCTCCGCGCGCTCTGCAGCCAGTCAGCCAGCCCGGCAACCAGCGGCGGCGACGAGTCTATCTCGATCGGCGGACCGGGACGGTCGTGCGCGTTCTCGCTTCACGATTCGCGGATATTCAGTTTTCCATTTCCAGACCAACGGCCGAAGTGGTTACGAAACAACTCGATATGTTACGTCAAAATAACATAGTATTAAATTAAATTCAATTCAACACGAACTGACTGAAAAGAAACTATTGGAAATAATTACAGTAATTTTTATTAAGACATGTGTTTAAATCAAGTCATGGTACTTGAATAAAACCAAAATAGTGATCGAATTACACTTAATAAAATATCAGTGTTAGTGCTAGGGTGCCAGGAATTTTTTAATCTGGCACGCAAGAATTTATTCGCAGGACGAACAAACAAAACAGATGAATATCGCTGAACGGTGAAAGGAAAGTGGCGAGTGTTGGATTACATTCATCCTTCGACGACGTACCTCCGGTGTCAGGTGGCAGTGTCACTGTCGCTGACCTTAAACATCGACTAATCATCGAATAAACAATAACATCAAGGATCAATTCCTGACAATTTCAAAAGTCCGCGAAAGTTACTTTCATAGCAAAAAAGTAAGTTAAACTAAATAAATTGATTAAATTATTGATGTTTTGTATTTGATTTTCAACAATTGAATATAATAATCACGAGGGAAATGTGATTATTATGTATTATTTAATGTTTATTGTCGTACGCGATGCGAAATTCGCACTTCCGCGCATTTCGATATTCGCACAATCGAAACACGAAACAGACACATTCATGTAACAGTAATAGAAATTGAAGCGGCAGCGGTGGCGGTAGTGGCGGCGCGTTGGAAATTGTGTGACGGTGGCGAGACGCGTATAGGGGACCATGGCGCGCGCGGGTAAAGCGAATCGCGGCCGGCGGAAAACGGGGCGCCGGGGTGCCGGGACGCCGGTTAATGCACATCCCGCTTTGGCGGGCGCCACGCAGCCCTCACGCCGCCCTTTTGCCGCCCCCGCGCGCTCTCGGCGCGCGTCTTCGTCCGCCGCACTCGCCGGTTGATCGTATCGATCCTCGAAGCGCCGCCGAAAACGAAAAAGATACATTCGGGATGGTCACCCGACCAATTTTCACAAAAAATCATCCAAATTATTTATCATCGGAAGTGAAACATTTGAAATTTAATAAGAATTTTAATTACTTTTTTTATACATATCAGCTTTTTCCCATTTTAATTCGTTTTGATGTTTTATACCCTCCGAATTCATCCGTATATCATACTTATCGGTGGAATTCCAATCTAAAGCGAAATCCGAGTCCCGCGTCGAATTTCTGCGAGCGCACAAATTAAATTATTACTTTTGATTGAATTCCACTGTTTATTAAGCGTAATAAAGATAAAGCTGACTATGTGCAGTTATTGTGCTTTGCAAAATTGGTAGAACTCTCTACCATAATTTTGATTATAAATTCTACGCTGTTATCTAACATTCTGAATTAATTTAATAAAGAGTTAGGGAATGATTTGTGTCAATTTTCGGAATTTTACAAAATCCAACTTTAACCTGTTTTTCTGAAATCAGATCATCAAATCATCTCTTTACTGTTTTATCTAAAATTTAATTCTGAATCTGCCTTTAAAAGATTTTGTATTGTGTCCCAACTAGTTTTTGAGTAATTTAATTAAAAATTAATAAAAGGTTTTAATGTTCACATCACGTAAAGTTATACTATAGGTACCACCTGTTCCTATACACATAATTACTTTAAAATAACTTTACCTCCTTTGGAATTTCGAACATTAAATCAAATCGCATGCAATTCCAACAAATTCCACATTTTATGAAATCAGTACTCTGTGTAAACGTAATATTATAGTACTGTATACACAAACATATTATTTGTTGCGTCTATCATGCGATCGTTCATATCGTTTACATTTTCCTTTCTTCGGGTTGTTTCTGGTTCCGATTCCGCCGTCTACGTGTATTATGTGCATAACATGCGACATGAACGGCGTGCATAATGACCAAATTGCTTCACAATTTGTCGACGGTACGCACAAACACGTTGACACACGATGACACGTGCAAACAAGTAAACGCGTTTAATTCCTATCGTGTTGTCGTTTTGTCGTGACTGCCGGCTCGCAATCGGAAAACACTGAAAGCCGTAATCACTAAACGGTAAACAGTTAAGCATTGCAAGCAAGCACAGCACTTTGCGTCGAGTTAGTAAGCTAGCTGAGTCAGATTTCAAATTCGCAATTAGACACAATTAGACGATTAAAATTCGCATTGTTTTCCTACGAGTTTGGTGAATTTTCAATTGTTATATTTACTTGTTTATTGTCAATATAAATAGCGTGTTTACTCGTCGAGGTAATAGCTTTATTAGAATTTTCATTTGATATTTGTGTTTGTTAAACCATAGAACAAACATCGTAATTGCGAAAACTGAAAATAATTGGTAATAGGAGCCACAGATAATTGGAAAACCTGTAACAAAATAAAAACCAACCTCGGTTTTTAATCAAACTCTTCGTTTGGGTTTTAAATTTACGCCGATGATGAATTACGACCGCGACGGGAGCTCGCTGAGTTTCATTACTTTTAATTATCTGTCAAAACAAAAAGCGCAATTTTCCGTGATTAAACGTGCCATAACAGGCGTTTAATAACCTCACCGACGGTCATAAACACGTCGTTAATTTGCACCCCCTGCAAACAGTGAAACAGCACCTTTATTCTCATTTATTTTCATTTATTTAATAACAAAAGAATTCCTTTTCCTTCAAATTGTATTTTTATCTAATTTAAAGTAGATAGGTTTTATGGTTAGGTTTTTTATATGCAGGCAACCAGTTGTACTTGTGTGTGAGTGAAGTTTCGTCAGAGTAAGCGTGAGCGTGATGTGAGGCGACGTCGAGGCGAGATAATCAACGGTATTCAAGACACTTAATTATCAACTCTTCCGAGCGCAATGCGTTGGCAAGGGTGTAGATTCGCTCCACGCGCGGCGATGGCAATCATGGCGATGGCATCCCGCCGCGGCCGGCTTAATTTATTGTCGCGATGCCTTTGATATCGAAGAGGGATGGCACGTGACTGCGCGATTGTGTAAGGTTATAACACCGTGTGCGGATGAAAGGGACAGACAGGACGCAAGAAAATTCGCTCGGTACGGTTTTGCATTCATGTTTGCATATACAATGTGTTTTGGATGGTGTTGTAAAAGTTGTTGCACTGCGGGTAAAACTGACAGCATGACAGACAGTATGGCGGCAAGTCAAGGTTGTTAAATAACTATTCGGTAGCTCGTTCATCAATCAAAACCGCAAGTCACTGGACTGCACGAGATAAGCAAGAAAGTCGAACAAAGAATTGAAAAGTGATAAAGACTGCGCGTGCGCAGTAAAAAATATAATAACAAAAATAAATGATTTCATTAAAATGTAGATTTTTTTTCTTATTTTTTGAACAATGCAAACACTTGAAATTTAATTAAACATAAACAACAAACAATAAAAAAATTATTGTTGTGTGAAATTGGTATATAAAAATATTTCATGTTAAATTGTTGGTTTCACACCAACAATACACAAGTCTGTATGGATATTGTGCGTGGATGTTTGGCGGCGTGATCGACCGTGACGAGGAGACGTTTGCGACGTAACGCCGCTTGTTAACAACATAATCGCATCGTCGCCGGCGGCTGGGCGCAAACCGAAACCTATTACGGGCTTCCATCGGTTTCCATGGATATAATAATATACTCTTTGAGGCGCGACCGCCGTCGGGTTCACTCAGCCACCTCTTGCCAATATCTCGGGTTCGATTATTTGACTGTTTCCTCATTTCGCTCGATGATAATTGGCAATTCATGCATTTCGAGCACTTCGAGTACCTATTTCGTAGATACTTGCATTCATCTTGAAATTACGCTGTTTGTTAGGTTGATTGCATAAATTTAACCTGAAAGAGATTTATTTTTTGTTGCGGAAAACTTGGCAACAGTGCAATTGTGTGCTCTGGAAAGTTCTGCCGACTGGAACTGAAAGACAAGCAAAGCTCTGTCACATCTCATCTGAAAAGAAGTAATAGATGTGAACGCGTTTAAAACTCTTATGAACACGAGGACTCATTGTATGGTTGTATGTGTGTAAGTGTGTGTTTGCGTTATGGCCGCCTGCGGCACAACGATTAAGTTTTCAACTTCGTTTACTTTGTTTCCTATCCGAACACAAACGAATGAAAAACGACGTGGACAACCGCGCAACCAAACATACACCATTCTGAAAATCTTTGGTTAGGTTAGTACTACACATCCTTCGAGATGGTAGCAATGTAAAAATCATCAAGTGCGATCCCGTTCACAGTGCATGCATTGTGTTTGATATGGATTTTTTGACACGACACGTCGTCGTCGAACGAACGAACTAAACGAGCGTTTTGGTTTGATTTTGATTGATTGATGGTGATTGATGAACATTGCAAATCACTGCCGCTGCTAATAGCGCTCACACATAACCTATTCGCTCACAACATATTACACATATGGCGCCTAATCTTTTCGCGCACAGTTGACAGAGAAACATGAATTTACAATCGCAAAATTAATAACCTTCTGATGTTGAGACATTTTTTAAATTTTATTGTAATCACATCATTAGGGTGTAAATAAATATTTGATATGGAATCGAATCAATTTTATGCATTAATATTCTGAATAATGAATATTTGTGTACGAGTTGTGTGCACAATATTCCAAGTCTATTAGTATCGATTTAAAGGTTCGCTATCAATAATGCGCATAAATATCATAAAATTAATGTTCAACGTGCATTTCTTGATGCGCACGATCTCTCTCGTCCTTATTTTACCTCAATGGTTGCTGAGTTATCAGTTTCCGTCATCTAAACGACGCTGCACTCAATACTTGCTTACAAAATAAACATGAAAATGTTTGTAAGAATGCTGAATTACCATTAAACAAAAATTTCAAACTTAAAATTAAATAAAAGCGTAATTTTGTTGATGAAAAATATGTTTACTTTTGAAAGTTTTATACGTTTTACGCTTCGAAACCGTCGCTAAAATATTCAACGTAATTTGCATCTTTGATAAAAACCCAGGATGACAGTGTGACGCTGGGACGAATATAAATTATTCCCGGAAATATGTGTCGCATAAAAGTTTCTGCGCTTTGACGGCAGAGATGTTGGATGGTGGAAGCGCCGGGCGTACGTTGGCGCTGGCGCTCAAATTAGCGAAGCCTTATAAATTATTACACCGTTGCTGTTAGGTCGTTTGGTAAATGTGTTCGCTTCTACCTTTACATGCAGTAAATCTACCTCCGCGCGGACGCATATGCATATTCTTATTCACAATGACGTGGAGCAAGTTCTGGGCTTCTGATTCACGTCCTGTTTGCTTTTCACATCGTTACAATGTTACCTTCGTTAGGATCTGTTTTATTATACACGTCTGACACATAAACATTGAAGTATAAATATAACCTGCAGGAAACACGTTTGAATAAATTGGATATAAATAAAAATAGATAATGGGTATTTTTAGTATTTTTTCCTTTTGGTGAACAAGTGACAAATAAATTGTTCTTTAAATTAAGCTATATTCCAGATCGAGTGGAACTTTTACGAGTGTCGCGTGGCAACGAATCACGTGCTCGTGAATAAAACGTAAACATCATGAATTTGCCTCCGACGGGTGTTCTCTAATCAAGATTTTATTACCGCGCCGCTGGCGGCACAAAAGCTTGGTCGGGATCGGCTCACGGCTCGAAAGTTGATATTAAATTTTCTTGCCACGCGTCCCCAGGGTCCTCTTTCGTTCTTTACTGCAACGTGTGCAACACATTTACGCTAATAATTTCATTACGAAACAACTTTAGCAGATAATAAAATATTAATCTTGCATAAATTGAGAAAACCATTTATTTTCCTCAATTTGTAGCAAAAACTACTAGAAAATTGTTATTAACTGCTTAAATTAGATAAAGAATTAAAGTGAACATGTTTATTAACTTTTTATTTGGATTTTCTTAGAATGAGGTTTTTCGCAGTCGATAATTCCCTAAACGCAAGGATGTCGGCATGTTGCTCGGAAATATCGCGTCGCTTCGGCCCTTCTTCATCGCTTAGCGAGAGCGCGCGAGAGAGGAAAACGTTTTGATATGGCAAAGTAAAAGGTATTGATCCCCATGGCGGAAGATACACGGTCGCGGCGAGCGCTAACCGCCCCCGCTGGTATCTTTCATTGGTTTACATCAACAAACGCTATAAATTGTGTAAATTTATAATGCATTGTTATTATTGAACTTTGTGGAGGTTGTTTAGTTTACATTAAATTAAGTCCTAAGCGGATAAGTACTCATTTCTAATTTTAGTTATAACTCGGTCGGTTTTAATGCAATTTTGATTAAACTTTTGGTACGGGTAGGGAATTAACTTAACTAGGGCTTGATAATAATAACATGTTATTGGATTATTCAAAATGAATAATATTCCATCGTAAAATGAAATTTTAAACTTTTTAGATTTTTCTGCAAATAAACTGTATGTTTGATTATTTGACTATAATTTCTGGCATTTTCCGACATGGCCGCCATATAGCGAAAGCGAGAATGAACTCACAAACGGTCCTAACCGAAAGCGTGACCGAACATAGCCCTGCAATGGTAGCTCTTCGTCTCCGCTTCTCTGGTCCTCTGGATTCTCACAGGGAACGAGAAAGTTGAAGCGACTGGAACCGCTGAAACGCTGGAAATGGAGCAAAGGTGACACGTCCGGAATATAAACGAATGTGTCGCTTCGGCGTGCCGCGCACGTTTGCGCCGAGGCGAACGAACAGAACGTAAATAGGCGAAAAGTTGCGTCCGGAACGGCCGAAACGTGGCTCGCTTCCAACTCTTCCAAGTTTCCAAACCAGGGTATCAACTTTCCAGCGCCAACTTTCTCGTTCTCGCACCAACGAGATTACAGCTGGGACAGATGTTGCAAAAGGCGCCATCTTGCAACGTTTTTGCTACGTTGCCATTTTAAGGTTATTTTCACATAGAAGTTTCCATATGAAAAGAATTATACAGTTTTTTTTTAAGTTCTCATTATTTAATTGATTTCCGCTTTGTTCTTGATCATCTTTTTGAGGAAACTTTATAAACCGCTTAAATTCGCATTCATCGCTTTCATCGCATTCATTCGCGTATTCTCGATGCTCGAGTTTGAAGAGGTTTACGTTGCGTTCAATCGCGGCACCGATATGCTGAGCATTCTTCTATCTTCGGCGCGTTCGCACTTGATTTGCGCGTGGGTTGGAATCAGGTTGAAGCTGTGCACTCGAGAATCGTGAGCGTCGGCACATTAGCACGTCATTGATGCGCTTGACGCTGCTCCAACTTCAAGTCCAATGTAGGTATTCATAGTCAAAACTATATGCGAATACCCGACAATTCTAAGCGGACATGAAAGGTGTGTACGCCTTCTTTAATTTGTAGAATTATGTATTTGACAAATACCAGGTCTTTTGACTTTCTACTTATTTTTATTTTCTTTTAATGATTTTTGTATTTCACAACTTAAAAAACACGTATTTTTAAATTTTCTTTAATTTTCGCAAAATTTTGAGTAAAACTAAATTATTTGAACTAAAAAAACTTTAACCATACTGTATGAATCATCCACTTTGTCAGTAGAGAGTTGTGATTTGTATCGCCATTATATTTTCGAGTACTCTCGGCGTCTCCTTATCGCTATCTGGGAAGCATCGTATTGATGGCCATTCACGCGCCATCTTTGAGTCTCTTTGAGGCGCACAACATCTTGGAGGCACCCGGAGGTGCCGCTACCGCGTCGTCATTGATACGCCACGAGCCCATTGAGCATTTGACATCTTAGAGTGGGTATTATTCACGCCCGCATTCACAATTAACGCACCGGAGTGGTGCCGAATTGTCGAATTTCACGCGGGTCCGCATCGGGCCACCGAATTGCCGGCAAATATATCTAAGTGCTCTTTTGTTGCGCACAAAAACCTAACACGCGAGGTGTCAAATTTGACAAGTTGCTTTTTTAACTTTTGATTCACATAAAAATAGAATTACACAAGTTGTAACAAAAATTGTGTTAATGCATCGATCTGTTTTCGTTTTGTGTGTTTTTCTGGTGTGATCAAACTAAAATAAAAAAAATTATACACTTGGGGAATCTTTAATAACCCCTCGAGCGCGTGTTTGCATTAACCATTTGCGTCGTTCCGCTCGAGCGTCCGACCATTCCGGGTCCGGTTCTACAACTACCCACACACTTTTTGAATAGCTTTATTAGCCATACCCAAACAGCTAGACCGGAAACACTCACGTGTGTTGTTTATATCTATATATCCGCACGGCACCATAAAATGATAACATAACAAGCGCAACCTGGAAGGGACGACATCTACCCGAATCTACCCCGACGCGAGCAAACACGAACGTGTGCAAATATTTAAACGGCGAGTTTAAATGTCACGGGTGCACGTCGAGGCCTGCGGTGCTCAGCTGTGGCTTGCTAGCGCAGATTTCCAAATGGGAGGGAAGTAATTGAACCACCCCCGCGGAAAAGAAAAAATATAGCGTAAATGTTCACCGTGCGAGCGATAACGGTCAACGACGTCAACCCGTTGACTCCAATTTATGTTTTTTGGTTCTATTTCACTTTTTATGTGAATTTATGGTGATACACTGACATTTACTGAGATATAAAACTGAAAAATATAAACTTGTGTGATAATTTTTCGCTAACTTCCGGTTTTCCCTTTTTGATTACTTCAGAATGAGACGCACAAGACGCCACAAGTTCCTCCAGATTTCTGTCTTCTTCCTGATCTACTCGATCATCCACGTCCTGTCGGAACACTCGGGCAATAAGACAGAGGTGTCCATCAAGGAAGTGGTAAAGGAAACTATCATTAATGATCCAGTGAAAGAAGCAAGTGAACAGCTGAAAGAGGTGGGTGATAAGCTAAAGATAGACTCGACGCCAACACCCGTCGTTTTGAGATCGACTATCGGGCCGCAAAAGCGCGAAGAAATAAAAAAAGAGAAAGAATTAGAGAAAGAAATAAAAGAAAAAGAGAAAGAAGCGGTGACGTCAACACAAACACCTTTGACTACGGAAGCGCCACACAAAGGTCATCCAACATGGCGGCGTAAACGCACCAATTGCACGCCACCTGCCATTGAACAAGTAAGTTAACATAAACCAGAATTCATTAAAAAGACACACTGTATATTTGTGTTGTGTATTGTGGAATTAACTAGTTTCCGAGGCCATTGATGGGGCCCTGGGGACGTAAACACGGCGGCTTGCTTCTTCATGTCCTGGTCGCAGTGTACACGTTTCTAGGATTAGCCATCGTTTGTGATGAATATTTTGTCGCATCACTTGATCGAATATGTGAAGGTACAATTTTTCCTCCCCAAAAATTTAGTGTTAAATTAAATTCCATTTTCCATGTGTTAGAATTAAGACTATCACCAGATGTCGCCGGTGCTACTTTCATGGCGGCCGGAAGTTCTGCTCCCGAACTGGCCACTGTAATAATCGGTGTATTTTTTGCCAAAGACGACATAGGTAAATATATTATTTTGGAGGTGAAATTAAACCTTAAACAATTTATAATCAATTGTTTAAAGGAGTTTCCGGTGTGATTGGTTCGGCCGTGTTCAACATCATGTTTGTCATCTCCGTGTGCGCTCTGTGTACTTCGACCGTCAGCTATCTCAACTGGTGGCCACTGGTGCGCGACTGTTTCTTTTACGCCCTGTCAATACTCATCATGCTGTTCACTATTTACAACGATACTATCACCTGGTAGGGCAACTACATATACGACAAATTCAAAACCAAATACTCTTACCTCTCAAACAGATCATAATAGTATTAGTTTTCAGTGGTTACACAGGTTGCTAATATTTTTTGTGTGTCTTTTGGTTGTTAAAGGGGTGAATCCTTATTTATGTTGATCATGTACGTGGTCTACTGTGTGGCGCTCCACTTCAATCCATTATTGGAGGCTTGGGCGCACACACTTCCATTACCATTCAAACTGCCCACTCCTGAAGAGAATGCTGCTATTGTGAGCAACTACAAGACCTTGGATGAGGAGCGTAATAAACGTGCCAGTTATGGTAGCCCTGTTGGTAATCCCGAAAATATTGAACAAGGTATGTAATGGTAATTATAATTTATCTAGAAATGTACTGCTTTGAGATTAGGAGAAAATGTAAAAAGTATGCTAAAATTGTATAATGCTAGGATATGATGATATGAGCGGTCCCAGCTTGAACCAAGTACAAACTGAGCCGGTAGGAGCAAATGGCGACCAACAACCTCCTCCACCGGTGGTAGCACCTAGTTATTATCGACCTAAGGAGAATAACCCCAACCAACCGGTCGTTAATCCACTGGAAAAGCCCACAGGTAATGCGTTGTGTAGTTTGGTTGCCTGAGACTTTTGGTTAAATTGCTTAAATAGTAAATTTATGGAAAAATGTCAATTTTCACTGTTTAGAGGGTACAATGGTTGAGTTAATCACGTGGTACGTCGTATATCCTATACACTACATGTGCAGGAAAACAATGCCCGATTGCAAATCAGAAGAATACAAAAATTGGTACCCTTTCACATTCTGTATCTCAATGATTTGGATTTCGTTTTATTCGTACTTCATGGTTTGGATGATAACAATTATAGGTAAATTAAAATTAAAATAGGATGTTGAATGAAATGTACATGGTTTTAGTTGTGATTCATAGGTAGCACTCTGGGGATCCCAGATACAGTCATGGGATTAACTTTTGTCGCTGCCGGCGTGTCTGTTCCAGACGCCCTGTCTAGTATTGCAGTTATAAAAGAAGGGTAAGTATACAATTTTCTTCAGGAAACCGGCTATTTTGCAATAAAAATGTTTTTAGTTACGGTGACATGGCGGTCTCAAACGCAGTTGGATCTAATGTTTTTGACATTCTCGTCTGCCTTGGTCTACCATGGTTCATCCAAACTGCAATCATCAAACCTGGATCACATGTCAACGTGATTAGTAAAGGTATGTCTGTTAGCATCTCTTGTTAAACATCAAATTATATGATTTGTTCATGGTAGGTTTGACTTATTCAACCTTATCTCTGCTCTCCACCGTTGTATTCCTCGTGGTGGCAGTGCACATGAACGGCTGGAAACTGGACCGCAAACTCGGTGTGGTTCTGATGGTGTGGTACCTTATCTTTATCATCATTGCCAGTATGTATGAGCTGAACGTCTTCGGTCAACTCAATCCACCCGAATGTACTAGCTTGTTTTAAACAAGTACATGATGAGTTTAGGCTTAATGTAAGTACTACTTAAACTGAATTAAATAACATTTCGGGATGTATATATGTAGGTACCCACAACCATTCCCATAATTTCATAGCATCGTGCGCAGTGTTCAAGTTAATGTCAACAAAACTTGATAATTTTGTCAGAAGACAAATGGTCTAATTTATTTATTGATATATATGTTGTTTGTGTATTTATCTCTCATCGGATCAACACAACACAATAACAACTACTTAATGCTTAATGTTAGTTTACGATTGTTATTAGCCGTCCCGTAAGTATAAAACGTGCGCTAGCATCGCATATATCATAATTATTTTACCATTTACACTTACGTAACAATTTTATTATTTATATTTTATGGTCTATATGCAACTAAATTTGTGACTGATCTTTCAATAGTTTTTAAAAACATCGAAACATGTTTATGATTCCTTCCATTACAAAACTAATGGCACTTTAATTATTTCTTCTACGATATTGCGTGACATTTAACTAACAATAAAAATGTATCGTAGAAGAAATAATGTGTCCTTACTATATTACAAAAGAAAAACTGACTTTGAAACACAGAGTGTTGCATTACCCCGGCTGATATTATACAAAGAAATAATAGGTTATTATTGACAGGAATATTAACCTTAAATTACATTTAACATTTTTATGGTTTGGAAAATAAAGATAAAAGCTCTTTTTAACGTTATACCGTCAGTAATAATATTACTTTATTTACTTTATACGGTTCATACCAATCCGAACTGGTAAATTTGATTTAAATTTTAAATAAATATGAAAAATACTAGTTTTAGAAAAATATTGCATTATATACAAGGTGTTCCTTTGTTTTTAATATTTTAACATTTTCTTTGGATAACACCTTGTATAATCAATGCAATACCTACATATTATTACGAAATTTAGAGAAACGTAAGACAATAATAAACACAGCCTTATAATATTATAAATAAATATGAATAACCATTTATTATTAATTTAAATTATTACTGATATAATATTAAGGGCAAACATTCGTAGCGACTTAATATATTCCAAACTTTATTTCATAAAAACTACTCTTGAGAAATACGAAAATAAATAAAAAATAAAATCAATATCGAAATTGGAAATGACAGTTGTATAATCTCATGAAACTGCGTGTATATCTGCACGCATGCTATAAATAAAATCGATACCACACTGAATAAATAAATATGAATGGCCACGCTTAGCAAATAAATAGTTACTTAACTAGATTACACATTACAATACATAGTTTACTGCGATATAAAAAAACAACAAAATATATCGTATTTTAGCTTACTAGATTTTCTTTCATTTGCTTGCAATATTCGCACATCTTCATTCTATTTTATTACCCTCCACTTTATGAACCAATAAAATGCATAAAACGTTTAATATTAAATGAACTTCCATATGGAGTACTCGTATATCTCCAATTTGTAAGTTTAGTTTAGTAATTACTCTATCAGATGATATTTATTGCTATGCGATTGGCTCCTAAATGTGTGCAATTCAATGTGCATCAAAATAAAATTTCTGTTGCTTACGATTCCAACTTAAATTAAAAAGAAAATACAGACACAGATTATTTAAGAATATTTAAATAGATAGCAAAAATGTACATGAACTGTAGCTAGGTTTATATTAAATACGTGAAACAACGAAAAATCGCTGAATCTACAGATAAATATGTAGAATTTACGTAAAATTAAAGAATTAAATTAAAACTACCACCTTAAGTGAAAAAAGAAAACTGTAAAAAAAAAACATTTACCCTAAACGTAAACGCAATTGCAGTTTTGTTTAATCTCTAAACTGTTCACGCGGGCACTCTAAATTTAATTACTCTTAATGTTTAATACAAACTGCTAACAAATTCCCAACTCAACTCGGGTGCTTCATCTAACACCGTTTAACATTTTGAACAGTTGCGTTGTTGGGCAAAACAAATTTGCCAAAACTTTGTCGAGCAAAGTGTAATTTATATTTCAATGTTTTTATTTAAAGCATCAAAAATAACCGCGGGAAATATATTTAGCAGTCGTGTTAATGTCAAATTCATCATATCTTTATTCAAAGGTAAATCACCGTAGATAAATTATTACTAATTGAAGTTAAAAAAAAGCGTATAGATGTCATTGTTATAAATGTTTGCACCAAATCTATTTATTGAACCAAAAGATATTCCTCCTATACTTCCTATACATTCCAAAAGTATAAACAAAGAACTAAACGTAAACAAAGTTACCAAAAATGTAGAAAACTAGAATTATTTATACATACGTAACTTAACTTATCATTCTATCATGATATCATCCAAAGAGCAAATATTTGAAATCGAATGTTAATTAAAATTTGCAATTAGACGAGAAGCGGCACGGTAGTCAATGATAAAACGTAAAATTTAAAACGATAAACAATTGAAAACTTAAAAAATTATTAAATTATACTCATGAAACAATTCCTAAATCTAAACATAATAGCTTAGCATATTACTTACTACAATTATTCGCGTATAGCATAACCACAAAAAGAGATATTTACAGAGTGTAAAAAAATCTAGGACATTTAAAACGTTTGAAAACAATTGACACAAATTTTAGAGTAAAACAACTTACAAACACAACAAATAACGTTAGATATTTATCGTATTGTATTGATGCGTAGATTTTAATATTAATAATAATAATGTTTACGAATATTGAATAATTGAATATATTTCTGCGATGTATTGTAAAATGTACTTGTATTAATGTAATGGATATAATTACGCATTGCAATTATTCAAAAACGTTGTTGACTGTTAAATGTGTAACGTTACTTCCGTTACGTCATTGTACCACCGCCATATTGAGTTCTAACCATAATTTTATTCTACCAACCGCAAGAGAACGCATTTAATGTAAATATATTTGTGATTTTATTGATTGTGATTACGTAATAAGTTGTGATGATTTCAAATGATTATACACTGTTATTGAATGTTTGCACTGTGAAGGTCGTAAAGCACTCGAAAGTATTTATATTTGTAAGTGTTATAATGCTGTTCGATGATGATGGTTAAATGATTCATTAAAAGTAAAAACAAAACAAAAACAAAACATGCTTATTTTGTGTAGAAGATAAAACATGGTAGCCATGACTTTATTTCATTAGAGAATGCTATGCAAAATAATTCTCGGTACTTTTGAAAATTTTTCATATACAGAAAAAATGGAGCGCGGCGTAGTTGAAATCACGCTTCCTTCGTTGAAGATTGGTGACCGCTACGGTGAACAATACATCCAGAATAATCAAGAGAAATTAAACGTGGATTTTTGTAATATTTTGTGTGGTAATCCAGGGGTGCTTTCCTACGCAGAGCAGTACAACATTGTCGAAAATCTGTGTTTTCTTCATCAAGATGCCACACTACGTCATAAACAAGAAAACCTCGTTGAGAAATACCTTTGTGATCAAGTATTTGAACTGGACCAGTTAACTGAAGTTGAATTCCTGTCACATCTCTGTGCATTTTGGTTCAATTTTAAAAATAAAGTTAGTTTGATTAACAACATCTATCTACCGCTGAAAACCGCAACGACGAAAGATCAACGCATAAGGTATGACTTCAATCAAATGGCGTTCAAAAGCTTCAACATTTACGTACTTCAAGATATACGTTTACATTCAAAACTATCATATATTTTTGAAATGATTGATCAACACCGAAATGAAACACAAATTGATGTTCAACTGCTGGAAGATATAGTCGCCATGTTGACTACTATGGGTCTCTACGAGTCTTATTTTGAGGTTAAATATTTTGTATGCTTGCATAACTACTATCGTCAGGAGCGTGATATTCTCTTAAATGGTCCAATTATGGATTATTTTATGAAACTACAAGAAAGATTAACGCAGGAGAATAATATGGTTGAAAATATTTTCAAAAATCAATCTGGAGATAAAGTATTAGCCGCCATGAAGGTGATTTTTGTTGATGAAGTTCTACCAGTGTTGATCAAACAACTAGCTGATTGGGATATTTTTAATGCCGGTACAATTGAGGACATTGCAGTCGTTTATGAACAGTTAAAATATCATCCCAAAGCGAATGAAGATCTGTGTAAAGTATTCTCAAAGTTTATAGTCACCAAAGGAAGGAATATTCTTTTCGACGCAAAGAATGAAAATAACATGATTGCAACCCTCCTTACATTTAAAGAACGTGTTGATGGGATAGTGGAGACTTCCCTGGCACATTCCTACATGTACGTGGATGCTGTAAGAATTGCATTTAAAAAGTTCATTAATCAACGAAAATATAAACCTGCGCAATTATTGGCAAAGTTTATCGATGGAAAAATGCGAGATAAATTAATCCCTGAACATTTGTTTGGACGAATTATTGTTTTATTTAGATATATTCAAGCGAAAGATATTTTTGAAGCGTACTACAAGAGATATCTAGCTAAGAGGTTATTACTGGGTAAGTCATCATCGCAAGATGCGGAAAAAACTATGATTAGCAAATTGAAATTCGAGTGTGGTGATGGATTTACCCTAAAATTGGAAGGTATGTTCAGGGATATTGATTTGAGTGATGGATTGATACAAGCCTTCAAGCAACGCGGTTGTAGATCAAACGATACTATTGATTTTTCTGCTCAGATACTAACGTGTAGTTTTTGGCCGACTTTTAGTAAGTTTCAAATGTCGCTTCCCGAGTCTATGCAGTACTATCACAATATTTATCAGGAGTTTTACAAGGGTAGATATTCAGGCAGATCGCTGGAGTGGACGGGAAGTTTGGATACGTGTCTTCTTAAAGCTAATTTTATTGCGGGCGCAAAATTACTGCAAGTTTCCCTATTTCAAGCTGGAGTTTTACTTTTGTTTAATGACTCACCGTATATTGGATATAATGATATTGCAGATTCTTTAAATATGGAAAATTTTGAATTGCGTCGTACTTTATCTTCTTTGGTGACTGGTAGAGTTAAAATTTTGAAGCTTTTGAGGGCTTCGATTCCTGGTGAGGAAACGGATGATAATATACAAGAGACTGAAGGTACATCGCAGACTGGCTCCGTTGAAGTTTTATGCGACTTTAAAGATGATGATATTTTTGAAATCAATGATGAGCTTCAGCATAAACAGTTTCGCATTAAATTGAACCAACTGCAGTATAAAGACACTGAAGAAGAGCAGAAAATAACGGAAGATGAAGTTTTTCTTGATAGAAATTTACAGATTGATGCAGCTGTTGTGAGATTGATGAAACAACACAGAGAATTACAACATACTGATTTACTAACGAAAATGTTTGGTGTGCTTAAGTTTCCAGTGAAGCCTTATGATATTAAGAAAAGGATTGAGATTCTTATTGAAAGAGATTTTATAAGAAGAGATGCTAATGATTCTTTTGCATATTCGTATATTGCTTGAAAATTTAAGTTATTTTTGTTTCAATTGTTCTTTAGTTTGATTATATATATATGATATTTGGTAGTGTGTATTTATTACTATTATAATTTAGGATATTCCCCTAATGAAAGGGAAGAAGGGGACGGTTAAAAATACCACCCTGGTAACTAACACTTCAAAATAAAGCCGACCCTGTCTATAACAATAACGGCGCGAACGTCCTGTATATGCCACTTAACACTTCAAGTCCGACGGTTGTGGTTGCACCGGCGCCTGGCGTAATTGATTGACCGCTTGCTACGCTCGCTCTCAGTCAAATCTCGTCTGTAATGCCCTCGTTTAGCCACTTGTTACTTAATATACTATAGTATGTGATGTTTACGCCATTTTTCCTACTTTCTTTCTATTTCCACGTTGAGGTTTTTGTATTTGAACTATTGTATTTTAAATCTTCGAAATCCACCCGCACACTACTGGGAAATGTAAGGTTATAAATACTTTAACAATATTATTTTATGAATATTTTAAGATTAACATTATTATTTTACAAACATTCTATCTCAATCTATGTCAATAGAACTTAAGAAGCTACTCTGTATTTGACTTTTCCCTCGTCCGTGCATTTATTGATTCCAGATCGCTAACAGATTCCATCTCTTCCATTTTCTTCTGGTGTTCAATATGCTCTGGACTCTCCTTCTTTCCATAATGATCCTTAAGACCTTCTCTAAATTTCCCCATTCGCAGAGTATTCCACCGTTCGCTGTTCTGCCTTACATCGCTCATTTCCATTCCAGTGAGTTTCAATAGCAAAAGCGTAGTCGCGCCCGCGACTAAGCCCAATGTGCTACCAAGTACACCGCCCACTAGCATTGCTCTTGGTCCACTGTTAAATTTGTACATGGAACCAGCAACCCCGCCGCCGATGATGTGTTCCAGAAGTCCGTTCTTGCCGCGGTATACTGACACAGCCGTAGTGAAAGTTACATAACTAGTGGAAAAAACAGTGACACGCCATCCTAAACGGAATGCGCCCTTGCCAAAAGCAACTGTAACCTTGTCCTGCAATATTCTCTGTAACAGAAAAAAGGAATAATGTTTCCATCAATGTTAAGAACAGAAAATCTAGATAATACAATGGAATCCCGGTAATCAGACAATCACTTTGTAGGGCATTGTCGGATTATAGAGGACTGCCTAAGACGGCTTACAGTCCGGAATTTTTTATAAAAGAGTACCTTGTAATCTGACAAATTACAAATTCTAAAGTACAAACATATGGCATATGACCATTGGATTACAAGAGGTGCCGGATGAAGCCGAGTCCAGATTACTGGGATTCCACTGTATAGTAATGATTCAATAAATTCGGTTAATATAAAATCTTTACCTTTGCTTCAAAGTGATTCTTAAAAGTTGTGGCCTGATTGTTTTGGAAGAACTCAAGGTAAGCAGTTTTGCTACTCATCACACCACCATATAGACCCGCAATGAACATGCTCATGCAACCAACTTCAATTATTGAGTTGACCTCATTGCTAAACTCCCCAAATTCACTGGAAAAATTAAATAAAGTAAAGTACATTTTGAAATTTATAAAACTTACTTTGGTGTGAATGTTTTTACTAGTCTTTCATATGGAGTGGTCTCTTTGGGGATTGTGCTCAGTTCAGTTCCTTCCGGTTTATCGTAATGTCCGTATATATTTCTAAAAACTTGCGCTGCCATATTTCTTCTTTTGAACTTCAAATTATTTATATAATCGTCAAAATATCATTATGAACTTTGTTATGCATGTAGATTCGTTTGAAGGGATTCATTTGTTAGGTTATGGATATTTCACAGCTGGTTCATCTTGTCACGGACATCGTGTTAGTGCTTTTGCATTTGATGGTTGCCTACCACGGAAATATTTAAAATTTCAATTTCTTCCTTCTGCGCTCTGAGTACCTTTAAAAAATATGTTTTATGAAATGTATATTAAATGATTGTATAATAACTCTCTTCTGCAACGACAAAAATGTGCAAATTAACAGCACATGAATTCAAATTAATACAGTGCCAAACATTATTTCGTTTAAAAACGTGATTTATCAAGATTACACTTCATCTAAACATAGTCAACCATTCGCAAGAACAGTATCCTTATATATTCCAGAATAAAAACGATAACAGATATTGAGATTCCCACACCCCAAAAGAAATACGCAGCGCGCAAATGCGTCACATTCAATTCTGTCAAAGCAGCTTCATAAGAAACCCTATAATCTACTATGTCTTTCATTGCTATCATGCGATAAACAGTTAAAGTATATTCCCATTCCCACCGAAGATGTAATCCTGATGCCTTACACCACAAAATAAAATCGTTTAATCTGGGCATTAGATGAAGATACGCCGTATTTTTTGATACGAATTGATATTTGGAATAGGTACGAAAGAACGATTCTGCCATTTCGATATGAGTGAAATGAACAGTTTTCCAAACTGAAATAAACAAAATGAGTACCATCTATTTACTTGATATTTTACAGCCCAATATACTTCTATTTTCCGTACGCAAACATGTTAATGCTTGTCGGTTGGGGTCTTTAACATAAAAATAGGATTGGCTCCTTCGATTAGAAAATATTACGCGCTCAAATTGCTAGAAATTAATTAAGTTAAATTTGTATATTATTGTCAATATTCCTAGGTATATACTGTCATCTGTTTCGGCGGTATCTTTGCATATTTATGATCATAGTCGATTCTTATTTGCAAATTTGAATTTGCTAGATCTTCCATACTTAAAATGAGCCTTTCATATTTTGGATAGATCATTTTACTGACAATTTCAGATGAAAACAGAGATCCGTAAAGAAGTCCCAAAATGAGTAGTAAACCAAAAATAAATTTTGATCTAAAATTGATTGGAATTTCGGCGTCACTGAACGATTGCATTACAAAAAAAGAAAGAACAGATTCGAATTTGGGAGCTGGCTGATCACTGCAACACACAACAAATATTGTATTGATATTATCAGAATATGTACTTATTACGTTTCAATCCTTTTAATAATCCAAAAATATGCTCCTATTGATAGATATGATATAATTATAAGCATCCATAATGTAGGTCTAAATACCTTAAGCAATTGCAACCAATGATTGTACATTCTTAAATAAAACGTTCAATAATTAAATTGTTTTTTTATTTGTGATGAGACATACTTTGGCTTCGGCACTAAAAATGTTATTTCAATTCCAGTTATCGGGTACGAATAAATACTATCATTCCTTCTGAATGTGTCCCTGTGAGTGACAGCAAAAATTGGATCTTGTTCGGAATCATCAATTAACGTAAATTTATTCGTCAGTGCAAATTGTTTTAGCAAATGATAATTGCTCCCCGATGAAAACTTCCGGCCTGCAGTCGTTCTCCAATAAACCGGTATCACCGTTTGATATGGTAACAAAAACGCGCTTCTTTTATTATTTTTCCATTTTCCGCTGAAAAAGTCAACCGTGCTGTATTTCGACCTCAAAAAACTCTTTGTTTTAATACACCATTGATTTAATACAATCATTTGCGTTGCTTCCCAATCTTCAAAAGCAGCAATTGTAAAATAATCATTTTCTCTGAATATAAATATTGCATCGGAAGCGTAAGCTTTTCTAACGTACATATCAACATTATCAGAATTCAGTAAAATAATTGCTCGGAATGTATAATCTCCATTTTGGAGCAAACACTTGTCAATCCAAGACGGTATTTGGTCACTCGGATTATGTAAAATGTAATGAGAACAACCCGGAATGCAATGTTGCGGATTGTTCGCAAAAGATGTGTTAACATCAAACCTGATTGGAAAATGAAAATGTGCATCGTTCTCATGTGAATTTGAATAAATTACACAGCGGACGTTTTGGAAACTTGTCTGTAGTATTAACCGCAAAAGAATACTTAAAGCAGTTTCGGAAAGTGGAGTAGTTACATTTGATTCAAGCATTTTGATTTAAATTTGCTGTGCAAGATTTCGTAGTTCTAGAAACAAAGTCAAAGTTTCCTCGTATTTATGGCATTGATAGCTTATATTATCATTAGCTGTCAAGCCTGGTGCACCATTTTCAATATTAATAGTAAACAAAGTTGTAATCTGATGCTATTATTGTTGATCGTGTCATTGCATATTGTAATGTAACAAAATGCTTGCCAATGATACTTACATACCATTCAAAGCAAAACCTTTCTTTTACCTCATTAATGGGTATCAATTGTGTTTTATGTTATAAAACAAGCTAATACAATATAGTAATTTAAGGTTTTTGCTCACCTAAGGGTTGTCCTTTTCTTTAGGTAATAAACTGGTGCCTTTGGAAATATAATAAAATAAAATTCAAAGTTTGCGAACTTGTTTTAATACAACGAGCATTTATTTTTACTAAATCTCGGGGGATCTTAACGTTAAAAGAAATTGATTGCATCGTTGTTAGTTTAAAAAATGCGTCTACTCTAATTTACTTAATTAAGTATCGGTTTAACACTTAGCTTTAGTTACACTTCTTCGGCAAACGAAGATAAATCACAAGTAACAATTGGAAATCGAAACCGAGTCGAAACACAAACCACTGGAATAGCAAGTCTCTTGGAGACAAAAACAAGTCCTATCGACTGTGCTCTAAGGCAATAATACAACGGTTGATATCCTCTACGCTGAATGTGGAGGTTCGTCATGTCTGCGAATACAAAAGAAACACGAATGCATTCAAACAACATTTTGGTATTTTTAAAACAATACCTATCCCTAGGCTCTTTCTCTGGTTTGTTCAAATCATTCAAAGGCAGTGGCTTGAACAGTTTGGAGGGCCTGTTGGCGTTTCCGCGTTGTGGAAGCTGCATAAGCGAGGAAAATGGTGGCGTCCAACTGAATGCTGACGACGTAGAAGGTACAGGACAATCTAACAGCGCAGAAATAGAAAATGATGTCGAATACAAGAAAGTAGCGTAAGTAGCAAATAGCAAAAAGGGAATTACCTTGGGTTGTAAGTCCCAAAGTGGGTCGTGCCGTCGAAAGACCCGCCTCCCATTCGTCACCGCCTTCGGGAATAAACGCAGGCGGACGCAAAACGCGCAACTGTTCCGGATTATTCAGGTTGTTGATAACAGCGAGTGGTTTAATGTTGGGCGCGTTGGCGCTGGCCGGCTGTTGAGGTTTAACTCTAGAAGTTTTCGCTTTCTTAAGCTGATCGTGTTCCGGATAGCAGTTTATCGATCGCAGGAATGATTCAAGTGGTCCCATCACGGATTCCTTTAAAACAACATGTCAACATTTTTACTTGAGTTAAACTGAATAAACTAATACTAAATGTGTTAAGGGTATAATGAATTTGTGAGAGTGAAATGTTAAATTAGTAAATGGCACCTTGGTTACTTGATTAAGTGGCACGGTTTCGGTCCACGTGACATTAGTTGCAGCGGGGGTGCTCAACGTAGGTGGTTTCTTCGCACGATGCGTGAGCCGAACTGCAGGTGTACCGCTTGTGCCAACGTTACCATTTGTACGGTCAATGTTACTCGCGGGTGCTGCGTCGCTAGTCGTCGCCGGCATGTGCATAGGCAAATCCAATCTATTTAGATCGATTAGTGGCAGCTGATGTGATTCTTGTGAATCTGTAAGTTTCAACCAAGGTTATGGGTTAAAGGCGTATTTATTGGATAGTTATGGGTGGAGTTAATCATACCACGTGGTGTGGGCGTCAAACCGTCGAAAGCGCAACGTGCGGCGTCTGCCGCCGCTGTAGTTTGAAACGGGTTGTTAAACTCGGGGAAAATATCGCTGAACGTGAGTGGAGGCGTGGCGTGAACGTTGCGTCTATTACTAGCAGCCGCTTCGTTGTTGAACATCACGCCCTGCGCCATCGACAACTCAACGTATTCGACATCATTTTCACCTAACACAATTAAAATAGATTCAGAGATAATTACACAATCAACGGAACATATCCGTAACCAAAATCTCAAGCGCAAATATTGCTGGATGTTTAGCAAACGCACTTTATTATTTTGATCAAACGATTTTTCAGAATTTTCAAAAGCGAAACCGCATTGCAATAGAAATAAAAGTTGTATAAAATATATAAAAAAATGTAGAGGAATGAAACTGGAAGAGGTCGTGGTTCCGCACTATGGCGAGTTGCACGAAGAGGAGGTCGAGGGAGTGGAGTATGAAGGTGTGCCCAGTGCAGAATCACCGCGTTCGCGCAAAACTTCGCGCTCAGCAACTTTATCGCCCGAATCGGGTGCATCTGCAGCTTCGTAATTTAACGCAATATCATCACCATAACCATTGCCTTAAAATTAGTTACTGATTAATATTAACTCATAAATCAAAGGAACCCATCGGGATAATTAGAATATAAAAAATAAAAGACATGCTATAACCTACCAGACATGGTCTCATCATCCACATCATTTTCATCGTTGGCACTATCCTCGATGTTGATCAGATTGGTGTCGCATTGTTCGGTTTCGTCCAGTTCAGTCTCACTGAGATCATCCTAAGATCATAAATATTTATCACTCAAATTTATTAATGATTATTTATTTAAATTTCCTACCGAATCACTACTGCTTGAACTTAAAGTCAAATTTGCAGTAGTTGTGGTGAGTAAATTGGGCGAGCTGAGAGACACGGTGAGTCCAATCAGTTGCCTTGGTGTCGCATGCCCCTCGGCGCTGACTTGAGCGCCGCCATCACTTGTGGTCATCTTGATAGGTGTGACCGGAACAACCACCTGCGTCTGGAGCGACGAATCAGAAGACATACTTGTAGTGCTGCCTTCCTGAGCCATCGTACTGCAATGGCCGACATCTGTCGCCGACGTACGATTGCTTTTAGGAGAAGTATGCAGTGTATGCGGATTATTATGCGCAGTCTTCCCAAGAGCCGCCTGCGAGGAGCCTGTCGGCAAGCACAGTTCCAAACTGGCAAGATTATATGTGCCGACCACAGTCATACCACAAGCTTCGGCAACGCCGGCGACACATTCTTGATTGGGATTTCCTAATTGTGCAGCCACCGCATTGCGGGATATTTCCGCGGCCAAACGCTGTAAAATCACAACAATTCATGTTATAAAATTATAAAATTTAGAAGAAATTACAGCATTAACTACCTCTTTGGATTCGTTGATTTGCGATATGTACTGATTCTGTACAGTTTGAAGTTGGTTGATATACCATTGCTGGTCCCGACAGCGCTGGTAGAAGGTAGGCGCGCGTACTTGGAAGCGCAAAACAAGAGTGTCTAATGGCACATTCAAATAACCCTCAGATGCCAGAAGATCCAACCGGAAGAACCTATTGTAGCCCCAGCACTCTCCAACTTCAAAGTCGGAAGCAAACTCTCGGACGATATTTTTGGAGGAATCGCGGCTTGCTTGATGTACCATCTCAACCCGGTACTCGTATTTGGAAGTCTCCGGATATCCAGCGCTCAACTCCAAAAACACGGATAAGTAATTACCCCTCACGACGCCATTACCATCCGGGTAAACTTTAAGTCGCCAACACAAACCATTGCAGTGAAGGGGTGTTGAATATACCGGATCTGCCTTACGTTGTAGTTGTGAAAAGCCGTGCATCACAAAAGTACTGCTATCATAGCTCGGCACAATTTCACTATGAAAATCAGCCGGAACTGGTGCAGTAACAAAACTGGTCATAGGCTTCTTACGAATGGCGTGAATCATCCTGCTGAGATCGCCGCTCTTGGAGATAAGCTCCGAACGCGTGCATGTGTGCAGTTGATGTTCAATCTCGTGCAACATCTGCTCCAACTGCTCAGTCTCTTGTGTCAGCGAGTCCTTTTGACCCATCAAAGTCAATAGCTTGGTCTTAAGCTGCGAGTCAAGGCGAGCAATCATCAGCTCGACAGCGTTGCGTATTTCACGAACGCGTTCGTCCTTCGCCGAGCGCACGGACTCCACGTTACGCTCCACCTCCTGCACAATACTGATCAATTCCATAAGTCGGCGACGTAGTTGAGCCACCTCATCTTTAATCTGTGTGATGTGTTGCTCATAGACTTCTTCAAGCGGTTTAAATGTGTGGCCGGAATGCGTACCGCCCCAAAGTGCGCATTGGTGGCAGATACAACAGCGACATGTCCAGCAATACACTGAGAGTTTTTCAAAGTGTGTCATACATTTATCACGATCTCCTTCTTCATTACGTGCTGAAGTGAGGTGTGACACCGCCTGAAGACAATCCAGTTGCTGCGTGACTTCTTCCACCCAGCGGCAGTTCACCAACTCGTGAAGGTGCAGAGATGCACGACAATGTGGACATTGCGAGCGCTGTTCAGTCAGCCATCGCCGAATGCAAATGTAGCAGCAGAGTTTCGAACAGTGTGGACATAAATGCGCATCACGCAGTTTTTCCATGCAGATGAAACATCGGAACACCTCTGCCAAGGTCTGAAAGAATGACAAAAAAATATAATTCTGATATACAAATATAACTATAATTTCGTTACAGATTCCGATGTGTTATTCCAACACTGCAAGTTCATGGTGTTTTATATTTCATTATTCAAAGTGCACAGAAGAAACAGCAAAAACGTGGAGTTATTCAATGAGGCAACTTCAAATTTTGACAGTGGATGTGAACAAACAACTTTTGTTTAATCATATTTTTGCATGGTATTGTATGGTATCATAGGCAAAAATTAATAAATAAAATAACAAAAGTGTATTAGTTAAAAACCACTTACTTCAACAGAATGATCATCATTCTTATTGCTGCTGGCTGATTTACTTCTAGAAGTCATTTTGATCACCAGCTCAATGAATGTCTTTCTGCTTTGGAAGTTGGAAATGAACTACCGTCTCATAGTTTTGAGATCCACGAGGTTTTCTGCGCCGAAATTTGTTTCTTTGTTATGATCACCACCACCAACCGTGAGTTCTTCGACTTCTTCGCACGGTGTTGTGGTGAATCATCCAAAAACGAAAACGATAAACGAGACGCGACGCTGCTCAGGGTTTTTCGGTGCGATCTTCGCCCACACAGTCTGTTGCTGAATTATTTACCTCCGAGGATTGTTTTTGTTCTTCTCGACCTCGATTACTACCTCAATCAGCAATCAATGTAGTCTCGACGCAGGTCGTACTCTCGCCGTTGTTTTGTTTTTGTTCTTTGTGGTTCAGTTCAGTGTCCCGCGTTCTGGGTTTCCTCTTCACCTCCTCCTCATCGTCTTCCACTACGACTGCTTGTTTCTCAAGCAGCGAGACGTTCTGAAGAGGGTCGGAATTTGCAAGAATGTTGTTTGGTTATTGGCAATTTTAAAACTTGATGAGAGTGAGCAAACAGCAATGCATACACGCCAAATTTATAAGAATAACAGTCAGAATTAATTTCAGAGATTAATTTGTGAGTCGCGTTTTAACGATTACTGTTTGTGGATCGCGGACACCGAATACAGCACTTACACTGAGTGAAGACCACACCGACCAGGAGATACGATCATTCTCTGGCACAGACACACAGAAACGAGCTCACGAACGGGTTGCCGAACGTCAATTGCAGAGCTGTGTCAGCTGATGAGAAAATAGTAATTTTAGAAAGCAAAATGTGATTGAAATCATGTATCAATTCTAAGGAAATGCAATAATTTGGACTTGATTAAACCATACCTCCTATTTTGTTGTTTTCAGCGATTTTTTCCAACAAACAACATTTGTATTGTGTGTATAATTGGTTGCGTATCATACGAAAACCTAACAATACGAATTCCTGCAAATATCGACAAAATTTAAAACATTTCCTGGTTCTATCCTCAGATAAATATTGGTGACTTATGCACTATAATATCAGCTGCAATAGAATGATATTTGCGTTAGCAAATAAAATAAAATCTTGTTATCGCTGTTTGGTAAAATTTTGCACGTTTACTGATTTCACCGCCAGTATCTGACCCTGCAGGAGTGTTTATCGCAAATTCAATTTCCGAAGCAAAGTCATGATTTCATATTTTTATATTTCACTAAACAGTTTTATTTTAAGTATTATTCCTGGCATCATATAATTTTATAATCCTAGTCAACTGAGACACATAAAACAGTACAAAAAAAGTACAGAAACTCCGCTACCCACGCATTCGCAAATCGCTCAAAGACGTTTAAATAATGTAGTCATAGAATAATATTAATTATTTGTGTCAAGTATCAATTTTTTAAACTTTCCAGGTAAATGTTTAAAAACTATCCAACTCATTACATTCAGTGTCGTTGGAAGAGAACTTTGTGGATCGTCGAGAGGTCCGGAACAAGTTTGTCGACTGAATTCGATGACATCTGCTTACGGACACTAAGAAAAAACAACAACATAAATTAACATAGGAACATTTAAATAAATCGCTAAACTTACACATCATTTGCCTTTATCGCAGGAGCAGTTGGATTATTCAAAGGACGCTTGTTCACGAGCAGGCACTTCATTGGCTGCCCATCCAACTGTCGGTTGTGGTAAGTTTCAACCGCCTTCTGAGCATCTTTCAGATTCTTGTAGATTACCTCAGCAGTACCGGGTCGAACCAGGCGAGCAATCATTAGTTGACCAATATCTTCAAACAATTCCTGCATAAAGCAAAATAAAACGGTGTTAATTAAATAACAAAACCTTATAATGTTTAAATAATTTACTCTAATATCATCCTGAGTGACGGTCGATTGCAAATTCGAGACGACAATCCTATGCCCGGCTGGTACAACAACTTTTGCTTTCTGCTGGCCTAGAATCCCGTGTGTAGTCGGCGCTGAGTCCAGCCGAGAATGAACACCTGATCCACCGCTTCTACCAAGCCCCGCCCTCGATGATCTCACATGCTGCTGCTGTGATTCTTCATCAGAATCTATTTCCATGAAGTTGCCATTTGACCTTAACGGAGATGCGTACGTTTTCCAGGTGCCGCTGCTAGCGTCGCTCACCATTCCTCTGGGCATCATCTCCATCACGGGACGACGTATCTCCATCGGCGGCATCATCGGCGACATACCGGAATATCCAGCTGCAGGCGGAGCGTACATATCATGCGCATGATGTGAATGCATGTGATGGCCATGTACTTGAGGATAGTACCCACCAGCAGACATTGGCATACTGTACTCATTACTGATTGTGCGCCTTAGTTGCAATGGGCCTGTTTCCTTTCGTTTCACGGCTTGTACTGGCATTTTCTTCACACGTTGTTGCACACCAGATCCGGCACGAGGAGTCAGACCTAATTGTTCACGAATTTTCGTGTTGATATTCGCGGCGGCTTTGTTCTTATTGGTGACAAGCATTATTTTGCCATTCTTGTCAGTCTTTTGCAGAATGTGTTTCCCGATTTGTTTTATATTGCTGGCAGGTTTCGGGGCAATGCCGCGAAGTTTTTGAAGTTTAGCGCGAGCATCTTGACCCTTCGCCATGCTGGCGAGCACATCACGAGCGTCCACGACATGCGTGCGCTTTTTCTGGATAATCTTTTGGCGTGCATCGATCACCGTCTTCGGTTTGCCTATGGTTTTCTTCAAGGTTTTGCCGGTCGTAACTCCATTACGTTTTGTGTTCGGCCGTGCATTTCTACAAAACCAACACATTTTTAATAGCAAAACACCACAACAGACTTAACACAAATATTAAATATAACTGCAATACAAAAACATATAATCTAAAAATATTTAATCAGTTCACTTACTTGTTATTATAGGTGGTACGATTTTTAACCATTTTATTGCTGGTTGGAATGCCAACGCGTTTATTTCGCTAGACTTTTGATGCTGCAGTTAATTTTTATTTATAGACGTGTAGCTTCTTCGTAATAGTCAGAAAATCCCACAGGCTCCGTGAGTTTTCGTCGTTTGTTGACACCGAACTGATGGAAAATGGAACAAGCGAGCGATGAGAAACGAGCACGAAGTAACTGAGGCGACGCTCACTAGGTTATGTGTGCTGTACGTACGCTGATCTGTGTATCGTACGCTGTAGGTACGTACGATCAGCGCAGAAAGCAAACACACACAACAAGAAAATATCTACTTGCTTACCTTGTTTAACACCAATGATAATAGTCGACGTTAAGAGAAATAAATAAAATGAACCGCCTATCTGCCACCTACAACCCGCTTACTTGCCTAACACACTGACAGTTCATCGATTACTAAGGAAACGCAAAATGTGGGTACACGACTGTTCGCCGTCGACAATTCGTCGCGAGATGTTTCGCCGCGGTAGATTACGGCTGCGGACAAGTCGCCGCCAGATGTATGAATAAGCGACTCATGTTTCAACCAACTGCATCAATTCACCCACAAACGTATTACATGCGAGAGATTCGAGATTGAATGCATATAAATCAAGCTTAATATTCTTTCATATTTATTATTGTTCGCGGGGAAATGTTACCGGGGGAAAAAGTCTCGCGGGGAAACCTCCCGCGGCGAAATGTCGTGTCCCCGAATATGCTCGCTCTTAATCAATATCGTGGTTAAAGGGCCGTTTAGTGCACTTGATATTTAATCTACTATTAAATATCAGATGTGTCCTACCTTTCCACAGAACATAATTTAAATTCTTCGGATTTTGGGAATGATTTACATATGTATGAAATTGAATAATGTATATTATTAAAGAATTAATGAATGGTAATTAACATATAACAGAAGTACGATATTTAGCTTAAAATACTTAGAGCATTTTGAGCTTACATAAAAATGTTTGATACAAATGCTTTATATCATCAAATATGAACTGTTCAACCGTTCAACCGCTATATATAAATATAAATATTGCTAATATTGTTGTATCAACAAAATAATACTTTAAAACATTCCTGTACTTCAAAACGTATCAAAATTGAATTGTGAATTGTAAAATTAAAAATCAAGGTAGTTGATTCCATTTTAAGCCATCATTGTATCATTTAATCTGTGGGTTTTGTGAGACGGCGGGGTCCGCGATTTGGAGGCCCTTTTGGTTTGGCAAATTTAGGCTGATGTAAATTCTTGATAGGGTGTAACTCTTCGTATAGATATTTCTCAGATAATTCAGAGGCATCATCAATCTCCAACTATAATTAAAACTAAACAATTATAAACTATTCAATAATTCGAATTATTTAACTTACCTTTTTGGCTATATCAACTCCCCAACTTGAGATTGAATCAACTAAGGGTTGCTTGCAGCTGGAATACAGCATTCTCTCCTTGATTGTGCAATTATATCCAGGCATAGAGTAAATGAACACTACAAATATGTTAATATGGTTAAAACTTTCAGTTGATGATGATATTATGTTTTAAACTCACCTATACTTTCCAAGTAATCACCCTCATGAGTATGACAAAACTTGTATAAATGATAACGCGCATGATCTGCTGGAATTTTCTTTGCTAAGGAATCCACCGTGATTTTTTCAGCTGTTTCCAGCAGCACTTTTTCTGCTTCAATGTCTGAAATCATTGTAAAATACAATTTTTATCATAAACATCAAAAATTTTTCCATAGACTCACCAATTTTCATCTGAATATAGTCAATTTTTCCTGAGCAAAGATGACTGAGAGAGTCCTTGATTTCTTGAGCAATAGGAAATAACACACCACTCAAAGTTTGATGCTTTGAATCAACACTGACATCGGTTCTTACTTCAGATTTCCTGATTTCCTGCAATTCTTCTTCCCTACTAGTTAAAGGTGCGGGCGCATTTGTAGTACACTTGTGTTTCTTATAGCCATCAAGATTTATATCACCCTAAAATATAATATTGTTAAATTTTTATTGTGGCATGATTCTGTTTTAGATATTTTATTAATAGTTACCATTATTGTGCAATGCATTTCTTCAGTAATCAAAGATGATCCAAACTCAGTCTTTAGTGTAGCCTTGGTAGAAGCATACAACATCTTCTGCCTGACACTAGCACTATCGGGCACCCAGCTGATAAGAAGCCAGTCATAACCAGACACATTCCATGAATCAAACCTGTAAAGTATATAGCAAGGTTTATTCCCCTCAATTTGGGGCAAAATAAAATTATCATAATCCTCTTCCCAGGTGCGCTCTTGCTTCATACATGTCCCCAAGACTAATTGTTCTAAAAGTAAAATAATTAATAATTACTCATTCACTTGGAAAAGGCATATCAGAAGCTAAAATTCAATATATTATAGCACTAACCATTCTCAATGATGACTTTAAGAAGACGAATTTGACCATCCCTACACTTGGCAAAGTATGTTTTAAGTTCATCATTGGCTAAAATCATTTATATTTACAATAATGATATGATTTTGAACAAATAGAGGTATGGTAAAGTATTGAATTTTACCTTGGATTCCAGTTTGGTGTGACATTGTGCTTGATGACAGATATTGGGAAGATTCTTTACACTAATTTTACGTTGATGGCAAGAAGTATGTGTGGTAAGACACTTGTTACTCTAATTTCTATAAATCAACAAAGAAATAAACGTAGTTGTCATATCCCTGCATGATACACGCATGATATGGTTGGATATGATTCGGTTTTAAGGTGGTGCAGGTTGGTGTACTTTTGCCGCGTACAGAGCCATCTAGACCATAACAGCTAAACTTCAATATACAAAGTGTTATTAATACACAGCATTAATATTTATTCAACATAGAATGAAATTTACTGTATTTCTTAAATTGCAAACTTGTGCACTGATAAAGATTGACTTCATAAAAATTTGTACGTTAATTCGAGGTAAAATGTAGTAACACGGAGAAATATAACAATAAATACAAAACTCAGACAAATATTATGCTTCATCTGTGATTATCACTGTTGATGATGGCCCAGCTTCCACCCTGAGAACTTTCTTTTCTTTAGAAATTTCGTAAACCTTGGTGGGTTTGTTGACGACCATTTCAAAGTCAGGAAGACCCAATTGATTGAATTTGTTACATCCATATGCGAAAACAATTTGATCACCTAAAAAACATTTATAAAAATATCAACACATCAACATAGACTAATAAATTTACTCGTAATGCATATGGAGTGTCGTCCTCCCGCGGCAATATGAGCAACATTTAGATTTTCCCCTGGTAACGGCAAATACTGAGGAATCGACACCACCCCAAGCGGATCATTGTGATCGTCAAAGAGTCCAATTTGACCATCACCATTCCAGCCCCAAATATACACGTCGCCGTCACGACTCAGGGCCATCGAATGCCAACCACCGGTGCTAACATCCGTAATGAATATTCCTTCAAGCACCTGTATTTTTCGAGGGGTTTCTTGGATCTCTAAGATACCATTGCCGAGTTGACCGCGTCTATGTTACAAAGATTACTATTTAGAATTCAAAATGGTATTTTCATTGAATCATGGATACCTTCCGTTACCAAAACTGTAAACATTACCAGCTGTGTCCAAAATGACAACATGTTCGTACCCAGCTGTCATTTTTTTCACTTTAACGTTTTCCTCCAATCTAAAATCCAACCTCACGGGGAAATTATAAAGCATCCCTGTCTGCGTTAACCCTACATTGATAGTGGAACCCGAAGCAAAGTCAACCACTTTATCAATCATTCCAGCGTCACTTCTCTTCAATAGGCGTATAGTAAATCCTGGATTTTTCGCCAGAAAATCCAAAACAAACAACCTACCCTCATCGTCCAGTACAAGTACGCTGGTATCACAAGTCTTCACCAACTTGATCTTTGCTTGGGTAGGTACATCCATTTTGGTAATTTGATGGGTCACCCGAGGTTGTAACCCATGCCCATGAAAGTACAACCCATCTTTTTTCAGGTACACCGTAATCGAATGCCCAAGTGCAATGTCAATGAGGTCATCTTCCAGAGGTAACTCTTGAAAGTGATCGATTGCTAGTTCCCGCGACGTGGGCACCTGCCCAAACAGGTTGCAGCCGGCGTAGGTGAGACGCATGACTCACCCGCTTCCCGCGCTCACCCTTCCAGGCTTATTTGAAGTTTGTACTTTTGAGTGTTTGTATCGATTCTAAGCGTGGCGTCGCGACGCGACAAGCAGGTCCAGTCTACCGAGGTACAGTGCAGTGTCCGCTGCTGGCGGAATTACCCACCACGACCACCAACAATTTAACGACGTGTTCAGAAATTACCTTCAAAGTGCCCACAGACCACCAATATGGTGAGTATCATTCTACGGAACATTCGTTGACAGATTTACTCGATTTGCCATTACATATTTACTTTGGAAGCAACAGTCATGCAATGGACTTTAAATAAGTTTAACGGTAGCCATGGCAACCCGCTGCGAATCAATCACCACAAATAAACAAGCGCACCTCTTTAAAATTAAAAGCCGTGGAATACAAGAGTAAGAATTTAATTGTTTTTAAGGGTTTGTTATCGATTCTACGTAAACTACGTTCCTCGCCCGAACAAGAACTGCGTCTTCTATTACTAGGTCTTGACAACGCGGGGAAGACCACAATTTTAAAAACGCTCGCATCCGAGGATATTACTCACATAACACCGACGGCTGGGTTCAACATCAAGTCCGTGATCAGTGAGGGATTCAAATTGAATGTGTGGGACATCGGTGGTCAACGCAAAATCCGTCCTTATTGGAAAAACTACTTTGAAAACACTGACATTTTGGTAAGTGATGCTTCTACTGATTCGCTACTAATTTTAGGTTAGGAAAAAGAAGAAAAGTAGACTGCGAGTGCACGCACGTGTTCTGAGATGACCTTCGACAACTGGACTATGTATTTCACATAGGGACATGAGAAATCCATGATCAATACTTCGTGTTTTGTTTTTGACCCGTTCTCGTTGATTAGCATCATAAACATGCGATTTCGACATTAATAAACACCTCAAAGTACATACATAAATTTCCTCTTTAGTTCACCATATTTGTTATTGATCAGTTAGTTTTTGTTTTCAACTAAGTCGCCATTTTGTCTATAAATGTTTTTCAATTTTAGATCTATGTCGTTGATGCGGCAGACAAACGGCGCCTCGAAGAAACTGGGATAGAATTGTATGAACTGCTTAACGATGAGAAATTGAAGGATGTCCCGTTGCTGGTGTATGCCAACAAGCAGGACCTTCCCAATGCCTTGTCCGCAGCGGAATTGGCCACCACGTTGGGCCTACCTACGATTAAAGATCGTGCCTGGCAGATCCAGGCGTGTGTCGCTTCGAAAGCCACCGGTGTTCGCGAAGGGATGGAATGGGCGTGCAATACTATTAAGAAGAAATAAGAAGTGACATTGATATTGGAACATGCTCGGCCATGTTTGTTTAGCTTCGTTTTATTTTTGTTTCATTGCAGTTTATCGCGCGACCGATGCATGCGAATCGACTACTATTCGTGATAAAAGTTAGGCGATATTCGTTCCCGTTTATACAATACGTCACGACACGGAAATTTTTATAGAGTTTTATACAATTATGAGCTTTATGTAAATGTGTAAAATTGTAGAGAAAATAAAAAAACACTTAGATAATCGTTGACCAAAACTTGCGTTTTCCATCTAGCGCCACCTACAATATTATAGCTGAACTAAAGCTTCGTGCAGAATTTGTAAGTGATAAAACGAGTGTTACAACATGCAGAATCTATAAAGTTATCCCCAAAAAAATATTTTAAAGGATTTTAATGTAAAACACGTTTTGGTTGTAGTTCACAGTATAATAAATACTGGTATACTTCAGTATTACATTATAAATATACAATGTGTATTTATTTTCAATTTTTTTGTATTTTTTTGTGGTTTTTCAAAATATTTTCTGAAAATAACAATTTCCCACAAAGCATTATGTTTTTTTAAGTTTTCATCATCATGTTTAAATTCTTATAATGTGAATTCTTCAGTTTCGTCAAACATTCAACTCGAGTGTTTTGCGATTCTCTTGTAATACAATATGAAGTCACAGATACAAATATGACGTTTATTTCCGTCATAATGATAATACCCGAAATGTTAATGTTAACACTCTCTCATAAGTTATTGAAATGAATAGATCAAGCAAATAGTCGGGAAGAAAGCGCTCGCGTTGTGTGAGATGACTTCAAACTCAGCTAATGCTAGACACGACACGTTTTCAACACGCTTACGAACGTTTACAAGAGAGGTTATGGGGATTAAGGTACGAAAAGTTGCAAACATCGAGCTATTCATTGTGTTCTGTGTTCGTTTGGTTGCGGACGTGCGTGCGCTTTCTTCCGGGTGAAAATATTTGTATTTATTTAGCGTTTGTTTGTTCATTGAATTATAGAACAAATTACAGTTTTTCATCGTTATCGATCTTCATTTGTTTTTGTTTGTTTGTTCGTTTTAAAATTTTACAATATGTATACATATGGATAAAACACAGCATTAGTAATTAATATTTAGTTTGTATTAATCGTAGGTTGTTAATGTTATGATATCGTTATTCATATAATTTTCTGCTTTTTAGAGATTTTTATTATTTTGAATTTTTTTTGCGCGTTTTTTCTTCCACGAAGTTAGTTTTATTTCAAATATTTATATAATCTGGTACTTTTTCCCCTCATCAGGCTAAAAGGCATTTTGTTAGTTCACAATTTATCGTAATTAGTCATTAAATATAGAGAACGATATAGCAACATCTTTCATGTACATTAATTTGCATCTTTTGCGACATTTTGTGTTTTGTTTCTCTCTTAAGACAAATGCATATGCTGTTAAGTTGTCACATGGTCACATGATGATAATGATAATTTCTATGTTTTATGCAGAAGAAGATGAAACTCTGGTGGATATTCACTTGTTAAAATACACAACAAAACAATTCAACATTCCAGAATTCCAGAATAATATTCTACATACAAATCAACATTAAAGATGTAATGAAATACTTTATAAGTACATTTTATCTATAGATGTAATATTCTTATGCTCACATTTAGTTTCATTTTCCTTTTGTGTGTATTGTTTTAATTTGTTACTTAGTAAATGTAAAACCTGCGTGCAGTTTTCCTCTGGATATGACTCGGTTTTGATTTCGCATCTTTACGTTGTTTGGTCCCAGTGTTCTCCTCACAAAACTAAAATGGCTACCAACGTCTGCCAACGTACGGATGCGTTGCATATGTTAAGAGTGCGCACATTTATACAGTTTCACATCATCAAATATTTGGCTTCGTTTTACTTACTAATGTATGTTTTAATTTTTCTTTTAATTCAAGCAAAATATTTCTTACACATTATCATCTCAATTGTTTGTGTTTGGTTTAGATGAGAATATGATATTAATAAGATTTAGGTTAGTTTAGATATTCGTAGATAGATCGATAATAAAAACAAACACATTGATAACAATATACATTATACAATAATACACAATAATTTCTTTCTTGTTGCTTCAATTTTCTTCGTGTTTTCATATGTTTGATAGGTTTTGTCACCGCTTCCATGACGCCTAGCGATAATTTGGTGTGTGTAAATAATTTGGTTTAAATATTTTCCCAATCGTATATAGCGTTAACATTAGATTTGTTAAAATTGTTAATTTGTTAATTTTGTAAGCCTTATCAGTTAACAAGTCTTTTAATTTTACAATTTTCAGTCTTTGCTTGTCGTCGAATCGAATTTTACTCTTTGGTTACTTAATTTCATCATTTTCACATGGTTTTTGTTTCTCATATCAAACATTATTTGTTGTTGTTTGTTTAATATTCATCGAATAAGCCTAAGTAAAATATTAAAATATCTCATCAACAGGTACAAGAAATAATATTACGTCTTGAGTTCAGTTAAATTCAGTTTAGTTGCGTAAAACTCAGTTGTTCGCTTTCCTTCATTTTGGTTTTGTAGTGAGTACTCATACATAACGTTAATGTAGTTTAATTAATTAATTAACTAATTAATTAGTTACGAAGACACTTTTTGGTGTAATTTCACGTTTTTCAATTTCAATTTTGATAATTTCTCATCATTTATAGGTTAATTTCTAATTTTCTCTAATTTGTTTAATGCCAATTTGTAAAAGTGCTCAATTTTTTTTAGGTTAGTTTAGTTTGAGTCAATAAAATCGTGTATGTAATTAGGTGTAATATTGTAAGTGTATTGTAATACATTTTAGTTTAATTAAAGCTTCGTCCGTCGATCGCTCCCTAGTTTTTCTATTAGAAATAGTAAAAATATCGATTTTATTTATTCATTATTCAATTATTTTGCAAGTTTCACTAAAATCTGTAAATACGTAAATAAATATTCTTTTTTATAGTGTTTTACGTTAATTTCTCGCCTAATCCAATTCAATTCAATTCGATTTTATGCTAAAACAATATGTAGGTACTAACTAATATTACTTAATTAATTAGAATAAAAAACGAAAACTTTATCAGCATGGTTAAGTGGCTATAGTGAGTCTGAGTTGAATCTGAAGAAATATTGATGAGTTTGTGACTATTGCATTTGTTGATTTCATATTGGTATTTCTTGGTTATGTAACTGTAACCTGTAAAATAATTCACTGGAGGCAACCACGTTAATAAAGAGTTAAAAATATGATATAATATATCTACAACTAATAATGTATTAAAACTGGCTCATAAAAATTAATATTGCAACATTAACAACTAAAAATTCACCTGTAGAAATTGTGACTATCTAATCCAACCAAACATGAGAACTCTTGGTCAACGTGGCTGTCATCAACTGTCCTTTGTTTGCGTTAACTTTAAACATTAAATTATCTGTGGGCAAATTGTTGATTTCATCTGTTCCTGCTTAATTTGAGGGTGTGGGTTATTTGTTTGTTTGCTTGCTTCGTTATTCAACTATTGTATTGTATTTGTATTCTTCAGCTACGCTTATGAAAAACTTATCGTTTACACCTGCTCTGCCTCCAGTTTATTGTTATCGTACTTTGTACTGCCAGTAAACTGTCGAAACTGTCAAATACGCGAAAATCGTATGAATGACATAAGTGAGGCTGAATTACTGAATTACCATCGTAGAATAAAACACTAAAGTGTATAAAGTATGCTTAAGTATTTTCTCGCGTTCGCAATGACAATTCTGCCAAAACACGCGATTGCCATTTTAAATACGCGTTTTAGAGAAAAGAGGGAGGTGCTTAGAGCTAGAGGCTATTGTTTCTTTATGCTTAGTTTGGGTTTTCATCTGTCAATCATTAGTTAAACCTGTTTGTGAGTGATTTACGTGTAAACAAACATTCATAAAGTCAAATATTTCAAACTCGGCTATTGCATACACGGTTATGTACATCTGTAAAGTGGTTTGCCTATGTTAAATATCATCTACGTTCACTGAGTGTGTAAGAAGCTTGCAACGCGATGAAAAACTCAATCGTGATCAAACCTGTTGTGTAATCCTATCATAAAACTACCGCCTATTACAAATTATTACTGTTTATCGTTATCCTGGGCTATTGTAAATGCATTATAAGGTAGAATAACTTAATCCTATTTTGTTTCACTGTCTAATTAGTATATCTTGTTTGTTGGTTATATTGTGTTCAAGGAGGGCGTGGTCATCGCGAATTAAAGTGAAGATAACTGATAAGTTCGCGTTTTCTTTCTTTCTCTGTTTGCTTATTTTGGCGTGTATATTGATTAGTGGCTTCCGGTGGAAAATTGATAAGCGAAACGAAAACAAACGAATTAAATTGAAAATTTTATGGAATGATAATATTATAGTCATAGAGTCATCAATTCAATAATAAAAAATCATGTGAATAATACACAAAAACACAAAATAAATGCGGATCATGTAAAAAATATAAAATATGAACAATTATAGACAAAATAAGTTTACACCTACACATATACACTACTACGCTACGAACTAATTAATTCATTGACAATAATAATAAAGACGTAATAAATCGAGCAAATTATTAATCGCGCTCGAAATTGAAGCGAATAAAATCGAACACGTTTAGCCACTGCCAGCCTAATTATTATAGTCTAGCATAATTACGTGTTTATTGTATTTAATTGATTTATGTAAACGTGTTTTATTTCATTGCTGCAAATTTCTTTCCCAGACGCGTTCATACGTATCATAGAATAATCACTTAAATTAAAACAATAGAATAATTTCGCATTAATTACTAACATAGAATAAAATAAAAACTCCGTAAAATACAAATAAAATAATAATGATAATCAAATATGCATGGGATACAAAATTAATGTTCAATTAAATGCACATTCAATTACTCGTTTGCAACTTAAAATTAATAATAACTAAACGTAATACGAATAAAATATAGATATACGTTTAAGGTACGAATTTCAATTACTTAGATTCACAAACATAAAATTAAAAACATCAAACATAAAACGTAAAATTTGGTCCAATTTGAAAACAATAATTTCATTTAAAATGTTTTATAACCATTTGAAATGGATGAATTTTTTTAGTGTTAAAATTTTTGTAAAATTTTGTAAAGTTCTCAACATTTCATGTTCGTATTTTTTGGCTATTCTCACATTAGTTTACTTTTCGTACATAAATTCTCTCAATAAATATGCAAAAAGGCGATTTGTTTAAATTTTTTACCGCAATTTCTTTAAATGTTCATAACCTCCTAATGTTTTATCATATTTTAACTGTTATTAGTCGTCTTTTTTGCGTATACTCAGTGTATGTGTGTCGCTTAGTTTTCTTTTGTTTTGGACCACGAGGAGAGAATGATAATTGCAATATTGGAAATGTTTTGACAATAAATACAATGCGTTAAAATTGGAAACGTGAATTTAAAAATAATTGTAAAAATCTGGCACATGTCTGGTTGGAATGTTTTTGGTTATGTTCTCATGGATTTAGCCACACAATGAAAATGAAAATTGAATAAATTAACACCTTGGTTTGTTTGATTCTATGTTTTGATTGTGTGCTCATTAGCTTCTAATATGCCAATAAATATGAGTATAGAAGTACTGTAATAACTTTGATTTGAGGGTAAGTCATGTTTGTCTAAATCCATTCGAAAAACGATATGTTTAAATTCTTCCAAATGCCTATCTTTGATGCAAAACTTGAAGAGTGAAGTTGAATTTCAGTGATATACAATTTTTCTCATTTCCGTTTACGTTTTCGTAATCTTTACTTCAACTGTCAGCATTTATCATATGATATAGTGTGTGTGAGGTGTGTGTGTATGTGTGTTTTGTTTCTTTTAAATTACTTAGACTTTACTTACAACTTACGAGATAGATAAATATCTATTTTATAGAGAAATATTGGTCCAACTTAAAATATGTACTGGTTAAGTGTGTTGTTTTAGTTATGTTTTTAGAGTTGTGTAGCATTTGTTTAGCATTTTAAAATCGTTAAAATTCAAAAAATCCATAGACACATTAGTCTACAAGTCTACAACAACGTTGCACACGCCTGCCATTTCATTCAACTTGCCATAATCTATCGTAGTAGTTAATAATTGAGGTTAAGTTCTATTTTGATTTTATTTGTTTTGTGAGTGTGTATGTGTGTGTTTTCATCAGTTGTTTTGTAATCTAAATATTGTTACCTACGTTGATGTGTCTACATTGATACCTAGCCTGTGATAACTAATTATTCGATAACTGTAACTACGAACTATTTACGTTTACGGTTCTTTTGTCTGTTCACTTTTTTCGTGTGTGTTTATCCTGTTTATTGAATTTCAGCGGGTTGGTTTGATATTGTTGTGATATTGTTTGTTTTTGGGTATGATAATACTATTCTATCCGGATTTGGGCCTGTCCCGTTGCGCCCCTGGCTTTGGGGGCGCAACAAGTTGTTGTTGCAAATTGCAAAATCGACTGTCGGTTTCGGTTCGGTTTGTCGGTTGATTTCGTCCTGCATGTTTTGTATGTGGTTGTGTGGGTTTTGCATGAGTGCGATCGGCTTTGATTTGTATCGGACTACAAAATATTCAAACAAAACTGACAAAATTGTATCTGTGCAAAATAAATCTTTTGGTTTCATATTTTGATTCTTCATCTTTTCATAAATTAATCCTACCTATCAATGTCTTACAAGTTCATCGAAACCAAATTCAATCAAAAACATGTTTTTGAAGTGAATTGAGCATTTTGATGACTTGTCTTATCAATCTTTTATCTCTCGAGAAACAACAAAATACATTTAATAAGTTCCTTTGAATCGCCACACCTTTTTCTTCTTTTCTTTTAGCTACGGTTTCGAACAAACAACATTTTAGTGAAATTTTTTAGTCCGCGTCATCAGTTTCGTGCGTCGCATAGGTTCTTCATAGTTTCTTCAAATATATAATATCTCGTTAAATATACTCTTATACACTAATTAATATTGATGTAAATATATATGTTATGTATATAATCGTCTAATTGCACTTCTTTGTCATTTTTTCTCATCGAAAACTTGAAAAATGGAATAAACACGCACACGCTGAACGATAGAAATCAAATCCAACAAAATTTACAAGAATGCGAATGCGAACACATCACACTTACCACGGTAATTAGAGTTTTTCTTTGATCTTTTAGATTTTCTATAGCTGTAGGGAAATTTGAAAGTTTCTTGCAAAAATTCATGTTATGCACCGAGAGAAATCGCATTTTTGTGTGTGTTTGTTTTTAAGTAAATTTGCATTATAGATAAATATAGTTTCAACACCGACACTTGTTATTTGCAAGCCGAATAATTATTTATGCACCAATGAGACTCACATTGTAAAGTTTTATAATTTTATACATATAAATTTCATCATCATCTCTTCTTTTGGTTTTGATATTTAATATTTTTTCCACATCCTAAACGCTAATTTTTTTCGCGAACCACGAACCGATTCGAAAATTTCATCTTCGTCCCTTCACCTACACTTAATAATCAATATCATATCATATCGTATTATCAATATTAATTTTTTTCTGCATTTTCCTTAATAGTTACTCAATAATAATATAATAGATACTTTTTTGTTTCTTAGAGAAAATATACATCAAAAATTTTGAATAAATCACAGATAGATATAATTTTTTCCATATTTTATCATATTTTCGAATGTTAATAACAACTGCCGCTCGCAGTTCGTGTGTTTTGTGTGTTTTATTTTCACCTTGGGTTTTCACAAGTTCTCCAACAAAGTGAATCTATTTCAATGCGGCGAGAACAATAAATCACTTTTCTTACACGCATGCAGCGCCATCTCATAGCTAATAGTTATGTATACGCCATTTTAAAATCACCTCCACTTTGTTTGTAATTTGTTTCAGTTTGTTGGTGTGTTAACATCAAAGCAGTCAAACACGCGAGTCGAACGTATGAGATGCAACATTTACAAATATGTAGTTTTATTTTTACAGATCTTTGATGAGGTATACGCGAACGTTGAAGACACACACAGAGAATACACACCGATTGAATTTTTTTGGTACGCACGTACGTGTTACGCATTAATTTATATATATTTTTTTGTATAATTTTAGTTTTAGTGATAAATTTATTTTGGCGCATTGTATATAATATGAACATGCCGAGACATCGAAACAGAGAAACACAGACGTGGGTATACTGTTTTTGTTTAGAGGATAGAATATACACACACATCGTTACGTTTTGTTTATATAAATGCACATTGTTTAAAATGCTCTTTGAAAATGTGGGTTCGCGATAAAATGTAATGCAAAAACACCGAATACATACGATACCATTTTTATCGTCCGTCTGCTTTGTTTAACACGTCAGAAAGTTGTTTCGTTACTGCTTTGATGCTTTATGTTTGTTGTGTATGTGTGTGCGTGAAAAAGTGTAGTTGGACTTGTGAAAAATCACCCAATTTCCGTCATCATCATTGCCATACCTTGTCAAACACCAACACCACCACCACTCTGTGTATGCGTGTGTAGTTTAACCCGCTTGCTTTGTACAGTTCGGTTTGTTTTTTATTATAAGATAAATTTGTGGACCATTTGTTTTCTTGTTTACTTTACGCGTTTAAGTTTACGTGTCTCTAAACCCGACCGCCGCACACGTTCAACTGGCGACGCGTCGAGTCCAACTTGGTTCGGCCAGTCGCGCACAAAAGGCGCTAGTGATGCAGCACCGGATGCCTGCCGAACGCGAGCCGACGTCAGTCGTGTGTCTCCGTCTCGGAGGCGCTTGCATCGTCCCCTATGCCGACGCCGTTGCGCGGCGCATCGTGGAAGCGCACCAGCATCTCGGGCTTGAGGTTCTCCGGCTTGGTGAGCTCCTGCTTCAGGTAGATCATCCCCGGTCGGGGTATCACCGCTGGCGCGGTTGTCGCAAGTGGTGAATGTCCACCATCTTGCCGGCCATTCTCTTCCGTGGCTCCGTTATTGTTCGTCTTTGAGTCGTTTGAGTCATTCGACAGTTCAATCGTAGTAATATCAGGTTTGTACTCTACGGGATCATTATCGTCCTCGGGAGAACATGCCATATCTCCATCGCCGTTTTCTTTCTTACGTGACTCATGGTGATGTTCATTGGCGAATTTTGACAGTGGAGCAAGCCGACTATTACGACACAGTTGGTCTAACAATGTTTTATTGGACATATTCTGAGGTTTCACATTACTGTCTTCCTTTTTATCATCGCCTGGCACACCGGATTCCAAACTAGAGCGGATGATACCATCCAAAAGACCATTGCTTTCAGCTGGGTCTAAAAGAGATTCCGCCATTTGACGCGTGGACTTACTCATGTTAGCCCCGCCGGGTGGTTGGATGGGTCCCCCTGCAGGCGGGTTGATAAACGAACGCGACTCTTCATGCAGTTTCTGAATCATTTGTGACGCATACAATTGGTCGTGATTAGTGGCGGGAAAGGCGGCAGCTGCCGCTACTGCCGCCGCAGCCGCGCCCGTAGGTCGGCCATAGTCAAGCGGAAGGTGAGGGTAGCTGGCGGCGTGTGGCCAGAAGGGAAATGGATGGGTGTTGTATCCCAATGGTCCCAAGGCAGGGTCATACATGGGCAGTTTAATACCGTTCGGAGAAACAGGTGAAAATTTACCGGCCCCTGGACCTGGTTTTATCCCCGCCGCCGCTGCAGCCTTCATTTTTTCATTAGCCGCAGCTGCGGCGGCGGCAGCATTCCGTAGATCATTCTGCTTCAATGAGGCAATTTTTTCATCAACTGGATTGGGTTTGGGATCACGTTTGCGTGGCCTCATCAGATGGCGTTCTTTCACTTTATATTCCAGTGTCGAGTGTGGCACGCCGTAATAGCTACCAGCACGATGTACAGACATCTCGCCACGTTGCACCGCCCTCACCGCCTCTACCAATGAATCGCGATCGTAATTGCGATACTTGCCTCGCTTAGGGCGGGTACCTTTTCCGCCTCCGCCGCTACTACCTCCTCCGCCACCTCCTGAATTCGAATTTTGGGACTTTTGCGCGTTCTGGCCGTGGCTGTGTGGCCCGTGCGCGTGCGAACTCTGTTGGTGGTGGCCATGATGCACGCCTTGATATGGTACCCTAGGTTCCTGCGCGCTCTTAATTACAGAAATGCCACCTCCGAGAGGTGGAGTAAACCGTCCGCCTTTTCTGATCAGATCATAGTCTAATATTGGATTGCGCATCCCGGGGAGTTGTTGTTGTTGGGCAGAGCCTTGAGGTGGCTCGGGGCTCTGTTGGAATTTTTGGCTTATGCTTTTGGCTATCAGGTCCTTGACGTCCTTCTGGTAGAGTCCGCGGCCGGGCAGCGGCAGCGCTATGGGCGGCGATGTGGAGTCGCTCGTAACCGAAGGCGACGCCATACTACCCGCAGAGTAATCACCACTTCCACCGCCTCCACCACCGCCATTCTTGCTGCCCGTCGAGGTGGGCCTGAAGGACGGAATCTTAAGTATCACATTCGAGCCGGAGTCCTCCGTCTCGGAGTCGGAGTCGCGGTCTCGGTCGCGCTTGCGATTCACCGAGTTGGACGGGCTGGGGCGGTCGCGTTCACGCGCGATCTTCTCCACGAGGTCGCCGTTGCTCTGCGCATGCACATGTGCTGCCTGCGCCGCCAGCTGCAATTTAAGCTGGTCGTTGAGAAAGTCTTGTGCAAAGAGGCGCTTCATCACATCGGGCAGCGGATCTCCTCCACCCCGCCTCCATCGTGCATTTTGGAGCCGATGAGGCTACGTAACAATAACGCCTGAATATGCGGGCCAAAAGCAGCAGCCGCCACGTTTTGTTCGTCGTCGCTACCGGCTCCGCCACCACCGCCCATCTGCTTGGTGAGCAGCGCTTTCAACGGATCGGATGTGAGCAGATCATCGTAGGAGAGCAGCGGACCCTCAAGCGCCTTCTCCACCTCCTTCTCCTCCTCGGCGCCGGAGAGCTCCTTGTCGTCCATGTCCGTCGCCTCCTCCTCGTCGGTCAGCTTCAAAGAAGCAGCGGATGTTAGATGCGCGTCACGCTCGCGCTCCAGCGCTAATTTGTATACCTTATTGCGCAGCGTCGACCGCGGTATGCCGTAGATGACGGCGGCGCGCCGCGTGCCCAGCTTGCCCGACTGAATGTCGCGCAGCGCCGCCTGCAGCTCCTCCTCGGTGTACGTCCGCCGCCCTCCTACCGCCGGCATCCTCGGCTTTGCTCTAAAATCAGAACTGCAACAGCAGAAAAAAAAAAACAAATTAGTAAATTGCCAACAAATATATTCACCACTGCCAAAAACCGTAAAAAAGCAACTCATAAGTGTGGTTATGTCACCAAGCGTATTTACACACGCTTAGAATCATTATCATCATTACCGACAGCCTCCAAAGAAGAGAGGACGACAAAAGGACAACAATTACGCAGAATACGCAACACACTTTTTGTTGTATTTTTACTTCGCACAGTTAAACTCTACCTATGCAACCCAATACATAGAGCATAAACTTACAAACTCATCATCTCGCAAGGCAAGAAAGATGGTTATTAACGGGAGGAATAATTTGCACGACGGCGTGTTTCGAGTGTTTGTTGAGAGCGCCGCGAGCGAAGTTCGTTTCGTGCGCAGTTTGCCCTTGTCCCGAATTGGGCTTGCTTTTCAGTTTGCGCTTGCACGATGCTCAAAATCGAACAACACGCAACGCAGCAAAGTGCAAAATGTGCAGATGGCATTTGTTGTAACAAGTTTCATCGATCAACAAACTAACATCATCGAGATCTAACCTCAAGTCGATATTGAATCAACTTGGTTTGATGGATTTTGTAATTATTTTATAACACAGACGCGAGTTTAGTAGTGTTTGGAATATTTTCGCACACGCGAAGCTTTCACAAAATCACGGCCGGCGGAATAGAATAAAAAGATGCGAGGCGTAAAACTAGGCGCCGAGCGTAGTGCGCGACGAATCTAGGCCAAAAAAATTTCTATAATTTTGTCAAATAATTGAAGTAATGGCGGTGCAGAAAGCAAAACATGTCGAACGCGCGCGAATCGTTTGAAATTGTTAAATTCGAAACGCAGAAATATGAGAAATCGAGGTCGATAAAACTGCTGCCTTTCTGCTCGCGAAATTTTTACATTTTAGCATGAAACCGCGATTGCGATTGTTTGGGCAAAAAAATACATCATGGCGGTATATGGCATCATGGCGGAATAGGAGTAAAAAAAGCGCCGACAACGAAAACGCAAAAACGCGCTTTATTGCGCCAACTAGGCCACCGCGCAAAATTTTAAATTGTCTGCGAATGGTTTTGCTGCTTGCGGCTGTTTGAGTGTGTTGTAAAGTTGGTTTATTGTTGGCGCATATCCGTAAAAATGCACGAATTACGCGCGTCTAATCGATCTCAGCGATCGAAACGATTCGACGGAATTAGCGATTTGTAACTGTTTCAATCCGTTGCGAGTAATTTAAGCATTCTTGATCAATTCGCTTCGAAATAGTTTGCTAAGTAAAAAGCAAATTTTGTAGATTTTACTAGATGACAAGAAATTTAATAATCTTTAACACAAGCTATAAATTTAACCTAATTAAAAGTGATGTTTGTTCAACTTTGTTTTTACCGTTTTATAGAATGTAATTGGCTATCGACTTATGAAGAAATTATGTGAAAACATCAAAAACAACGTCCGCAATGTTGAAAATTCAATCTAACGGCATGCAAAGCTGAAAAAATAAAAAACTCAAAATATTCGCTGTAAAATTTCCGTCCGTCGCGCTCTGATACTCCAATAAAACGACCAAATCCATAATTGCGACTGCAATAATCGCCATAATTATCGCGGCCGACCTGCATCCCGTGCGACGCGTAATGCAATAATAACCGATAATAACGCTAAGCAGATAAATAGTTAAGAAGTTAATTGTGAGTGCAATTAACATCGACACGAAGATAAATTTCATGGGTAATCATTTCCTCGGAAACAAATTCAAAATCACAAATAAATAAACATTAGTTTTGCAACAAAACGAAAACGTACAACTAATGAACGTATATTACATACGCCATAAAATTGTAAATGTTGCATGAACGAATATTATTATTAGCATGGTTATTATTATATTGTGACAACAAGCAAGTAAAACAAATCCTTGATCTCGTTACGAGCTTTGCAGCAATTTTTCGCCGCCAACGACTCGCTCACAATTATTCACGAAACGCATTTAAACATTAAAATATGTGCATTACATTAAAAACTATTCAAATTAAAAACTTGCTCTTTGCACACTTGAAAACACTGAAATATTAAAACAAACGACGTGCGTTTCATTTCGTCGCGCTCTATTTGCGACGGTTACATGTTAATGTTACAAATATAAACTATAAATTTGTACAAATGTCAGAAATGTAGATTTACACTGATAAATAATGCAATAACTTAAAGTTGGTTACCTTTGCTGTGTATATTTACTAAAAGCGTGTTCAACTGGCTGCCTATATGAGACATCATGTATGATCACTAGGTTTAACTTTAATCGGTTTTTATTAAAAAGTTTGATTGAAGACCTAATTAAATTTAGAAATCATCGATGCGTCACGCGATGCGATTCGTCGTTTGATTAATGGCACATTATTAATATGTTGCTAATAAATAAAGAGCGCTTTCAGCTTGTGGCACGTTTCACATGCGCAGCCATGCGTTTTGGAGCTGCTAATCTAGGTTAAGTTTTAATATTTTATAACTTTAAGCACAAAATTTAAAAATGTACATTTTAACTCATTTTAGACACATTTTAGGTGAAAATAATTAAAAGCGTTTTTTGCGAGCGGAACATCACCAAATGTCTGAACGTAGGTCAGTTTCACACGAATGAGATTATTTTCGGGACAGATAAGAAACAAATTAAATTTAAACACTGATAACACGGTTTCACACACTATTGAACTACAATTAACTGTAAACAGTTAAATTAGGTTAAAATTTCGTTGTTGTTGTTTTTTAATTGTGTTGTCAAAGATAAATGAAAACTTTTTAAATGAATAAAATTGCGTGCAGTTTAGAAGTGTGCGTTGGTTCGAACTGATTTCGCAAAAGAAAATGCAATGCAACGAGCACAACCTCGGCCTCGGCAAACACAGACAGACGACGGTTTTACGCGCCCGTGCAAACACTGCCATCACACATACTCGTAAGTACGTGAATTGATACGCGTTTTCATCTTGCGAGATGTGCGCGTGATGCACAATCACACGGTGCAGCGCAAGGAGATAAATTGCATAAACAAACGATATAAAAAGGCAAATAGACACACGACGGGCGACGCTATCGCTCTCCGCGCGTATGATTCGCGGTGTGATTGACCTTTTATATTGTTGTTATTGTTGTAAAAAAAACGCACACAGGCAGAAAGCGCGTCGTAAAAAAAGCGGCGAGCTGGTGATAACACGCGCGCGCTCGTTCGATCTCGCGACTTGAGACACAAAATGCATTTCAGGGAAGCCGGCGCTGCAGATGAATCGAGACGAAATCAGAGCGCATCGAACTGTGCACAAATAATTTCATGGACGGGCGCGAATATAATCGCCGTCGTTGCGTGAACCCGCCGCTATCGGGCGTCGGAAATGTTTACACGTTTTATTCCGATATTTCCGATGTCATTCGACAATCAAACGATACAATAACATCAAAACTACAGAAAAAAATTATAATTGCATAAAAATCTTAACTTATTAAACCTTTAAAAAATATTAAAATTATTTTTTTACCATACTTTGAACTCTCTTATCAGTTATTACTTTAATTACTTATCAGCCGCTTGAGAATAACTCATATAATTTAATTAATTAGTTGGTTGTTGCTCTGAAATGACTGGAAATTTTAACAAAATGTTGAAGAAAATATTTTGACGCTTTTGTTTAAGAAGAAAAACACAATTATTATTATTTCTTGTTTTTGTGATTTCTTATCACCGCAATCAAAAATTTAATGATTTGTTAAATTTTCGCAAATAAACACCTTGTAAAACAAAAAACAATGAATAACCATAAATCTATTAATTGACTTAGCCGGGAATGAGAATATTGTAAATATTTTTTGTTTAAAAAACATGACATCAATATTACTTTTATAGAAGTTATAAGGTGAGTCTTTTAAAAGTTTATATCCAATGTGATTTACACATGAAGTAATAAAAAAAATGGGACAAAGCGTATCGAAAATAGATTTTTACACACTGTCATAAAAAAGTAGGTAAAAACAAACGTCATATAGTGACATTGAGTCATTCACAAAGTGACATTAAAGTGTGACGTGTGATTTTTCGCGCCTTGAGCAAAAACAATGCAATATCGCAACTTCAATCATAGATTGCGACCAAAATTAACTCGTGATTCAAATTAAACAAACACAAATCCGTAAATAGCTTAATTGTTAATTACTCAAGATCATAAAAAGATGCATCGAAAAAAAATCAGGTAGGTAGATAAAAGTGTTGTTTTCTGTTTATATATTACTAATTTTCCACCATTAACTCTTCTACCGCAAAAAGTAAACACTCCACAATGAAAATTGAAATGTCACATGAAACAACATTGCGTGCGCAATAGGTCAACGCAAAAATAATAATTCGCCCGACCTTGGGGTGGTCGTATTGGGTGTGTGAATTATTTTAAACCATGTCGTGTGAATTTATGCTATAAAATACTACAAAACCATAAAAGTGCAATTTGCACAAAACAAACCCAAACCGTGTGAATACAAGCAAATTTGTTATTTTGTTAAACTAAAACCGATTATTAGAAAAATATTCAATAATTACTTTAATTTTTTTTCTACTAATGCATTTCTAAACTATGAATGTAATAATGCTTGATGTTAATAGAGATTGCAGTATTGATGATTGTTGAACTAAACGCTGTGGTGTCGCAATTCGTGCGCAATGAGCGCGGTAATAACGCGTCGGCAAGGCCACGGTTTATTGCCGATCGGCGGTGAACTCAACCTCTCTCTTCGCTCACGCTTGAACATGACTTAAGTCTACTAATCTATCCCACTAAGTCATCATGAGATGACTTCAGAGTGAATTGTGTAAGAAACAATAAGTGTTTTTTTTTTGCAAATAATGAAGCATTTACCTGCAATCAAATTTACGTTACTATAACAACACCAAGTCAAACTTTTATTTCTAAAATTTGTTCTTATTTGTTCTTATAATTTAAAATGGCTGCATTTTATTTGTTTACTTATCCTATTGGTGCACCTCTATCGATTGCAATTGGAATTTGTTTGTTTTGATCGCGTTCGTGTTTCGTGCTGGTTGTTTGTATTCAGTTAGATACTAGATTTTTATTGGTGCGGATTAGACGCCAAAAGTTTGATAGGTATTGGTGGCTCGCAGTGCGTTTCAATCCCACCACAATTGTCAACCAGCCCACCACTCACATCTAATTTCTAAAGTACTAGTGCTGTAATAACTGCCCGGGATTATATTTTAGAGATAATTAATGGTTGTGGTTGAAAAGGACAGAAAAAAAGAGGAAATAATATAGGGTTCGGAGCGCAAACAAAAAAAATTGTCAACCATGTTAAACGAACTAAGGGAATATTTAGTCGTAGCTGGTTACGAATTCGAAGAAGTCGTCAAGTAATGTCACCCTAACGCAACTACTCTAATCGACATTTATTTATTCATGCGGAGAAAAAAACTATTCAGGAAAAAACGGAAAATGTTTCCTGTCATTCTATTTTATGTTTTATACATGAATATTAGGTGTTTTCATATTTGCTCTGGTTGGCATTGAAGTTTTATCGAATTTAATTAGGAATAATTCGGCAACAACCACATTTTGATTATGCCATTAGGCGCGCACACAAATATATCTATATAACACCCAATTTACAGAATATTGAGTTGGAGCGTATATTGAGTTTGTGTTGGAATATTTGATGCATTTTGTTTTCGGCTTTTCAATTTTCAATTAATCTATAATTACAATTGATTAGTCCGCATGTCGCCCTTTCACCAACATTCGCTTCCATTTTAACAAAGTACCCGTGCATGCGGCAACCCAAAACACACCAAAACCTAAAATAGACAGCTACTTTTAATAAATTCAATTTAGTTATTAATATTTGTTCATTTATTTAACGCATTAATTTTTATGCAAAAAACTGCTAGATACCTACATTTGAGTGCCTATCTAAAGTGTAAAATGTGAGAGTTATCCATCCAACCGTTATTTTATACCGTTGCAGGTAGCGTTCAACACCAATCCGAATGAAATCGATAATTTTAAGATTTGCCATTACATCAACCAATCAGAAACACCTAAAGTTTTTACTTTATACTGTTTGATCAAACTTCTTTAGCAATTTGCAAATAAATATCCAGGTCGTTCAATTGGTTTAAACAAACGCCAACGACCGGATGAAATTGATAATATGGTTAAACATTGCGCAAATATTGCTGAGATTCACGGGTAGTTGAAACCGTTGCCACGCATTGTTTGCGCAACATTCAGAAATCAATTGACAGTGCAGCGTCGACATAGGGTATACGATTCGAGTGGATGCTGTTTGAGTTTGTCACGAGCTTCGAACCCGATGATGTGAAATCAAACAAGTGGTTGTCGATTTGCCATTTCAATTTCAACATATTCAACATGATTGCAAGCAAGGTCGGAGAGGTGAGAGAAACAATGAACCATCTTATGTGCATTGAGCTGCCTATTACTTTCAAACAATCAATCATCAAACAACAAATATTTATTTTCTTCAATTGTCTTTACATTGATGATTGGTATCATTTCGTGAGAGTGCAAACCAATGTTGATTAATTAACGTATTAATTAATTCAGTCTCAGAAATATGATAAACTAAGACTACTAGTCTGGTAGCGTTGCGGTTAATTTGCAATTTTCTCGTGGTAAACGCATGACCCGAGATGATCATCGACTTCTGGCTCTTCTTCTTGTTCGTCTTCGAGTCTTCGCGTGCCGAGTGTTTCGCGAAAAAAATTAGAATATAAATCTGGGAAGCAAGCGAGCGCAATCGAATCGAATTAATTAGAACATTAGAAGAAGTCGAAGCGCAACGATGGCTATACGAATTAAAAATTAATTGAGTTCAAGAGACGAGCAGAAGAAAATTTTCACGCGCCCATAAAAACAATAAAAGCACGAGAAATTCATAACGAATATAAAGTGTACACACAGGTAAGCAACGCGAAATAAAACGTGCGTTTCGTGTGCGCATCGTCAGGTTTTTTCCACTTTTAATTACGACTTGATTTCTAAATCAAATGCATATGTGCATTGTATGTTAAACTATGTTAAATTAATTAAATAATTAATATGAAACGTGAGTTTAACAAAATAGCAACAAAAACTAAGAAAATTTCCGTTATAAATACCGTTGATTAAAATTTTAACCACGATAAATCAAATTAAAAAGTAAATATTTCGAAAAATGTTAACTATTATACCTACACTAGATGGCATTAGTTGGAAATAAAAAGAGATTCTTTGCACTTACTTGAATAAATGTTTGTTGTCCAAAGTAGATAGCCGTAAGGGGGCGGCATTGGGATTGTGCCGGGGCGTATCGGTAGGCGTTGAATCGCCGCTACCCGCTTTCGAGCTGAGATCAAGCGGCTGCTCACCGCCGGCGGGTTTATCCTCTTGGCCGCCGGCGGCGGCAGCAGTGGCCGCCTGATGCAGACTCCGGGACATCGAGAGCAACCAGGTGGGACCAAGCGGTCCATAATAGGCAGACGGAACTTGGCCTTGAGCACCGGTTCCAGCGACACCACCACTCAGTGCCGCCGCCGCGGCCATCGCCACCATCTGTGTTTCTAGCGCGGTCATTCCGCCGCCGCCGCTCGCACGCCGCTGATGGTTGCTCAGCAGCGTCGAGTGCGTCGTCGGTGTCAGCGTCGGCGCCGTTTCGGCGTCGCTGGCAGCGTCGCTTGATTCCGAGTCACTCGGACGGGGACTCTGAAAATGTCGAATCGAAACTATTAATACAAGTAACGCCATCTATTAAGCAGTAGTCACGTATTGCTATGTTTATCGAATTTCGTTTAGTGATGTAAAATTTATGAACGTGCGCGCGCTAACGAGCATGTGAAAACCCATTTGCATTTTTATTGCCGTTCGTCTTTCGTTTCTTTCTTGTTGTGGGCGCTTTCGGTGCTTGTGCACATCAAAACACATTAATATCGTGAACGTGTACTGCAACGTTCGGCTGTCAAATCCGGCGGCCATTTGCAATCCGAACAAAACACAAACAAACCAACGAAACAAACGAAAAGCACGAAAATCGAAGTCTTCGACAACCAAAGAAAATTAATCACCACCACTTCGCCGGCAGTGCTGCAGCAATGTAGAAAATAACAAACGAGCATCGTCAATCATCGATCACAGTCTCAACATTTGACAATCGCACATTCATTTGATGATTTCGTTTACTTTATGCAGTTCTACGTGCCTACAATGATGGCTGCAAGTATTAACCTATTTTCACGGCTAGTTTCATCATATTCATCATTATTCATTGCCTTAATAAATAAATAAATTACAAATTCATCATAATAAATATTATTCACAGCGATAGGCAACCAAACGAACATGTTCTGTATATTCTTTTGTTTTATTTTGTTTAGTTTTTCATCGATTAATGGTGATTTCCATTAATTAACATACGAATGTTAAAAGAAATGAATAGAAAAAGAAAGACGAAGGGAAAAAAACTAATGCTATACGATTGTTAATTAGTAGTCCGGTCGCTATCATAAAATATGGAGATCGTCGATGTGCGTTTCTCATGCTTCCGCAGCGCGTGTGTTCGAAAAGAAACGAAACATGCGAAAATAGCAAAATAACAAACGAAACAAGAACGACGCGCGCCGATGGCGGCCATCTTGCTCCACGAAGGCGTGACGAATAAGACATAAAAAAATATATAGAATATAATAACCGAGCATAATAAATAATAATATGCGATTATAATATGCATGTAGCGAACAGTAAACTGCTAACCAGCATGAAGGAATATTTTATTTTATTGCTCGTTTATTTCTTCTTTTCTTTTAGGTATATAATTCTATATATGTTAAAACCATTTTTAACTCTTTTTATTTTATTGTAGTTATATTTCATGTGATGCAGTTTAGTTGAGTTTTCTTTTGTTTATTGTTTTGTGTGCCAGTTCGGACGGGTCATCATTGTTACGGTCTGCGATTCACTGGAAAATCTTTTCAGTTATACTCCTATCAAAAACTTACAAAGTTAAACTGAATAAAAACTGGCAGTTTCACATGATATGAACACGCGATGTAATTTCGGTGTCAACTACTCGATGATAGATGGCGTAGGTTTTTCAGAGTGATAAAATTAAAATATTAATTAGTAAATAGTTGATGATAGTTTTAATGCGCGTCGTTCGCTTGTTTATGCTTCTGGTGCGGGCTTATTTCTTCCTGCTAACTGTTTACATCTCTTCGGTAATTATCCGCGCGCGGCACATGAACAATTTCGCGAGCAACAGCAGACGAAGACATTCCACGCTTGTTGATGACGTGGTGACATACGTTTTAGTTTAGTGTGCAAGGCACAAACGTTAAACTTTTATACCTACATTTATTTAAAAACCCGCTATAATTTAATAATTAAAAAGAACGCTAACAATAGTAAGAATATTTGGTTGCCTAGTGAAATTCAAGTTGTGTGTTACTTTTTGTTTTATTTGTTTAATATTGTATATTTATTTTTACTGGAACAAAGTGTATAATGCTAACATATGAAATATGCAATGTGTGAGGATCGTAACGAGCGCCGGCTGTTCATTAACACCGTGTCGGGAGCGTACCGTTTTCTTCGCGTCTCGGCGCGGATTCGCATATGATACGCACATGCTCACTTGACAGTTGACTTGTTCGCCTGCTCGCCTCTATGCACCTATACCCGTTCAATTTCACCTCGGTGCGGTTCACTACAGGTTCACACTGCGAGTTTGCACACTTGCTCCGCAATCAGGCGAAATTTATCGATCGAATTAAAACGGGAAACGTTTAGGCTCTAATTACCCGAACAACTTCTAATATTAGGTGCAAGTCAACTTAAATCATCGCATAACGGTCAGGTTCTACAAAACAAGACGCGTAAAATATTACCATTTGTAGGTATAAATGTCGCCATCTGTTGGCAAATAGTTTCACGCATGAAAAACCACATTTTTTTTTCTAATTGTGTTTATGTGTAGATTGTTTTTAAAAAGTAATCATTATGGTAATATTCGACGTGTATTTACATGTAGAAAATGACGAAAATGGTAATGCTGAATGGAGGTCACATTGTATGCTAATGTCCGAATGCATTATGTTTTCGACGTTTCGACGTTTGGACCTTTAAACGCGCTCGATACGAAACAAATTCGTTGCATATTTACGGACATAATGCGTTTACTTTGTATGTCAAGGCAGAAAAACCAACTAAAAAAATACTCTATTACACTATAAAAACTAATTTAAAATATTTCCACTTTGAATCTTAATTAAATGTTAACGCTGTAGATACTTAGATATTACTTATTTAAGTATCGAATATCGCTTGAATCGTGGCGATCGATGCATAAACGACTTCACAAGTCGTGTAAAAAGAACCAGAACACGACGTTACGTTGTTTTACGTACAAGTCCCACCCTAATTGCACACAGCGTGCACATTTTCCAATAAAATAATTAGTTAAACACCGCGCAATCGTACGGCATGACGCCGAAACGCTGAAAACTTAAATATCAAACAGTCATACACACACACACACACACATCACAAACATACGAAACATATTAAAACACATACGCTCACTAACACGCAATGTGAAACAAAGTAGAAACGAAAAACAAGTGAAACCAACGAGGAGGAAATTTAAGCAGTAGAAGCGAAAGAAATAGATAGAAAGAGAGAACAAAATGGAATAAAAGATGCGAAACAAATGCAACAAACAAACATGGAAGTGTGCATGGGTAGGGACCAAACGGGTCGTTAGAGAAAATGGGCAGGAACCGCTTCTTTTGGGCGTGCACCAAACGACCACACTACATTGACTTGAAATATGAATACACTTCATACAGCAAAGTAAGTACAAATATAATTTTGGGTTAAATTATGCTAGTTACAAAATAAACAAAAAACGTCGTTGGTACGTAACAAACAATTGATCGAAACAAATGAAAAGAGGTGTGGTGGTGTGGTTTTAGTAACCACATAAAACGAAAGTAAAATATTCTACCTACGAGTATTCTTGGTATAAATTAGTACCTAAAGTTAAATAAATTTTGCTATTTGTTGCATAGATAAATGTGATTAACTGTGCATCTTTCTACTGTTTGTACTGGTTGTAACTGTGTTGTTGTTGTGTGGATGCGGCATGCAAACGCATTACAAGTTGCAAAGTCAACGGCGACGAAGACGGTGGCGACGTGGCGGCTGGCGACGGTTGTCGCAACCCGTTCGGCTCTACTTCCCAATTCAATTACCGCACATTATGCGCATTATCCGTTCGCGGCCACGTAGCTCTAGCATAATACACACTGTGGTGGCTCTTGCCAGGACTAAGAAACAAATGACTAACAACTAACGACTGACAACGACCAGCCAACTGATGGTAGCAATAGTACCAGCGGTAGAAAAGAAGTACAGTAGAAAGCACAAGAACAAGGTAGTAAAGCAACATAATGACATATTGTCAGAGTTTTGTCGTTCATGAATTTTTGAACGTGAACATGAAATTGTGAGAAAGACCGTTACAAAGAAAAGAAAAAATAATTTTAAATTTGTACTGAAAATAAATGTAAGAAAAAATTAAAATCTGCTAAGAAAAAATCGATAATAGTAAGTAAGCAAAAAAATTTAACCAATAATTAGGTTTTTTGTTATATTTTCGTGTTTTCCAAAGCTAATTATGAAATAATTCTTATAAATTACAAAGTAAAAAAGACTACAAAATCATTTCTATGCAACAGAAATGTTAAAATGGATAGAAACATAATATTTAAATAATTATATACCTAATTCAATAAAAACCCCACAAAAAATGACAAATATTGAAATACCTACGATTTCGTAATCCAAACTTTACAATCGAATGCAAATTTACAACACTCTAAAATTGTATCTACCTACTCCTAATATTCTAATGAGATCGTGTCGTGAAGGAATATTTAACTGATCCGAAGATAACTTCGATTCGGCGGGAACTGAACATGCTGTCCGAATACAGCATTTTAAGTTGCATAAAGTGAGGTACGACCAAATATTGTAAAAAATTTACAACACTCTAAAATTGTATCTACCTACTCCTAATATTCTAATGAGATCGTGTCGTGCTGATCCGAAGAAACGTGATCCGTAAAAGTGATTTCGTGCGCACTACAAACACAGTAACGAGTAGCATTGCAGTTTCAAATGCAAAAACAAACGCAAATCTTGCACCATCACAGGTTTCTAGCTCTAGTTCAAATCTGTTTAAAGTCAAACCTCATGAATGTGTATTTTCCACGTGTGAGTTGGTGTGTGGAGGTTTTGCTCTCGTAAACTGGGACGATTTTCGATTTCAACCGCGCGCGTCATGTTTCCTCAGCGTTGCGCCGAAGTCGAAGGATTTCAATTACAAATTTTATGGCGACCTTGTGCCTCTTTCGCGCTGTTGCACCGCAAGAAGTTAGCGCACTGTGCTGTACTGCTGTGATGCTTAGAAGTTAGAACACAACACGACTCTTACACGACATACACATGCAATTTGCAGTCAAGCGCTTTTGCAGAGTGTGAGCGCAATTGCGAAATTTTGATTTTTGCCTCGCGACTCTGTTTCTTGTTCGCCTTGATCCAAGGTGTGCCGAACAAACAATTTCAATTTCGTTTGCACGATTAAGATTATTTATGGTAGCGCAATGCATAATTTTTACTTATTGTGGTTAACTAACACGAGGTTAACCATAAAATTGAAAAAATTTAAATAAATAGATAATCTAGATATTATTCGGAGTGGAGTATGAATATTTGAATAACAATTTTGGTCAACTCACCAAAGCCCCGTGATTGTTGTGTTCATCCAGTTTGCCGTCGACGCAAAACATGCACTTGCTTGTCGGCGACCAGTCCTTGACCTTGTACTCGTCCTCCGCGTCGGCCTCGTCGTCGCGGTGGTGGTTGGCGTCGCCGTTCTCGGCCGGCGGTGGTGCGTCGTCGGCACCGCCCGCTTCGGGGGCGGCGGCGGGCAAGGGCGAGAGCGCTGGTGACGCGCGAGTATCCTGCTCCTGCGGCTGCTGGCGCTTCGCCTCTTCGTCCTCCTCGCTCTGGCTCTGCTGCTTCTTCACGTTGTTGTTCAATGGCTGCAAGTAGTTTCTTTGTTGCATCGAGTCTTGGTACAGCTTCCATTTCCTCTTCCCCATCAAGTCCTCAGCAATCCTTTCCAACCCTTAAAACAATCGAAACGAACGCATTCAGTAAGGTAAGTACAAAACTTAATCGACTTAAGAGCTAACAATGACTTGTTTGCGTTACAACTGAACACTACTGAATAACCCAAGAAATGCATGTGTTTTGTATATTTGGTTGCCTATAATAAATAGTCACTCATTGATTGCGTAGTGTGGTTATGAGGTTATGGCTATTGTCACTTAAAAGGATTGCGAATAGGTATCTTACCAATAATGCAACTGAATAACACCGTTTGTTTTGCGTTGAGCTTTGTTTGCATTTTGTTTTGTTTCGTGGATTTACTGTAGCTATTAATTAAAATCACGGTCGATTTGCGTACAATGATACGAGTGTGCGATTGCGAAACGAATTGTCTTCGGATTGTGTGACGACAATTCGCAACGATAGCAACAAAATGGGACATTGATTAACATAAACTTTATTAAAATCATGAACACAATAGAAATTGAATTAAAGTGAAAAATCGCGTATATTAATCGCAAATCAAATTTTATACTAGAAATTACAAAAAAAAATGGTTGATAAGATAAATTTTGAAAAAAAAAATTGTTAATAACATTCGATAGAATAATCTGATCATAATATTTACGCAGTTACTAGTAAGATTTCGTAATTTGCCACTAATTTGGAGAAAATCATAACTTAAATCCAAATATTTTTCGAATTACACGAAAAATTCTTAAACTGTGATATTTTTCTTTTGCTTGATATCAGCAGCTGACATGATTTTTTTAATTAAAAATTTACTATAATTTAGAAAAATCACATCATATTTAAAATTACCAAAGTAAAAGTTTTGTAAGAGTGTTAACATCTAGTTCTTGACTTTCGATTTTGATAGATTGCGTCGTGAAATCTCGCATCTATAAAGAAATTTCACAAATTAGAGAACACACGTTAGTTTACAGATATGAGATAAATGATAAAAATAAAACTGTGCATGCCATTCCGCACGTCAGAAATATTTTCAAAACGTGTTAAATATTCATAAAAACACATGATTTCGTTGCCGTTTCAAATAGGTATTACGCCTAAATTTCAAACAAAATTATATATTTAAGAAGTGAAAGTCAAAGCCACGCTCGGTAACATTCCACACACTCGCGAGAATAATTTATTCTGTTCTTTTCTCGTTATTTAGTCATTTTGTTATTTGGTTACTGTGTTGTTCCCGGTAGTTATTTCATTATCTTCTCTCTTGTTGAATTCGCTTCGACGGCAGGCGGCAATTTTTAATATGCCAATGCACGCAAGGTGTTTGGATTCGATCGTTTTTTGGTTTCAGGCGAAATTTCTAAAAACCGAATGCCGCAAATACCACAAAATGCACACACCACGCACGTCGTGAACAAGAAACAAGCAGAAACACGCAAAACGCCGGATGTTATCTTGTTGAGCGTCTTAAAACCGTGCCAAACATTACTAAATAGCACAAAACACACTTGTTAATCCAAAACGAAAAATACCTTTTTGTTTTTCTCGTTGATACACTCTTTTTCGAACGTTTTTCGACGACATTTTTAGCGTGACTGAATAGACAAACCTATAATACACTGGAACCATTCAGTTACTTAATACAGGGTGCTGCAGACATCAAAACAATTGATAATAATAAATGGGTGTTTGTATAATATTATTTTAAGAACGCGAATGCATTTAGCACTGTTCGGGTTACCATTTCGACAAATCAAATTGCAGCGAGGCGCGGTGGCTATTTAGATTTAGATATCTAATCCGTGAATTATTTTGCATTTTACGCAGGCCGGACGCGCGTTCCAAACGTAAAACAATGCGCGCTTGTTCTTCTCGGAAATCGGCGCGCAATCGCCGGCGTAATCGCGCAGTGGTTTCGTTTCAATTTTCGCCTTACGACGAATTGTCGCACTTACACGCACAGGGCAGCAAATGACTCACACCAACACATACCTAAATTCATGATGGCGGAAATTGTCTGCGAAATGCTTAATAGACAAAAATAAGCACTAAGCTAATAAATAATGTTTATATATCTTTTGTAGCAGGATTATTTTGCACACTAGGTCACAAAAATAAACCACAATCAGCCATATTCAAAAGATGGCGTCAACTATTGTCAATCAAGATATTTTACAGGTTATAGCGCTGCATAAACCATATGTTTGTACATTATAAACGTGTCATTTCTTCATACTCCTAAATATTCTTAAAATTAAATACGAAACTACAAATCCTTGGAATGTTGGCAATAAAACGTGACAATATGTAAGAGAAGAAAACGTGTGCATCAACGTGGATTCCAACGTGTGTGCATTTTCGTAGAACCGAAAATAAATTTAGGAATTTCATATAATACATCGTCAATTGGCATGCATCGATAAAATTGAAGAAAACTAAAAATAAGTGTCACAATGAAGATGTTTGTAAAGCCTTGTAGCATTTATCAAATCGCAGTCATTTGTTGTCGTTTATCCCAGTTGAGGTTTCTCTAGTGTAAAGTGTAAATCGTTATCCACTCGGCCAACCAGCCAATAATCCAATTAGGCACACGCGTTGCGTTTAATCCTACAGGATACCACCAAACACAAACATACTTCTATGTGAGACTATATAGTCGCAAGTCTTTAACTTAAAATGTGAAAAATACTTTTAAAAATATTTTTAAAATTTTTTATTAATAACTGTACACGCTGTATATTTCTATGAATAGACTTAGCATTCATCAATCTTCTTTAGATTTTTTTGTCAACTTGATTTTTTTAGTTAGTTATCATTCAATTGTTTTCTTTTTATCAACGATTTCTGCTTGAAAAGACCGGAAAAGCGTAAAAAACACCGTTATAAGATTCAACTATTACTGGCGTATTCTCTGCAGTCTTTGGAATCTAAAAATATCTTACTTTTCCCTTTTCTGCTTCTATAAAAACTTAAAAATTCTTCCAGGATTTTAAACTCTTCACATTAAAATGAGTAAAACAGAAGATAATGAGAAAAAACATAAAAGAGTAGCTTTCAAATTGTCATTATGATACGACGCCATTATCATTACCGCCATTACCAATTCTGTTATGTTGCCAGGGCCGACCGAACCAACGATTCGACCATTTCGGCCATTAGTATTATACCTAGACTCCACAATGGTCGTCGTAGTCATCCGCCATGTTGTTTAGTCAAAGTTACCGTTCGTTTGCTCCGAGCGCTGCGCTACGTTTTCTTTTGATAATGATAATTACCTCAAACCAGCAAATATCATTAGGACAAACTCTCATATACTCTTATATAAAAATGTGTTCATGTGGTAGCATTCCAATCTAACGAATAATCCAAATACCATGAAATAAAATTTATAATAAATTTGTAATCAAACTGATTACGAACCCTCTGTATATTCAATTCAATTGCATTTAGTGTTTGATATCATGTGTGTCTGTGTGTTTTTTTCTTCTCATGGCAAATTAATTAAATCAAAGTTGCAATGCAAGCTGCACTGCGCCATTACTCATCGTTCGTCGGTCGTAATTTGCTGTGTCGACGAAATGGAAATAGAAAACGAATAAACTAGAAAAACAAATAACAGAATAAAATACTCTCGCAGTCGCATGTCTAGTGTGTGTGTATTTGTGTGTTGGTTTGGCCAACATTTATTATATTTATTCGTTTGTTTTGCAAAGTCGTGGGCTGTGAGAACCGAGAATCGCGTCGCAAAGGTGGAAAGTCTTAAAATATTTTCTTTCTAGAAAAGACAATCGTGCCGTTAAAGCAAACAAATACGATGCTAGCGGATGAATTACGCGAGTAACACGCACTTATTCATACAAATCTCATAGAAATCATATGAATTAATGAGAAACAAACGAAAATTCAATTAAAATTGGAAATTTTATTCACATAATTATAAAACAAAAAAATTACCGATGAAGTTTTCTAACTTTTTGTTCAATAATCTAACAAACAAAATTTTTATAGATTTACCTTAATGTTAAATTTATTGCAAACTTTACTTTTCGAAGTTAAATGCTTCCGAATTCTTTCCAACTATATAATCCTAAAATTCATATGAATGTGTTCATGAGATGGATTATGAATGTATGAATGAAAGACGTCGTATGGCGCGCCGTGACATGCCTGCTGGCTTCTGGAAGACATGATGGTGGAAGATACACATCCACATGCATCGGCGAGGAGCAACATCTGGCTAATATCGGTGTAATTAGTTTGGCCGTTTGTGCATGAGTACTCTTTGCTTCTCCTCATAATATCTCATCATTCTTTAGCAATGGTGTGCAATTTGCAAAAGTACGCGTGGTAAATTTTCAATCTATTCTGATAACTAAACCTTCATGCTGCTCAAAATGCCTCCAGTCAAGAAATAAATTCCAAGGAAAATTTCACTGATTTTTAAGTAGGTACCAATTTACTGGTCAATTGACGTCAACAGTTAATTTGCACAAGACACAAATATATTTCGCTAGCAAAAGTGTGACATTGACTCGTGAAAATTGCATTCGCAATCACGTCCAGCGCATGCACACATTGCATTTGAGCGACTTCTTCGATTTTTAATCAAATCCAAGCCCTCAGCAAGCAAACAACAATGATAATAAAGGCGACCGAGCGAGGGAATTGCATTCGCAGAAGAGGAGTATATTTTCTATGAGCAAATAACACGTCAATTGGAAAACTAGCCAAATATATTAAAATCACAACAAATTTCAGAACTAAATGGGAAAGCGTTGTAAAGATAACCAAATAGAATGGAAACAAAGACTAATTTTGGGAAAATAAATAATCCTAAATATTTAATTCCATTCAGGTGAAGACAAATCCATTAACAAGCGGATAAATATGATAAAAATTTAATTAAACAAACAAAAAATGTTCAACTTATTTCCGGTATACGTAAAGTAAACATATTCAAAGATATTATGAAAACTACGTGATTTAAAAGGTAATACAAATTTCACAATGTGAAAAATTAACATGGAAAATAGAAACTTCACAAAAAACTACAAAAAACCTCATAAAAACTAATAAATTCCTAAATGAAATTACGAAACGACCACCGGTTGTTAACAACTGCACACAACCTTCCCAACATTTCGAGATTGCGACACGACAGACATGAAATAAACACACGTAATTATTGCAATTGCAATTGTAATAGCCAGTAGCCGCCTCGTCGGTTTGTTTTTTTCCATATACAAAAATTCGTACCGCAAAATTTCCCAATTCCAACCAAACAAACAACTCACGTCAGCATATCATAAAATTATACGGAATTGAAACTATAAAAACCAACAAAAGCAGACATAGGTAGCTGTAATGCTGACGGTGCTGACTTGCTAAATTAAAATTTAAACAAAAATATGACATTAACGAAACCTGTTATTTTAGAAAAGTCTCGATTTGATTTAATGTGGACAATTAGCCATATTTAAAAATTTGTGACTTCATTTTTCATTTGATTTCTATTTTTGTTTTCTAATTGCCCGTTCTGTGAGCACGCCAACGCACACAGTTTGATTACGACAGGAACGTTGAAATAATTGTAATTTGCGTCATTAGTCATAGCAAATCACCGGAAATTAAGATATGCACATTTATATTTTAATCCGAAACCTAAGTCAACCCTACTTTTAGAAAAAATAAAGATAGACTATGCGCACTATACCAAAAACAGAATAAAACGAATGATATCAACAAAATTTACAATTTAAATCTCCGATTGCGACTCAAACATGGCTTCAAACATGAATGATTCATGAAAGTTTTAAATTGCGCACAACGTTTTGCTTCGCGGTTCGGCTGACGAATTTGGAGGTCATTTGAGAGGCACGAAACAAAGGCCTGTATTGGTTACATGCAGCTAAGCACACAACACGCACGCAGGCGGCGAACAAAAGAATAGAACTTTTTGGGCGTCCGGTTCAGGGACGACCCCAAACTATTCCACCTACACCAATACAAACGCTCCGAATGTGCGATAGGACTACTGCGACACAGTCACGACTGTCACGAAACGCCCAAAAACTACCGCCGCCGTCGCGAACCAGACGTGTGACGTCGGAATAACAAAAAAAAACAATAACAATGTTTTGACGTAAAACAAACGTTATTTATAGCAAAACACAACGTGTGTAGGTAAGTATAATTCTATTTATTCAAAATAACAAAGTTGAAAATTTTCAGCTGCATTGTATTCATATTCCGTTGCCATTCGCAGCACGATACCTAATTACCGATGAGTAATACTCGCCGCCTGCATTAAATATTTGATGAAAGCGAATGCAAATTGCGCGTCGATTTCGACTGCTTTCGGACGGAGCCAATCAGCAACGAGGCGATAAACAACTTTTGCTTTATTACTCTTTTCATGCGTCTGCAACACGAAAAATGACGAAATTTTGTTTGAGAAACTCATGAATAACCGTCGAGAGGTAGCTACCTACCTACCTATAGATGGTTAATTATTTTTACTGCCATGCTGAAATAATTGATTTCATTTGATTTGGCGTGTCACGCCGGATGATTCATGTGAAAATCGTAGAATAATAAAAATTCGAAGGCTTCTAGTGAGTTTTTCTACATTTAGTGACTAGTTAAGCTGAGATCCTGGAATTTTATTATCGGAAATTCTTTAAAGATTGTATCATTTATCAAAGTATAAAATAACATTAAATCTTGTGTTTTAAAAGTCTGTTAAAATTCTAGTAGGCAACCTGAATAACATGAGTTATAAAATACTAATTGTCATATTGACATGTGTTTTGTCGGTTTGGCAACGAGAAATAAACATCTTTGAACCTGAATTTCTGCGCAATTCTTTAGTAGTGTTTCTGTTATTCCTATTTTATTTGTTATGCATTTTCTTTACTTTCTTTCATTCTATTTGCTTTCATCTCTCGATGTGCGTTCTTTTGTTATGTAGGTAAGTACCTACATATTTGTTGGTATTGGTTTTGTTACGCGTTGTGTACAACGTGACGATGTGTAATAATTACGTTTGAAACAGATTTCAAGGTTAGCAAGATGGACTACTGCAGTCTTCAGATATTTAAAAGGATGTAGGTATACCTAAATACATCCAACTGCCATCCGCAGCAAAAACTTGTTTACTTAGAGATTCGACGACAACATTTTGCAAAATTATTCAGTTTCCATATTTCAAACCCTTCCAATTCGAAATTTCGTCATTCAATTCTGATAATTTCAAATAATAATTCCGCAGCAACAAAACAAAATTTATTGTTAAAGAATTTAGGTCGACTATTTTAATGCACCTACGTAAGTAAATGTCTCCAAGGTGGCCTAAATATGAAATAACAAAAAAACAATGTACAGAAATATTTCTGCTACAAAGTTGTAAAAACATATTTAAGTAAACACGATTATATTTTTCACTGGTTCTACATAACTAAACCATACCACCACACAACAACAAAAGCAACCAAATGCTCACCATTTAAATTTTCCGAATATTCGCTTCTAGAATCATTTTTAATCACCCATTGTTCATCTCCACGTGAATACGGATCACTTTTAGTCCCAAAACGCAAAACAGAAGTCCTCCTCGGTTTAAGTCCATCACAATATCTTGTCACAAACATGTTAACCATTAAATGATAAAACTATACCAACAATCACATTATCAACACTTTTAAACGCAAAAATATATCTAAAACTATTGATAATATGCAAATATCCATATATAAAACACGTCTGACCTAAGGCACGTCCGCGTTTGTACTAACGCCGTCGCTTCCTACCTGTTTCACAAACGCTAAACAAGCTCGACGATGGTTGGACGAGTATAAGGTTTGGCGATAAGTATTTTTTGTATTTTCCATACCGCCGATATCGATGTGCTGCACTTACGACGACATAAATACTACAAACGAAGTGCGCAACATTATACCACTTGGGAGCGAGCGTGACAGCGCACAGCGCGCACAAAGTGATACCGCAATATTGTTTACTATCAATTAATATCCGACCATGCAGTCATGCAGACATACAGATATGTCGAATTCAACAACTACTACAATCAATAAATGAGAAAATGAAAACAAGTAAAAATGCAAGCCGATAATGACGATAATAAGTTGAGGCGTTAGAGCCAACAGCAGGAAATATCAAGTCGTGAAAAGTTGCAAGTATGGAGTCACCTTGAATGCACCTAATTCACACATTACACGTAAATATACAGCGTAGTAGAAGTATACATAAATAAGTGCATAATAATAATAATAATAATAATAGCAGTGGTGGAAGTCACGCAGTCAGTCAATCAGTTAAAAAGTTAAACACAAATCAGAGAATAGGAATAGGCGACAGCTTTTGCCATTGGAAAGACGCGGCAACATTGTATTTTGCACTAAATTCACCTGTCAATTATAGATGTCCTAGAAACAAATTTAGAGCTATTTAACACGATCATTTTTCTTGTTTACGTTTTTCGCTAAAAATGAATACCTATTCAGGGTTGTTTTAAAAGCAAACAAGAAAACAGATATGACTAATTCTGTAATTGAATAAATTTTTCGATTACTTATACCTGAATCTGTAATACCTACTTATTAATTGTACAATTTGTAGCGTCTAGTGTTTACGGCTGTGTGTCATTATGTTTTGTCATGTTACCTACATGTTATACAGTGCTAATAGGCATTGCCGAGTACGAGTGCGCCTTAATTAGCAATTTACAGTGTTTACTGCGGACGCGGTCGGAAAGCGACTCGTCTGGACGTCTGTTTTTCATTTTCACTTAGAGAATATAACGTAATAAGCATGCATGGAGTTTTTCACCTTTCAAGATCTCGTTGCATATGGGCACCATGTCAATATTTAGGTACAATACAAACGGTGTACGCAAAATTTGATTTATGACTTTGTTATGCCTTTGAATAATTCAATATTTTCATCAAAAATCAACACCTTCATGGTGCGAGGTGTGATTTGTGTGTATAAAGGTAATCTCGTGTAAATATTCGCTCTGAATTCAGTTTCAGTTTCAGTGTGTGTTGCTTTTCTGTCTCGCCTTGGAATGACGTGAGTCGCTGAGAGGAGAGGAGGGAAGAGAAAAGGAAATACGTTACGCTGTTGATTGTTAAGCTAGGTCAAGAACTTACTACGTTCACAACTCATTATGCAAGTGTAGCTACATAACTTATTTTACACTAGCTACATACCAGGTGTTTCAAGTATCAGTGGCGATAGTTTATTAATAATAATGGATAAGTTGTAAAAATGGGTTGTGATGAAATGATTAACGAAATTTCTGATATTTGGGAACAGTCAAAATTTCAAGCTGAATAAACAAGTTGAAGTGTTCCGTATTTTAGGAATTATTCCACTACTTAAAATAAAATAACATTCAAAACAATAGTGATCAAAATATCTCAATGACTTGATAAGAATTTGTAAGTTGAAATACTTAGTCATGGCCGGAAAATAATAAATAGTTTTATGTTTTTACTAATTATGTAATTAATCTAGGAATTATTTAATTTTTAAAGCTACAATTTCATATCAAGTAAACTTATAAATGAATTATTAGTATCCGTTGATAAATTTCCAAATATTTTGGAAAAAACTAAAACTGTGGCGCCTTGAAATCGCATATTAAGTAAATATTTTGCGCAAAATTTAAACCCTTTCGAAATTTCGTGGAATTCATGAAAAGCAATTTTTTTCAATGTCAATGTGATAAATGATTAGATCTAATCTCTCATATTATTCAAATAGAGCGCAGTCTGGAGACAAAAATCAGTCAATAAAATCAAATATTATCGAAATTATATTAGACACAATTATATTTTAAACCATATTTTCTCTACTTATTTTTATTATTGTAACAAAGATAATTAAATCTATGAATTGGGAAATAAACAAACTAATACCTTGATAAATAGCAAACCAAATCAAATTTTCGTGCAGTGTGCAACTGTGTGCAATTTTATCATCAACCATGTAGAAATTAAATAACCTGCACTCATGTTGAGTGCATTTTTAATCACTACATCAATCAACAAATTGATTTGATAATTATTTCGAATTTAATTTGTTAAAATTTTGCAATAACTTCAAGTCTAGACTCGTCATTTAGACTGCACATTCAAAATACGTGTTTTTTTGTTTCCATGCAAAGGTTTTCGAGTTGATAAAAAAATAATCTTTTTTATCTGTGGCATAAGCGCCTACATCTACTTTAATTAAAGTAGGATAGGTTAAGTCAAAGGTAGGGAAGGTCAGAATAACCAAAATAAACGTGATGGATATTTGATAAAATCGGCTGATAGGTATAATACTTAAATTAAGTATTGTGTAAGTGCTTTAATCAAGGAATAACTTGACATAAAATCATGTAGGCCATAATTATTTATATATTTCGGTAGAAATTATACCTTTTCCAAAAATATACTTTTAGTAGATACTACCAACGCCATCTGGAGGATTAATCACAAAAATCAACTGAATAACACATTAATAACAATGATTATTTCCCTATAACTCAAAAAATACTTAAATTCCAGGCAAAATTCTTTCACAAATAAATTTTTAATTAAAGTCTACACCTAACTCGTTAAATTTGTGTTAAGTATCACACTGCATCAAAAGACATTATCAATTAAAGTTATTATTTGACGATTTTCTAATATTAATAAATTTTAATAGAAATTAAACGTAACGCAAATGCAGAAACAAATAAATTTTCCACCTGCAGTCTTCTGCGTTGTGCGAATTGTCACGCAATAACAATATTGCAATTCCTTTTCGTCATGTGTGTATCTAAATATCCTCTAATTATCTTCTCGTCTGTACATTCACACATGAAACTTTAAATTTTAATTTGATTGAGAGCTGGTGAGAAATTCTGCAGGTACTAAACTAAATCCAACTGGCATCAGTTTAATTCACACATCATAAAATCGTTAAATATTTAATCATCGAATTCAATATAAATATGTTATAATCACGCAAGTATGTGTATAATTATCATTGCTGCGTTTTAGTAAATATGTTTACAATCACATAGTGATCATGTTATCAACTTCTCGAGTAATGCCTTCATAGATGACGCTAGATATGAATAAATATTGCAATAATTTGTGTTTTCGCGATTGTTTTCTCTGTGACAACCATCACAATATTAAAATTTACATCATCAGAAAGGGGTTAGGCTGTAGTACCTACTAGAACTTGGTATTGAGTTTGAGTAAGTATTCAAATGCCGTTCGTGCGCGCACAATAATAAGCAATAAGTCGTTTTATTGCATGTTTATTGCCGCACGCGTTTATCGTCGCGCTCGGCGTGTTCGAAGCCTTCATTCATTCATCGATGTTGTTTATTGATAATAATTATCCGTCCGCCTGGTGAAAATCCGTTCATTGAGTAATCCTACGAATGTGTTGATAACGCTCATTTTAACATTTAGTTTTGTCAGTATTTCACTACGAATTTATTCCGAATGTAAATAATCACTCACATCAAATTGAACCGAGTGTATCTACAAAACATGTCTAATTTTAAACCGTTTCAATTACTACAACGCAACTGTTTTTAGTTGGTTTGTTTTTGCATAGGGTGAAAGTGAAGTTAATCACCAGTGTATGTAGTGCAGTTTACAATTAGGTTTTTATTCAGTTTTTTTGTCGACTATGTTTTTTAGCTGGCACCCCGAAAAACTCCAATTAAGCGCATGGATTTACGCGTTATCACATTCGCGTTTCAACACACATTGCCCCGGTTAGTGTGTGGTTTGATTTATACGCTTGTGTGTGTGTAGTTCGAGTGTGGAAAAATCCGGCGGCCGAAAAATTAAAAGGTCAACACTTGTTGAGCCTCGATTTGACGATGCGCTCGTGTGTACATTCCATGTTCATGTGTTCATGTGTCAAAATCAACTCCAATCGTTTCGTTTGCACTACGTTTGTATTTCGCGTTTTGTGCTGCACACGAAAAACCCGCTCGAAAAGCCCGAAAACGTGACAAAAAGCGTGAACACTGTTAATATTTTGCGGACTTTCCACGGTTTTTCCAATTTCCGACTGTGTGTGTTCACTTTTTGCCGCAAGTTTAATCGACACTAAAAAAGCGATTTTTCAGTTGTTAACTGTTGCCACTGTGGCACGTTACAAACTTTAATTCACACATTAATAGTTGGCCTGTCAATTAAAACTTTTTTCATTAAGTAATACTACACAGCGTAGAATTAAATTTCCATTGTGTTATTGATTGTTTAGGTAATAATTATTTAATTCGGCGTCTATTGAATGAAATTATCGGATAAGACATGCGTAACCATGTCCAAACTTATCTTATCGCTGCGAGACGATAGCGAGACTGTTTTATTGACGATTTGTTTATCGTCGCACGACAATAAATAAATTCTCTGCAGGTAAACCGACACCGCGCTTAAAATTAAATCAGACCCAAATAATAACGGATATAAAACTTATTTTTAAACTTATTAGCTAATTAGCTGTAAAAACCAAACCATCATACCTAAAATATGTTAAAAACATTCTTTAAAATTTCGTACTGGTAATAAATTCAGGAATGCACCAACGACCAACATAATATTACATTGGTAGATAGTGTGAAAATTATTCCTGCGGGCGACTGTACGCCTTAAATTGCAAACGAGTAAATTCCTGCTGATATTTACGAAACGCTAAAACATTTGTTAAATGTACAAATTCTGATTTAAATTTAACAGTGTATGAAAATTATCAGAGATGCTATGCGCCCACATTGTGTATTTACCAATTTGAAAATATTTTCTATAAAAAAATTCTTGTTTAGAAAGTTTTGTTGCAACTAGCGCCATCAATTGACACACATGCAAAATACACAGAATATTATAATGCAAGTATGTAAATGTATGTAATACATATTTAGAATGTCGAGATATTTTTGTTGGATATTTTAGAAAATATGGAATGGTGAGTGAGTGTGACTGTGACCTCCATACTTTAGTTCAGTCTAACACTCTTTAATTCGTCATAGGCGCGTTCAGTCCGCCGCTCACTCGAGAGTTCCCCTTCGACAAAATGGCTCCTACACGCACGACCAAAACCACTACTACTACTAATACCACTACTACTTGACTAGCTGTTGTACAACCAGTCAGTCGGCGAGTTAGAAAAACGCCAGGCGGACATTTTTGCATTTAGTTTTCGGCGTTTTGCCCCCACCATCATGTGTCCGCTGAGCAATCCAGTCGACCACGAAAACCAGTTTCTAGTTTAACTAAAACCGACACGAAACTGATCGCGGGGCATGGCTGTGGCTCCTTGTTGATGGCCTCGAAAGTCGTCGGTTCGCTCGAAAAATGTGGTTAGACGAAACCGACCGAAACGCGCGGACTAGAAAAAAAAACATCGCAAACAAACCGCAAACGGCCGAACCACTGCGTTCCTAGTGGAAAGAGAAGAGAAGACTTTGTTTGCTGATTGGTTTAGTTAAATGTCAGCCATAATTTTATGCAAAATATTTCGAAATATGTATTTCTAAACCTAGTAAACAATAACCAGTTTTTTTTCTATATTTTCGCTGGTAAAAACAGTAATTGTATATTCAAACAAACCAGCTGAGGTCCAAAATAATACGATGGAAAACAACCGAATGACGTCCGAGGTCTAATCAAAACACGAATTCACGTAAGCGCAAATCTCAAGGTTGTAAGCAACAAAAAACACCTACCTACCAAACTATTTTTAGTTGGAAAATATTTAAATCTCAGAAATATAAAACGGACCCCTTGAAAAAAAGCACAGAGCCTAATTGGATTATACCTGATAGTGACGAGGGTGGCACTTGTGGTAGTGTGGGATTAGTTAGTTTTAAGGCGGTGCGCGTGGGTCGATGGTGGTCGGAGCCACGATTGGGGCGGTTTGGACGCCCGGGGGCGGCGCAAACATACCGGAAACAAGGCCAACTGCAGGGAGGGAAACCCTCGAAAACTCGACGAAAATTGACGAAACCTCGCTGGGGAGGAGAGCAATAAGTTTAAAAATAGAAACAAGCGGGTAGCTGCTGAAGAAGCAAAACGTAGAATGTAAAAAGCGACGATACCAATGCGCCCTTATAATTACCAACCCTTCAAACTTTCAAGCAAGCACAACTAGCGCAGAAATAACCTCAAGTAACTTCAGTACCAACCAACAAAGTGGTCCTTCTTTCTTTTAGACTTCGAAAATAGGTACTCAAAATATTAAAAACTCCAACAAACAAACACGAAGAATCCAAATAGGATTCTATCAAAATCAGTTGTTGGTTATTTAGGCCAAAGTGCCACTGGAGTAGTAGTGATGCTGTGCTATGTTGTTGTGTCGAATCCAGGTTCGGGTTCAAACACTCAACAGGTTATATCCCGACCTGCGGCACCCGGCAAACAGCATACAACGCGACCAACCGACCTAACTCTCTACATGTAGGTACTATACAAATACCTACAATCCCGTCAATACCTATCTGTTTTTCATATCTTTGTATGCTGCAGTAGCTTGTATTTGATTGCAACTGGTAGCTGTGTCAGTGGTGTGATTGTTGGCACTTGGCGATCTTTCTCTCGACGCAGGAGAGGAGGAGAGAGGTTATGTACGCTCCACGCAGCGGCGCGTCGCGGTGCATGAACTTCAACTTGCGACTCGCGACCAGCCAGCCGCATAACACATATTCACACAGCGAACTCGTAACAGATATAGACGCAAATAGACAACGAGACGGACAAGCTAAAGATGTCACCATGTCAGATAATGCAGATTATTGTCAAATCTTTAGTTTTAAACTTGCAGTTATTAAAAACAAGTAAAACACGCATTTTATTGCTTAAATTCTTGCAAAGTCATAAAAAATGACAGAAACTGTCAACTTTTTTGACAGTTGTTCAGAAAATTTTCTAAACAATTAGGTTTATACACCAGCATAACTAGATAATAATCAAAGTAACTCACCGACTATGTACACCATATTTTTTGTCCATCGCTGAAGTTCCCGTTTAATATTGCGTCGCTGTTGTATGCATCGCGAGTAGGAACAGTCCGCCATTTTTTCGCGGCGCGGCGTGACGAACGAAACTCACTGCGGGTGCACGTGCTGATTGCTGCTGCGCGAAAAATCCCAGCGACAATGGCGAAACACAAAATCCTGCCGATGAAGAAGGAGTCGAAGACGCTGTTCGGGTGATCGCTGCGATGGATGGCGTCGTCGGCGGCTGCTGGTCCAACGGCGAAGCGGCGCGTGCACGCAGCTTGCCCATCGCTTCACTTTTCTTGGCAACGCCGGCGCCGCAACGTGCATCACACACTAACCGCCCACCCAGGAACAACACATCCGGAAACGAAAAACGAAAACGCGACTTGACAACTTGAATTAATCCGCACAAAATCAAAACCAATGTGGTCACACTGTAAATGATTGTATTTGTTAGTCCTTGTTTTTTGGTAAGAGTTTATTTTGTTGTTGTTTGTAATGTTTGCTTCACTGTTTATCCACTGAGGTCGCAAGTCGCAACGTAAACGATGTTGTCCAAGGGCCAAAACGCGCGTTTCGCACAGCACATGCACGTGTTTGCAAATCCACGTGCGTGTGTGTTTGTGTGACTGAGTGGTTGGTGTGTGTGTGTGTTGTTGGCAGCACTGCCGAAATTGCAACCGGAGCGCACTCGGCTGGCCGGCTGCGTTTCACTTTCGGTCGTGCGGCGCGGGTTTTGCGGCGTGCGGAATTTAGTTCACGGTCACGCCGCTCGTCGCGATATCGCACACCACACAACGAGCAAACTGCAACTGCGTGCGTGAGTGCATCCGCGAAAACTTAACTTAAAATTTTTTTATCACAATTTTCTTTCAACAACGCGCACGCCACAATAAAATCAAACAAAAGTCCCATAAACGCACGTCGATTTGATGTTCTTTGCTTCTTTGTTTTTTGGATTTTAAATGTCTTTGTATATCGTTTGTTTTTTTATTCTAGAATGTTTTGTTGTTGTTTTTGATTCTAGAATGATTTGTTCGGAGCGTCGACGATGCGCGCACTAAAAAATTACGAAACTAACTAGACGTCGACGGCCGCCGGACGACGGAGGACCGACGACGACGGGTGGCGGCGGCGGTGGTGGCGGCTGCGGGCGGCGACGGCGGCAACGGTGGCAGCACGACGATGCCGCACCATTTCGGCACACGGGCGCGCATCCTCCAATTTTTCTTTTCGCTCCTATTCGCACCACTATTTTTCACGACACCATCGAATTAATTCCAATCCCAACTCTGGAAATAAAACAAAAGTTGTTGATTTAATTCAAGAAAATGATTAGAAACTCACGAATTTTAACAACGCGCAACACTTACAAATTATTTCTCGCATTCTTTTGTTGCCCGACTAGTAAAGTGCGTAGAGCAACGCGCAAAAACTTAAAGAATTAAAAAATATCCACAAAATTGCACTTTGATTCGTAAATTTTTTTTGCCGTCGCGAGCGTGATGCGAATTCCTTATTTATGTGTATTGGTCGCGCGTTTCTCGTTTCTGCGTTTTCCGTGCGTGCGTTTGTTTCGTTCGTTCCGTACGCGATGCTCGGTACGTCTGGCACTAACTAACTAAACTAAAACGCGACTACGGCCGGCGAGCGCTGCGAGGAGTCTTGTGCACCGAGCGCACATACACATGCAAACAGCAACACATACACTATTGCACCCAGCACCGCCACCAGCGCGCGCGCACATACACACACCGGCGCGCTTTTCATAGGTTTGGGGGGAAACACGGTGCGCGTTCTGGGGACAATGTGTGTGTGAGTGCATCGTGCAGCCGCGTCGCGCGCACGAGAGTCACGGCCTACCTAATTTTTGCTACCTACAAAAGTGCTCAATGAATCGACACATACGCACACACGCACTCACACCAACCTGGGCGCCATCTGCAACTGCGATATAAACAACATTTGTTTCACGTATCATGCTGCACTTGCACGGCCTGAACCTAAACGTGTGTGCGTGTGCGTTAAGACTGTGACTGTACCTTATCTACAGCGGTTTGTAATGCGTCACAGTCTAAGTTAAAGCTGAAGGTGACGCAACAAGTACGACGGCGCGACGCGAGTGCATCCGAGTGCACGCGCTTCTTCTTCGGCGCGCGCGCGCGTGCGAAAAAGAGAAAAGGAGCGTGGTGCTCCCCCACCGCCATCGCCGCCGCCGAACTTCGACTATCTAACGGCGTCTCTATCTCTTCTTCTATCTTCGTTGCCCCCACTTGTCTTTCGCACGCAGTGCATTGCAACGGATGCACGAAAATGCACGAACATTGCGACGAACGGCGACGACCACGACGAAAAGAAGCAAAGAAGAAACGCACACAGTTGCGCGAACGCAAGTGTTTATACACCGGCGTGTCGAAAAGTTTCGGTGATTGTGCGCTCGTGGTAGTATACGTGCGTGTGTGCAGCAGTGGGGGGAAAGAAAAAGGAGCAATAGCAAAGAACGAAATAGACGAGTGAGCCGGCCGAACCGAACCGACGCGCGTTTTTAGGTTGACGACGCCCCGCGCGACCCCCCTCGCGCACACGCTGCGCATTGCACATTTACCATTAAACTAGTTTTAAAAGGAACGAAAATTTATCGCTCGGACACTGGCGATGCCCGTGCACCGACATTTTGTATATTACGTTCATTTTTCTGAGCGTGGTGCAACCGAAAGATAGATGGATAACAAAAATAACAAACTTTGTTTTTCGACCATTTTGAAGCATTTTCATTGTTGAAATTTAGAATAAGTAACATTAAAAGGTCAGTCATGCTCACATGAATTATTACCACATTCACAAAATGGCTGCCATTAGTTTAAATCAAGGTAATTTTGTAAATGCAATTAGTAATTTTGTAATTTTCAGTTTCAGGAAACGATTTCACCGAGGATTACGAACGTGTTTGCTCAACAAGTTCGTGGATCGTGTGCATCGCACAAGTTTCGGTTATCCCAATGCCACCGATGCAACACGTTGCTCCGCGCCGAAATTTACATTCGGTTCGATGAAAAAACATTTTTGTTTTGCTGCCCAAAATTGATCTACACCTTTATGTATTTTGGAGGTGGGAGTTGAGAAAAAAATAGTCCACAGTCGATGTTTTCAGTTTGGGTGTGGCCTACGTGCCGGGCCCCGGACCGGTTTAGACCAAATTCAAACTAATATTTCGGTCACGCCCACATTTAACTAATCCAATGATGGATAACTTAAAATTCTACAACATTGCTCCCATTTTGGAAGATAAGAAATTTTAAATTAAATTTTAATTTAGTTCAGAAAAATTCATCCCTTAATAATGGTATTTGGTTGTGGTGGATAAAGGAACGTTTTCGATGTTCAACTGCGTGTAGTGCTTTGCTAGAAATGGGAAAATACCCTCCTGTTGCATCGTCGCAACCGCCGCCACCGCCACACCACCTCATCCCCTTTCTTCCAGCCTTGGAGCGTGTGGCGGCGGCGGCGATGAGCGAGCGCTTGCCCTTCCTAACCCAGCGCCTCTCTAAACCACCATCTTTGCCACGCCGCACGGTGTTGCCCCAGTCACTGCACTAGAGGGTGACCCATAAATTATACAATTCGAGACGTCATCCCTGCAGACTCTCTCCTGTGCAATAGTTTAGCAACAAGTGTCTAAAATCTAAACATGACTTTTCCACTAGTAAAATTATTAAATTTCGAAATATTTTAAACGAGGAAAATAAAAATTTTAAAACGTTTCATAAAACATTGAAATATCTTAATAAATTTTAATTATTTATGTACAAGTGCATGTTTGGGTGAGTTTTCGAGGTTGGTTGCATTCGGCGATAGCACAGTTTTGACAGCGCGTGGCGGCAGCGGCGGCGGCGCTGCAATTGTGCGGAGAGGGTATAAGAAGCCGTTATTGATCGCATTTTTTGATCCTGTTACCCTTCTTTCCCTGCCCTCGCCGCCGCCGCCGAGTGCACGGCGCGCCATCGTCATATTCCTTTCCTTTTGCGTCCTTTTTACGCCGCCTCGCGCGCGTGCACTCGCCGCATGCACCGCGCGCGCGTCGTCGCCGACGACGTTTTCGTTTCGTTTCGGTTTTCCGCCGCTCCTTCGTGTGCGCCCCGCGCCGCGTCACCTCCTCGCCGCCTCCACGCGCGTGCTAAATGCACCGAAACGCTTCGCGTTGCAACTAATTACATGCGCCGAAACGAAATCGAAGCGGCGGAACGCTTACAGTGTTGCCGATACTGCCAGCGGGCTGCCGAAAAATAATAAAAACAAAAAAAAATCCACAGAGTGGCGACAAAATCATTATTAAGATGTAACAAACACTCAAAACAACAATTCTACAATTATATAAGCAAAGTAAACAAAAAATATTAAAATTATAAAAATTTATGTTGTTTGAAAGGAAAAATTTGACATAAAGACACCAAATTTACTTGTAAGGGCAAAAAAAAGAAGGCGACACAGCCGGCGAGGTCTTAACTAGGTACCTATACACTCTCAACCAAAATGTGTGTGTTCTTCATGCACTTTGCAGCTTGAGACACACGCATACGCTGACCGAACGCGAGTGCAGTGTGCATCGCGTCGAAAATCGATAATGGGACTTTTATTTCGCTCCTTCCTTCCTTTTTCCTGCCCCTCCGCCGTCGCGCACGACCTCGCGAAGCTGTAATGCCTGAAATTTCAGCGGAAACTTCAATACGCGCCGAAATTGCCAGCGGAAATGAACAAAATTCGTGCAATACTATTATAGATTAGGTTACATACATTATTTACACGAAGTGACATCTATCACTTACACTTTGTACCATTTTGATTGCTATTGATTGTGCGTGTTGCAGTCAGCACCAAAGTTTCTTCATGTATTATCACAAAAAATATAGAGCGTTTGTTCGGTCCGATGGCTATTGTGTTTATTTTAGTGTATTCTCTTGGCTGTGATGCAAGGTGAAAAACAACGACGACCATCAGCAGGCCACCGGTAACATGTTAACAATAATAAGCTACAGACGCGCGCCTCGCGGCGTTTTCCGCGTGCTCCCGTTCCGTTTGGTTCCGTGGCGCGTTTGATCAAATGCACATTATTTCCATTCGCTGCCATTTTGCTTTTGTTCACTATTGCTATATTATTCGCCCGCGGGTGGTGTATGAACTGCTTCTTCGTTTTTTGAGGCTTGACCGACGCAAACAGCACTTGAATAAAAAACCACTCAAAACAAAGCTACGAAAATAAGAAAACAAAGTTTTGCAAGTGTGTAGATTGATGAATTTATTAAAACATTTCACTTGCAGCCATCCGTGCATCACATCAATTGAAAAACACGTAGGTATGCGAAATGAAATGATGAGTCGAGCATGGAAAATTGAATATTAATTTTATTTTTTGAGCGAGGAAAGGAAAAATTTAGTTTGGTTAATTTAGTGCACAGTTTGATTTCCGCTTTGGTTTAGTTTAGTTCGGGGGCACCTCGCCATTTAACTAAATAATTACCCAGATTGCAATGTGATCATTTCGATGATGATTATTTCGATAGGCTAAAACCTAAATCGTGTAATGCACAATGTTGAATGCGCGTGTTGTACAAGCCGGGCAGCAGGCAGAAAATGTCATTAATATTCATCGACAAAACGCAAATGCCACCACGACAATCGACGCAAACGAGTAAACGACAGCCAAATCTGCTTCCTGCTTCTATTTGCGAAACGCCGCACAATGGTCGCCATCGACATCCACACCGACGGCGCAGCCAACAACAATCGACAAGACTTGGAATTATATCTACATATCATGTTTAAAAATTAACAAACTAAATTTATTTACATAACCGGATAAATTTTGAAGTAAAAAATTGTTTTTTACTGAAAATTTTGAATTTTTTAGTTTAAAATGTTTTAAATTGATTTTGTAGGCATATTAATTTTAATTTTAAATGTTTAGCGTATCATCCTGTAAGTGAGGATTCGCGACGAAATTGTGTCCATTGTAATATCGGTGTCGGTGTATCGGTTTGGTGCGTTTCGCGTGTCGCAAGTGTTGCGTTGGTGGAAGCGAGCCGGGGAATGCGCGCCGAACATGCATTTCCGTTACGAAGATCCTCCTGGCGTGCGGCGGCGGCTCCGTCCTCCGAAACGAACGGAAGTCGATGCCGAACGTCGATGATAACGGCTGGAGCAGGCGCGCGAACACCAAGCGTTCGATTACGAATGAATTTAGCACTGGATTCAATTTTAAGTATGTCATAATATCAATTTATTTACTACCAAACCCTGAATTTGGAAAATATTCGCATTATTCGCGTAAAAAACAGGCGAAAAGTGCAAGTGCTTACATAATGGCGTGAACAGCTGCTCGGGTGCACTGGTGCAGACCCCAATTCATGAGTGCGTGTGTCGAAAAACGCGGTCGACGTCCGAGCGCAGCTTTTTCGTGGGGTCGTCGCCGAGGAACATGACCTATCACAACGTGCAGCCGGTTGTGTTAGCCAAGCTTACACTCACACACATCGCACTAGCCGAAACTCGGTCGAGTGTCGACGACTTGCTGCCGGCAGCAGTCGAAAAACGAGTAGAGCGTGACAAGCGCGCGAGTTTTGCGTTCGCGAAACGAGGCCAAAATTCATGTGCATATTGCATTCAATGCGCCCGCCAGCTCAAGTGCACTGAACCGCCAATTAAGTCATAAAACACAAAGAACATCTCCGCATACACACCCAAAACAACCTCATCCACAACTCATAACTTAGGTTATGTCTACGCAAACTTAGGTTATGTTGATCCAACTCTA